GGTATTTATCGTATATTTTTATCTACCACATATATATCGCGCTATAGTGGTTGATGCTTGATGTGATGTTAATGGTGCTGAGCTGGCAGAGTGAAATTGTGGATAATTGGATCCCTTCTGCTGCTCTGGATGGAAAAGTGTGCAGTCTTCTCGACTGGTCTATAATGATGTTCAACTAGCTAGAGTCGAGATTTTGCGTGCTCGGCAGTTGTTAAGAATCAAGAGAGAGAGAGAGCGAGAGAGATGAAGAAGGGGGAAAGAGAGCTAGGGATGGATGTGGGGGAGAAAGGGTGATCTGGTTTAAGTGACAAGTTGGACTCGACCAACCCAACAGTTAATTAATAATCACTTTGAGTTAAGATTGTTAAAGAGAAAATTATCAAAGTAATATTTGCCCAATTAATAAGTTTCCGTAAAGTTTGAAAATACTTGTGTATTTAATGCACACACTTTTTGTTGATTCTTTTAAGCTCCAAGCTTTTTCATTGTCATCTCGCTCGCAGATGCTACACACATTTTATGTTTTGGCGTGTGTAGACTTTTACAAAGTTTAAACCATTTATTTTTATTTTAAAGTAGCATCGCCTGCGTGCCTTATTGCGTTTCAACATTCGTCACAAAGTAGCTATTTTGATATACGACACGTACTTGAAACCAGATATCATAACAATGCTGATAGTTGATTGTGAGCAACAGTGCTCCTCGGGTTAGAATTTCCTCCTTTTTTCCTCCTGCCACCAAGGAATTTACACTCTTCGCCTTTTACCCTTTGAGTAAAGCGTGTTCTACGTGCAGCATAATACCTGCGCCCATCTTGCCTAGCATGGAAGGAAGGAGACAAAAATGATGTCAAAGGTTTAAGTTTAGAACAGAAGAGGAGGAAAGAGAAATAGAAGATTTTTGGGCTTTAGGTGTTTGTTTGTAGGTCTCAGTGGAGCTCTTTAAAAGTCTTTTTGAGCAGCAGAATACTTATTGAGCTTTGAGATGTCTCTCTCGTCCTCCATCCATTGTTGTGTCGGAATCTTCTTCCTCAATTCCCCATTTACTGGATTGAGCATCTAATGCAATGTAATGCAATACAATGTACACACAATACCAACAGCTCTTTCTGCTTCTGGGAGGGAGGAGGTGGTGGTTTAACGTAACACGAGTTGAGTGGCGGAGATAATGTGCGACGACCAACTTGCTCGGGGGTTTTAGTCTCCAATTCTCCATGCCCAGATCAAATAAGGAGGATGAGACGTGATCGGCAGCTATTTTTATCCGGCTTCATTCACACTTTTATTTACTTACTCTTGCACAGAAAAGAAGAACGAGAGAACTAATCTGAATCCACCAAATTACAATACATGTTTTGCTCCATTGTCCCAGATTTTGGGCGAGTTGTAAATAGATGTACATACATAAATATGTGTTCTGGGTGGAATTTTACCTTGCCCGACTGTGTACATACACCGTAAAATGTGGATATGTGTAGAATACGGGTATTTCGATGGGTATAGTGAAAGTTTTGTAACAATTCTTATTTTTTCTTCTCATACACCCGCTTTCTCTCTTCCCTCTAAAAAACTTTATACCTGGTGTGGGAATTGAGAAGAAAGTTGATCATGATGATCGCACCATTTCTCTGCGGTGTTGTTTCCAACACGAAAGTATAAGATTGGTTGAAATTGTCCTCGACCAGCCAGATGAGAGGGCCACACGAGATCCTTCGGGAAAATAGTGGACGGAGGAGGAAGAGAAAGTTGATACGTGAGAACAAACAGGAAAATAAGAAGAGTTTAGTTGATACTGGAGAAGTAAGAACTGATCTGATCTGATCTTTTATCTGGAGTTGTTGGAAGGAACGCTTCAAAAAAATTAACCATTTCTAAAAAATATTAACTTTCTTGCATTGTGGTCAAGAGTATATATTTTTTACAATACAATATTCTCGCATTTGTACATACGAGATTACGTAAGACACATTTTCCCAACCCAGCCAATAATAAAATGGTCCCGTTTCATTTCGCTGGTTACATACATTGGTCGGTCGCTGTTTTGGCAGTGGAACACGTAATTTTCCACCCGATTGATCACTTGAGTTGGAATTCATTGAATCGAAAAGTGCGCAGACAGGCATTTAAAGGAAAGAATGAATTGTTACTTGGAAGGGTGTCTCACTTGTCGTTCGAGTATCGTAGCTCATGTCGTCTCCCGTCTTTGATTGTCTTTTACTGCGAATAAGATGTTTGTGACTTTCACACTCGTAACAACTTGTCCTCAGAAAAGGAGAGGAGAGTAATGGTTCTCGATCGAAGAAACGAGCATTGTAGTTCAAATGTGATTACGTGTCGTACTAACTGTAGTATAATAATAATGAAACCGTGTCTCCTGTTTACGGTCGGTTCTTATTGTTCCATCAATTGTGTTGCGTTGTATACGACTGCCGAGATACAGAGAGAAAGTACAATACATTGTAAATTTTGGAACGCATATCCAATTCATGTCCTATTCACGGCCATGTTTTTACTATCCGACGACCCATGCTCCTTTCTTTCTTCCAAGCGAATATAATTCGATCGAAGGTTGTGGTTATTCGTTGTGTAATTTTGTTTTCGGTCGGCGTTTTCGGTGTGTGTGTGAACGAACTTTTACTGTGTTCTTCTTCTTCCTCTCTCTCTCTCTCTCGGGTTAGATTGATCACTCCAGTTTCAACTCATTTTTCCTTGTCCGAAATATCCCAACCAGTTGAGTGCATGCAGTTTTCCGAGAAAAGTGTAGAGTTTGGAAATGAGTGAATCGATTTCGCACCACCACTACGACGTATATCTATACCCATCCTGCCTGCCTGACTGCTATTCCGCAGTTGACGAATGGTGTAAATCGCCTCTTTCTCTCTCTCTCTGCCTGGCTTTTTCCATTAGTATATTTCTTGTGCGTTAAAGGAAGTGGTGGTGGTGGTGGTGGTTTAATGCGTCTAATGGAGATGCGTATTTTTACCACTTGGTTTACTTTCATTCCGTTGGTTCAATATCGTTCATTGGTGGATTGTTGATTCTAAAAACATTATTTTAAATTGGTCCCAATGCAGCTGAAATGTCAAGCCTTGCTCTCTTTCTCTCGGTTTAATATTTGCTGCATGACTGGATTTTGGAGTTTGGGACTGACTGAGCATACAGTATGTGTGTGAGGTGTGGCATGGTAGGTCACCGATATGGCTGAGAGATGGCCATAAAGCGAAATGGTTAATGTTGATGTTGATGGCAATTGGTCTGTCGGTCGTGCTGGAGGAGTGAGTAGTATTCTATTTACTTACAGTGTCACTTCAAACTTCACTAAACAGTAACTAACGTATACTTTCTATGAAATGACGGTAGTAGCATGTGCTCTGCTGATGTGAGTGACTACTTAACTTTTGACTTCTTTCCCCCCACTTAGCCCAGAATTTGTCGAGTCCATCTTTTCTCATATCATCAAGTGGTGTGGAGAGAAAGTTGATCGTGTATATGTACGGTCGAGGCAGAAATATCAAGAAAAGTTGAGTCGAGACTCTCCTCTTACTTGGATGACTGAGGGGGGAGAATGGAATAAATGGCACATCAAATTCATGTGACTGCTTCAGCGTGCTATTTTGATTAGGAAAAAGTGGCAATCGTCATCATCCTTTTGGTGAAGTGGTAGCAGTTAGTGAAAGGTGTGCTCCTCCTGCTTTCCAACGCAATTTTATTCTCTCTCTCTCCTCCTGATTCCAATAGAGGAGAGTGAGTCGAGAGAACATTTGTGGTCACAGGAGTTTCCCTAACCGACATTGATTTGCTTTTGCAGTTTACTCTGCAAGTTTTCTGGATCCTTTCACTTTTCCGAAATGAAATGAAATTTGTTTGAAAGGGTTCGTAGAGGTTGAAGATTCATTTTCTGCATCTTCTTCCTCCCTTTGTGAATAACATCTTTCAACCTTGTCGTTATTAGTTATCAGGGAAAAAGGTAAAGGTATACGTACTTTTACCGGAATTCGGGTTCCCCCTTGCACCACCACGAGGAGTACTAAGTTTATGACGATGATGATGATTACACTTGGCTAGTTAGCTCCTAAGATGAGTTAGATTAATGTGACATGTCAACGACTCGATACATAGAAAATTGGCAGGGTCTCCCGTTTTCCGTGGCGGATGATGTCTCGCCTGGTGTCTAGTGGTTGTGATCTCGATTATTTTTCGAAGCGAGAGATAATAATAATAACCAAGTTGTCAATTCCTTTTCACGCGTCCATCCAAGAATTGGGAGAGAAAAGAGAGGAGTGTAGTAGTGGACACCTCATATGGTGGTTGGGACATATGAGACCACACAAGTCAATAAAGGATAGATAGATGGGATGGTTGGATGGGTAGATAGTCGTCGTCGTCATCGTCGCAGGGTTGCGTTTTGGTTGAAGTGAGTGGAATTGATATTGAATCACATTATCATGATGATGAGCAGAAAGATGCTTTGGTGATCCCCTCTCTTTCTCGCTCTGTTGATGTCAGACTAAAAAAATGACTCTACTCCAAGACAAATCTACTGTGACCTCGTGTTATCTCTCCTCGAGTGATTTTTCTTTTTCGCTTTCCCCACTTTCCTAGATAGCGAGATGCTCCTTTCTCCTCCCTTTCGTGAATTCGTCTCGTGTGTTTTCCTGCGTTAAAGATGCGGTGAAAGTTGTATGCAGCCATTTCGTTGGCAAATTAATAATAAAAAAAACTTTGGCAAAAAATACTCGCTAATTTGAATGGTTGCTAAAATTGTACTATGAAATGTGCAAGGTAAGAAGAAAGACGTTTGATCAGCTTCTCGGTGTCGATATTATTGGCAGAATGGCACATGTTTAATGCATATTATACAACGTATACGTCAGTCAGCATACATATTGAGTGAGTATCGAAGTGAAAGTGGCCAACTTGATAAAGTGAGTGAGTGAGTAAATGCATTAAATGAGATGAATTTTATGGTAATAATGTTGTTTTTTCATTTTTGGTTTTCAGGAGGTGGGAAGTATCATAGGGAAGAAAGGTGAAATCGTAAAAAAGTTTCGGGAAGAGGCAAGTCATTCTCTTATTTTTATTACATTTGCATCCAAACCCATCAAAAGAGCTTTCTTTCTTCTCCTCCTCGAGACCCACTAACTTCGTATACCTCCGCATAACCTATAACCCCTCCACATTTCATCTCTCCTCATCCTTTCCCCGTTTTCCTGTCCATCTTATCTCCGTTTATTCAGTTTGAAGAGTTTTTTTTTTACTTGAGAATCTTGATAAGGGGAGATATTACATTTACTTTACGCTCTCCTTGCTCCTTCCCATCCGTCTTTCCTCCCTTTTCTCACTCCTCTCAGCCAGCCAAGAAGAGTGAACTTTGTTCATTACTTAATTTAATACGTAATGATCCCTCGTGAGTTGAGAGTTCGTTCGTTCCTTGCATAGTCGTCTTTTCAGCCGGGTTAATAATCCCACGTACATGTATGCATATCAGGTAAAGGTACAGACCCTCTGTCTGCGCGAAGGCGGAACTCTGATCCAATTTATTTATTTATGTCAAGTCAACTACACACAAATCCCTACAGGAAGAGGGCACGTCGTGAAAGTAATAATAAGAGTTGACGCTGACCCGGACCAGATAACGAGACTATGCTTTATCACAGTCTCGGTTGTGAAAGTGCATAGGTTTTGAGACAGAGGAGTTGATACATGGTTTCATTTTGTGACTAATTACAGTCCGGGGCAAGGATCAACATCAGTGACGGGTCATCTCCCGAGGTAAACTATTTTAAGGATGGATTTTGTATGTACTAACTTTATTTGACACTGATTCTTCTTCTCCCCTTTGCAGAGAATAGTCACCATCACAGGAAGTACGAGCGGCATTATGAAGGCCTTTGATCTCATTTGCAGAAAGTTGGAAGAAGTTTATGTATGTCATCGTATATACCTTTATATTAATTATTATGCGCTCTAATTTAGTTTATATTTGCTATTGAAATTGCCACATTTTGTTACAGTTTCATAATCATTTAGCCACCTACATACTGCATTTAGCAGCTTGTCTTTTTGTATAATCCGACATTTAGCTCACGAACGACATGGCCGACCACCAAACACCCACCCACCCACACCAAGAGCAGTGAGATTAAAGTCTGAATGAAATCCTGTCCTAGATTATGCCCCCATTGTTTCATGTTGCTAAATATATATGGAATTCGGAGCAATTTTAACTTCTCAACTTTCACTTGACTCGGCTTGACATGAGATGTTAATCCTATTAAGTGGTAGTGTCTCATTAATTCCACTTGGTTTCACATCAATCGACTTTCTCTCCTCCCTCGCGCCTCGCTGTCACCGAGCCAGCCAAGTTCTCCGTTAGTTCAAAGAACAGACAAATCCCAGTCGTGGTGTTTCATTCTATTGTGAGTTGTCAATTTGTAAAACGGTTCAATACTTGTGGGAGCAGAGGGATGAATGAATCAAGGCTCGTGGTTTAGTAATATATTCTTGTACGGGAGGAGGTACGAGGAAAATAATGAAACTACTTTTACAGTTCAAGTTGTAATCTTGTTAGTGTATGTGTAGGGCCAACTACCAATAATCAGGCTGCTGTGGCTCCTCTGGGGAGGTTGAATTATTAAGCGAGAGAGGAACATAGATTGAAAAATAAGTAGAAAAGTTATCAAGAGTCGGGTGGGTACCGTTTTTTGTTGATTTTTGTTTTCTCCCTCGTTTTAGGAAAGGGTTAAGAAGTGGGAAAGTTTGAGCTGGTCGTACGTACCTATTGTGTAGTCGTACATGAGTGGAAATGGGCGATTTAATGCGTGCTTTTCTCTTTAATAACGGCGAGGAGGAAGGGCGATGGGTGGAAAGTTTTTATTTTCATACTTTAACAAGAAGCAACACACGTGAGTGAGATGAGAATAAGAGAGGAAAGCGTTAAAAAGTGGAGGATGATATAATAATATGAAAAGCAGAGTGTGTGTAATGATATCTCATGGGAAATCAGACATTTGGGTTGGAAATAATGTCAGGTGGAGTGATAAATTGTCATGATGAAAAATAATATTAATGAAACTTCTTCCCTGTAATGTGTACGAGTAGTTTTGGTTCACCTGGATGGAGGTGGTCTAGTTTTGAATGGAGGATTAATGGGAAACCAGCAGTGGAACACTTTTTGTTATAAATAAATGTCGCAATCGGATATAAGTGAGGCAATTTTGAGAGGGATTAGATTGTTTGGGATTTATTAATCTCAGTGAGAGGTGCTTTTCCTTTTGGTTGGTTGGTTGGTGGTCATGTTGTGTTTTGTTCGTTGAGAGGAAATTGCAAACGAAGTTTTGTCAAGAATTGTATTGCTCTTTTTTACGAGATCATGTGACGAATTCATTCAATTTAATGTTTTTGCAGAATATGCCCAAGGCGGATAACGTCCCAAAGGTCAGATGTTTATTTAGTAGTAGTAGTTGGTTTAATTGGCTTAGTTCTTCATGCATAAGCACTTGCAATTTGGGTCATAAGTTTTGAGTAGATTGAGAATTTTAATGAAATATTTACGCCACATATGTATGCTCCGTTTGATGAGAAATTTTCCAACTTAAATTTTTCATAAGATTTCTGAAGAATCATGATGTTGCAGACAGATTTCACGATGTCAGTATTGCTAATTTAATGTTTGTTTTGTACCATATACAGCCGCCCATCACGTTGCGATTGATCGTTCCAGCTTCCCAGTGCGGATCTCTGATAGGAAAAGGGGGGTCCAAGATCAGAGAGATTAGAGAAGTACGTGTCCAAAAACCATTAACTTTAATCTATTATATAATATGGGTTTGATTAATGGAAATAATTTTCTCGTAGGTGACCGGTGCCTCAATTCAAGTGGCGTCAGAGATGCTGCCCAACTCGACTGAACGTGCTGTGACCATCTCCGGGGTAATCTAATTTCCTGTTCATTTTTTATAAAACTTATAAAAAATCTGATTCTAATGAGACCTTTTGTTTGTCTAGATGAGCGATGCCATCACGAAATGTATGTTACTTCCGTTGATTTCATGAGATATTGGTTATTAAATTGTGAGGTTTTTCCTTTCCAGGCATCTACCATATCTGCATGATAATGCTGGAGGTAAGATATATTCTGTACATAAATCTGTGTGCTATTAATGTAGAGAGGTTTGTAGAAAGTCCAGAACATTGTGTAGGTATGATAGGTGAACTATTAATAGAAATTGTACTGGTAACAGTCGAGCTGGTACATAAGAGCGCAGGAGGACATGCCTATGAATAATGCCCATATATCAGGAAGTTGGCACATGATTATGGACTTTTAATGGTGGATGGGCTACCCCACACTCTACTAATTTATTCCCCCTCATATATCATCTTTGCGGTTCCTCAACCATTGCTACACCACAAAATCCATCGCCATCATCAACCACTGAACTTGCAAACACACACGCTTTCTCTCCCTCTCTCTCTTCTCCATATCATGATTACCACCACACCACAAAACTGAGGAGAGCGCGAGAGAAAGCACTTTCTCCATTGGTTTAGACTTTCTCCTCGCCCTGGTGACTTTGTAATGTCATATTTTTCGATTTTTTTTCTCTCTCTCTCTCCAACATACCAAAAATGAGACACCATTAATTTCAAACACATCACAACACTCCACTCGAGTGCACTGCACAGAGGAGAGAAATCAGGCCAGACCTCTCGTTCTGAATCTAAGCTCTAGTTTACGAGGAGCTCACCTCGCATTAGATATTAATGTGGAGTGATGATGTGATTTGGTTCGGTTTAGAGGAGCGGTTGTTGGTTCGCTTGGCGTAAAATATTGGGAATAAGCAAGCGCAATTTGTTTGTCATCGAGTTTTATCTATGGCCATTCAGAGGATGTGAATTGATCTCATTAATCTCTGTCATGTCATCCACAGGCAGGCAGCACGAGGAGAGGAGAGAGAGCACCCCACCATACCACCAGACAGATACTTTGGTCGTGTTGTGCACTCCTCTTCTCATGTTGATGTGTTGATAGTTGATGGTTCCTTTCAAAACAAAACCAGCACTGTGTATGTACCACCACAGAAGAGCCACCAGTTTAAGCGAAGCGTCATCGTCACCGGGCCAGCGAACCGAAAACATTTTGAAACATATGCCAAGAGTCACATTAGACTAACGGCCCGTACTTTCTCTCTCTCTTTCGCTCACTTTCCCTATTAGTTTGTGCAGGAGGAAAAACAAAATTTGCTTTTTAAACTTGTTCTGAATTGAGTAGGAAGTTTTTTTTTCTGCAAAATTCCCATTATTTGCATGTCGAGGGGGAAGCCTTATACAACTCGCTGTATGTATGTACCTGTCTGGTGGGTGGGTGCAATTTGGCTGAGAGTAGGTGTACATAAAGTGGTTCATTTTTTACCCCGTTGTAACGAATTATGTGAGATTGGGGTTAAATGTCGCTTAGTTTTAGGATGGAGAAAGTTGCCATTTATCAACAGGTACTTCCTAGGCTTCTTATCTTGAAAACCATTTGCTGTTATCATTTATGTTAAAGTGAAATTCTGTACCATTGCAAGGAAGTGGTTGAAATTAGCAGATTTGAAACATTATTGATACGGCGGTGGTGAAAGTTTTGATCGTATTGGGGTGTAAGAAGATGAATATGGGAAAAATTATCTTGATGGCCGCCCACTCCACTAGGAACATAAGTGCATACACACATATTTAGATAGCATATATACTATACCATGTCGATTTAGTACTAGTTAAGTAATGGGGAACACGAAGAAAGCGAATTGTGGAACAATTTGGCAAAGATAAGAGGATCCTCTCTCTGCCTCTCTCCATTAAAATGATCACTTCTTTACTGTTCTCTTCCTGTTTTCAGAGTCCACCAAAAGGAGGTAAGTTCAGATTCCGTGCAAACTTTGGGCTGAGCTGGATGAATGATTTAAATTAAAACGCCACATTGTAGGGACGATTCCTTATCGGCCAAGACCCGGACCAACTGGTCCTGGAGGGATGATGATGGGACAAGCTGGTGGCGGTGGTGGTGGGTACGGAATGCAGGGCAACTACGGTATCAATCCGGCCGAGGTAACTATTACTTTCTCTTCTCACTCCCCCTCCTTCTATATTTTCTTCATTGTAATTGTACACCACCACACGACCAGAACCACGACCACTCGCTCCAGTGGTGAAAGTAGATAAAGACGTTACGTTATTATTACGTCCCGGTCTGCTAGCGTCTTTATGTGGGTAATAACAATAATTTTATGACAGGGATCGCGCCTCTCTTGATTTCCACTACAGGTTCGTCCACCACCCAGCCACCCACCCACACACAGTTCGAAAAGGAACGGGCATTCCTTCTCTAATCAAGATTTAACGAGAGGAACGGTTAAAATTGTACTAATTCACGTTTGTCACGAAAAGTTCTAATAGGAAAAGTTATCCGTGATAAATATGTGTTCTGTTATTATCCTAATCTATCTGGCACAATACAGGGTGGTTTAAATGTCAGGTTACAATGGAAAATTTTTCAATGGAAAAAATTCGCAAATCTCCATTAGTTACCGAAATTTTGCCTCTGAAATTCAATATTTTAAGAATTTGTCATCAGTGTTTTGATAAAAATTAATAAAAATGTCAATCCCAAATCCGTAACTAATGGAAATTTACGAATTTTTCCCATTGAAAAATTTTCCATTGTAACCTGACATTTAAACCACCCTGTATGTGAATTTTATGATAGCAATGTTAAAATACTGTGAAAATGAAAAGCATTGATGCATGTTTCCTAAAAAATACTCGAGAACCTGGTGGCAAAATAGAAGTCTTTACATGACGTCGGACTAGACAATCTATAACCTTGAAATCGATTGATGTCGTAACGTAATGAATAATAGGGCGACGAGGCGAAGGTGCGGTTCTGCAGCTACGTGGAGGACAGCACAGAAACTGTTTTAGTTTTAGAGAAATCACGGCTGGTAAATTGGGTTGGGTGAGTAAAAGGCTGCCTATTAGGCTCTGCTGAACTCGATCTGAACTGAGGTGGCTGCCTGACTTTGTGTGCCTCGTTTCGGAATGGAACGTGACTTTGCCACAGATTTCAGATTGTGCTTTGTTTCTGAGATAATAAGATTATTTTGTGGACTGGACTGCTTTTTGGAGGTAGGTACGTATACACACGTAGGTAGTGGACCCTTGTTACAGACTGACTGACGGACATGTTCTCCTTACATTGTTACCTCCTTCTACGTCCACCTTTCTCCTCTCTCACCATCACGTCACGTCACCTTTTTCCTGCCCCCTGTCATCTCGAGTTAACAACGCTCTCGGCGACTTTGTCGTGTTGTATATGCCAACCAGGATCAAATCTTTGTGAGAAATGGGCAAGAAAATGAACGAGCGAGTCGATTATGGGAGAATTTTATGATCGAGTTACATAACTCGGAGGCAGAGTAACATGTAACATTTCGAAAAGGACGGGTCAAGTTTTTTGACAATTGGTCAGGAATTGTTGGACATTATACCAGATTGCATGAGCATAACTATACGTCATGTAAATACATAGGAAAGTTTGAATTTCTGAATTTATAATAGTAACGATGAACAATTATCATAAAGCATTATTATTTTATCGTAAGTGTACAAAACTTTGCAAAATTTTGTGCAAGTCTAAACCTGCCAGTTTTATCGAGATCGCAACCATCCAGAGGTCCACGTACGTATGTTATGCACCTACATGGGAGCAGTAGAGTTGGACAAAGTTAAAATAGTGGAAGAACGGAAGGAAGGAGTGAAAGCTTTATTTTTGTTCTTTCTCTGTGGAAGCAAGAGACCGGAAAGATTAGTGTTATTATTATTACAAGGGCGGGCATATTGCAGGCGGGTAGCAGCCTCCTCCTCCTCTCGTTATAAATATATATAGTTCATAGTTCACTCCTATTTCCTCTCCCTTCCTTCTTCCTCTCCTAATATCATCCCAGTTTTATTGCGCCTTTCCGCTCCTTGTGTAGAGAGAGTTGGATTCGAGTGGGCATAAAATAAAATAAGGAGGCATTGTTTGAGGGCCATTTCTTCGACGGCGAGTGGCTTATCTGAACGTGTGAGCGGGAGAGCAAGTTAAGTAGGAAAGCTTGTCCCCGGTTACGTTGAGAGAATAACGAGCGATTCCTTATTTATTGAAAATTGAACTTGTCCCGACATTTCCGCACTTGAAAAGTGACAACTTTTTTCATGTAGGGAAGAAAAAAGAGTACAACAGTCTCTTTGATGGCCAGGTTGGCATTTGTGTAGTGAATGTGCATGCATACCGGTCAATACATTGCATATTGTTTTTGACACGTTGTTACCTAACTCGAGTAATATAACGGCTTTGTTGATGGGTTATCCGGGACGGAATATATATTTAGTAGAAAAGTGGTTTTGGTCGTATATTGAAACGTGGTGGTTGGTTACAGTACATACAATGAATGAAATTGTATTTTGTGTAGTAAGTAGTAAATTAAGGAAACTCTAATAAACTTTTGGCAATGTGTTGTTAACAGCAGATGGGAAAGATGGGAGGGTCTCCGCTGGCAGGTCTCGCAGCCCTTGGACTTGGTGGGATTGGCGGTCCAAATACAGGTCCTGTGAACCCCGCAGGTTGGTTTGTCTCTGCAATATTTCTTCTTCTTCTTCTTCTGCTCCCACTACTACAATTTTGTCCATGGCGAGACGAAAGTTTAGCCGACAGCTCTCTCTCCCTCTCCCCATCACCGACGACACAACGAGAACGAAGATAAGATTGAAATTCGCCACGTTTCGGCAGTATTATTAGTCCCATATAATTCCTGCATCCACAATAATAATGATATCCTCCTTCTGTTGTCTGTGTCTCATTTACTGCCGGCAAAAAAGCTACGAGTAAAAAACAGCACTCAAACCTTATTTACGGTTTACATATTTGATGTCCCGTTACACATGGTAAAAAATATTTTTACGACCATCCATCCATCCTCCAGTTTTACCAATTTCAAGATAGAAGAATCCTAGTTTTTTACGCTATATAGTTTACGATGCCTTGCAAAAATAAAAATTCGCGTGATATTTAAAATATGTTGCGTCCATGGGTAGGAGGAAGGCGAGGTTAATTTGATGGTCTAGGTTGAGTAAGGATGCAGATTACGTACCTAAGGAGGGGAGCTTGCGAGGTTGATAATAACAGATATTGGTGCCCTTTGGATATGTGGTAGGGACCCATGAGTGTACTAAAACCCTGAAGTAGTTTGACTCCATGGCCACATTTGCGCCCGCCACACCCACTCAAAAATGTCCAAAAAACGCTTTTACCCCAGTTTTCACTCACTCAAATCCACGCCAAAAATCCAATTTTACTCGGATTTTGAAATTTCTTTCACCATTATACTCCCAGATAGTTGCTTTCTTCAATCCAATATCAAACTCAATTTTTTCGAAATTTTTAGTATTTTTAAAATTTAAAATTCTGAATGAGCATTGTTGTAGTCATCAACAAAACAAATTATGTTTGCGAAATAATCATCAATAAAATTGAGTTTGATATTGGATTGAAGAAAGCAACTATCGGGGAGTATATTGGTGAAAGAAATTTCAAAATCCGAGTAAAATTGGATTTCTGGCGTGGATTTGAGTGAGTGAAAACTGGAGTGAAAGCGTTTTTTGGGCATTTTTGAGTGGGTGTGGCGGGCGCAAATGTGGCCATGGAGTCAAACTACTTCAGGGTTTTAGTACACTCATGGGTCCCTACCACATATCCAAAGGGCACCAAGATCTGTTATTATCAACCTCGCAAGCTCCCCTCCTAAGTCTGTGGCTGAAAAGAGTGCATTGTGTGTGTGTGCAGGGTAAAAGCGTCACTAAAGTGTTTTTGTGTACCACAGAAGAGTGAGTTTAATTTATACCCACACAGTTCAGAGTTTATGGTCACAAGGATAAATTTAGTGTGGAGGACTGATCACTGCAATAAAATATAAATCCTAGAAGGTTGTAAGGATGTCATCATAAATAAAGACGTACACAGTACAGTTGCCTAACCAGCAATAAGCAAGCTGTGTCGAATCGTGAATAAAAATGTCAAATGTGAAAATGTAAAATAAAATGGGGAGAAAAAATTCAATAACAAAATGTGCTATTTGTTGTTCCCCTCCTGCTGGTGCTGTAGTAGTATTGGCTGCATTTCGCAGAGTTGAGCTGTTGACAGGTAGCAATAAAGTGTAGTTTTGTGTTGTAAAATCGATAAGTAAATAGATTATTGTCTTGACCTAAAAGAGACGCTGAAGGAAGATGGTTATGCCAAAATGTTCCACTAACTGCGAAGTTTATGTATACTTTGTCAGGAGGGAGAAGGTTGCAGATAGGAATGCATAATCGATACTAAATAATAATAATAATAATAAAATAGCTACTACTACCTCCCTGATTGTGTGGTTTGTGTATATCTCTAGAGTTGTACACATAAATGTCAGATACATAAGTTAAACTAGGTTCGTTTCGTTTCGTTGTTGTTGTTGGTGGCGGGGGTGATGGGTCGCATTGTGTTGTCGGCGTCTCTTTTGTGCGTACTTCAAGAGATCCCATTTCAGATTTAGATATTCTTCCTCCAAATAAAGTTTTTGAAAACGATTTCATTCAAAAGACGGGAGGAATAAGAGGAGGTTGGTTGGTATTTGGTGAAGAAATATTGTGGAAGCATACTGAAAATGAGACTCTATTCACCTTCTCCTCTCCTTCCAATTTAAACCAAAAATTCAGATATGTACCTCTCCTCGACACACAAAAAGTATGTATGTAGCTAACGATACAACTTGTATAATTGCAGCCCCTTTAGCTGCGTTAGCAGCCATTGCAGGGAGTCAACTTCGCACCGGAAATAACAGACAGCAACAGAATCAACAGACGAATCACGTCCAGCAAGAGATGACGGTTCCAAATGAGCTCATCGGTTGTGTGATTGGGAAAGGAGGCACTAAAATAGCAGAAATTCGGTAAGACATCATTTCATTCGTTAATAGTAAACGAATCGTTAATTTGAATGGGGAAAGGACGACGATGTGCGGTGGCAGATGAAATTAAATAAATAAATGAATGAGCCCACATGATATTGCAATGTTTATTTTGTGGAGAAAGCAGTAGAAGACGAAGAGTGACTGACTGACTGCTATATTACTTTTCGTTTCAATCTTTTGTCTTGTCTGCGACCAGACGCAGCAAAGCAACCACGAGACCAGGTAATCGATGGCGTGGATGGGAAGACATGCAATTCATCCATCCATCCATCGGCTGATGCTGGTGGTGCTGCTGCCTCCTTCCCGTCGTCCTTTCCCATTACTCGGCTGTCAAAGTTTTCTTTTTTACCTCTCCGACCGATCTGAGCCTTTATTTAAAAGTTGCACAAGACGACGATTCAGTTAAATGCGAGTATCAGTGTAGCTCTGTTACAACATTTTGTATCTCAATCTCGTGTGAAGAGGGAGACATGAAATTTTGATTTACTTAATGGTTTTTTTTCTAAAATTGGTGTAAAATTGTCAAATTGTAGGCAAATTAGCGGTGCCATGATTCGTATCAGCAACTCTGAAGAACTGCGGGAGGGATGTTCTGATCGTGTGATCACAATTACCGGCAATCCAGACAGCGTTGCTTTGGCTCAATATTTAATCAACATGAGGTACGTGATTTCTCTGCATGATAATAATGCGATAATAAATATGTATGTTGCTCGTCTTATGGAGAAGAGACCGTATTTTTACTATAACGAAATAGTTGATCCACAATTGAGTGAAAGTTTTGTGATTAAAGGATAAATATGTAGCTGTTAATGTTAATTTATCTATTTCAATGGGCAAACTTTCGTCATTGTCGCGGTTTGATTGTTGTGATAAACAATTATTTTGTGCAAGCCGTAATTTTTTATGGTTTAATTATTTTTATGCTTTGCCTCCCTATATCTAAACACAACTTAACAGAAGCACCATGAATAACGCACAAATATTTCCTTCCTTTTAATGACCAGGAAATTGCAGTTTTTCCACTTATTTTCTTTTATTATGGATGGAATTATGCTTATAATTTGCATCGCGTGCTGTCCACACATTCATCGTTCCGTTTAGTACACAGTTTTAACTCGTTGTTGTTGGTGTGATTTTGATGGTGGCAGCGGCGGAATATGGTAGTAAATAGCTGGAGAAAGGCGGTGTGTGAACATGAACAATTATTGGGTAATCACTGTTATCGTGAGTACATGTTTGCTTGCATGCCTTTCTTTCTGTGTTTTTGTGTCGAATTTCCTCTTCTTATTTACTATGTACCATTACTCCGCCTTGGTAATATTAGCATTGGTAATAACATAATGGCGACGGGCTATTTGCTGGTAGTTACCTGATTTCAATTTCTTTCTTTGCTCAACAAGGTGTTATCAACTGGTAGTTGCATGTTGCACGACGCTTTTTTAGCATATGGTTCTCATTTCTTTGTTTTTACTGCTAAATTATTTATGATTTCTGATGTATGGAATATTCAATTTTATAAAAGTAATGACATCGTTTACATACATACAATATTTATAAAAGTAAAAAATCAATCCAACTTAAACAGTGTGGAACTGCAAAAAGCAAACTTGGATGCGCAAAGCAAAGGGGAGGGAGGGACATCCTCAAATGGCTCAGGTGGTCTTGGGGGCAACAGTTCCTCGAACAATTCCAATAATTCTGGAAACTTGCCCCCACTTGCAAAATTACTTTCCAACCCGTTATTCTCCTCGCTGAGTGCGTTGGGGAGTTTGGGCAGTTTGAGTGAGCTGCTCTCCTCCGCGGCGAATCTGCCGGGTATGGGAGGCAGTGGTGGGGGTGGGGGTGGTGGTGGCGGAGGGCATGGAAGTGGGGGCCACCACCCCGTCCAAACCACCGGGGTTCATCGCCGCTCCCACAACAACTCCTTCCAACCCAAGATTAAGTCTGCAAACTCTCCTCCACCCAAATCCAAAAGTGACCGGAACAAGTTCGCCCCTTACTAACCAACCAAACATCTTACATCACTGAACCAAATCCAACCATCCTTTTCTCTTATGTCATGACCTCGACCTCCTATATCTTGTCTGTAACAACTCTTGTGTATTGAGATTTATTATTTAAGTAGACGAAGAGTATAATGTAGTCTCGGAAGATTGATGACTTATATATTTACATACGTATATAAATTTATATCATTATTTTAGGGGAATTTTAAGAGAATTTATAATTCTGTGTGTCTCTTTACTTTGCCATTTTTGTTAGCTTCAGTTCAAATGTACATACACAATTTAGTTTTTTTGGTGGGAACTGTGACAAATATAATGATGATGACCATGTAGTCCCAGGTAAAACGAGGATAACATTCATTTTTACGTGTTTTGATTTGACCACGTAGCTAAATTGGTGTAAATTCAAAAGTCATGTATTCATTTTAAGTACGAGACACTTACATGCGTAGATAAATACAAATAGATACATACATAAATAGATAGTTATTTGTTGTAAGGTAACAATATTCCAATGCTGATTGTGGTATCGTGTCGTGACGTGTGTAGAACAGAACTATTCTGTACGTGATGGTTTACGGTAAATGAGTAGGTGTAGGCGTCCCTAGGATTTGTTATATATTGATGTTTCGATTTGAGAAAGTTGATCAGGACGAGTAGTAGAAGTTGTGAGGCGTTAGATCAATAATGACCTAATGAAAACCAAAGTTTCAGTATTTACTGGTATATAAATAGTAGTGTTTATTATTAAATTTGTTAGCTAGTTAGTTGTTTGGATAGAAAATCTATCTATGGATTGCGTACTACTTACGTAGTGAACTAATATCAGAATTTAGTAAAAGTGCATGCCATACTTGTCACTATAAAATAGATTAGAAAGCAAGCAGACTACATACTTAATACAGCAACATTGCACATCCAACGCATCTCCCTGGATTAAAATTTCCTAGATAGATAAATATTAGTGTTACCCCGATTAACTAACCACCTTCACTCTGTCCTATTGTAAAATATGTCCTAAAATTGTATCCATTAAAATAAATGAATATCCTAAAATGTCAACCACCTTTTTGCCTTTCTCTTTTTCATCTCTCCAATTAATCCAGCCGTTCCAACCAAGACCCATCCATCCATCGATCCAGAATTCCAATAAGTTTCTCATCAATCTGTCTCTCTTATTCTCCATCTATCCATTCACCGTCCAGCCCGGTGTCATCTTATTATTGTCCTACCAACAAATTCCAAGATTGATCATTTCATTAAACTTTTCTCCACAAGCAGAATCCTCAATCCGCCCACGTGCTCACTCTCAACACATAATACGGACCAAACCTTATCCTCTGTCCCACCACTACTACCGATATACTGGTGAAAGTAGATATATTTAATATCAAGTTTAATTACCTACGCACATTTCCTTCCCGACTTGAATCGAAAGCAATTTACTTTCCCTTTTAGAAAAAAATACGGATTTTGTCCTCCATTTTTAACCGACGATCCCAGCCAAATCACAATTTCCACTCGGTGGAATATAACAAAAATTCCCAAATGTCATGTCCTCCTCAAATCCACTTTCTGGCAAGGTAAGTTTTGTCCCACATCCTACGTCATCCCGACGACAACTATCACTTTCCCATTTCATGACATACACTATTAAAACCTTCTCGACCAGATTGCATACCCTTATTTTCATTGCATCACCGACCAACCAATCACCTCTCTCAAACTACTGGATCATCATCAACCCAATGATGACTAACCTTCCTCAATCCAACTCCAAATGTCATCCAACCTACACCAACCACTCTATCTCCAAAAATCTCCAATCTTCTACTCACACCCACGCTCACGACCTCTCCTCCACGACATTCAAACAGGTAAACGATGATTCTCCAAAAATTGGTGAAATATCAATCCCACATAAATCCCATCTTTTGATTAACCGTTTTTAAAAGTCGTCATCTTCTTTTCCACTCTAAAATCCAATCTGGTCATTTTCCCATCATTTCATATCATGATTTCCATCCATCTATCCACCTGGACCATCTCAGTCTCTGCCCTTGTTCGGAAATCCAAGTCAAAAAGTTGTTCCTTCCTCTGAAAGTAAGACTGTGAGTGAATCCTCCTTATCGCTAAATCCCCGGAACCTACGTGCCCGTTCTTTTTTTTTCTTTCTTTCTACCCGTACCACCACCACCACCACCTTACTCTTTCCACTACTTACTTTATCCTGTTGAAGCTCCAAACTCTGGAAAATTCTCCAGGGCATTGATTTTTTATGAGGAAACTCTTACTCCCAGTCGCCCCACTGGTACATGCTAAAAAACGAAACCCGTCGTCTTGCACCAGGCCAGATAAGACCCTTAACTCTTTGCCTTGATATATTATGTATAAAACCGAGCAGAAATGACGACTAAATCTGTCCCTATAATGCGCTATGACCATTATACTAATAAATTATTCACCTCCGTCCGACTCATCGTCATGTAAAAAAAAACTTGGACAAACTTTCCGTCAATTGTCATCAATAGGTAACCAACAATTTCATTCAATTATGATTATGCATCATTCTCACCCCGTAATAAATTAAGAAACTGATAGTAAAAAATCCATCCTGGATAAATTTAAATACGAAATGTAGAGAAAGTGAGACGAAAAAAATGGCAGCACAGACAGACCCACATAGTCAGTCGCCTGTTGAGATGATAAGTCGCGACGTAAGACGGTGTCACAATCGAAATGCAAAAAGTCACATTCAACACTGGGCTTAAGTGGTGAGGTAAAATGCGTCTCGCCTATGAAACCTGACATTTTTTACTCAGGAGTGATATGAAATTTATTAAATATGTAAAGAGTAAAAGTTGTAACTTTGTTTTCATTTCCATCCGACTCTACGGAGGACGAAGGGAAAGTAAGTTTGCTCTCGGAGAGAGTTTTGTCATTTATATTTGTGAGTTTTGAATCTTAAAGAGAGCTGAGTGAGTTAATCCATCATCTTCTTTCTCTCCGTCCTCCTCGTGGGTCGGGTTGGCTTAATATTTCGGAGAAAGTGGGGAGAAATGTAAAACATATTTAGTCTAATGATACTCTACCACGTATAGCTTTTTGTGTCGGATAGAAGACCAGAGAAAGTTCACGGGTGAGATTAATAGTTTATTTAAACGGAACTAACTGACTAAATAACTTTCAGAATGAAATTAATTGACAAGACAAATACTTTTACCGAACGGTTCCTACTCCTTTCGAGTCTCTGCTATAAATTGGGAGAAGGTCTCTCTCTTTAGGCAAACTTTTTACTCATTTACGTCATTTTAGGAAACGTAGTAGTAGCAAAAGGGCCCATGTACAGGCTTGAAAGTTAGTTTCTTCACATCTGTGACACTTGATGATGGTATTCATTTCGAAATGAATGACTTGACTAACGAACATCTTTTTCCCAATGTTCTCTCTCCGTCCCTATGAAATAATTTACTATTGGCGTCATCTCTCTCGAAGGTTGGGAAAGATCAACAGTAAACTTTTTTCGAACCGTTTTTCAAATTACATTTCGTAATTGCGATGAGTGATGAAATTCAGAGAGGGAGTTGATACCTGTATTATGGTGGTTTGGTTGGTAAGATGAGGGTCGCAAACACCCATTAGATCTGAAAAAGTCAAACATTGACAATCAGTACGTAGGAGAAAAAAAGCTTGATTGCTTGGGAGAAAAGTTGGGTTAGAATTTGAATTGTAAAAAAAGTAGTAGAAATTGACATTTTCCTTGGGAAAGTAAAACCAAACCCACAAGAACCCAATCAATCCATCGGTCGCGCGCGGTGTGGTTCGTTTCGTCATCCAGTAAGTAGCTGCGGTCCAACTAATTAATTTGTCTTTCTTTTCCAAGAAAAGTCAAACATACAAAAGTTGAACTGCTCAAAACTTTCCATCATCTTTGCAGAATTGAGTTTGCCAAGAATGAAATTGATTTCCAAATTGAGGTTTTACTTAAATTAAGTTCAAGTGTTTTGCATTCTGTGGAAGAGAAAGTTTGTCCAAGTTGGTTGGTCGGTGTGGTGGAATATTTATTAAAGTGGTGAGGCCACCACATGAAAAAAAAATGATGACGGATTAATAAAATTTTGCATAGGGTGAGTTTCCCATTTGCGAAATCCAATCCAAATCTGTTTGCAGTTCCACAGAAAAAGAAACCATCGCAAAAATTAGTACATATATTTTTTTACCACCTCCGTTTCTTTCTCTCTTACAATTTTGTTTTCTTTCCTTTCCCCCAAACTCTCAGGTTAGCAATGGAGACTGCCACCCTGGCTGGGGGAGGATTAATCGGGTTTCCCGCCGCGGCGCCCGTTTCAGGTCCATCACCTGGATTTTACATCACCGCGCCAAGCCCCATTCTCCGCGCGCCGATCCACTAACTAGCGCCGCCTCCACCGCCGCCCACTTTTCTACCGTATCACCATCATCTTCAACACCATCTTGTCAATCACAACTACCACCACGGTCAACTTCCCCCTCATTCTAATCATCATCAACACCCGTACCATCATTTTTCATCCGCACTATGACCTTCGTCCCTTTTAATAAGGAGGGAGCCATGCTGGTCCGGTCTGGAGGTGGAGTCTCAAGTTTTAAATAATTTCTTACCTAATTTAAATACTTACTTCTTAGCGTAAAACTATATACGTTCGTCAACTATCTACTTTAACTTATAGTCAGTTTATCTACATCTCAAGAAGAAGAAGAAGAAAAAGAATGTGTAATGCCGCAATAACTGACCTTTTACTGATCGAGATCGAGACTACGACCTCAACCCTACACGTAATTATGTAGGGATTGCTTTGCTGCATAATTAATTTTACGATAGAGTTTTCTCCATAGTTTTGTGTATATACGAGGCAGGACTGGAGGAGGCATAGATGACTAAATATCTAAGAATATTTATTACTTTCTGGACGACAAATATTTTTTATTTGCCCATTTTAAAAAGACGCGACAAAAGACATTACTTAATTCTGTTTAAGAGTGGTAATTATCTAATATCTTGTTTTAATTCTTCATACCGTATTATTTTACTACTACGTAAAATTGACTGTTGTTGTGTGTAGTAGCGTGGCGATTGGAATTTGGATGCTTGGGTTTGACAATCAATCGTTTCTTTGAGCAGGAGATAAAAGGCCAAGGAGAAAAAAATGTCAAGTAATTTATTTTCGAATCTCAAGTCAGTTTCATAAAACAAAAATTCGTCATTGCATTGTGGTTTAGAGATAAAAAATATATGGGGGAGGGTGGTGTGTCATTCTAGTCGGTTGGGGGACATGATATAGAAAAAAAATTATTATCTCTCTGAATTTGAACTATTCAAATATTTTAAAATATGTTTAAAACGTTTCAAAATTAGGGAAGAAATATGTAAATTGATTATCTCACGGCCTCAGCTACTTTTTAGATCTGGCCTTTCTTACATATTTAGCAACTCGTAGAGAGAGAAATGTATGCATTTTTAGCCTAATTTTTAGATAATCTACATTATACAGTATGGCCTGATTTAGTTTTAGAAACATCAGATTTTAATAAATGTTAGGATAGAAATTACATAATTACCGCCGGGATAAGGTGGCAATATGTATTTACATGTACGTAGTTCTTTATAAAGGAGACGCTACTACTAAATACTACGTAGATACATACATACATAAACGAATTTTTAAGTTGTGACACATTTCATCAAGTATTTTACTGTGACATAAATACATAAAATGCGGAATAATTTATTTAGAAAAAAACAAGCCAAATTTTGAATTGATATCTCGTCATACTCTCGTCAATCTCAAGTTTTAAACTCAACTCTCTGGACTCAAATTGAAGTATTATACAAATACGCTACGCAAGATAAGGGAGGAGGTGTCATTGTCACTTGTTATATTTTATTCAAGAGTAATTTATACTAGTCAATTTCATAGTCTCAGTTTTACACGGAGTAGAAAAAAAAATATGTAAATCTGCCACTGAAATTATTGCCACTGAAATGTATTCCATCGAACTACGCAAGATTTTAAGGGGGCGGATGATAAAGTAAAAAGTATTAAAAAATGATGAATCGGTCGTGCCAAAAAACTTGGATAACAAAAAATAAATAATATTCTTTTGATGATCAGATCACTGACAGGTTGTTGATACATACATACAATTAATACTGAGGAGGAGGAAAAAAAGAAGCGAAGAAGAGGAAAAATTGTCTTTTTAATATTTTCTCAGAATAAATAATAAATAAATATCGTAAATATTGTAAAATAAGAGTATGCAAGCGTAAAATTACTAAAAGTAGCTGTCTACATAAAATGGGGGCAGGATGATTTTAATAGGAAAAAAATGAATTGTGTATCGGTGCGAAGTTGTTAGAAAAAAATGAGGAAGAACTGCACCGGACTGTGATAGAAGTACATATAAATTTCAATGTAAGTTAACAAAAAAACTTGGCAGAATTTGTTCATTGTGGTTACACCACTACAATTCTTTTTATTTCATTTATCTACTAGACAAAATTTCAAAATTTCTCATTTTTTCAAAATATTCATAATAACAGAATAGATAAATAGTTTACTAGAAAAAACTTTCATACGATTTGTTCTTGAGGTTTAATAATTAAGTATTTACCGTTTTCATTTCTTATTACTCAATATACAAATACTGGAAGGATAATGAGGGTCTAAACGCTAGTGAGTATATAAATAAATTATGTATGCTAACAGTAAAAATATTTAATATTAATTGCAACTAACTCGAATTTTGGACTGTCTCTATTAAACACTACTCGGTAAACATTTTTGGATAAACGATCTCAATAGGCGTGTGAGATTCAGAACTTTAACATTACATAATTGTCCATCTCGTAATTATTCAAGTACGAGATAAAGCGTGAAACTGGTAGTAATTTTTGGTCATATTTAGGTTTTCTATGAATCATTAGTGATACCGAATACATGAAAAATACATAAGTCATACATAATTTTACCGTTTTCAATTATCTACTTAATTAATCACTCATCATTTTGTGTTTTATTAATGACTGAAGAGGTGCTGTTGGCTTTACTTGATACTAGTTTGCTACTTACATATTGATAACACGCGATTATTATTCATTTATCATTATCATTCTTGCAATTCTATCACTACGTCACTTTGTGTCGTAGAGATAAAATTCGATTAAAATGGTAGCTTTATAAAAGACACGAGATTCACTGGCAGGCAGCAGCAATCATTCTTATAATTGTTGACGTAATGCAAGTCTTTATTGTCTAAAATTGTATATAATCAATCAACCACGATCTAAATTTTATGACCACAGCCACACCACACACCAGACACACTGAGGATTTTAGTTGTTGGATGTGGTGAAGGTAAGGGTGCTGCTTTTTATCATACTTAATTAAATACTTAACTTGTTAGTGAATATGCAAGGTATCCTACTTCATAGCTTGTAGAAAATCAAGAGAGAATATCAACATATCGGACAAATGCCTTATGAAATCAACAAGGGTTGGATTATTTTCACTTTGTTTCGTTCCTTGATTACTAACAAAATTGAGATTTTAATTCATATATATTGTTGAATCAATCAATTAATCAAGCAACAAATCAATCTTTTTATTTGGGCTGAGTTATTATTATATTTACTAAAACGAGCTTATAATTCTGAGATTCCATACATACATTTTTATCTAAACGTTTCGTTCCCACCCTGAAATTAATATTGAGAACAATATGATTTTATAAATATGTGCATATTTCATGTTTTTTTTGGTTTTGAAAAAGATTGTCAATTTATTATTCGTTCCAATACCATACAAAACTACTTAATTGTTCAAACGAGTCAAATCAAGAAGTAACATCATTCAATTCAATTCAATCGCTCCGATAATCATTAGGAACTAACTTTACTGTGGAAGTAAGCAATTACGTAAAATATGGGACAAATTGTGTATATGTATGTATTTCATGTCTGCTGGATTGGATGTATCAATTCCTACATCGATAACCTACATATGGATAAAACTAAGCAACTAGATTTTCTCTTTGTTTCAATTTGTAAAATGTGTAAATTTGTAAAATGATAGCAAAAAACTACGCCAGAGAAAGTTCAGAGGACATGAAAAACTGCGACAGTCGCTCTCTATAAGAAAGTCCTATTCAATTTTTAGTCAGAAAGTCCAACAGGATAAAATGATAAGCCATTAAATTATTATTACGACGACGGTTGTGAGTGAAAGTTTTAGTAAATGTATAACGTACATAACTCCATAAATAAATAGATAGCGGTACATACATACATAGCTAACTTATTTTTAGGTTATCAAAAGTGATGAAATATCTAACTCGGTGTTTATTACGAATAAACAAAACAGGTGAAAGAAGTGATTATTATAAAAATATGAGAAAAGTAATACTGACGAGACCGAGGGGCAATATAGAACGGATAATGGACAGTACTTACATAGATAGAAGTAGGATAAGTAAGTAAGTTGATAAGCCACAAAAAAGTTGACAAGCTAAATATACAGAGAACTATTCAACAATTGATTGTTCTCTTGGCTGCATTTGTAAATAAAAACCGTAAATTTACACACAATCTACTTTAGCATAGATATAGGAACACTTTGTTAATTTGTAAAAATTAATTGCTCGTGATGTAACAATTAAGTATGTAATTAATTAAATCGATATCATCATCATAATTAATTATTTACGAGGTGAGGCGAACATATTCGAAGAAGAACGGGCAGAGGGAGAGATAAGCTACACACATATTAAATTCATAGGTCGGATAGTACAATTTATATTGCTACCACCAAACCAACAAAAAACCATCATTATTATGATCGAATCATAAAATTATACAATCGTAAAAATATAATAATCATCAACTAATTAAGCTTATTAATTAATAATTGTTATCCATTATTCAATTAGTTGTTACACAATCATATTAATATTTATTATGTAAATTACTTGAATTTATTATTATGTATTATCATTATACGATTACTTAAATAAGAGGAGAACGATGATGATGATGACCTACTTTTAACTATGATAATGTTATACAATATACTACACAATTGTGCAATGTGAAATGTACGAATAAAAAAATTATAAAAAAATAAAAGTCAAAATTTTGATTTTTACATACTCCATTTTTATACAGAAGTTGATGATGGCGATGACGACGCTACTTCTTCAACGGGCTTGTGTTCCTGGGAATTTTGCAAATTGGCTTTCGACTTATTCGGCGTCAGAGCGGGGGCGTCCACCCAGTAAAGCTTGTAACTTTTTAAGATTGATGCCCTGTACATAAGGAGAAAATATTTATTACACAATTTTCCTCCCATTCAGTAATCGAAGCCCAGAGTGGGACAAATATGTCAATAATCTTCATTTATTATATAACAACGCAGTGTATGACTGAGCTTAAAGGATTTACGTTCTCGGTTGGAATTTAGGTTGGCAGCTTTGTCTGCCTCCTGCCTCCTCTTTCGTGGTGACCGAGAAATCCTCATAGTAATTTAGGGAGAAAGTTCCCTTTGAAGTCGAAGGAGAAGTATGCGAGTGAGCGAGTGAGTAAGTGAAAGTCTAATGATAATCTCTGAGCAAGATTTACACTGAAGAAGAAGAAGAACATACGTAATTGTCATTTGATAAAATATCTAACATCCCCCACACGATATGTTTTCACACAAATTAGAGTCGCACCGGCAGGGTTCGGCAGAGTGAAGAATTTGCAAAGTTTGCAATTTTAAAAAAAATTTCAACAATTCAAAGTATAAATTCCTGTTTTAGTAGAGATCCATATTTGCACTGATCAGACAAAAGTACGAATTTATGCATATTATTAACTTCGAAATGCACACATCATCTCGTCTCTAAAATAAATAAGCCGAAGCGCCTTGAAGTAAGTAAACCCTGTTCCTTCTTAAAGCCTAAAATCCTTTGAATCAAGATTGAAAAGGAGAGACTTGTTACTCGATAGTTTATTTATGGCGAGGTGCTCTTCCATCACGAACTAAATCCTTTCCACCTTTTCGATATGAAAACATCCCCGTCAAAGTGCACGTATTTAGTAGTGACAGGAAATAAGTGTAAACTAAACGGGGTCTAAATGTCCTCAGAGAAGAAGGAGGAGAAGATTCTTTAAAATCCTGCATGAGTGAATGACAGGGCGAGATTAGATTAATTTTCATCCCAACCAACCCAAACTTTCCTCCCAAGTTTAAGATTTCCTACAGAGTTGCATCCTAAAGTCACTTTGTCTCCATTTCCGACATGTTTTCCGTAGTCTGGAACAATTGGAAATTTTTGTGTAGGGTAAAAGCAGCACAAAATTTGATGATGTTTTCCTAACAAAATATTTAGTACGCTTCCTGATTATTGTTGATCCTTTCAAATTAAAGTGTGCAAAAAATAATCCCCCCGAAATTTACGAGTTCGCTGTCCTTGTATGCATTATATAAAAGTACTAAATTACCTACGTTTGTAGTACGAGACGCATCCTAAGCCCAGCTTAGCGAAGTGAATCGTCCCAGTTTTAAATGTTATGTTTGTCTTTTTTTTACTTTCCCTGAGTAAAAGTTTTTCCGGAAATGATAATCCATCCGTAATGAGGAAGGGATTTAAGACAAATCTCTTCAAATTAGGGATATTAAAGGGAAGACTGAGAGAATGAAATTAGATGCAGAAGGAGGACAACTGATTTTAATAATAATAAGTCTCCTCCTCCTCGCCAACTTATGTTCATTGAATAAGAACAGACTACTACGAGGCAGGCAGAATAAGTACTTGGACCCATTAAGGACGATATGCTTACCATATCCACTAGTAGAATAATAGCACGGACTTCCCACACCATCCTAACTGGATGAGAAGACCTCATTAAAATGCGAATCAACTTGCCAATTATTCCCGTATTTTCATTTGAATAATTGCACCTCCACCTGCATACTAATAGCCGTAAATTGCTTTCACTCGTTGTACAGCCAGGGTTGTTTTCCTTGCCGCTTTCTCTCTATTTTTCTGACCCGATTATACCAAAATATGTACGTTTCATTATTCTACTGTGCATTTCCTCTTCCTCCGTGTCATAAATTTCGGCCAGGATCTTTCTCCCCATTCCAAATATATAGTACATAAATGTATAAATAATATATACTACTGCTTATAATATATGTATAAAAAACAGTGTCGGCTTTCTCCCAATTTTTATGGGATTATTAATTCTCTCTTTATGAACACAATAGTTCTGGTCACTGTGTTTTTGATGGGGTTTTTATTTTCTCATTTATTTTTTACATTTCGTCAAGAATTGGACCTCGTTTTTTTGAGAATGAGGATTAGTCGTTGCTGGTCTCTGTCTCTCTGGAAGGAATTTATTTAGTAGGAGATGGTCGTCCTCCTCTAAGTGTGGGAGAGATGGGAATGGCTTTATTTTTATGGAGTTGATGAGAGCCACTTACTACAATTTTTCTCCCTTTAGTTCATTATATTACTGGAGAAAGTGGAAGTGGAGGGAGCCTAGAGAAGGACATTAATAAAGCAGCTTTGGATTTGTGGTCCATCTCATTCATTACTCTGTAGGAGTCGAGACAAGCAAGCAACGCCACGATCAAACAGCTACATGGTAAAGATAGAGATAGTGTTGGAGGAGAAAGTTGGTTGGTGGTGATTTTCCCAGCATAAGAAGAAGAAGAAGAGGGTGACAAAGTACTAAAAGCCTATGTCCTCCTGTCTCACAAATCCTGTCTTACGGCTCCAATCTTTTCTATGCTCACTATTTCCTCTCCTCTCTTCTGCTGCTCACTTGACTGAGTGATTGTCACAAATGGAAAAAGTTTCCAATCTAGAATTCCAAATTTCAATTTTGCATCCCAAGACGGAAAAAAAAGACAAGAAAGTACTCGAAGAGATTGCACGCCCACAAAGTCGGTACGAATGTATGTACTTTTGTACAGATTGATGACTGATTAGAAAGTTAGAAGAGGAGGAAAAAACGACTCAAAATTTCATTCCAAACGGACATGTCATACGTTTTAGACCTGTTACGTACGTGACATAATGGAAGTTAGCCGATTAAAAAGAAATTAAAGAAAATGGATTAAAGTCTGTGTGATAAGTTGGCAGTTTTCGCTCAGAGGGGAAGAAAGCCGACGGAGGACCCCTGCGAATTCTGCTTTTCACTCCAAATCCAAGTACATACATTTTCTCTCAGAAAAAGAAGAAGAAACTCGTCACACATTATTATTACTACAAGGACAACGAGGAACCCTTACTGCGAGGCACGAATACAACTTTGACGTCCTGCTTTTTCTTTTATAATTTCTCACAATACTACTTCAGTCTCTGTCTGCAAACGGACGGACAAAGCTGGCAAAACCACTTTAATAAGTGAAAGATTATGACAAAATTGCTGTCGCACTGTGCTGTGTGTCTGGTTACTCAATTAAATTAAAACGCATACATACATTTCCCATCAAATGGGATCGTTTCGTGAAAGTTTCTAGCAAAACTGAGGCTCCACAAATAAATCGATTCCCCTCGTCGGACAACTTATACGCTCATCTTAATAAATGAAGCCGCTTGGCTCAAGTAATTTCCTTCATTCAGCAATTTCCTTCATTACATGATGCGAAAGAAGAGAGGAGCCAGTCAGCTAAAACAAAATGACTTTCACCTTAATCATCATCTCATCTCGAGACGAGACGAGTCTGACTGAAGAACAAAACTAATTGTGTGCGATTGACGAGACGACCATCGTAAAGCAAATGATGTCGGATTGATTCCTCTTGAGAGAAACCACTTTTAATACGAATATCTCTCTCTTCCAAGGACGGGAAGAAGAAGGCAAGAAGGCAAGGACAAATACGTATTAAAATTGTTGAGCCACGACGTCAACCGGCCGACGGGTTGAAGGAACCCGCATGGACAGGACGAAACTCGGAGAAAGTTTTATGCATGAGAGGGAAAGTTGGTGGTGGTGGTGGTGGTGGTGAAAGTTACTCACAGGAATCGGACGGTACCGGTGGCGTTCTCTGGGGGGTGCCAGACCAGGGTGAGCTCCTCTTTCTCCTGTAACGTGACCATCATCGGTGTTATGTAATATATAATAAGCATATTGGATATTTGACTTTATGTTAATTTACCAAGTTATCGTGATGTGTGGTTGCGGCACATTCGGGATGACTGACGGAAAAATCTGTGGGCTCGAACTTGCCGACCCAACGACCACGTTCATCACTTGCTTGGACGAAGAATCCTCGAAAATACTTTCCCCACTTGCCCTCGATCCGAACTGGAATTAAAGCAATAGAAATACAACTTTATTTTTGTGAAGGATTGAAATAGGATAAAATGCGATTCGTATAAATGCATAATTTATAAGATGGAAAGATATGTAAAGACAGGAAGAATGAAAAGAATATGTAATTATTACATATCTTTTTTAAACGTACTATTTCCATTTGAAGGATATTTCATAGTTTGTAAAGTAACCGATTTGATCGAATTCGAGAATGACGAAAAAAATACATTAAAAAGTTGGAAAATTAATCGTATAAAATTCGCTAATCAAAATGTATATAGATAAGTATTACATATTTATTACTTCTAAAAACCACTCTATCTTTTCATATGCAAAAGCATGTACATAACTTCTATGCAAGAATTACTTGTCACAACATAAAAATTTAAGTAAAATTATCTTCAGTATTTGAATTTATCTATGTCTCACCTGCAACGGTATCTCCAGGTTTGTACGTCGACGAGCTGGCCGTTATGGTAAATGGCATTTGGCTCATCGGCTGAGCCTTTCCTCCGTGATTTGGTTTATGACGAACACAAGCTTCTCCAGGGGCTCCATCCGGAAAAGAATGTGCTAAAAGGACACACCCAACCACCAACAAAGACACAACCTCCCCCACCAAATTCAACCGAAGCGACATTCTGAATTGTGTAAAATTCTTTAAATTTCAAAATTTCCAATAAAACAAGATGATAAACGACCGAGCTGATTGATATGATGATCACAGCAACACCTCTGCGAGAAGAATAGTGTCGTCGTCACCTGAAAGTGTGGTTCACATCTCTATCTGCGCTGGTCACGCTAAATTACAGATTCGAATCGGTTAAGCCTCACCGGTTACTACATTTTTATTTTCGTTTTCATTCACGAGTGAAGCTATATTCAACTGGCTGGTATCACTTGAAGGAAAAAATGACCCAATTTTATGTAAAATCCATGCAAACTTTGGCAAATTGATTTTACTGAAATACAGGAACTCTCAACTGTGTGACAAGTTGAGTGCGAAGGCATAAGCAGCACGAGTTTATAAATAATTGCGTGAAGTGTCGTAAATTTTGTATCTGCATAATGATACTTGAAGGTATGTAAATAAGTAGTAGGAGGCTTGGAAAAATTTAAACCACGTAATTCAACGGCCCTGCCTGCATCTTAATTCTTAACTCGCGAATAAAACTGCGACACTATAAACGCCGTAGTAAATAAGTGATATAATAGTTGAGCAAGAAGTACATAATTTTCCTCTGTGTGTACTATTGCAAAAGTAGGAAGTTATATATACTTCGAAAATTGACAGATTTTGCAAGATCAGCAACATCTATGTGGTTTGAGACTCGTCTCAGGTTTATGTCTCATCAGAATCATCATACATACCTACATACATCGTGCATTAACCACGTAAAGTTTCACTGATTTGGGATTTCACGGTCTGCAAATAAGCTTGCAAAGACGCAAGTATTATTTCATAGTTTATAGATTGGCAACGATTGACGATGACAATTTGTCATTCCAACTACTTAATAAGGTTGATGCTCAACAATTATTCACAAGTTGTCCAATTTTAAGTACGCATATAAATCTCGATTATTCTCAATGATGAAGGTATAAGAGGACAAGGCGAAGAGGTCCATTTTTCTGTGTTAGTTTACGGCCAGGTTGAGGTACAATAACATTTTATCGTGAATAATCTAGTATTTATTCTAGTAATTGGTTGGTTCAAACTTTAACGAACTACGATTGATTTAAAAAATGAGGCAAATGAAAATGTATTAAAATGATGACAATAAATTGCTAATTATTGCTATTCTGCTCTATTCCAAAATACAACTTTTTCAACAACTAATGAACAATGAACTACGTAATTAATTAAAGTAGTTTATATGATTGAAAACTAGTAAATGGAATAAAATTCGTAAAAAATCATTAGGCATTGACCTTATCGAGTTGTAAGTTGTATACAACTTCATTCATAATATCAACGAACACTTCGGGATCCAAATTTTCGGCCAGTAAGGTGAGAATGAACCAGTCTCCGTACACACATTTCTTCATAATGTAACGCAGGTCGGATTTCGACAAGAGAGCGTACTCCCTCAGGGCTCGTAGTCGAACTTGGTAAGATCCAATGGCGGCTACACGGTAGATCAAGTTGAGGGTATTAAGTCCGGCCAAGAAGATCAAATACACCCTGCAGATTAACACAGTATTCATAAGTAATTACGTAATTTCACATATGTACTATAAATAATTATATTTAATTATTCACTCACCAAAACCAGCCAATATATATCTTTGTAACAAGGTTGAGTGGAAGCGTGCAAACGGCCGAGTGTGGAATAATATTTCCACTAGGTCCATAATATGAATATGTGCATTTGGCCACAAGGGGAAATCCAAAACTGAGAGGATCATCTTTTCCCCCACTCTGAAGAAGATTCTTTACAATCGGACCAAGTCCATGGGTCGAGAACACGTTTCCTGTCGCCACATCCAAAAAGTACAACTGGAACACGACACTCACCATGTTCAACATTTCACACCCCGCATAGAAGAACGCATAGGGGTTGTTGTGCCCCAACGATCCGACGAAATACTCTCCAAGCCATTTTCTTCTTCGCTTATAAGGTTCGCCACCTTTATCCAGTACTGGGCCACCATCCTTGCCAGAAATGCCTTCACAAAACATGGCAATTTTTCCATCTTCATAACAGCGCCACAGATAGCGAGGGGTGATTAGGATGATGATCTGGACGAGAAGAATGAAGGGCGTGAATTGATAGTATTTGTGGTATCGGACGTTCTCTTTCCGGTCCAAGTCCTCGAATCCAATTACACCTGGGTATCTTCCTAATTAGCATCAATTGATTAGTTGATTTTAAATATTGCTACTTTCTATCTAATTGTATTCATCTTACCAGTCTTCTTATCCTCGTTATTATCCAAAGTGACCGAGTAGACGGACGTGGCGAAGCAAAAGGTGGATGCGATTTCATTGCTTTTTCCAGCTGCCGAATTGCTACAACTTAGGATGTCGTATTTCCACAAAGTTTTGCAGTATATCGTGTAAACAAACAGAATGATGAGAAAGGTGAACTTGTAGTGAATCCGGAAGATAAAGTCATCAGTTTTTATGGGATTAACGGTCGTCAGATGTGAAAACAAGGACGGCTGAGCGATCTTGATCTTGAATTTCATTCGCCCCATTTTCGACTCGTAGTTAGTGCAAATTCGAAGAATAAAACTTTGAAGAATAAAAATACTCGAGTCAAAATTATAATTTCCCACTAAATACACAATTTTCAGAAACCCAAAATCCACAAATTTACTTACCTCAGAACAAGGTAGGATCCTCCCTTGATAACACGGTATCAATTATGTCTCAATATTAAGATAAGATAAACTCAACGAATCGAACTAATTTACCAGTAATTACTAGTAGTTTTTCTTAAAAAAATAACAACAGTTTGAGTCAGCGAGTCAGCCATTGCCACACAACCACCGCCAATGCTATTTTACGCAGTACAAAAAATCTCACATTTCTATTCTTTCTTTGAAAATCGAGTCTCAATCTTCTTTTTTTGCGTATAAAACCAAACTGGATAAAAATATTCATATCGGCGTCAACGTGTGGTAAAAAAATTTCATGAAAACTAATTATGCAAGCCCCCTCCCAATAAATTTCTTGAAATACACACACCACAAAACATTATTTATTATGTATTACATACCTTACGTTGCAAAAATGTGCAATATTTTATTGCACGTGCATAAAATAACGAGATCAATTTATTATTTCATTGCCAATTAATTTGCATTATTATTATTTACCAGCTGCATAATAACAAGCAGTATGCAGTAGTGGTGATAAGTAATAAGATGATAAATGTCATTTATTTTATTACATTTGTGCAGCCGCTTGACCCCACCCTTTCACAATTCACACCGCAATAAAGCAAAACGAGAGGTGATCTTGGGCATTGTAAAATGTTGCACAAGATAACTACCGGTTATCTTAACAAATCATTTTACTATGATTTTGATTTAGGAGAGGAGGAGGCATACATAAATACATAATAGTTCCTTTTCTGATGATGATGGGTTCATACAAAAAAAATTGACACTGCATAATGCAACTTCTGGCCGAGTGTCAATTATGTAGCTCAATGATCGCGAGGAGGTGAGTTAGTTGACATTTCTAGAAGAAATTTGCTGCTATTTGAATAGCAGCAAACCAACCAGAATCAACTGGTGTGAACATTCTTTTGCATAATAATAATGTGTGTATCTAGATCTGCATACGTTCAGCCGTTAAGTTTTATGTGGAGGGTGTCGAATTATGTTTTTCATATGCATGTAATGGCTACTGGCTGAGATTTTTGGCTGCTACCGTAGGTGAGTAATAAGTAAGTAAATGTGTTCATCCAATTGGTTCAATTAATGTCACTCACATTAATTGATTTGTAAATGTACTGTCCATTCTTAATCATTTGTTATTATTGTTTGAAGAAGGGTATTGAGACATTTTAAGGTGGTGGTTTTTGCACTGTGATCTTTCGCCCAACTCGGCGTCAGTCAATGCTAATCAGTAAGATTATAAGTTATTGGAATTCTATGCATAATAAAAGCATTTTGATTTTATTTAGCGTGGTTTACTTATGTTGTTGGCACTCTGGCAGAAATGTTGAAGCAATAGCAATCTTTCTTTGGTATAAATACAATTCGTTCTATATTTTCAGTAATCAGTTTACTCGTGGGAATTATCCAATTAATAGAGTCGTCTCAGTTAAATCTTAAATAAATTTAGCCATGAAGGTAAGCACAAAACTTATTAGGACAGGAAAAAGTTGTTTAGTTTGGAGAGAAATTTGAGAATTCGGTGTTTTGACCAGGTAATTGTTTTGGTTGCGCTTATCGGCCTCGCTCATGCTGGTGGTCCAGCAGTGTCGTACGGTCCAGGTTTGTCATATGGCCCACAGGCTGTTTATGGTGCCCCCGCCATCAGATATGCCTCAGCCGTCCCCACCATTCAACATTACGCTCAAGCCCCAGTGGCTGTGACACAAGGTACTAATTTACATATTTTTTTAACCATATTAAATCGGTTGTCCCCTACATATAGTAAAAAATAATACATAAATAGCGGTTGCCGTTCAACCCGAACCATACGACCCTCACCCTCAGTATCAGTATGGATATTCCGTTTCCGACGCTTTGACTGGAGATCATAAATCTGCCTCAGAATCTCGAGATGGTGACCTTGTCCGAGGACAATACTCTCTCGTTGAGCCTGATGGTGCCATTCGTACTGTGACCTACACGGCGGACTCGGGTATTCCCAAAAATGATGAGATACATGACTGAAATCAGTGCTTACAATTTTGATTTTTCTAGTCAACGGATTCAACGCTATCGTTGACCGACAAGGTCCTGCCGTTGCAGCTGCTCCTGTCGTCCAATATGCGTCAGCACCTGCTCCAGTGGTGCAATATGCACAAGCCGCCCCCGTGGTTCAATACGCACAAGCCGCCCCCGTGGTCCAGTACGCACAAGCCGCCCCAGTGGTCCAATACGCACAAGCAGCTCCAGTGGTGCAGTACGCCCAAGCTCCCGTCGTTCAATACGCACGTGCCCCCACCGTGACCTATTCCACAGCCCCAGCTATCCAACGGTACGCACCAAGCGTTACTTACTCAACAGGGCCAAGTTATCAACGCTACGTTCCCAGTGTAACTTACACCTCTGGCCCAGCCATCCAACGGTACCGAGCCCCCAGCATGGTCACTTACAGCACTGCGCCAAGAGCAAGTTACGGTCCACCTGCAGTCGTTTCTGGAGGATACGCTTAAACTATATTTTTTAGGACTTATCAAATGAGACTTATCTACGTACATACGACTTTCTCAATTTTTATTGAGCTTATGTTTACTCTTGTCTCTATACGTCTTAATAATCTCTTGTTTCTGCCTGTTTTATTATCTTAATGCTGTTGAACTTTGTCTGTGATCTTTAAATATTTAATGACCTTATACATACACACATTTGAAAATACGTATTAATGATGTTAAAAATATATTTGTATCATAATCTCACTTTTTGATTTAACTTGTAATAAAAAGTGTTTAGTTTTCCAACAAGTCGTACCAAGTTTGTGCATGGTTTGAAACGTTTTCTGGTCAAGTATTTTGTTGATTTCTAGATTGTTCTATAGTAATAACACTGGGTCATATAACTGGATAGAGACAAGTAGCATGCATTGTTGTATTAAATTCTGTAGTGATAACGAATTGTCACGAGTATAGTCAACCGAGACGGACTGAAATGCTAACAAAAAACACCCACCATTCCACACCATTTGAGTATCTCACTAATGTAATTACTATTATGCAATTACTTGTATCATAAGCTTCACATGCTACAGATATACGAGTGACGAGTGCATAGAATGAATATTTGATTTAAACCATGCTTTTTTGTGATCCCGATTGCACACAAGGTCAAACTGACTATCCAACAACAAGTTGAAACTCGAATAGATAATTGTCGCTTGCATGGTATTTAAGGTGGCAAGGCCGAGGTTTCTCATAGTGGTCAGTGGAAGTTTGTAGAGACAAGAACAGAAATTTTGTTAAATATCGTGCAAAATCGTAAAATCGTGTGAAAATGTCTTACAAACTTTACTATTTCGACGCTCGAGGTCTTAATGAGCCACTGAGGATGATATTTGCCTTGGGAGGTGTGGAATACGAAGATGTCCGTATTCCGCTTGGAGACATACCCCCACCCCCCACGATTCCGGCAGAAATTAAAGAAAGTAAGATACTAATGACTTAGTATAATAATTATGGAAATTAATTTATTTTTAATGGACATTCAGAATGCACGTGGGGCCAGGTCCCAATGCTGGAGTTTGATGGTCGCAAAATCTGCCAATCATTAGCAATGCAGCGTTATTTTGCCAAGAAATTCAATCTGGTGGGTTCCGATGACTGGGAAGCTGCCCAGATCGACGAGTATGTGGATTCGTCTAAAGACTTTTTGCAAGGTATGCATTTTTCTCTAAAGAACAAATTTTAAAATCCATGGGTTATATAATTTTGTTACGTAAAAATTTAGTGTGGGTGCCTCCATTAACGGAAAAAGATCCCGCTAAGAGAGAAGAACTTATAAAGGAAACGAAGGCCAAAACCGTGGACAAATATCTCAAAACATTCGACAAGATTATCAGCGCCAACGGTGGAAAACGTCTCGTGGGGAAGAATCTTTCCTGGGCAGACCTCTGGTTGGCCCATGTCCTCAACAATCTCGAACTCGTTGGTGGGGTCAAATTGGCAGAAGGTTTTCCAGCCTTGAAGGCCTTGTGTGACACCGTTTTTGCCACGCCAGAGATCAAAGCTTGGGTTGAGAAACGGCCCAAATCCAAATTTTAAACATACATTTTTTCAAGAGTAATTCTTGTGTAATTCGATCAATCAAATTATTCTACATGGCAAATAAAACATGTCAAAATTTAATTATTTATTCAACCACCCATCCATCCATCCATATCAAATCCAGTCTGATCAACAGACAAATTACGATCTGTATACAAGTTTTTTTTCTACACAACTCGTCTTGTTCGATCATCTTGTTATTACACAAATTAAATTAAGTCAATGAAGTCACATACATATGAAGATTTCTATGAATCTGCGAGACCTGATCGCAATTCTAATGAATCACACATCGTGTGGTACTCTTTGCATTGATAATAACAATAATTAGCTAATAGATAAGTAAACAATGTAAGTATCTACATGCATAAATGCATCAACAATTAAATTAAATATTACATCAGGAACAAACAATGTAAACTAAATAGCATCTGATTAAAATTAATTTGGTAACTTCACATTTCGGTAACATTTCGCAGTGTAGGAACTTTTGAGGTACGTAAGTAATACTATTAGAAAGCGGTACAGCGTTAAATTAATACTTTGACTTTAACAATCAATGTTTAAAAGCCCTTCAACTAAAAGAATTGCAAAATTGTTACATATTATTTTATGAATTACAAAACTTGGTCAGTCCATTAACAACAACAAAAGGGTTGACGATGATGCAGAGAGAATGCAGATTAGATGACTCACCGCTTCTGCTGCTACTTATTCACATCAAATCAACCCTGACACATTTGACATTTGACATCACAGAGATCAACACTGATAATTAAAAAACGCTTCTTCAGGTACAATTCTGCTGCGCACTTCTTGGACTTGTAACCGCCAAGGGGCTCCTATTTCTAGAATTATTATTATTCATTGAGTGAGGTGAGTTATGTCATGCAGCAACTATTCTTCATCGCAGGGCATCGCTGACTCGGCCCTGTTGTGGAATCGTAACTTTCGAAAACGGTGATGACTCGGTGTCCCCGGCGCGAATTGGGTGCACCATCCCTCACAATCTAAGTTATCACAGAGGATGACACATTTCGAGTTAGTATTGATGGAATTTACTCGATTTCGCATTATTTCGGGGAGATTTTGACACTCTTTTGTGGTAAAATTGAGCACCATGGAACGACCTGAAGAATGGAATTTTGAAATAGTAAATTATTTGAAATTTTGAAACTATTTATTTATATGACTTACCGGAGTGATTAGTCGCTGTTGATATTACTACTGAAAATGGCTCCTTTAATAACGAAGAACTCGTCGTAGTTGCTTCCGTGCTTGTGGTCGATGAAGTCGTGGGTGTTATCACGACGTCCTTGTGAAATACTTGTACTAATTCCTGTTCCTTCTTCCTGTCTTTATCGACAGGAATGATATTGTTGAGTCCGTCCATCCCACTGCCATCCAGCATATTTGCGCCGGGGTCAGATTCTGACGACGACACGGGATAAAAACCAGAGGGACACGCTTTACTCATGGCGCACGACACGGACACAATCAAAACCAGGGCGACGCAGATAACACCAATTTCCAGTGTTCTTCTCCCAAGGGCAAACATTTTTAGAGGTTATCACAATCTTGAGGTGGGGTTAAGTAAGTCTGTGAATAAAAGAATCAATGAATGAATGAGTGAATAACTTCGCAGCAAATGCGGATCTGCAACTATGTACATGCTTTTCATGTACATAAATAAATGCATAATTTACACGATATCAATTACAGTATGCATTCTCATTTCTTATTTTCTTAACGCGATACAGGTAATTCAGTGAATTTGTGCGGTAAAGAATGAGGGAAAAAAGTTGTTTTACTACTCAAGGCGTTCGTTTTAAGGCGTGGGGAACCCCTTTTTACATTACATACATCTTTTACATCACGACAAATACTATTTATCTCTCCTCCACGATTATCAAAATGACTTGACACGCTTGCCTAGCATGTAATCTTGCCAACAGCAATGTGCACTTTGTTCGCTAAGAGTTTGTTTGCCATATTATGTAAATTTTGCCGGTTTTGCGGCATAATTATCTATATCAACACTTACCGATTAAACAGTACTGAAATGACGATTAGGGAAGAATCGATGACCCAAGTGAGACAAAGTAATTCAAGTGAAATTGGGGCACGTTGATAAATCTCAATTAATCAGATAACTCAGCAATTAGCGCAGGTAACTTATTGACGGGATGGCTTTTAACGAGTAATGAATGACTCTGGCCTCTCGTACTCACGCTTTTATTGGATAAAAATCACTTCACTTATCACTTATCCGATATGAAGGATTCCTTTGAACTCTGCCTTGGTTCGTCACCAAATTTGCCAGATCAGCCAACAAAACCGTATCCGACCAACAAGGTTCCAAGAACGGAGCGGAAAATTGTGTATTGTTTTTTGTCAGAGTTGATATTAAACGTATGCATGTACATACACTTGGCTTTATTAATATGTAAATATTTTATTACAACCTTTTTAACACTTCATTCATATGATTCGCTTGCACAAACTAACTCGCGTATTTAGCTTGGACTCCCAAAATCGTGACTGACTGCGAATATATGAATGATCTCAGCTTTAGATAATAAATTCTCCTGAGAGGAGAGAGGGGAAGTTGCCTTTTTTGTGATAGGTGCCAGAATACACTGAAACATAGGATGTGACGCTGTGTTATACATACCTTTCCAAAATCTGCAATGTGGGATGTACTAAAATTTATTGTAAGCGTGATGATGACCGTGCAGTCTATTACGGTGCACTGCTGGATAGTTTTTCTTTGTAGATGAAATTCGTGGTTGTTGTTTTTTTAGTAATCTATTTTCAGATCGATTCAGTTTTAAACTGGTGAACGGCTAACAGGTTTTGTATAGTTTTTTTAGCGATGGAAGTAGCAGACGGACAAAGGAATGGATTTTTCGACCCCTCACAAACACAAGACTGCTGAAAGAGTAGGAAATAATATCATGAAATGCTACTTACTGTACAACTTTGTAAGATATGTACACAACCTGCAGTAAATATAAATAAGGCATAACTATAAATTGCAAATAATGCTGAGATACGAGGATATAATAATCGCAGACTTTACGCCATAAAGTCTGAAAAGCAGCAATTATAAGTCAGACTGAGAGGAATGCTACGCTCAGTATGTGCAAAATATCATATTTTGCACATTACATACGTGCTTTACTTATATAGTTCCCCTTGCACGAAAACCTACGCCAACAACCATTTACATACATACATTTAATGTGTTTTCTGATGTATAACAAGTTAATTTTTAAGACGTGGTGGTCGTGATGAATGAACACTTTAAACTTTGGAAGGGCTTGCGAGTAGACGGTATCAGAGATCAATGTCAAGCTTGTGTGAAATTATTTATGATGAATGCAAACAAATATGTACACATATTCATATGGAGCCAAGTTATGTGTTTATGTACATAAAAAAATTAGCGATGAATAAATATCAATTGAATAAAATTCCAATGTGATATTGGTTATTATGCGCAAATATTTTGGGCGTTTCTATTTTGCGTTGTGCAGGATTCGAATGACATTTAATTGAAGCATTCCCTTTCAATTCGTGATTTTTTTGCATTGTTGCACTTAAATTGTTGTCTTTGTTTCACAAAGTGCACCCACCCTTCAAACCCATACTAAATATTTAAGCTGTTATTATAGCAAATTAACTTTTTAACACTACCCCGAAACTTGTATTGTTATTATTTCCTCGCCAATTTTAATTAACACCTCGGTCATAAATATTAATTGAAAATGTGGGAATTTCACACCCTGCAAAATAATCACGTACATAACTTCACCCGAAGAAATATGCCATCAGAGCAACGTGCTCCTTAGGTAAAAATAGCACAAAATTCATCCTTCTACCAGTTCTAACTGATTTACATAAAACAATCCCTGACAAAATGATAGGATCTTTGAAGATGGAAAATGAAAAGGAGAAATCCCCATATTTTTTACACCCTTTAAAAAATGTCGCGTCATTGTACCCCTGATCATCAATCTTACATAAATAATGTCCAGAATCTACTAGGAGGATGAAACCCTAAATTACGAAACGATGCAATCACACACGACGACAGAATGAGTTGACAAACACTCGCCTTGATTGGTAGAACAAAGGAAAGGTGTGCCTAAGTAAGTAATATGCATACATAATCACTCATCTTCATGTACCTCGATTTCAGTAGGAATATTCAGGTAGTTATTTTTGGACAGTGTATTAAATTGATCCATTAATGCGTAATTCATTATCGTAAAACCCTGCGTCCGCATTCGAGGACATAATTTGCGTTACGAATGTAAGTAATTAACCGATCTCCACGAAATTGACGAAATATTGATATACACAAATTAGTTGTGGTAGGCAGTCACATTTACATATTTAGTACAATTTTCAATGTTGTTTCATATGTAATAAACCCGTTCAACAGGAAACACTCGCCTGATCTGTGAGTCACATATAGGCAACCATAAAATAGGATATTTATTAATCGGATATGGTATCATTAGTCAGAAAAGTGACGATGACGATTTTCGTCACAATTAATCAGTACAAAGGATTTAATGGGATGTTGTAAAAGTAATTTCAAAAACAATTTGCTCCTCGTCGTCCTGTCCTCGTCATGCCTTTGTAGGCATGTAAAACCTGACAAATTGGTTCTTCCTGTGGGAAATTACGTACGTGTGTGGCAGACAGATTCTATCCAGCGAGAAAAATAATAAGCTAATTCCACTCGGGTGCTCATCATGATTAAGTTAACGAATGTTTCCGTTTCAAAGTTTGTTTCTAAGCGGTTTAGCGTTGAAAAAAACCTTATTTATTTTGACCTTGTTTGCCCACTACAGTTTTCCTAGTCCAGTCTTGAAACGTAATTAATTCTGATTATCTTCGCCTTTTGTCTGGACTGTAATTCTTCTCACGCGCCAGATTATGTACGGATAACACGAATAATAACCGGGGTGGGTATACATATGTATATATTTAAGTTGTCTTCTGCCCTGCAATAATAACAATAATAATCATAAGGCTGATTACATCGAGAGAACGACGACGATTATGATGGCGAGGGCACGAATGTCGTGTGACTCTTGATTGTCTCCTGCTATTTTAAAGTTTCATGATGCGCAGAAAAATATAAATTGCACAAAAATGCACTGGATTTCTCTAGGCTATAAAAATCTGAACCAAGCATGAAAATTTGCACAACCTTGCACTTTATCCTCCCACCCAACCAGGATAATTTAACAACCAATTATTATTTTGCAATGAAATTTCAGTACGTATTCTGCTGAAAAGCATGACATATGTACAAATTTTTCCTGCAATAATTTAATTGCAAGCAACATTCATTCCATGACTTACACTTTATAGGCCACGTGTGCGTCTGACTTAAAGTTTGTCATCACTTCATGAAATTGTGATGTCATATAAACTATTTTATGCGACATTACTCAAACGTAGCAATTTTGGAATTGAAGGACAGACCATGCATTTACAGATATGTGATGATGACGATGACCCTCACACTCTTCTTGTCGGAAACAAAATGCGACACTTTGCTGGACAATATTTAGCAGCAATTTGCAAGTTAGTATGTATGAAAATACGTCGTAGAAAAGGTGCGTGTTGCGGACTAATTATTGTTTCCTTATTCTCCGTCGAGTCCAACCCACCGAATTCTTGCGAGTAATCTATCTAACCCAATTTCCTAATGGTAATAATAATATTATTTCCTTGTGCTCCTATCGTATGCACGATTTTGGTCAGGTTGACGCACTCGGAATTCGGATGATATGTAATTCCCCTTGTCAATAATGTTGCATTACTAAATATTGCTTGTTAAGCTACCTACGCATCGCAAATTGGTCTCCTTTCAGATCTTCTCCTTGTTTAATATTGTGTCGAAAAGTGTTACATGTCACTTTTACGAACCACTATTATTACCGGATTACTAGTGATGGCGAGACTTATCATTACGGAAGGAGAAGAATAGGAACTTACCTCAATGTCAGCCTTCATCGTGCTCCGATAAAAAAAGAGCGAATTGATACACATCAGAAGTCTGTCATTTACTTGTTGCAGTTGTGTTTGCAGTGGGTGAACTTTTCTTCCAAGTCGGTGGATTTTTTAATGGGGGAACTTATCACGAATAATTGTAAGAAGTCGTACATGTGGAAAAAGTTTCAATTTTCTAAAGGGTTGAGACTCTACCAAAATGAAATTATCCCCATGACTTGGACCACTTCGGGGGGACGTGGGGGCAATAAGAGACAAATTGAATTAGAATATCATAATCCACTCCATTATTTTAGAATCTATCTGAACTTCGGGTACTTTTTTCACTATCTGCCCTTCAGGTTGAAACGTGTCAAGGGGACAAAGTTTTATATGATCAAGACAAGTCGGTTGCATAAGGTGGGTATTTCGAGATATGTAAGTGATTTTTATATGTAATCATAAAACACCAATATTTACAGGTGACTTGTTTCATAATTCACATAATGTCCGCTATCCGATTTTTCATCTCAATCCGGAAGAATCTCCACTCTCACAGGGAGTCAAATCCCTCACCAGTTTTATACTTTGAGGTTTCATAATTGGGATACTTAAAATTTTAATTTTCGTTAAGAATTGATAATTTAAATAATCGATACTCCAAATTATGTAGATTTGTAGAACGGTCTTAACAGCGACGTACATGACCGTTTTTAAGTGGACATTTTGGACAAAGGAAAAATTATTCTGCACAATTGTCAACGACTTGGCTACCATTCATTTTTCAGCGGATGCGCTAACATATTGCAGCAAAAGAGTGAGAGTGAGTTGGCTGTCTCAATTTTTTGTTCTTCTTCATCTCAGTCACACAGACTCCTCGAAATCTCAGTCTCATTATCTCTTTTTTGCACAGGTAACCACATTGGCAACTTGGATTTGCATCCTATATTCGGTCATTCCCATCTGCAACGTGTTCCTGGGAGCGGAAGTTATTAATGTGAAGCATTGGAAGTTTACTCAACTATTAGAATCTTACGCGGGGAAGGCGAGATATACCTTTTTCGTCCAGGGTACCTCCGACCCCTTTCCGATTACTGGGTTTGACCTCGCGACCTATTTCCTCGTCCCGATTTACGTAGTTATGAACTTTTTTTACTTTCTGGGAGGTCACTACTTCGATTTGAGCGTCCTCATGGGCGCCCTCACTCTGCGTCATTTGGCAATGGTGTTTGCTGATACGGTTCAAAGCCATTCGGACCCCTATTTTTCGGCAACAGTTAGTAAATCATATTAATCTATTAATTGATGTCATAAAGTAATTATGACCTTGATTGTGTTGTAACAGATTTTAAAAGAATACTCAATTTTGAAAGAGTTTTCCATGAAAATTAACTCTGCAATTAGTGGAGTTGCATTTTGCTTTGTGGTGGAAGCTTTTCCCTATTATGCGACCCATTTCGACGACATATTGACTCTGGATGATTGGTATGATCGCTTCCGGTATTTATTTTACGTGGTCAATTTCATCATGATTCTGGTCGTGGCGTCGGACACGATAGTGAAAGTGAGTCATCCTTGTTAAGACAAATGCATAATATTAAGTGACAAGAAATTGAATTTTTTTGCATGCATGCATTCAGGTCGATTCTCTCAAATTGTGGTTAGCAAAGGACAACAATTCGCTAAGTGTTTCCACCACGAAAGCTGTCGTGTTGATAAACGAATTACAAAATTGTCCAGTGGGACTGAAACCGGGAGGAATTCTGACCATCACGTATGGATTTATTGGCACGGTAAAAAAACGCACTTATGTAACAAAATTCATAAGCTTGCTTACAAAATTGTCATATTATATAACACTCAAACTTTTATTTAGATGGTGAGCGTGGTGGTCACGTATGCCGTAATAATTCTGCAATTCAACTTTGCATCGTCTCATTCTTGTCCGACTTCGCCAAACAGCGTGGATTGCTAAAATTACTACCCGTGCAGAAATGACACCACGAATCACTTGACACTTCACTCACTCTATAATCAGTCAGTCTCTCATCCCTCTCGTTAACAGCAACGATTAACGTTACGAGGTGTGAATGTCAATCTCATCAAATCCAGGATTAGAAATTCCTTCATCCTTTTCCCCTCGATTATTGAACTCTGTTTCATTCTGCAGTTCCAAATCCTTCGGTGTACTTGAAGACTTGAGCCGTGCCCCAAAATGGGCTTGAATCTCGTCCGAAGTCATTCCTCGTGTCTCTGGTACGACGAAAATGACAAACAAGGTGGACATGAAGGTCACCACGGCACAGCCCCAGTACAGCGTCGGGTTGCCTAACAAGTTTTCCAGCGGGATGAAGGTGAATCCTGCCAGGAAGGAGAGCGCCCAGTAGAAAAACGTCACGATACTTGATGCCGTTTCTAATTAGATAATTAAATTATTAAAGTAAATACATATGTATTTTCTACGAAACTTGCATCAAAATTCTATCTATAGCTCACCTCGAACCTTTGGTGGCAGTATTTCACTAATTATGAGCCACGGAATTGGACCCATGCCTACGTTGTAGCCAATTATGAACGTTACTAGCGCCGTGAGAGGAAGGAAGGCCCATTCATCCGGGATTTTGTTGCCGACTAGGACATGAAATGAATATCCGAAGGCGATCAGTCCAATAATCATCACAAGTGATGAAACAATCATCAATGTTTTCCTTCCAAAGTTTTCCACCAGGAAAAATGTGACCACTAGGACGCTCAGTGCTTGCGCACCCCAAATGATAATCAAGGCAAATCTGGGGTCCATATCAGTTCCTGCCTTTTCAAACACGGCCGACGTGTATAACGATATTCCATTCATTCCGCTGAGCTGGGAGAAAGCTAGCAATGTGATGGACACTCCGATTGGTTTTAAAACGGAAGATTTCATAATGTCCGAAATTGAACAGGACTGCGATGGGGAAGAGTTTGATGATGTGACAGAGTTTTCAATCTACAAAAATTTATGGTTAGATTACAGAATAATTTTTAAGTAACATATTTTGCAAATAGTGTAAATGACCAACCTGTGACATTTCTGGTTCAATGTGTCGTTTCGTGGAAGCTCTCCGAAGCCATTTGAGAGCCTTTCTTGCAGCACTAGGTTGCCTTTTAATGATCAAATATCGAGGCGATTCTGGCATAAAGATCATAAAGATGAAGAAAATTACGGGGACACAAGCAGCCACAATCGACAGCCAAAACCAATTTACAAATGCTCCCACGATGAATCTGTACAAATATTATTTAGATTAAAACAATTAGCATATTTTTACGACGGAATTAAGAAGTATAAATTCAGCACTCACGTAAACTCGATCCCGAAAACAAGCATCAAGATCATCACCGTACCCAATGTACCTCGAATTCGGTTTTCCGTCACCTCCGAAACGTACGTGGGAACCGCAACGGTAAACGTTCCTCCGCAAAATCCAGTGATGAATCGGCCCAAGTAAATCATCCATACGTTTTGGGCAAACGCTATCAACATCCATCCCAGAAAACAGGGGACTGCGGATATCAACATGGTCTGCTTTCGTCCTATTGCGGAGATTAGGAGACCCGTTAGTGGGGCTGAGAGGAGGGCACCCAACTAAACCAAGTCAGACGAATTATTACTAAAAAATTTCGAATTTATTTATTTATAGGCCTTATCAATTACTACTGCACTCACGTAAATAATGGAACCAATAAGAGATTCCTCAGTCTCTGTTATTCCACTGAATTCTACACTTTCTTTCAAGCTTTTGAGACCAATTGCCGACCAAACTAAAGTCATTCCGAGTCCAAAAGATCCCAATGTAGCTGAAAGTAATGAATTTGTAAATTATTATTTTCATGAATTGGTTTGCATATTATTATCAAGTATTTTCCTATCTTTGCTTACCCACGATTACAGCCATCACAGTCATACGTCTTTTGGGCATCCATGATACTTTCTTTGTAACTTTTAATTTTTTCGAACCGTTTTCTACGTTATTCTCCATTTTTTACGAATACAGAATGTATGAAATTCTGAGCTTTGTTTACATTAACGAAATGAAAATATTATGTTTTGTTTATTCTTTGATAATATCCTATTGTTCAGGATGGTTTATTGTTCTAAAATGTACTACTAACAAAAACACTTCGCATCGACTTGAGCGTTGCGTTGTGCTATCGTTGTAATATAAACAAATGGTGCATGAAATGAGATTTTCTAAATAAGTGTCTTGTTGTGCTTGATTTTGGTTAGACTAAAATATGAAATCGATAAGATTCTTCATTTTATTGAAGATATTTGAGAAGACGTGTTTGTTGAAGTCGTATTTCCAAGAAATTGCGAATGAGTAGTATCTTCTGTAGTAGTTGTTGTACTACTTCGTCATAAAAAAGCAGGTTGGCATCCTTGCTTGGTTGAATCTATAGAGGGCTTGAATCTATAGAAAATCATGTGCATATGTACATACAAAATATATGCTTAACGGGTTAAAGACATTCTGGTTTTAATTTTTGCCGATTTTTTTTGCATGCCACGAGCCTGATTCCAACTGGAACTTGAAATGAATATGCAAATCGATTAAAGACAGGTTAGCAGAATCGTACGGACTGGACAGTCGTGACGTCATTAATACTACTGGTACTAGTGCAAATTCTTCTTTCTGGATCTTGGAACTAGTTTTACATGCAAAATAACAACTACGTCATCGTTGGGTTTGCGAGAAAAGGAGCTTATTAGCATTACACTAATGACGTCATAAAAATTGATGATTCTTCTTAAGATTGTTTCAGAAATTTCGGGTTTTTAATGAGAAGCAATACTAGATTAATTGACAGAAGAGTCTGAAATTAGCGTTGTTTCTAATAAATCACATAGCTCAAAGTAATATTTGGTTCCTTCTTCTTCATCGGTTGACCATTAGGGTCCTTATTCTCCGTCTTATCGTCTCCTGCCTCACGCGCGTCACGTTTGTGACCATTTTCGGGTTTGACAGTATCCTTACTAGTAGGATGAGCCGTGGAAGGTTTACTAGTAGTGGTTGTTTGCGCTGTCGTATTAACTGTTGCATTGTCAACTTTTTTTGTCGCATTGTGATGATCACCACAAGGTTTCAGAGAGGCGAGAAGGTTATCAAAGTTGACCGAGTCGAGATCGGAATGACCCGAAGTTCCTGGCGCGACGACCACGCTGTGACCTTTGCATTCATCTTCGGAATAGAGGACGACGCAATTGTCATGGGTGTCGATGGATGAAGCTTTTTGAAACAGGATTCCAGGAACGTCCACACACCCGTCAGGCATGTATATAGTCCACCAAACTCCTGCGAAATAAAAATTCAGTTTAATATTAATTCAACTTCAAAATTCGAAAAAAATTCTACCCACCATGAAAATGGGACATTGTGTAAATTGTAGCAGACACTGGCGATGATGCGTTTCCAGTGTTATTATTATTCACCACCGGGGGAGGAGTAGTGGTGGAATTCGTTACATTCGACGACTGGTTACTGTGAGCCCCACAGACACACATAGCCACCAAAATCAAAGGAAGTTTAAATTCCATTTTAAAATTTACTTTGCAGAAGGATTCTTGTCTGTTCAACGGACACTGACTCAATGAAATGTGTAGTGTGGTCATACTCCGAATTTTCCAGGAAGAACTGAATTTCAAGGTCTTTTCTTTTTGCAAACTTTTTAACATGTTCATTAGCACATTGATGAGGAATGAAATGGGCACAAAATTTGTACGTTGTTCGAAGTACTTATTTATGGGTGTTTTATCATCATACAATGTGGTTTACATGTAATTTTAATTTAAGATTTGAATAATAAATACATGTTGCATGCATGCACATTTTACAAAAAATCTACGCCTATTCCCCACTGAAACCCATTCACGCATCGGTCTTTTGCAGAAAATTTGAATGGGTAGCAATAGTTTATCTCTATTCGTGCCGCATTTCTAAATCGATAAGCTAGTCCAATTCCGGAAGATATGCGAACATTATCCGCATCAGCTGAAAATCAAACTAGTGTAAGTATTTGTAAATGAATCTCTAGAATGACAAACAGTTTGACGAATAACTTACAACACTCAGCCACATTTTGTCCAATACCTCCACAATTAACAAATCCATGAAGTCGGAGATTTTCAGTGAATGAAAATTTACTGTTCAAGAATGGTAGAGGGGCATAAAGATGAATTGCAGAAGCCCAAACTACCTGCATTATTACATAAACTAGTAAGATTAGATTAAGAATCCAAACATATTACGTAATCATTATTAACGAATTATACTAACTTTTCCTCCAAGAGCATTCTGCTGACATCGAGGACCAACGCCTCTCATATGAAATCCTCTCAAACTGGATGGACCACCAAGGAAAAACAGATCGTTGATGTTGTAACTCATTGGGGAAGAGCTTAAAGGTTGAAGTAAGCCGCAGCGAAGACTTCCCTGAAGAACCTGAACAAACAAAAAATCATACTTACGATTAGATTTAGGACCATAATTTCATGACTATAGTTTAGCAATGTACCACATTTTCAAACAGTGACCAATTGTACTGCCAATCTGTTTCAACCTTCAGAAATTTTGCATCTCCAAAAGCTCCAGAAAACTCTACGTCAACTTTGCGCAGAGTTCCGCTACATGGAAATATTGGCTGATCTCTCTTATCCGTGGCATAAATGAATCGAAATGCAGATTTTATGGTGTTTCCTAAGTACTCCCGAACAGGAAATGTTGTTCCACGTGAGCCAAGCGCGTTGAGACATCTCCAAACGCCATGCCATTGGATAGAAAGCGTGTCCTACAAACAAATAAACAAATTCATACTTTTCGTCTGTTTTTAACCACTTCGCCCCTATAACGACTATGTGGCGTATTTGACCTTTACGCCGAGTACGACCATGTGGCGTAAGTTCCCTTGGCACCGGAATACGACGATGTGTCGTATTGACCCTTGACAACGGATACGACTATGTGGCGTATTTTCCGTTCACACCGGCCTACGACTATGTGTCGTATGCGGAAAAAATTAGGTCATTGCCTCTCCAAGCAAAGCAAAGCAGGAGTTATGAGTCAACAACCCGCCCTTTAGGCGGGAAGATAAATTGTCTCTTAGGAAATAACATTGGAAAGGGATGCAAAATAAATTTATAGCCAAGTGGCTATATCTAGCCAACACGCCGAGTTGTGAAAACTGTTTTTTGCAAGGAAATTTAAGAAGTTGAAGTGGATGAAGGATGGTTGAAGAGATGGTTGAAGGATGGTTGAAGTGGACTATTTAATCGAAATTAAAAAATTATACATTTTTCCCAATCTTCATATTGTATTGGAGGAGATTTCCAGTTGCTGATGTAGTGACGGCTGACCAAGGATTTATACTTTCACATGAATACAAAGATGTAGAAAATCTGCGGTATAACATAAAATCCAATCAGTTATTTGTAATGAATAGTAAATACTGCAATAGTTTCAAACGTACTCAGTCCCAATGTATGGGAATGGCACCATCACATTGATTTCTGTCTTCTTTCCACTGGACGAACTGACGAAATGGTTCACCGACACCTTTTCCCCACTTCCAAGGACGTTCGGAAAGTTAATTCCAAATTGAGCAGTCCCTTCGTTCGTGCCAACCATACCAGAAAGACCTCCATTAATTCTTCTTAACTCTTTGACCGCAAATGTAACCTATATTAAATACAAATACACTACCAATTTCAACAGCAAAACACTTAACAAACGCTAGCATAAAATAAATAAAAACAACATTGATAATACATCATAGCCATCCGGTGTGGCGTCGTCCCCTTTGGATGTATCGACCACAGTTGCGACTTCAGAAAAGACACCCAGACTTTGCAGTTTGCTTTGCGCCCGTCCAACTTTGAGGATGAGCTGTGAATCAAAACCCATTCAATGTTTACGACTTTGAATAATTAATTATGACGATAAAATAATGATTCGGTCGAACTTGTTCAAAGTTCTTGGTTAAGAACACATCTGAAATAGCTTTTTCTACGAATTCGTTCTTGGTTCGGTTCAGTCCGTCGAAATTAATATTTTGTACAGTAACCGGCACCGAGCTCAGGTCAACGCTAATATTTGTATCGCCGGTACGAACTGTCGCCTCATATCCAGGTCCGGTTGGAGGACCTTTGTCGTCACTAACGCCAGCAACACCAACATCGCCAGCAGGAGAACCCTAGTTAGAAATTGAATTTTAAACAACCTTCCTCATAAGATAACGAACGATTATCGCAAAGTGTAGAGTAAAGCTTTGAATTTAGAATTGAACTTTTTCAATACCTTATTGTTATCGTTGGCCATGATTACTGATACAAGTTGATTAATTGATTAAAGTTATAAATCACAAATTGTTAAATTTCTAAAAAATTGGATTTGATTGATTTTAATAAATTGTAAACAAATGTCAACCAGAACCTCGAGTAAACTATGAAGATACATTTACCACGAATCTATGAGAAATAATAATTATGTCCAATTTCTGTCGCTCTTTTGTGGCACCCAAGTTTGACAAAAAAACAATCTATATCTTTTGCAAGCATTTTTCGCATTATTGATTTTCACTGTAAAAAAAACAATTTCTTCGCTTCCTGTTTTATTTTATATTTTCATATGTATTATAAATTTACATGAAAAAAATTATTGAAAAACTGTCACGCTTCTCATATGCTTCCCCATTCGAGTCAAGTGCACAGTAGATTTTGATTTTATTTTGGTAAAAAAAATATTGGTTTAATTCTCGTTAGGATTCTGAATGACCAGTGCCATATAATCGTCATCTGTAAAAATATATGTTCATATTTTTTGAAAATGGTCACTCATAACTTTTTGAATCCCTTTAAAATTTTGATAAAATTTCCACCTGGGCCAACATTCAACATTAACTCGAATTTTTTTGTTCGAATTCGCATGAACAAGAGTCGATTTGTGGGCTCGACATCTCTGACCATCGAAGCCTGAAAAAAACTTTGATAAATAAACTACTAGATATTTCTCCCAACACGATAAGTCACTTGCCGCAATGTTATACAGATGCTTTAAGCCATTGACATACAAAACTGTGGAGGTGTTATCCATTGTAGACCGGATTGGGGTCCCTGTATAACAATTGACGATATCTGTCATAAGAAATCAATAAATTATAACGAGGAGTAAATAAGTACCATCACGAGTGGTAACAATGACCCCTTGAACCCCCTTGTGAGACTGGATTCGTTTTATTATTTCGTCTGCAGCAGGAAGTTCCTAAAATTGAGATTCGATCACATAAACCTGTCGTGTTGATTGTTTAAAAAATGTGATAGTACCATTTTTAATTATGCTGAATTTTTTATGAATAATTGCAATGCAAACTTTATGCTAATGTCACTGCGTTACTCCACCTGCACGTACGAGTTGTGATGCATATTTTATTGTTAAATCGATACATATGCGCCTCTCCCCTGCACAACGAACAAACAACAAAGCTTTTAATAACAAAGTTCTTAATACATGAATATGTATCTCATCATTTAAATTCTTTATTCTGTATTTCACAACTCATTTTTAAACAGTTTTGACATCCTTGACCCATTCGGGGTCAGTTTTTGCAAACTCTTCCGGGCGCCCGGTAGTATGACGGTACATGCATTCAGATATTCCGTACCCCTCAACCCCATCCACAACAAACTTGCATCGACGCTCCACAATTTTGGCTTCCCACTCCCATCCAATATGCAATTCTAGCGACTCTAGTACTTTCACCTGCAGGAGAAAAATCCTAATTATTACACATTCTTGTTGAAGATTCTGCCATAATTTATGCTGAAATATCTGAAAAAAAGCTGAACCTGGACGTAGTACGTGTGCCCATTTGTCGCCTTGACCATCATTCCATAATCTTTTGGTGGATCACCCAATTCGCCGTGATCATGAAGAGAATGGTCAACTTTTTCCAAGGCGTAAAGTGAACCATCGTGATCATACATGTATCCGGTTTCCAATCTAATTTATGTATAATTTACTTAAAGTTTAAATCTCAACGTAATTAATTAAGAAGTCAACTAAATTCAAAATACCTTGACGTCACACACGGATGACAAACGTTACCAATGTCAAACCGTCTTCCGTCCTCCAAGGAAAACATGTGCATATTATAGCGGTGAAGTAACTTCCAGTTTCGCTTAATCCCTATTTTGATAATCATTGCAGTTTCGAGGTAACAATTTACAGTAACATGAATCAAACTAGGGATTTATCTACCATAGCTGTGATCTCGCATTGAAGGCATTTTAAGTTCGTACTTTTTTCCATCAACCTCAATTTCTCCGATCAAATCACCATGCTGCTCGTAATGAGTTTGATGTGCTCTAATTACAAAAAGATAATCGTTAATTAAGTACAAATCAAATACTCATTTTTTTACGTCGTACTCTTTAAGCGTTTGGAAATATTCTTGACTCCATCTTTCAAGCGACATAGCTCTCGCCATGGTCCAGGTTGGGATCATGTTGTCAAAGTCAAAATAATCCAGCTCAGATTTCCAATCCGCTTTAAAATTGACTTTGACTTTCTTTCCGCTTTCCAAAAATCTGGGAATGATGCAATCATTCATTTTAATTTATGACTGATTACATAATTATTTTGAAGTGTATCGAAAAGTACTTTAATTCTCCTTTATACTCCAATTTCCATTGTTTCATTGGCACGACGGGTTCATAACGAAATCCTTCCGCACCATAAAATTCCTCTGTTCCACCAAAAGTTAAAGAATCGGGAAATTTCGGGCTGACGAGATATCCCAATTCAGGAATTCTACGTATATCGTCAATGGTCAATTATAACCTTAGTTTAATTACTTCCTTTGCCGTTTAAAATAATATTTCCAACCTGACAATGAAGAAACCGTTGACCACGCCATGCGGTCTTCTTGCAGTACCCGTCACAATAGAGAAACCCTGAGAATTAGCTCCGTTGAAGTAGATTGCATCGATAGCTTGAAAATGGGTCGACAACTTTTGGACTTTTTCCATATCATCCGGATTGGATTTTGACTTGGTTCCATACCCAGAATTGTATGTGTCCAACCTTGTGTGATCTCGAGATTGTTGCTTTACTGCTCGGGCATCTTTCCACTAAATAAATTAATAATTGCCTAATTTGGGCAAGGACAGTTTTAAACATGCAAATTGATTACCTTTCTTAACTTGATAAGTAAGTAAAACACGACGGCCTTCAACCAGTACAGTTTTCCTGGGCGTTAAAAAGACTATTAGAACCGTAAGTTTGATATCATATTTCATGAAATGGTGTAATTTTATTTTACCTGGGCGAGAATAAACCCCAGCAATTTTTGGTGGGTCTTTTTTGGAAAATATTAAACCCAGTAGTACCACTAAACCAGTGGTCAACAACCAACACCCAATTCCACAGCAGCAACTCATCCTAAGAAGAATGAATATTGAGAACAAGAGTCAAACGTGAACTGTCAACTGTTTAATAATAAAATTGAGATTTAATAAACTGCTATCTGCACCTGCCGTGCCGATGGTCAAGTGGTTTGGTTTGTTCAGATGGCACTTTACGTATTCATGCTTATCATCATTTTTTGAGATAACATTCATTGAATTGTTTAATTCTTGCACCTGTTTCATTCAATCTTTTGTAAATATAAAAATTCATAATATAATTGATTTATTGCATCATAGCACATTAAAAATTAAAATTATTTATTATGTATCTAGTTCCAGTAGATACTTATTATACGCGTGTATGTATGTATGTAAATATATTTATTGTCTTAAGAATATTGGCAAATTTTTGTAATGAAATCTATCAAAATTATGTATGAATATATTTTCTTCCTTCTTTTACAAATCTAATTATAGTTGAACTTGTTTCGATTCCGATTCCTGTGAACGTAGGGATGACTTCGCAATGGTGGAGTTGAATTTGTTTGCAGCCATTCCAACAACCAATCAATGCAGTTGATAAGTTGATCTGTTGATGGCATTTGACTTGGGGAAGGCATCTGACCTGTCATGGGCATGTGACCTGTGGATGGCATCTGCCCCATCGATGGCATCTGACCTGTCATGGGCATATGACTTGTTGATGGCATTTGACCTGCCGCATGCATCTGGTCCATCGATGGCATCTGACCTGGCATGGGATTTATTGTTGCATTCATGTAATGCATCGATGTCATTGGGATTGTCGGAGGATGAATTGTTGGTTCCTGAAATTTATGGTGTTATATTTTATTCTCAATATACATTGGCTGACTATATATTAATCCTAAGAAGTATGTATGCACCCCAGTAGTAGTCATCACGGTTGTTGGGGTCGTAGGCTTTTGCGTCGTTGGATGTACTCCTTGGTTCACAAAGTGGAAACCGTAATTAGGTTTCATCAAATTGTAAAGCGATATCGTCTCCAAATTCGGATTTCCACTTTGAAACAATTGACTTGCTGATGGGTGCTTATAAAATATGCGTTTCCAAAATTCTGCCCCCGTCACGCGAGCAATAGGGTCGTAAGGATTGATATTGATGTTGAAACCGGGCAAGAATGACTTTTTCCAGTCATCGTTGCGGATGGGGTGGTTATCCAGTGAGGACTTATCATCTGTAGTGGCTGGATAAGCAGAATTATGGACTATGCTTCCAAAAAATGTTCCCACAAGTAGAACGACTAAACTTAAAACTCGTAATTTTGACGACGACTTCATAGCGATCCTGCGAAATCGCCCGAATTAACGATACTGACTGAATATTGGGTCTGAATAAGTGGTTAAAAATTTTTGTGAAAGTTGTCGGGATTGAAAATTAATAAAAAATTATGTAAATTAAAATCTATCTGGTTCTCGAATAATTCGTACATAAATAAATACTCCAATTTATGACAGAAATTGCGACCATGTTAATCAGATATTTTATTGCAATATGGAAATTATTTTCCTAGATGAGATGCATCATAGATTTATAAACGGGGTCCGAATCTAGTCCAAATCATCAGTTAAAATGAAAAGTTGAACAAACCAATAAAAATAGTTTTACGAGGATGCAACGGAAGTTTAATTTTAATAATAAATAATCTAACAGTAGAAATCAGACAACCGGAATGAGTAGTATATACATACATAACGCATTTAATAAATATTTGGTTCCGCAGGTATTGAACTCGCAATTTAAAACTCTCATCAATGAAATCGTTTATTTTCTTTTCTTTTCGAACTTAATCTGACAATGAGCCCAATTGGCACAGATAAATGTAGATTTTGTGATCATTAAAATTCTGACATGATTGCAAATTGCAACGAAGTAATTAATGTGCCCAACTCACGAAAACCAAAATAAGAAAATCAGAAAAACACACTACGAAAAAATTAATGCTGTAAATTGCAATAAATAATTATCAGTATTATCATGGCATTTCTACTCTTCTGCATTTATATTTGGTAAAACCGAGAGTTCCCAAAAACAACATTTAAAATCTCATCCTAAATAAAAATAGTCTCTCTAATTGCATGATTTGCAAAGTTCCCATGCAAAATATGGTAGTAAATAAATATATACATTTAACAAGATGATGACTTGACAGATTACATAATTCACGTGATATGTTACATTTGATTGCTGGTTGTAGTGGTAGTTCTTAAGAGTTAAAAGCATTTGAAAAGAATGTCTTAACTTTTTTTGCCCATCAGCCCAAATTGTAAATCATGATCCCATCGAATGAGATGAGAACAAAGAGCTAAAATTGCTATAGTTTGCACCGCTTGTAATCAGTAATTTGCAACAATGAGATTCCTCAGCAGAATAAAGCTCTTTAAATTTCAAGGCACTCACTGTGGCAAAAAGTAGCCTTGGCTTTGCAGTTGGATCATTTTGCAGCAAGCAATGGTCATCTACATATAAATACATATAGAAGAGAGTAGTACATCAAATCGTCCAGCTAATTTTTTGCTGAAACTTTTAGACAGGGTGGCATCTTCTTCTGCTTGGAATTCTTAACGAGGTTCTATCAGTCCGGGATTAACCTTGAGAAGACAATCACGTTTTAAATCAGCATTTACATGTCAAGCTGTATGTCAGTGGGGCAGGGTGGGGTTTGGCTGTCTTGAATATATACAAATCCGGCTTTTTAAGGCTTGCTATTTCTGATCGACTCGATTAAAAGCCTTAAAAAATATGTAAAGCTGAGGTAGAGTGCTGAATAAAATTTTTGCCACTCTGCTCATGTTAAACCAAGAGCCTAAAGAATTACATCATTGCATAACTGCCTCCAAGTAGATATTCACTTCATCCAGCAAATTGTATGAAAAATAACGCTTTTTTTAACCCAACGAACTAAATCTATACGTGGACAAGCTCTTGTCTTGATCGACTATAAATATCACGTCTCATTATTCCAGCAAATCATTCCAAGTCTCAACTGCTCTTGATCATTTCAATTCCAAGAATCATCCAAAACTTCAACTCCAAGATGTACAAGTTGGTGAGTGAAATATTGCACATTTCGACAAATCTCCACATTTTAACTGAAATAATAATTGTATTCAAAATTTCTTCAGGTCGTCCTCCTTGCCTTCGTCGCCATTATCGGCATGGCTTTCGCCAACCCAATGCCAGACCCTGACCCAGCTGTTATCTACCCAGGTTACGCTTCATACGGATACGCCGCACCGGTCAGTGTAGTTTTTAATTGCGATTTTAAAATTTAGTTGACTTCTTATCTTAATAGTATGACTTATCTATATATAATTCTATGCTTTATAGGTCGTCTCATCTTATGGTGGCTACTACCCAGCCTACTCTGGCGCTTATCTTCTTAAAAAGTAGATATGATTTAAATCCTATCTCCACACCCACCACTCTTCAAAACTGGATTCTAACATTGGTCTAAAATTACTTATCGTCAACTTTCAATTCGATTCTGAATCTTGACATTTGTCGTTGTTGCAAAGTCTAATAAAATTGTGATACTTTCGCACATATATGAATTTTGAAAATTTTATTTTCGCATATCCGCACATACTGCATATATTAATTAGTAAAAAAAAAATGGACCAGCTCATCCTCAGTTTAACCTTAAATATTGAATTATTGCATGCAATTAAAACCATAATTGCTTTTTCATCGGTGTCGTGATTCGGCATAAAAATAATTGAAATATTTAAAAATAGCAAGACAGTTCGGGAATCCCATTAAAGATTTGCACATTTAGAAACATCTATTGCATCTCATTTTTATATACATACAATTTCACATCAACGTAATAATATTCATGACACACTGACATTCGGTTTTACTTTGTTGTATGTGTAAAATTGAGACAAAAAATTTACTGCGTTTGATTGAGCTGGCGATCGGTATCTGTTCTGCCCATTGTTCCAGATCTGGGTATAAATACTGGGAGACGCTCTCCCCCTGGACACACTAGCCATTTGTTTGCAGAACAATTCAAACCTCTCTCATCACCAGTTTCAAAATGTCTCGACTTGTAAGTTTTCCATTGTCCTCCTCATTTACATGAAATAAAATATATTTAAATAAGTACTAATTCCACCACAGTTCGCCCTTCTCGTCCTCGTCGCAGTGATTGCTGTAGCATCATCGCAGTACATCTACTCCAGCGTTGGTGTCCCTGCTTATCGGTACGGATACGCGTCCTATGGGGCTTATCCAGCAACAGCCTACTACCCAGGACTTACCTACCTCAAAAAGTGAACATCCTGATAACTTGCTCAAATCTGTCAAATCTGTTAAATTGCAATGATTGGCATGATGTAGAAAAAAATGAAATACAAATTGGCAAAATTTTAGTCGAAATGCAGATCATATTTTGTTTTATTCTTTCTCTAATTATTATTTCTTTCGTTGAATTGGTTTATTTATGCATCAGACACTTCCGGTCGTAGAAATACGGCTGGAATTACGTGGAACCGTGTCATGCATTGAACTGACTGAAGACGCTGATTTGATAGGGGTCGGAACCCCCATATTGTTTACGACCGCATTCACGACCTTGTTCAAAGTGATGATGGTTTCCTCAGCTTGTACAACTTCTCGATTGTACACACCTACAACCTCTTCTGCCATCTTGTACAATTCGACCACAGCGTTCTGAAATGATAAAAACAATTAATTTTAATCTGACTGACATGCATCCTCAGATTATTACAGCTAATTATTAGTTTATTAATTAACCTCCGTGTCGATATTCATCGTGTCGAAAACATCCAACAACTGGGATTGAAAGGGTTGCCAAATGGCAAGATTGGACCCTTCGTCGATTGAATATTTCTTCTGAAGGTTGGATAGCGATTCTGTGTACGCTGTTTCTACTGCGCTGACCTCCCGCATTATTTTTTCTACCTCGTCTCCCTCCCCCTCCTCCTCCTCCTCGTCCCCTTCATTCTGAACAAGCAGGGTTGATGAGGCTTTATCTGGGACAGTTGAATGTTGCGATGGACGGTCAAGATCTTGATCAGTTTCACCATCCTCCCCGGCGGTAGAAGCAAACGATAATACTGACGTCTGAGTACTCACGACAGGCGTGGTGGTAAGTTTCGACACAGGTTTTGCAGGTTTTTTTATGCGAGCAAATGACTTTGATCTGGCGACTGACATGAGAGATGCGGTTTCTTCGAGGTCTTGATGGGGACAAATTATGAGTCACTAGAATTTTCTCATTAATAGTTTGACTGACTTACTTATATGACCAGGAAATGATTTGAAACTCTGGCCAGATTCGTCATCTTTAAATGGATCGATGAGGGTGAGTGGGGGCATCACCGTTTTGGGATTGAGCATCGCACTATAATCAAACTTGTTGAGCCGTTTCATGATTTTGTTGACCCTGGTGAGTAAAGTTTTTTAAATTAATGTAAAACTGTGCATAATCCAATAGATATCACTGCGCGTGTACATAAATGTGGTACTACCCGACCCACCTGTATATCGGGTGATTGTAGATATCTTGCATTTCCATCGTGGGTGGAATCGGCATTAATCCGTCAATGGCAAGTTTTCGAAATCGCATGTGCTCTACTTTCATTCGATTCTTGTTCCTTCGAAGCCATTCCTTCTTGTCCTGAGATGAAAATGGGGAAACATTACTTTTCAAATTTAAATATCAAAATGGAAAAATTAACAAATGCAGACCTCTCCTTCCAATTGCTCCTCTAACTCTCGCATCCACTCGTGATCCAACAGACTGACCTTGTCCGAGCCCATGAGACGTTCCAAACGAGTAACTACACGCCCTGGTGCGTCCGATCTGGACATAATTAGGGGGTCAACATTATTAACTCATTTCATATTGACATTATTTTCCTGTCATCAAGTTATCACGCACAAGTGGAAGACAAGTTTCTTTTCATATTCTTCAATCGGGGTGAGTTTCACGCGTAGTTTGTCCGCTTTCAGTTCTGCTTTTTCGAATTTTTGTTTCTCTTCGGCAGAAGTACCAGCACCGAAAGATTTCCTGGCCTCGCTTGGCTCTCCAGACTTTCGAGCTTCGTTCGCCTCCATGGCTTTGCCCTGCTCGATAACTTTTTCCAGAGACGTTGCCATATTGTGTTATCAAGTGGGAGACAAAAGGTACAAAAAGTATGGAATCAGTTTGGCCAAAGTTGAAAAGAGATTTTCATAAATCTGAAAATTATAGATTTAACATTTCACGGTAATTTAGTTTCCTAGTAAGTTTACAATTTCCAGATTTCATATTTTTGGGTGCATGCTACACGTTGATTTTATATGGGTATGTATCACGATTGCTTGACTTTTAGTGCCTAGTTACCCTTAACGGTTGCGACAAATGATCGAGTTACAAATAAAATAATTAATTTTAAAAATAGTTTATCATAATACATAATTGTAATCCATAATATTAGCATAACTACAATAGATATATAAATGAAATTCTTTATAACATAAATATCTCCTCCAGTTTGTGTCCTTTTGGAAGGGATCCTAAAATGGATGCTACATTCCCTCTTTGAACAGTGATACTCATTCTCTGCAATAAAAAGGATGTCGCCCTCTTCTCTTCTGTGATGTTTGTGATTCTGGACCCGATTTCTTTAATAAATGACAAGCCATCTTTACCCCAAATCCCTGTTGTTTCGATGGCTATTGGGACAAAAAGGAAACTGTCCATAAGTTGTTCATATCTTTTCTTCTTCCGGTCCTCTGCTTTCTCAGCTGCTACTCCTGGGCGAATACTAGTTTGTGGGAGGTACGATGGTGCAAATGTATCGGAACACGTGAAGTCCCACACTACCGATTTTCCTCTTGCCCATGGAATAAGTGTGAGACCATCTGGACGTTTCCCATCTTCACGGGCACACCCGGCTGGTTCTTTAATTATAGGGACTCCTGCAGATCTGAGGGCTCTGGCGATGACATCGTTGGCTGCGGCATGACGGGAGTGACGTCCAGCACTATTTTTGCAACTGAGACCATGATAGCCTTTCGTGGACACTTGTTCACCACAAGAACATTTGTGGGGCTGGCAGATGTCACAGCCTAGTCGAAGAGCGGCGGCGATGCGAAACGTCTCATTAGGAAGATGTGTGCCGAGTTGAGGAGAGGGGATAGCGTTGAGCCACGCTCCAACATTGGGTTGTGACATGGCGTGATAGCGGGCTTTGTCTTCTAATGTAGTCGCATTAGTTGTGAGGTGATTGATTACACCTTCCTGTTGTGGTATTTCCCATATTGCCTGGATACCTCGTATCTCGAGTGGAGGAAGTGGCGATGAACCAAGTGATTTCCAGCGTTCCTCTCCTTCTTGGATGGCGGTATCGATGCCATGTAAATGTGGTGGAAGTAGGCGTTCCGCAAGAGGCAGGGAGCTATAGATAGACGCTAGAAAGCACGGAATCGCCACATCTATAGCGTGTCTGACCCCAAGACCACCTTTGTTGACGGGTAGAGAGGACTGTAACCAGGATTGAGGGGAAAGGGAACAGTTGATGATTCCCTCCATAGCATTTTTTAATTTGGCATCATAAAGAGTAAGGGCGTCAAATCTTCTCCATGTCGGTGCACAGCGGAGAAAGTATATTAGACGAGGTGTTGAGATGGAGGCACGGAGAAGGAAAAAGGCTGAGTGGGAGGAGGGTTTGAGTAGCCGCGTGCTAATTTTTTCCATTTCCTCGGTTTTGGCTCCTAGTATTGTAGGAATGGCTTCATCGGTGAGTGGGACACCTAACAGCATAGCACTTTCAGGAGAGATCTTTTGTATCCCCGGAGCTGTTGAACGAAATAGCTCAAAAATTTCGTCACGAGTTTGGTCGTCGACTACACCCAGAATTCCCACTTCACATTTTGTAGTGTTAAGGTGCAGACCGACTTCTGTCCCCATACGTGTGATGGTTTGCATTGCCATTAAGACTTTCTCCGGCGAATCAGCAATGGTTGAGTCATCTAAGTACCACATATTCAGCTCTGTGTCAATCAAGTCCACAATTGGTTGGATCACGAGAGCGTAGAGAGCTGGTCCGAGTGGATCACCTTGTTGAACCCCACAAAGGGAGGAGATGGGTGTTCCCGCGAAGAAAATTTCCGAGGGGGAGGAGTAGGCCTGGCTCACGAAACGGTAGAAATTTGGGAATTTTTCTCGAATGATTTGGAGAAGTGTGTCTCGTCGGATTTCATTGAAAGCATTACGGAAGTCCAATTTTAAAAAAGCCTTGGGGCTATCATGTGAGTAATTCCAGTAAATACGTGCTGCGTGGGCTGCAGCTTCAGCGCCTCCTTTAATCCCCACTCCTAGTTGATGAGGGGAGAAAATCTCGACCAGAGTAGATGACATACGGGCGACGGCAATTTTCGAGATGAGACGACGCCATGTATTGCCGACAGCGACAGGACGAATGCCCCCAGTTTTCTTTCTAAGTGCGGTCATGGAAGCCCCGAAGAAGATTGGGCAAATAGATTTTGGCACGTCTCCCCTGAGAACAAGATCTAAAAATTTTAGCATCGCGTTTAGTAAATTGGTCGCAGGTTCTCCATTCTCTGAGATGACGAGGTCCTTCAAAATCTGAGGGCGAAGAGAGTCAAGTCCTCCTGCCGATCCTGGAGCGAAACTAGAGATTGCGATGAGGACTTCTTTGGGATCAACAGGGGCCAAAACTTCTGCCTTGTCCGGTGCGTTCGGGAAATAAGTTGGCTCTGGATGTGGGGGATGCTTAGTGATGAGGGCATCCAAGGTTTCTTGATTATTTGGGGCAATTGTGTCATCAGAGGTCAATAAACGAATTGCACCCCGTACATCGCCGTCTGCCAATTTTGCTTCCACCTTCTTTGCAATAGTTTCTTGAGGACGTGAGGGTTTGGCGAATTGTGGTCGTGGTCTCGAGGGTGTTACAATTTGGGTTATTGACCACTGCAGAACTCTTGATTTCACCCATGTTGTTAAATTTTTAACTTTGTCAGATTTGGTGGGAACAGGGACGACTGCGTATGGAAACGAGAAAAGTTTGAACCATGATTCCTCCGAGTTTGTGGTGGTCACTTCCTCTAGTATTTTTGCAAGGGCTTTAGCTACTTCCATCCTTGCACCTTTTGGGACTCTTCTCAGCGTGGGTACTGTATTCTTCAGTTGCGATAACTCAGCACCCCAATTTCTTGGAGCATGTGGGAGTAGTGGTGGTTGATCCTTCCATCTGATTCCAATGTATGCGTTGGCTGCGCCTCGAGTCGGGGGACGAGAAAATTTTGTGCTGGGGAAGAGTTGAAGAATATACTTTCCCACGGTGGCATCGACAACTCTTCCTTCTCCCGATGTTTGAATATGATGGGCGTAACGTGCGACTATTTCGGATTTTGGAATTAGGCCGAGAGGATCTTCAACGAGGTTGGATTTCAGCCAATATTGTGTTGTGGCGATTATGTGCTTTTTCTTGGTGGTAGTCGTTGTGTTGAGGGATGATGGAGTGACTTGAGATTGTGAAGATGTGACGGATATGACGCAAGTTGGACAAAGCCATTCCTCCTCCGGTATGATGACCACGGCGACACATGCTGTGTGATACCATTTCTGGCAGTGGTCGCATAGTATCCATTGGTCTGTGTTGCTAGCTCCTGGGCATGTGGATATCGGGCAATGTTGGTCATCATGGGTGGAGAGATTGGCAGCAGTGGTGGAAGTTGGTGTCATCATTTCATTCTCTATATTTTTGGGCGTTTTATTTTTTTTTTTGAAAAATTAAATTTTCAGAAGAAACAACTAAAAATAGTTGTTTCTTCTCGATGGTCGAAAAAAACAACTCTTTGACGTTTAATAACTTTTGAATGGGAAGACACAGAGACTTAATTCTTAAAGATGAAATCATCGTAATTTTTAGCTTGATTTTTTAAGCTAAAAATCTCGAGGGTACTATTTCGAAGTTTGAACTTGAAATCTCCAGTGTGCAGCCCGAGTCAAGCTCGCTGTTATCGGTCAAACCGACCATTTTGCAGAATTTTATTGTACCAAATGCATTTTACTAATGCACTTTACGCCTGTTTTTTGTCAAATATACAATGTGTATTATGCACGTGCATACATATTATGCATTGGTGAAAATTTTAACTAAATTTAGGTTTTTAGCCCGAATCAGGGCTTATGCATGTACCCGTTATGTCCGTCTGTTCGTCTCTTGCGATAACTGTCGTAAAACTAATCGTAACAATATGAATTAAAATAGGAAAAATTTGGTTGTCAACCACTTTCAAAAATGAAATAAATACATTTAATCCTGGCCTTCATCTCCAAAAATGAAGAATAAGCTCGGAGATTGCTAAGATCGGTCAAGTGGCTGACCAGTAGGGGTCATATAGGTCGGATAAGGTCGTTGGTACAGAATATTATAATTTGTAAAATTAGGCTAACAACCAAATTCATGGCAAAATTGCATGCAATTCCCCAACTTTTGATTTTTCGATTTTTTTGAAAAAAATATTCATCCTTGCACCACCCCCTTAGGAGAAACCACGGACAACAAAAATGTTTATGCACCCTGGCTGTATATAAACTACTAGTAATTATGAATTCAATGCAGATAATTATTAAGAATTTTTCGATATTATTACCAATTTATTCCGAATTTATTACAAATTTGATCATGTTAGTTTTACGTAAGATACTTATTCAAGCTTTGACCTCAGCCTCATAATCGGTCCAAATAATTTCGCAAATCTGTTATCAAATTCTTGTCCTCTTTCTTGTCAATTCTATTGCTCAAGTTCACAAAGAGATTCACGACCCATCGCATCGGATCTCCCCCAGTTTTTTCCACAATCTCCTCCAGCAGCCGGTTGAACGCTTCTGATCCATTCTGATTGTTGCCCTTCTTCTTCCTCTTATTTTCTGTGGGTCCCTCATTTTTTCCCGAGAAAGGAGCCAATTGCTTGAAAAATGCTCTTCGTTCCGCATCTCCAGTTTTCTGAAGCTTGTAAATCCCATGCTCAAGGTTGAAGAGGGACTTTACTTGTGGAAAGACGTTGGTCATCTGACCCTCCCACGTGGCCAGGATTAACTTATTCCCACGAATGCTCTTCAACTGGGAGATGAACACGGGAATTTGGTGGTTTTCCTCCTTTCCTTTTCTTTGGTTAATCACTGCGAAAAGTGTTTGGTACAATTTGTTTATTTGAGGAATGTAGAGAACACAGGGACTTTCACTCTGTTCAATCTGGCCGATCAGATCGCCAACCAATTTTGTTATTGTGACGTTTCGTCTGGACGCTTGGAGCTTGGCGAGGGTGGGGACGTCAAGAATGTACGTGGAGTACTTGCTCAGTCGTGGGTGAGTCAGAACATTTTGCATGAGGAGACCCAACTGGTACCGATCATCGACGAGGATCGAGTCCCATACGAGGAACGAGCTCGGTCCATTCAGCAGTTTCCCTGCTCCGGGAGTCTTGGCGAGCTGACCGTCGGGTAGGAAGAGGTCCAATTTGGGGAGCAGGGTAGCCATTTCTGCCGAGAAGAGGGGGAGGAGAAGTGGTGGGACGTGGTCAGCAACGTAGACCGACGATCCAAAGACGGCTGTGCTGGACTTATTCATTTGTGAAAAGGCAGTCGCCCAATCGTCCTCCGTGACGTGGATCGTCTTTCCGTCACCGTTTCGAGTGAAGGCATTTTGCACAGTGTCGGTGCACAGTTTCTTTAAATCTGCTCCTGTGAATCCTACCGTTTTTTTGGCGAGAACGGTCAAAAATTCGCCAGTTGGCTTGTCCGATAACCATTGCGAGGTGTGGATGGTGATGATGTTCTTGCGTCCAGCTTCGTCCGGGAGAGGGAAGAACAGCACTTTGTCGAACCGACCAGGACGACGAATGGCAGGGTCAACATCAGCAAGCTTTAAATATGTTAAATATGTACGGTTTCGTAAAAATTACGAGATGGCTTTGTTCAAGGAGGGAAATACTTACTCGATTCGTAGCCCCAATGATAAGAACGTCACCCCTCTTCACAGAATCAATTAAGCCCAACATGGCCGTCACTACGCCGACATAAGCATGACAAATGTTCGCACTACGTTCCCGATTTGGACAGAGACCGTCAATCTCGTCGAAAAATATGATGGAAGGTTTTGTAGCCACGGCCTTGGCGAAAAGTCGGCGTAAATTGGCTTCAGACTCACCTGAAGTCAATCAAGTCAAATAATTAATATTAATTAATGGGGAAATTAATACCTCCTGAGGAGGGTCGTCGCGGTACGTGACTATTTTTGTAGTCAATTTGGCTAACTTACCAACATATTTGGAGAAGGATTCGCTGCCTTTGTGATAATAAAACGTGACCTGCTTTCCTGTCAATTTGGAAATCTCATTGCCAATTGCTTTTGCGAGCAGCGTCTTTCCCGTGCCTGGGGAGCTGTGCATACAGAAATTAGTAAGTCATCATCAAGATCTACGTAAATATGGATTTGCGTATATACCCGTGAAACATGATGCCCTTTGGTGGCTCAACACCCCACTCCTGCATGGCCTCTTGATGCTTCAAGGGATACATGACGGATTGTCGGATGAACGCGATATGATCATCCAGTCCCCCGACGGATTCCAGCGTCAGATTATTAACATCGGGGTCACCCCCTCCACCGTCATTTCCACCCGCACCACCAGGACTAAAGTGGTTCTTCCTGTCGGCCCCAACTTTTGGATTTCCTTTCCTCCCACGAGCAATGTTGTTTATTCCTCGATTTGCGAAATCATCATCAGACATCAGCGAGAGACCATTTACCTCTTCGACAGGTAGTTCTATCTCTTCCGGTCTGATAGAAAAAGGAAAAAGTTAGCATATAATTTATTTTGCATGACATTTTTCGTCACAACTTACATGTCAACTTCAGAAGAGAACGGATACAAATTTTGCAGATCCCCCATATCACATTGCGAATACAATGATGGCATGTTTACCATTGCCATCAATGGAACCGCGACCAGTGGGGTCGTTGTTGGGAGCGAGGTGGCAACCTGATCCTCGCCATCAGTGACAACGTTGTCCTCAGTCTCGGAATCCATATCCTACTCAAAGTTTTAGTCTGGATGGTCAATTTAAGAGTACTCTGTGGTGAGGTGAGGTTTCAAGTCTTGATTTTATTAAATTTTTCTGAGGTGATTTATACTTTACTTTCAAAACCAGACACTTTCAAAACTTTGGCAGACGTTGACACGCCAACGAAAACGGAAGTTGTCTGAGTCTGACCCGTTTAGATAAAATAATGATGAGGATGACACCGCGATGATAACTTGCATGATGCATAAACAAAACCGATGTAGAACATAAGTAAGTACATATGTACATTCAATGTACATATTGTATGGTCATTCAATCATTGGTCAAAATTTTGGAAAACTGGTAGTGTTCTGTTCTGTAAACTGCGTTATGTACTTATTTACAAAAATAAAATCTTAGTGAAGCCAGATTTTAAATAAAATTACCGAACTATATATTTAATTGTTTGTTATTAGGTTTATCTATAGAATAGTAAAATAAATTTTCGGAAAAAATTAACATGCATAAAGTTATAAAGACTTTAGATTCTATATGCAAGCATAATTTTAAGTGTTCGTGTAATCTCGCATAGATACATACATACATGATGCATTAACACACCTTAAAGTCTGCAAAAGCCATGTAAATTATTTATAATATTGTCGCACTCTGATTTTGATAAGCACAATGAATTTTGACGTAGAAAGCATCGAAATTGGTTCTCCTTCCCTCCTAGCGATAGATCCCAGTGCAGAAATCAGTATTCCTTCCCTCTCGAAGAAGAACTTGCACACAGTGGTCACATCTTTGTACGGAAGCACGTTGAGAAAAGTCTAGATGGTAAAAATACCAAATTCGAATGTACTTACTTATTTACAAATATTGAATTTAACAGGATTTTTCAACAGGTAACAACGGATTTGCCAGGTTTTTCGACATCCTAAACTCACAAGGTCACCGTGTCTTCCAAGGAATTGAACGAACACCGAAAGACTTGCTCAAGAAAAAAGACCAGTCCGTCTTCACCATCTCCATCTTGGACTTTAAGGGGGTCGAGTTGATTCGAGTCGTTGGAAAGATTGGCGAGGTACGATATCCAACTATTTTGTACTCATTTTCATAATTGCCTAAATTACATATTCCCAGAAATACAGCATTTTTCAAGCTGACCAACTTTGGGGTGGGGTCGAGTCATGTATACATCACGACCAGCGTGACATCTTCCCAGTTTTCTTTGTCAAACAGGGGACCAAGGTGAAACGGGGGAGAAATAAGTCCTTGTCTAATGACAGTTCGGCGAAGATCTTGTACATCGTGGGCGAGCAGTATGACGACAACGTGGGGTGTTGTGGATGCAAATGGAAAATATCGGCAGAAAGGCTGCAGAGAATTCATAAGGAGCGAGATTTCGAAGGCAGTATTTTCCTCTTGGATAGGCGGACTTGCGTCGGGAGGGTTGGGCGTCATTGGGGGACGGTGGACTCTCTGATATGCGACCCAAGCATTGTCAACGACTGTTATGGAGTTCAGGTAAAATTTATAGAAATGCGCCTAGTTTTTCAGTTTTGCATGCGTGTAAATTATTTTTTCCTAGTTTCCATACAAAGCGGATCTCAGAATAAAATGTGTCTTGTTAGGAGCCCCTTTTTTTCTGGTAATTGAATTTTTAAAATGATGCATCTACATTTTGTAAAAATTGTCATTTTACAGTTGTCCATTTTTCTTGCAGAACTCTGCTTTGTTCAATTAAGCAATTAGTAATCGATTAACCTATAAAAACGATCCCTCATGTAAATTATCGGATGAAACAGTTGCTAAAAATATTTCTATACTTTGTAATTAAATTTTTAAATTTTTTTTTTTTCGATTCAAATAAATTTAGGGAATTTCAACCCTTTATTACATATATAAGATTAGTTCGTACAATGAGAATTCCAAACACAACTATTCTAAAAAAACGGAATAATCATCATACAAATGCAGCTATAATTAGGCCATGATTTAAAATATGCCGAAAACTTAGAGATACAATTTTATATTTCATTCATGCACGAAAAACTGAAAGAAATGACTTTATATGATAAGGAAATAAGAAGATTCAGCCTAACCTGACACCTAAGTTGTTGACATACCCACGACGCCAGGTAATGGGTTGGGATCCTCCCTGGGGCTGTGGGTATGTCAACGCGTCCCTAACCTTACCGATGCCAAGTGCTAGGAAATGACTGAAAATAAAGAACCTTCCCAACCCGGGTACGCTCGCATTTTTAAATTTTATTCTTAATAGCTTTATAATTGTCCAATGAAATCGAGTATATTTCGTGTCGTGAATAAATTACTAGGTGAGCATTTATATTGTCATACTTTTGAAATCGTTCCGGATTTTTGCCTCTCTGTAACGGACACTCTTTGACATATGCAAACAAAATCTGGGTCTGATGTCCTTTGAGCTTCCGTACTTTTACAGCAGGCACAATTAAACGGTCTCTGTTCCAACCCAATCCGCGTGTCGGTGAGATTTGATATTGTAAAAATGCAGTTGATGTCTTCCCCAGAGTCCGAATTTGACTCGTCATAGTCGTACGTAGGGGTCCATCCCCAACTCATTCGTGGCTTACGAAAATTTGGGAACTTTATGTCGTCGGCGACCCCAACATCGTCAATTTCTTCAGATGCCGTGTTTCTTAAGTCGGCGAAACCTATTCAGTAATCGGATTATAATATTAAGAAACCACAATTTTAATGAAATTATTAACTACCTAAACCGTCACGAAACGATGCACAATTCGCGACACAGGTGCAGGTCGCATTTCCGCTTGGCACGGCGCAGCTGCAATTTGTCGACGCAAGTGACCTCACCCAACACATGCTCCCGCAAGATCGACACCGATAACTGACCCCGGTAACGTTTGGGTTTTGATTAGCTATGACTGGATAACAGTTCGTGTCGCAGGAACAATCTTCATCTGAGTCACTATCCCACCCGTCCCCATAGTCGGGTTTTGACGGGATGTAGATTGGTGGTGGACGATGGAAATCTAGAAATAGTTACACAATTTTTGTGAGGTATGTATTCCCATATCGAAAGCTATTGTTTGGACGCCTACTTGGACGTGGTCTTGGTCGGGGTCTAGGTTTTGGTCTTGGCCTCAATTTTGGGCGGAATTTCGCCTTAATTTTTTCTGGGATCAGTATCGCATAATCTGGCGCCACAGTATCTTGGGGGTACGTATCAACAGTATTTGTTGAGTTGTTAGAATTCTTTAAGATGCATATCATGGGTCGAAAGCTGTAAAAGTTTAGAAAAATCAGATTAGTAATCTGAAAGCGTATGCATATTTCTTGAAATTACTACCTGTCATCAAATGCCCGACAATATTCTGCAATTGGAAACATCCCGTAAATAATTAACCTATAAGAGGCAATATGAACAGTTTTGACTTACGTTCAATGTTGAGATACGCGTAAGATAACGATGTCACTAAAAATACTCTTAACAGTAGAGAACTGAACAATTTGGACATTTTTCCGTTTTACCACAAATGCACTTTCTTAATTCTTATTCTAAATCTTGCCATAAACCGATCGACACTGATGAGTCCAAGGTTTCTCAATTAAATGAATCATTACCATTTTCTCAATCGATGACCCGAATGATTAAAGCTAATCCGCAAAATGTGATAAAAAGAGAAAGTTTCACTGAATATTATAGATTTGTTTGAACAGTCTCCGATCAAGTGCACTTTACATGCACTCGACGACACCAAATATTCATGTCAATTCCTTGCCTTAATGCTTCGTCAGTCACAACAAAATGACAACTAATGAACCACCGTCCAATTTGGAATAGCAAATGATAAATCTACAGATATGTGCATAAAATTGTTCTGTAATGTAACAAACCTGAAAAAAGTGAAACGAACAGTTGAACATTATTCTTTTTGTGTCGTAAATATGAAATGAATTATTATGGCAATCAATGAGAAATTCTGTTGGAAAAGCTGTCGCTTTTGTAGTTAGTTTTTACACTAAATTATAAACAAGTTTGAATTTAGTGATGCAAACATCCCTCACAAACAAACACGTAGATGATTTATTTATTAGTTGAATTTTAGACAGCTACAAAGATTTTTACTACCTCAAACTTCCTGAAAAAGTTGAATTTTCTTAGTACTTTTAGAAATATCTACGACGTCGCAGTGAGTGTTATCATCATGAAATTATCTAAGCAATGACTGGATACTTATTGTCCTAAACATTGTTTTCTATGACCTGAGCAATAACAGTGACACGACCTGATTAACGGTAAAGTTCAGGATGAGCAGTGGGGTCAATTGGTCTACAAAATTCGACCCCAATTGAATCTTTAGTGGGATAAAGGACCAAGCCATTTTTTTGACCCAGTGTTTCCTCTGCAACCTTGCACAGTTTCTCCAGCCTCGGATCATTTGACAGGATTGTTCGTGCATATTCGCCGCTCTGGTGTTCATGACCTGCAGATTATTGTAGTTTCAAAAGTCTTTCGAGACAACCAAATTATGCGTGTAATTAAATTACCAAGAGGGAAATAATTCCGTCAAACGCAACCATCGGAAAGTATGAGAATCCTGGCATAGGAATTTTTCCTGGCAGTCGGATGCACGCGTGTAAACAGAATATCGTGAGGGCGGTCATTCCGCCGAGAAAAATTGGGAAGTAATGACCTTAAAAGTGCGTCGATTTAAATCATAATTTCAAATCCTGAATTAAACAGTAAACACACCTTTGAAACAAATATTGACTTGTTTTTCAAGCACTTGGACACAACGGTACAACTGAAGAGGTGCCTTCTGTACCGCGGAGGATGGACGATCGTTGTTATGTTGGACTCCAAAAGTTTGGACGAGAGGAAAGTTTCTGAACGAATTTTTATATTTTTTTTTACTAGCAAATTTTCTAGAATATTTATGTATAAAAAAGGTCAATATTTACCTTCGAATGACATATAAATAATCCTGGAGGAGAGCAATACTCATGAAAAAGAGGCCAAACATTGAAAACACAAACCCCATAACCATATCTAAAAATGTTCATAATACGATATTAAATTTCAATTAATGCTCAAAATCATCAAAATATTTTTAAAATTACCTAAATGCATCCACCAGTTCATAACTCCCATTCCGACATACGCCCAAAATCCCGTCGTGGTGCAGTGATTGTTGACATATGTGAATAAAATCGACCCAATGAAGGGTGGCAGGCATGGATGTGCCATCAGGATCAAAAACACCAGCAGTGGCACCGACCACCCGGTTATTATGCCAAGAATTAGTAAATTTCTCTCAAACTTTTCTCCATTTCCGGACACATTTGCCTCCAGCGTTTTCGCCACGACAGGATTGTTAAGCTCGTCCTGATCGTCATTATTAGTACTCCATGGTTTTACTGGTGCAAAAAAAACGCAAATTTTATAACACTGTTTTTTTGCAAACTAAAATAACCTTGCCTCTTTCTCGCCATCGCTGAAATGTTCGATAAGTGTTTAACGATTTCTCAAAGTCCAACTGAGCATTGACCAAGGTGATGAGTTCTTCTTGGTAAAACCAACAAACCACGCGACACCCATTGCACATGATGTAACCGATCATAAAGTAGATTGCGAGCATGTGATAAGCCACCCCAAATTTTGGAATGTCTCTCACCTTATCAAGAAAATGGTCATGTTAGCAATTTAAATAAAATTTAAATGCTAAAAAAGTAAATAATTTAACCTTGAGACTCAAAATTAAGAAAATATTGTGCACGATGGCAATCGCCATATGTAACTTGAACTGTCTCATCCTCCAAACCGACTGGACTGGACGGAGGCGTTGATTCGTAGAATCCCACTCGATAGATATGCATCCCAAAGAATTACAAATTTTCAAGAAAAATTGATAATACCGGATAATTTTCTTAGAATACATTCCTAGGTCATGTATGTTGCTCGTCAGTGCTGCAATCAATGGCAAAAATGGGACTGTCAAGCTCAAGTTTAACGATTTTTTTGGTAAGTTCTAGGACAAGAGAAAGGCAATTCAAATCTCATTACACGATACGATATCGACGATACGATTAGTATTTCTTGGTAGTTATTGCAACTTGTAATGTCTCCTCTTTTTGGGGATAATCTCCTTCTTTATTGTAGAGGACGGAGTGAAAATGAGGATTTTGTGGGCAAAATATATGTATGTAATACCAATTATAACCTTTATGGTTTTTTTACAATGAGTAATATTCGCACCGTAATATCAACATCAACGTACGAGTAAGTCTTATACGAGTACAAAAGATACACGGGTTTTCATAATTGCTTCCTTAAAACAAAGTTAATATTCTTGTTTTCCTTTTAATGATGGCATGTAAATTGGGTATTAACTTTCTCTCTTGTGAACGGTTTTTACTTTTTGCCTACGCTTTGTTTTCTCTCAATTAAGGCATGACTTAATCAATTGGGTTTCAAAGTTGCTTACTTTTGTAACAATGAAATGCTTGCTTAGTAGAAATTTTGCCCAAAAATGTGTGTATTTCTTTATTGAAAGTTCACATCTAAATAGTTATGTAGTTGGGAAAGTTGCGACAAATCTACGACAAAAACCACTTGAAGTTCACTAATCAACCTCAAGTTCGCAAATGAGGTATTTCCGTACTGGTGTTGAACCCTTGTACTTGTGCAAGTGTCGTCGCCGTGGCGGAGGACTGAAGGAGAACGATTTCCACGGTAAATACCACACTGACAACCATCAAGAGAAACGCTCGCGTGACGACAAAGCACCCGAGACCTTGGAGTCCAATTGGTGACGCGGCCAACATCATCTCAAGGCGTTCCAACTATCGTTTAAATTTAATTACTCGAAACCGATGAATTTCGTGAATTTAATAAATTTTGTCACATCAAGTCAAGTTGACAGTGTGACATAATAAGTAAGACAATGGCAAGTAAGTGGTGATATATCGGTATTTACCTCGGAGCAATACTCGTTCGTTGCGCATTTCTGGGTGCAAATGGTTATCTGATGGACATACTCGTTCACTTTTGCTGCCATAATTGACACGACTAACACCCGGAGAAGTAGATAGACAAAGGAAATAAAAGAGTAGGCAGAGGAGAAGAGACTGCTGTTATTTTGGGGGGTTAAGCCTTGATGAATCTGCAATGTTTGTAAGGTTTTAATATGAAAATGTGTATTATTTGCTGCTTAAAATGACTGACCTCTAAACAAATGAAGAATATGTTTGTCGAATACGAGAGGAAAATTAGTGGGGATAAGAATGACTCAAACTCGTCCAATAGCTTGCACAAGGTTAGATGGTCTTTTCGTACTTGGGACCATTGAAGAACGCCTAATATTTATAATACAGATATTCAGTGTTTTAGAGTTGTGTCTTTAATCACAATTAATTAATTAACTGTAAATTGCGACGACTGACTTTTATTTCTCCGCGTGGACCGAAAACATACACCGTCTTGACCATCGTCTTCCACCCTCCCCAACAATTTCAGATTGGTTTGATCAACCAGTATTTTAAACTTGTAGTACAAAGCCCTTGAGCATAAGACGATGAAGAGGTCCCCAAAAGTCCACGAATAGGCGGCCAGTGTATTCACAAACATAAGAATCAACGCAAAAAATGTGTCATACGACAATAATTTCGCCCAGAAGGGGTGAGATCGCCAAAAATATGTTTCCAAAGATGACAAATTTTCTTCAAATGCGGTTTGATCTGCGGGAACAATTGCGTTTTATAAATAAATAAAATTTCGAAAACATTGACTACGACTTACTTGCACCTCTCCCCGAAAGTGGAAAATTATTCATCGCATACAAAATATTCTCAAATATTCCAAATCCGAAAATTGATCCCGTTAAGATAACAATGTGCTCGAATAATTTGGCGTCGTTGTCCTGAAATCTGAGATCGTCGCTTACAACCCTCCACTTGACGAATAATTTGAGTAGATCATTTGCTCGTAAAAGGAAAAATGCGTACCTGGTCAAAACATAATATTTTCACGCTTTGTACTTTTTTATAAAAATTACGTCAATGAAGATTAATCACATATGCATTTACACGAGAAAGCTCATGAGATAAAACATTGGATCTCTGGCAGCAATCGCCAACTGGCTCGCGCTTCCTCCTGCCCCCTCGTCGGCGAATAGTTGAAACAGATTTAAAAAGCTGAGGGCCATATTGGCCCCAAGGAGTAGGAGGACAACCAGGCTGCACAAAACGGGAAATGTAACCCACCTGAAAATTCCAAGAAATTAGTAATTTTTTTTTAATCCGAGAAATTTCAGATCCAAATACATACCCAAAACCAAGATGATACGTCAAAACCTTATCATCGTTTACATCCGGCCCCATAAATACTCCCGAAATTGGCAAAATTCCCAACACCCTCCCCAAAATTAAAATCGGTCTCATGCACGCGTACAAATCTCCGGAGGCCTTATCGTAACCATTGTTATTTCGGTCATCCTGCTCATCGTGCCGAATCGCGGAAGTAATATCCATGTCAGTCGCAGCGCAAATCTTATCCATGTCGCAAGGCCGCGACTTTTTCGCTTGTTGGGGAAAAACTTGGATTTCCTTAAGCAAAAGTAGATGGGAAAATAGAGATGGCGAGGATGGCGAAGCGTCTAAATATTTATTCTAGTAAATATATTCTATCCTTTTGTATATAAGTTTGCATGTTTTACAATACTTTACCGGCAGCAAATACCAATTTGTTTTTCATGACGGCCCATGTACTTTTCTTGGGGTGGCATAACCTCTCCTCGAAGTGGTCATTATCATCACCAGCAGAGGTGTACTTACTCATTGCTTAGCATTGTTGATATTTACTCAGTTGGATAAGTTGCTTATCCAATAATTTGCACCTTTTCAATCAATACTTGTCCCATGAATAATAAGAAATTCATACGAATCTATTATTAAACGTTTAACACCGAGCGAGAAAGGTGTGTCGTTCCGGATTGTAAATTACACATACTTATTTATTATGTTGTCACTTTGTTACTTGGAGAGAACAATCACTTCAAAATAATCATGGGGTACCGATGCACTTCAGTTTAGGAGTTGACTGGACACGAAAACCTAAAGAGCCACGAGTAAGACTGTGGATGACGTCTGTGTTGCACTGTCAACTGTATCCAAATTAATAATTGGTATTTTCAAAAATAATAAACCTTGACGTGACATTGATGACATTTTGCGTATTTCACACTCCGTGCATTGGCAATGATAATATTTTGTCAGAATCCATAAAGTTATGGCTTTCATGCAAAAATATGTAAATGGTTCTTTGAAAATACGGATGGATTACGGGCATGATTTTTATTTATGCATTTCTATCACAAAATTTACATTGAAAATATTTATGTGAGCCAATAGCCAATGTTAATTTAGGATTAGTGAAATAATGTGTCCAATTTATGTGAAATAACAGAAAATGGGCTCTAGATTTTCAATATTTATTATACTTATGCACATATTCATATTTCTTAATTGTATTACATAACGTAATCGATATTTACCTCCAAAAAAAATATTTTTCATCCCACCTTGATACTAGCGTTCTGAAGAAGGACCACTTCCAACGTAAATATTGCGCTCATCACCTAAAATACAATCAACAATGAAATTATTAACTTATAAAATTAAGCATTTACTTCTTTCAAAATAACGACAACTTTCAAACCTTAATTGAAAGTTCTCCCCCGCCTCGTAACGAAATAAATTTATGCAGAAAATACCCCAAAATAATCACGACTCTCATAATTAGCCTACTAATTTATTGTATACAACTCCTCTTCGTATGACATGATTCCTAGAAAAGTGGGAAGGACGCACTTGACGGAACTTGGAGGTTAGTGGGTAATAGGGAGAAGGAAAAAAAGGGTTGGTTCGATAAGTTTGGCATTGTCTGTCATTACTCCATCTCGTATACGTACGTATAGGAGGCGAATAATTGATAATTTTGGGTAATTTGTCCCCTCCTTGTGTCACATTGTCGTTCTTTTGTGCATCCGTCAGTCAGTCAGTAGTCAATCCTCGAATGAATGACATAACCGAGTTTCTCATCCATAACGCATACTAGTTCAATTGCTGCCTCGTTGCATTTCTGCCTTGTTTACTTGTTTTGTGTATTTTCACCAATTTTATTCTGTGCCGAGTCGACCACATTGATGAAAATTGTAGCAAACACAATGTAACGACATGGGAATCAAACCACGCTCGCATTATGTCACGTCTTATCCTCCTCCACTCTAAACTCTCGTCATCACCATCCATCGTGGTGGTTTACATAGTTTAGTTTGTTATTGAACTTCTTGATACTTGACTTCAAGTCAACTCTCAAGTTCGACTTTGAGAATGTAACAATGCATGAGATCGAGAAATTACGCTCCATTTGAAAGCTTTATATTCTCACTAACGAAATAAATAGAGCATTAATCATCACAATCATCGTCATCATCATCCCGTTTTGTAACATATTGCGAGCCAAAGTGAAAATTAGCATATGTGTGAAATGGATAAGTATGTACCTACCATTAAAATGAATGATCGTGTAATTATGAAACACCCGTTTCCCGTGATTCCAATGATTTTCGTGCTCAAATATCTCTCCAAGCGACGCACCTGCAAAAGAATTCCGACTTTTAAGAAGCATCTTAATCACAAAAAGTAGTTAAACTAACATCATCATCATATTCTTCGGGGTAGCAATGCTGCAATATTTTCGAGATTTTGTGAGCACTCTCGCAGATTTTTGCAGCCATCCAGTTGACCCCGATGGTACGAATGATTAAGTGGAAAAGTGACCACGCCATGTAAACTTTGTTGATGGGGTAGCGATCATTTGCTGATGGGGCAAGTCCTTCGTACAACTGAATTAGGTAGCAAAAATCATGATAAGCACTTATCACACCATTGCATATTTAAATTGTTCCCTATTTGTGTACCTGTCGACACACAAAGAAAATATCTGTAATGTACGAGAGCCAAATCAACGGAGAAAGCAATTGGTTTCCCTCCTCCAACAATTTCGTGATCAGCAAGAAATTTCGCCTTACATTCGCCCACGACACGGTTCCTGATTCAGTATGGCATTTCAAACAAAAATCACACATTACCCCATAACTAAGATAATTTAGATAATTTACCCTTCTTAATTAAACACACACTCCCATCCGGTACCATCAAGCTTTCAATGAAACTGTTCAAACTGGCATATCTGGCGTACAAGGCTCGTGAAAAGATCATTAAAAAAATGTCGCCAAAATTCCACGCATACGTGGCCAACTTATTCGTGAAAAGTAGACCGAGAGTGACAGCCGGAGAGTAGTTGAAGAAGGGGAAAATATACTGGTTTGAATTATAGTAGTCGCGGAGAACCTCTTCGAATGTTAGAGAACCTAGAAAAAAATAGTGGATTTATTTTCTTTTAATTAATAATTAGTCAGTCTCAATGTATGCACATCATTTGCATAAAAACGCACCCATGCGACCGCGTTGTTGGGGTCTCATCGCGTGAAAATGAAACAGGGTATTTTCAGCCAAGCAGTCGAGAAGCACGAGAATGCAGATGAGATTCACATCTCGACAAATGTTCCAGTCTGGTTGCAACGTGTCGCAGATTTGTTCAGACACTTTGACCCAATGTCCAAAGTAGGCGCAGAGACGTTTCGATCTCAGCAGGAAGAAGGCGTACACCAAGGTGCCGGCGGTGTAAAACCACACCCCGCTGAAGGAAAGGACGAGTGATCTACATAAAAAGAAGGATCTGAAATTTTATGTAGGGTAGGAAAAAAACTAGAAAAAAACTAACCCAGCCGAGTTATTCTGTTTTGAAATGATCCCAATGAAAAAGGAATGCGTAATGAAAAACGTGTTCAAAAAGATGAGAAATGTCACAATTATCGTGATCAAAGTTCGGATGTGTTTCCATCTGAAAAATTGACGTATTTATTTAATTCCATACTAATTGTCATCCTAAATTTTCTGAAATTTACCCAAATACTTGCTTGTCCGGGTGGAAACATTCCTCTCGAAGTCCTCTGATTGGGATAAGACCGAAACAAGCCCCGATTATAATGGGCATTCGCAGCACGGCGTAAAGATCGTCGCCCCCTTTGGGGTGAATTGTCCAGTCAGTTGTTACCTTTCGAATGTTCCCATTTAACGAGGAGGACAGTGTTTTCGAGGTGTGTGAATAGTAAAAATCTTGAGGTTGTGAAAAATAAGGGGATTGATCTGATGATTTTTGAGAATTTCGGGTGAAATGAAACATTAAAATGTCCGTGTTTGATCGACTGAATCCGAGACGGTGGTTGTGGGGGTGATTTTCAGAGTCGTCTAAAAGGATGGGGTTTATTGGGGAGGTTTTCATCATATTTAGCAATTAATTGACAAGTTTTCGATATTTTTAATACTTTCGACTTAGTTCCAGTGCAATACTTCTTAAAATTTAGTTTTGCTTATCCAACCAAGTACGATAAGTAACTTGTACAGAAAATCGTACATACCTGGAGAACTCGAAATAATATTGAATACTAATTGACACCAAATCAATCTAAAATACAAGACAAATATTTCGCTTGTCTTAAATAAGCAAAAGACAAAAAATATCAATGTTTATCCATGCCATGCAAAATCCATATATTTATTTCTTTTCCACTTCAATCAATCATAAATTGTTTCATGTTTAAGCAAACATCTTTTTGCCCTGTTTCATAACAATGTCTGAGGTCAAACTCAAGGTTACAATCCAACAAAAATGTCTAATACCCGCAAAAAATACATACATAACTGGACTGTTCTTACCACTACAAATGTCAATAATCGCTCATCGTAATTACAATTCCACCAATTGAAATAAATACCAACTTTTTTTCACTAGTTTTTTCTCCTCGACATACTTGTTCCTACTTTTTCCTTCCTTCCGAGTTCCGTCCATAAAATCCATCAAGCACTTAAACGCATAATCAGAGAGAAATGAGAAATAGGATATTTTTTTCTGGCCCCCAATTTGACAGACAGATAAGAAAGCACCGTTGTTAAATATGTTGTCTTAAGAAGAGGGCCTTCTTTTTCTCATGTTGCACATTAAATAATGAACTCAATCATTCCCACCCACCAGTGCAGTCGTAAGAAAGAAGTGAGGTGACTGTCAATAAAAATGAGGTTCGTTACTTACTTTACTTTACTTTCATGATGTCTCTCTAACCACAATAAATACCCGTCGTCTGATTTCTTGGCATGGTAAAATAAAAAGATAAACTTTTTTTACGGTTCGCCAAAATGACAAGTTCAATGTTCCACTTGATTTCTTTACGTAACGTAACCCAAGTCAGACAGTTGGATATTTGATGAAAATTGCGAGAAATTTTCTTCCTCTTTTGTCTTTTGTATTCAAGTTTATTTTTTTGCAAGGAGCAGAAAATCGTTCACTTTTTCATATATCATCATCCCATTTTAGAATTTCCCATTGTTTCCTAAACTATTATAGTAACCATTGTTTAAGTCATGTTAAGATCTTGCATCAATTATGCAAATAATCATCACACATTTCTGCAGAAAAAAAGTTCGGGTAACTGCCAATTTTAGATTTCGTGTCAGTATAAAACAATAGAAATGACTGCATGTCGAGGAGTGAAGAGCAATTTCAAGAGACAAGGAAGAACGGTACATTGTCAATTCCGACAAAAGGGTTGACAAGTATAATGTCATTGATTATGTATTGACGTTTATATGTATGTACATATGTAAGAGAGGAGCTTCGTCATTAAATTGTCCATCGTGATGACACTGGTGACCTAAAAGATAAGATTATCTTGCATTATTATTTTACACTTATTTTCCAAGTGTACTCTATGTAATTCTATTTTAGATGTATTTCTGAATATATAGGTAGAAGGTGAAAATTGTAACTAGCATTTGATATCCTACGGTTTGGGAGGACATTTTAAAAAAATACAATTTATTGATAGCTCTTGATCCTACTTCAAGTCAATTGATTTACATTTTGTTTGGAATGGGTATAGGTATAACCGACGGAGGGATCTTTGGTTAATTTAATGTTACAAAAACTTATAAAACTACTCTTTGACGTGCAAATTATTCAATTCTGAGAAAAAAGATATTAGTGAGGAGCATTAATGATTTGTGTTTAATGACAAATAAATCAGTACATGTACGAGATTAGATTTTGTTTATTCACAAACCAATCCGCTATCCAATCCGCTAATCTAATTGTAAGTGTACCAGAGGTTGACGCCGCCTCTGCCGAAAAATCGCCAAAACTGGTCCGCGTCGACCTCTGAATTGTACAAACCATTGATACTAAACTCTTTTGGAGAATGTTTTTTCTCCACTTTTCGGGAACAATCCTCCTCTAAATCCTCCTAATGTCGATTTAATGCTAGTTCTCGAATAGTTGAATACCCCTCACATGTAATAAAATTTGTCTTAAACGACAACATTTTATTGCCCCTCTCTCTACATCCAACATTCTCCAAACACTCTCCATAAAAAACTACATAAATTGGAAAAACTCTCCAAAAATATCGAGCTAAAAATGCACATCAAATACACACCACAAAACACTACCCGAAAGTTATTTTTTGCAGTTAAAGAGACAACGATTACATGCAGGGATAAAGAGTTACGTAATAAACGACGACGACAATCGACAGACAATAAAAGATGCGTTCTTACTAATCTTGATGCTTGGATTCGCTCGGATTCTCATTATAGTGGAGAAGATGAAGCAGCAGTTGTTGTGATGTTATGCTCATCCTCACAACATTTTTGAATGGTAATTGTTAAACCGTCGTCGTATGTACACTACACCTTAAAATAAGTTCGGAAAGTTGGGAATGTCCGTTATGCACGGGCAGCCTCAATATCACCGGTAATCGCTTAGAAATTTATTATTTCTTGACAGGTGGATTGGATTGGTTTGGGTGTTCGCAGTGTCTCCATCGTGAATAAGATGGATTACTTTGATGTCCTGTTAATGATCCTCCTTTATTACGTACTCATCTCTAAAGGGTTTTGTTGTTTGTTGGTAAAATATTTGCTAAAATATAGCTCGTAGAAGATCGTGATATTTTCGATATTTTAGAGCTACATATTTTGACACATGATGTCAATTTATCCCTGCATTGAGGCAAAAGTCACATTTTTACAGAATTGAATTGGATGATGATAAGGTTTACAATAGCGGGACTCGCACTCCTCCACATTCGTGATCCAACTTTTTGGTGTAGCATTTTATTTATCGCACTCATCTTTGTGGTAAACTTTTGGTTAAAGTAAAGCACAACCCCACACACGGCGAAAAACAGATTTGAAACTCATCTCATCTGCATTACGACGAGGGATTCTCATCTTATTCACTCCACTTGAGGTGCGTGCATATCGTGGCTTCTTCACCATCGTTTAATGTGTGTTATAGTAAGAAGATGAAGACGATGAGGGAGCAAAGTAAAAAGGGATGAACAAAGGACGACGCGGTGGTTGGTTTGGTTTGCGTCTGAAAATTCGGTGGAGGCAAAGTCATCTCCAAGTAATTTAAAGATTGTCTTAGTTTCATCTTTGTCAACCAACCGAACTGAAGGCTCGATCCGAACTTGGAAATATTTCGAAAGAGTTGAGAAATATAAGGAAATTTTCGAAATTTGTGAATTTTTGGTATAAATAAACTATATAATTGTGGAAAATTAATTTGAGTGAAATTAACCAAGTTTCTCAGTGTAATCCGTTTGCAAATTATGTGAAATTATACTTGTGTAGCTTAATTTTTCATGAAATTGTGACGTTCTTCTATTTAAAAATAATACAAATTAGAGCTTGAATAATAATCTCACAAAAATGACGAGAAAATCAACAACACAGAAAACTGTCCAGTTCCAAATAGGATTTCTTGTCGCGTTTAGCAAATTCTTTTGCGTGCTGGGACAAAATTATGAAGGTGGGTGTTCCTCCCCAAATTTTATCACACCTTTTTCCCCAAAATCATAAAAAATATGTATACTCATAAAATTGTAATTACTCTGTTAACAGTGGCTGACATAGATTGCGCAATCGGCACGGGTGGCAAAGAACTTTTGACGGCGAGGCTCCGGAGACCCGATGGTTTCAGGGGGATGCCAATTTTTGCCGATGATCGCGGCCAATTATTAAAGGAACCTTCCATGCCTGCAATAATTCCGCAAGAATTGTCGGAAGACGTACCCTGTCAAATCTTGCCGGATCCTATCGACGGTTCTGGCAGGGTTTTCAAACTTCGCATAACCGATTTTAGTCAGTGTGGCGTCATGAAAAGAAATGTAAGTCTTTATTTATTGCCCATCAAAAGCAAACACAACTCGGTTTAATTGGACATAAATGAGCACCTTGAGCCAAGAAGCATTGCCATTTTTGGGGAAAAAAGAGTAAAAAACCTAAGCTTTACTTCCGGATGCTTCCACCTCCTCCTCCAAAATTCAGGCTGAATGAGTATAATGATATCATTCTAGGCCTATATCAACTAACTAAACTCGGTGTATTTTAAGGGTATTTAGATAATATAAGTAATCTAATGCGTTTCATGGTGATGATGATAACTAGGCAAAAAACACTAGTGGAATAGTAGAGCCCATTGTTATCTATCGCTCTACTAGTGAAATGTTACATAAAACCGCAACCTGAATGCACGCAGTTTGTTTTTCAGTGTGGATTTTGCCATAAATTTTCTTGATGCCATAAATTATGGAGTTTGCAATTTTTTTAAGTGTGAAATATAATTTCCGTAGGTCAGTAAGAAATTGTACATATTTTTTCAATTAACAATTACTCAAAAATTCAGAAATAATGCAATGTATAAAAGAAGAACTGTCAATGCTCAATTTTCAATTAATCGAATCACATTCCGGTAAAAATTGACGTTTATATAAAGGAAATTGGTGATGGGATAAGAAGAGATCAGTCTCATTGCAATCAAATCATCCGGTTTTCCTTCTCATAATGGAAACTGTTTCTTTCAAAGAAAAACCTCACCAAGATTTCCCAAGTTTATTAACACAAGCAGCAGCAGCGGTCTCCAAATGCCACCATTCATTCATTACACAATCCAATTCAAAGACCTTCAACCTGTTCAAGTTGAATTTGATTTGATTTAGCAAACTTTTAGGCGTTGAGATAATTAAACACCGTTCCTCCAAAACCGTTCGGATTTAGATGTCTGTTCCTCCTGTCATGTCAGTCAATCCGTTAAACCACACAACAAAAACAAGTTTATCACATGGGGTTGGTGTCTTGCTTGCTACTCCCATTCTGTCAAAACCAAATCACAATTCCATTCTAGATCCCAGGAAAGTTTCAAAAATCATTTAACAATCAGTGTCAATTCAAAGTGGTTCCATAGGATAATTAAAGGCTTCTTATTATGTCGTACCTACCAGAAAAAAATAGGTAGGTACACGTTATTTAGTCGGTCTTGTTGTTTCCTAACAAGCCAACTCATCCATGAAAGATGAGACAAACCAAGACCACAGGTAACATTCTTCCAACTCGTATTTAGTATTTGGCTATTTTTATCCTTCAAAAAAAAAATAAATCCAACCAAACTAAGAAATGACAAGTCAGTATTTTTAGTTACATGACTGAATCGGTGGAATTGTAAATTGTCACTCGGCAAGCTCGTTTAAATCAATGACTACTAAAACACACAGAAAAACGCAGTTCTCAATTCTTAGAATATAATAAACAACCTGCCAATAAACGACATCCGGTAATAATTAGCCAATTGCAATGTCATCCATTTATAGTGGTTTTGCGGAAGTGATTTATTAGAATTTTGTAAAAAAAAGGTAGTGATTGGAATCAACTATGTCATTCTTCCGATCAATGAATACTATTCCTCTTGTCGACCAAAGTAACCAATAAAGTCGGTTATTTTAATTCTTGCATGATGACTTTGTCATGGTTGTGACTGATTGATCGTGGCGTTCCGGTGGTTTTTAACAGTTAGCAAACGAGTCTGCAGCAGCACAGGAAAAAGAAGAAAAAGTTGACACTTGTACATCCAAAAGTTTCGTGGTTCCGGTGGGGTGGCGTCTCTTTCTCGCTATTTTTGGTAAATTATGTAGTGGCCGACCTGATGATGGACGGTTCGTGCCGATGATTATCTAGGATTAGGGCAACATTGCCGAATAACATTTATAGCTTTATGTCAGCCTCGCAGAATTGAATCATCACAAATCAGCAGAAATATTATTGTTGTGCGAATTATGCCGTTACTTGTGGACACAGAAACATACCATATTTTTGATTTGGTCGAGTAAAATGCAGTTTTTTTTATGTCAGACATTTTCATAACCTTGTTATGCATTTAAAGAAATCCAGGTTATTAGCAATTATGCGGTATAATTATTTGCTCGTATAGGACACACTTTTGTAAATAAATTCGCACATTTTGGTGAATGAAATCGTATGTTTTTTCTGCAGCAAGATGGATTAGCATTTTTTATGCACAGGTAATTTTATAGTGAAACCTTTACCTGTGTATTTTTTTACGGTATGGTAACAACAACACAAGCAACCAGACCACGCACTGTATTGTGCTGCATAGTGTCATGAAATCATCAAAAAGCTGACTTTTTCTCTTCCACCCTCATTCTTATTAAACAATTAGTTCCGCTACATCAATTTATGTCATGGCATGGCATCATCTTATCGTTTTTGATACAATAGTTACAAAAAAGACGACGAATACGAATACACAATTCATGTGAATGACGACTGTTTTTTTTTATTTACTAGAATGTGTTGCATTTCATGAATTAATCTGATTTTTTTTGCTCAGGGGTTTATCCATGTTCGGGTGTGGTTCCCTCAACTTCCTGGTGTCGTGATGCTGTCGGATCAAGAGGTGCGCATCAAATTTTAATAAAACATCATTTTTTCAGGTTATCAAAATTAATTATAAAATTGATTTATTCAGGTCATCATAATGTGCAAACCTCCAGCTGCAACGATTGTACAAAGCAAAACGGCAGGCTTCGCCGGTAGCATGTAAGTCAACCGCTTTTAAATTGACCTTTTCTTTTGATACCTACTTTACTCAAAAATAATTAAAATGCAACAATTTCAGTCACACTACTGTACACTAAAATATTTAGTAAATGCTGTTTTTTCTGTGTAAGCAATACGTGACCCCTGCTGCATTTGCATTATCACGTGAATGACATGGTTTGACCACAGACCACAATTAACAGAGCGGACACCTTGAACCTACACATAATGATAATCTTCTTCCTGCTTATAAAAGTGACACATATATCACCAACAAACCAAAATTAAGCTTTCGCGAGGCTGCTGCCCTTCGCCATTGTTTCAATTTGTAGTGTGCGTACTGGCAAAAATTCCGTTATTGAGTGAATTAAAGTGGCATTTCGCTCAAAAATGGTATCTCATCTCGCAAAAGAATGTTCCGTTAGGTTGCATGCAATTAAAAACCTTTCGTGTACATATGCATTAAAAAATTAAGCAGTTACAAATTAAATGACAATTAATTTACGTCTCAACAGCCCTTCGGGAGCCAGGATAAGTGGAATTGTGGAAGAATCGCCGGGCAGGTTGGAGTACGAGGTGGCGTTATACAGAGGTAGTGAAATTACAGGGTTATCATAAATATTAGTATTTACTTTCATTTTTGTAATTGTTACATATAAAAAATGTGTATGTACTAGAAACCGCGACGACATCATCATTAGCGGCGAGAAGTTCTTCCTCGGCGTACATCACGGGGGCGGATTCCCACGAACTTCCGGTCGATCAAGCTGGTAAGGATTTGTTTAATTCCTTTTTAATTGTTATTTGTCTTTTATTTTGATTTTTTACGATTTTTTAAATGATTTACTAGTCCCAATTGGAACGAGATTGCAACTCAGGGCGAAAATTAATCCGGATTCAGGTAGTGAAAGTTATTTAAGTCACTTGACACTTTTCTCGAGACTAATCGTAATTGTAATTTAGCTTGGAAACACGCAAAATTGATGGAAGTTTCAGTATCACCGGATCCCAAAAATCCAAATGCAGACGGATCTGTATCCTTAGTACGAGACGGGTAATGACACAGAAGAATATACAATTTAACCGTCCATGGCAGATTCTCATCTGAAGATTTATTTTAGTTTTTATATTTTTTAATTTTTTTTGTAATAGGTGTCGAAACGCTGATTTAGCCTCCATAATTCCGAAGCAGTAAGATCTTATCGTTAAATATTACTTAAACATAATAAACTTTAAATATTACTAAATATTACTTTATCGATAAGACCTTATCGATACAAGGAGCGTACGAATGAGGTCGTTTTAGATTTTGAGGCCTTCCTATTGTCAAACATGGCGGATAGAAGCACATTATGGCTCCATACGCAAATTAAGGTATTAACTATTAGTAAATTAATTAATTTTTACGGTATTTATTTAATCATTTACTTATTTCAAGGCTTGCATGGAATCGCAAGATTGTCACCCCGTAAGAATTTTTAAAGAAATTGCAGAACCAAAGCTATGAAAAGTTTTCTTCCCGTTAAGAATTTCTTTATGTATTTTTAACTCAAGCAGGAATTTTGCATGGACGTCTATCAACCGAGCGGATACGGGAAGAAGAGACGGCGTCGAAACATCCACAACAATGGACATCCAATTGGGGCAACTTCTTCGATCAGCATGTCGAAATCTAACGCCACATCGATGGACTATTCCGCCCCTCTCTCGCAACATTGGACGACATTTGCGGACGAGATAATAATCGATAACGCGTCAGAAAGGGATGAAAAATCGACAACAGTGATTAAAAACTCGACAAAGATAAAGACATTGAACGAACTGCTGAACAGTGTCAATTCTGCACGAGATGATCCCATCGGTTTGATATCACTTCCGATCCCATCCTCGGAAACTAAGAGGGACGGATTATACGTGCACAAAGAGGATATTGAGGCGACGATGAGAAAATATTTACCGAAAAGTTCCACCCCCATGACAACTACGACCACGTTCAGGTCCACGACGACACTGCCGAGCAATAAAAATAGGGACAGCGGAGGGGACTCGACTAATTTTGGGGACAATATCGGATTTTCTGTCATAATGCCGTCCGGTACGGATTCTCACATTTTTGTGTCGCAAAAAACGACAAAATTTTACAGATTTTTTTACATACTTTATACTTTAGATTACTACCGGTCAACGAATGTCTTATCTTCGTCGTATGAATGTCGTGCATGGGCAACGGCAACATTGGTCTCACTTCTGGCCGCAGTAATTTCCGCAATTGTGGCCTGCGCGATAGGATATAAAATGAAACGGTCTGGCTCTGCGAAGGAAAGGGCGCTCTATTCCATGCAACCGCATGGCCCGCTTTCAAATATGATGCGACCACATGTCAAAGGCAAAAACCAAATTAAGCATTAATTGCGTTAATTAAAATATAATCATTCTTTAATTAAATAATTTCCTTATTAATATTAGATATCCACATGTCATCCGGATCTGATAACGTCCCCAAGATGCGCGACAGTGGACAACTCTTTCACAAATATGCTCGAGACCCATCAATCTACAGATCATAATCGTAAATTTCCAGAAAGATTTCTCAATTTTTGGTTACCGTAATTGTACGTAAGTAATGAGTGACTTATTAAGAATACAGATTTATTTACATATGTAAGTAGGGCAGGCAAGTGAGTTATTAATGTACAACATAGGGTTTAATGGGCTAGCTATTAATAACCTGAAGGGGTATTAGTTTTTAAGCTATTTGTTATTACTACTTTTTGTGGATATTTATTTATTTATTTACTGTTTTTGTCGAATAAAGTTAAACAATCTTCTTTAAATTGACGACTCACTGCGAAAGTATGTATTTTGAGGTACTTATGTAGATATTGGTCACTTTTAATTGATGACAAACTATGCAAATATGACAAGCTTCATTTAGCATTCCTCTACTCCTGCAACATATTTATAACGCGTATGTATTTAGTAAATAGGTAGGTAGCAATATTTAGTAGTAGTAGGATTTTATTTATTTGTGACATAACAATTGAGTCATGTTGCCAGCAGCATGAGTGTACCACCTAATGGGAGCTTTTCGTTTTCGTTATTAACGCAACTTAGCACTTTTAATTCTCATCTCCGGGTTTTTCTTAAACGCAACTTAAGCACGACGACCAATTCTTTCTTCTCAATGGACCACTGAAGGTTTATAACGATACACAAATAATGTGTCTCGACTAACTAATAGCACCATAAGTACAAGACCAAGCAGCCTATGTATAATATCTCTAAAATGGAACACAAGCCATGTAACAACACCTTTTCTCTCCTCCTGGCCTGGCCTGGCTGCTAATTGCCTTTGCCATCATCATCCTCTAACTACAATTAGTATTCGTATTAGTCAGCTAAAACCTCCTCCTTCTCGTCGTCGTCGTCGTGGTCGTCACCTCATCTGCATGGACTTCATAATCTTTTAAAAAAGCTTGCCTCTCAAAATCTATATCTCGTGGTTTTCTTCTTCTGTTACACGGGTGATGCATCATATATAGCAGCACTCGCATTTTATTGTTATTGCACTTCTTACTCTTTGCAAAGACTCATTCATCATCATCATATTTAACAAATTCATATCGAATCGTTGGAGGATAAGTCACCAACCAAGTCAGCATCATCATTCAACACTTGAGACTCAAGTATTTACAACCATATTTTACTTGCAAGGAGTTGGATGGATACGTCGTCTCCCTGAACAATTTTATAGTACAGGAGCTAAACAAACGAGAAAAAGTCTTGTCATCACTGCCACCCTGAATTTTATTATTACGCTTTGTTCAATTTAATTGCGAAATTTCATTTGCCCGTGACATTTTCGTTTCATGAATCAGAACAAGTCTTGATGAATGAATTGCTGGTGAGAAACAGTTTCCGTCTTGAAAAAAAGTTGGGATCGTGTCGTTGTCTCAAATCTGCCCAATTTCGCAATTACTTATCTATCACGCTGGGGAATAATGCATCGGAAAGTGCACATTAAGTATTGATTGAGTGAAAGTGAGGATAAGTTTAGCACCAATTTCGTCGTCCAGAAACGAGAAGGGGAGAGAGACCGGCTACGACATGGTCACTGCTTGTTTGTGCCTCCCGTTGTCAACGGGAGTGAAAATTATTGCCTTCATGTCCATCGTAAGTATTTTATGGGTTAATTCTATTGCGTAAATTATGTCGTTGATTTAATACTATAATTGTAATAGCATGTTGCAAATCCAAATTTCATATTGTATGTACAAGTGTAGAAGCGTCTCACCTGATTTCTGAAAAAATATATGAATTTCTTAAAATTTCAATTATGGTTTTTTGCTTTGACAAGTTTGAACAAATAAAAATATTCGCATGTGGAATCGCATGTGAACTCATGTTCTGTAGGAATTATAGTTTCGATTTTTATGAAAATTTTAATTTTTATATAATGCAGCTTGGATTGAAGATATCTAATAAGTCAAATTAAAATATAAACAAGTTCAGAAATTTATGACACAGACTTTAAAGTTTGACAAAAATTTAACAAGAAAAAATACTCAAATTGGTATATCTGTATCTTAGAATCATGTCTCTTAATTGATGACAATAAACTTAGTAATTTTATGGATGAGTCATGCTCCAGAATTAATTAAGTATTTAAAGCGAGAAGGTGGCATAGATTATTGGTTCCTCTCACACAACCAACCACGCATGGACCTCGCCATCAACAAATTACCTGTACAAATTGCATAATCCATTAGCATATCGTTTGTGCGAGCAGGAAAAATAACTTTCCACTTTTAAAGTTTTTATTATCAAGACGACGATAAATATGAGTAATCTGATCGTCAAATTTATCAAGTACAAATCAGCAACGTTTGACAATTTATTTATACAACTAAATGCACTTGACGATTTGGGATGAATACAGTATGCAGATTTTTCGATCAAGTATTTAAATATGCTTCTGTGACGTTAGGATGAGATCATTCGTCAGTATTAAGTCAAGCCCAATTCCTCAAGTGGTCTTGTAAACGAAGCCGGCATTAAAATTGCTATGCTGACCTTGTAACTCCTTTGATAAGTCAAGTACCAAAATGGTACCACGTTTAAGGACAAGTTGAAGAAGTCTGGACAAGATTAAATACACTTTGTTAATTCATTTAACTCAAGTCGTCTTCTTAATAGCTCGTCCTAATGTTGAATGAATCGATTTAAAATGTCTGCTTAATATCCCGTTTTCTGGAACATTAATCCTTGTACAAACTTTTAGTGTGAGTGACTAATTGTAAGCGTAGGATTCATGTAATGACTCATTTTCACTAATTTCTACCACCATCATTGCATTTCAATTAGCTTCTCTTCCGTTCCTTGCAACAAATCTTTGACTCAGATGTGATCACGCTGTTCAACTTCCTGCTACTGGAATACAGATAAATGATACATGCTATCGAATCTGTTCCTCAAATTAATAAGGCTAAGACTGCAGTTTTTTTAGTATTCAATTAAATTTCCGTTTTATACGATGCACCCGGAACGCGCTATGCAACTTAAAACTTATGTATGTACTTACAGTGAATACCAATATTGCACCAGACCGTAGTACACCACACCAACAAGCAATGCGTTTTGCAATGCTAATTAAATCGTGGTTAATATAAATATTTGCATACCAGGTCAATGGACAGATTTCTTCTTGTGAAATATGTACCACGTGAGAACGTGATTTGGCAGATTAATGCTAAAATTTCGTGGTGACATTCGTAAAGTTTAGGTCAATGTTAGGTCCATATTTAAATAAATAGTTAAAAAATGCTGAATTTTAAACTATGAATTCTATATTTTCAGCTGATCGGTATCGCCGTGGGGTCCGTATCGAGCTGGTGCCTTCACAGGGCGGTGCAAGCCTGGAAAAACCCCACCCTTCGGACAGCCACCACGCTGCTCTCTCAGGTCAACACGTTCTTCGGGGGAACGACGGGTCTCTACGACTTGGAAGTCATTTACCGAATTATCACCGCCTGCAGTGCAGTCGCTCTCATTGGAGGATTCGTCCAATTTTTGATGTCATTTTGGCTCCTACTCGCAGCATCTCAGGTATCAAATGCTTGTTTTGATTCGGTTGATAAAACTTGGCAAAATATATTTACCCATAAAGAACAAATGAGTCATGATGATATATGCCATGTTTTACTACTAAATGGTAATCCAAGGATATTTAATTTAGCACGGAGCATCGTAAACCTTGCTTCATTGGTGTAACCTTAATTTCATTTAAAAATGTCATATAAGTCGTGTAAACGTCATATAAATATTAAGTAATAATGTGGCATGAAAATAACTGCACCCATCACTCCACTCCATTTTACTTTACTACGACACATATCCAATCCAACTGCGGGTAAAATAGATGGTGGAAGCAGGCTTAAAGCATAATTAAAAGTCCACGTGGAATACAAACTACTTCCGTATTATTATCTCTAAGCAAGTTGCATTCATTATTTGCATCGCACAATTTACACATCTCATCTCACCTCAGAAAACCTCGGAGACGACAATGTAGCATGAAAAACAGTGTTTTTTTTATGCGTCTCGCACTTCCCAACTGAACGACAATTGCTTTGCTGCTGCTGCTGCTCGTATTTAGCTTTCAAAATCGTCAATACAATATTGTTGCATCATGAACTGGGCTCAAAGTGGTGTGGGTGTGCAGGCAGCACAAATTGTCAGAGTCAAGAAACTCAGGTAGGATTCAGTAATGTGAAATTTAGTCAGTGCGTAATTATTTAGCTGAAGAAATTAGCAAGTTTGGCAGGAATTAGTTAAACATACGCACCGAGAGAGAGAGATAAAAGATGATGAGAAATGTTGACATAACGGGAAGTGCACGCAACGGTTCAATCGTGATTTACTGCCTGATGCACTTAATAGCAGAATTTAAAGAATATGCAAGTATAGCGATGGTTTTAGAATAGGGTCGATTAGTTGAAGGGTGTCAAGTGGTGTGGATGAGACTAAAATGATGATACACAGATTTAAACGACGGATTAGTGAGGTATTTTGAGACTCGAATATTTCTAAAGCTTCGAGAATAATAAGTTAAAAAAAGCATGAAATGACCAAATGACATCACAATGTATTTATGCCAAATTACCCAACTTGCAAGATAAATATTTTCAAAATATTTTCATCCTTTTTTTACACAAACTCAAATATTTTTACACTGCATCAGCAGAAGGATGTCAGCTTAAACGACACAAGTTTCGCACATGTTATGTTATTTTGTTTGATTTGCAAATCAGTGTGAAAACTTTCTCCTTTTGTATTTGCATCTAAATTTCGACGGAGATACATACTTTGTTTTTGCTTTATGTTGCAGGGTGGCCGAAATATGGCCAGAGTTTGGGTCATCGTCCACATCGGTGTCATCTGTGCCATTGGGGGAGGATTTTTATGCATAATTACCAACGAGCTGGAAATCAATAGAGCGCTGACGGTCTTTCTGGCCGTCACGGGGACAGATTTCCTTCTCCTCATCTATTTCGTTTGGGTCGTGTTCGCCTACAGCAGGTCCGGCCATGAGTCAGACGTGTGAAGTGAATCACGACAAAAATTACGTATTTTTCACCCCTAATTTTTATCGCTACTCTCATTACAACCAGTAAAAAATAACCGATTTATGTAGAGTAAAACATAAAAAGTACAAGATTTACGATTTGTTTTTAATAATTTTACTTTAAGCTGTACAATACTGCCATACGCTAATAAATTGTTTGTAATTTTCAACTTTTTTATTACTCATTGTTCTCAAATCTTATATCTTTTAAGAGATTTTAGCTTTTATTGAGTAATACATATGCCATATTATGATGGAATTGGAGCAGATAAACCAAAGTGTAAAAGTAAATATTGGTCGGTATTTCCTTCCTCAGAGGTGTAAATACCGGTGTTTTGCTAGCACTATAAAAACGGTTCAAGTTACCTTTATTAAGTATTCTACCGTCTGCAATAAATGTTTTGTAGTTTGCGTATCTTTTTTTGCAAGTAGTGTAGCAGTTAGAAAACTATAATAATTACATAAAGTTTGGTTGTTAATAAATGTATAATTAATTAATTACTGGTCAGTTTTAGTGCTAGAAAATTTTTAATGTATGAAAAAATGCGTGTGTTGTTTTCTTCCTTATGTAAATTATGTATTAATTACGACAGGGATGGGTGGGTATGGTCGAGTGAGCTGAAATAGTCAATGTAAATTTCGACATAATTTTTACAACTTACTGTAACTTAAAAACGCTGCTGCAAATATTTAATGTTACATATTTAACCTATTTTATACACGTCGTAAACCTATGTAAGTTTGTACATATGATGCAATTACATAAAGGAAAGAGGAAACTATTATCTGTTTAGTTAAATAAGTTAGGTTGTTGATAGATGCTAAATAAGATTCATATTCTGTAATAAAATAAAATTTTATGTCGCCACAAATATTTTAACGTGCGTTGAAATCTTATTGATTTAGGAGGGTCGAGTAATTAATTTAACTGAGCCAGGGTTACAATTGGTTTCGTGGTGGTGGTGAGGCGTGAAATCGAAACGGAAAGTTATGCGAATCAGGATAACCGTAGGGAAATAAATTATAGAATAATATCCCTTTTATAGGATTGCGTAGTGGTTATCATTGCCACATTATCATTATCACCATGCGTGGTACCTTATCTGCACGGTAATGTCGTCCAGCCCACCCATACACATTTTAGTGGGGGAAAAATCACGTGAATCTGAAGCAAATCCCATTTAACCTCATGATCCCTGTTTAACGAAAAGTGAGTGAGTTTCCGAGAGTAATTTGCAATATTACAAACACACAGAGTTCTGGTCATGATTTGCATGCAAATGGAGTCCCTTTACATGTTGAATGTTAAGAGTTGGGGGAGCAGTGATGGAGTGGATAGAATTCTCGGTTAGTGGTTTTGCTTGTGCACAAATCGGAGAGGAATCTGGTACTAAGAAGATCACATAATTTGCATAATACCCCCACCCGGCATGGGTACTTTATTTCAGCCATAATAATGAATCTCTCTCTCTCTCTCTCTCTGAGCTCTATACCGGGGTTTATTGGCAAAAGAAGCTAGAGTCGCAGGCCAGACAGCCAACGGGGAGAGTGGTATCAAGGGATTGTGTCTGTATTGTTTCTTAAAAAATGTAAAAAAACATGTTTTTGCAAAGTTTTAATAACAAATTAGGTTGGCTTTGTGCAAGAATTTTTGGTACAAGCGTGCATTCACCTGCATTCTGCACCCCTGAGGTCGAATTTGCACATGACCTTGCACACAGATTGGCGCAATATCTATTTGCAAAAGTAGCTGTCGCATTGAGTCTCACGACGGCAGAATTGAAATTACTCTTTACGTTATTACCAGAAAATTACACAATTACTATTTCAGTCATGTGTCAGGTCGCACTTTTTTCTCAAAGTGACAACCCAGTGCGACTCGCCCATATATTATCGAGCAGAAGTCCTAAGATTCTATAAGAAGTGGGTAATCCCTTCTTCTTGTCAGGATCAAAAAAGAGTTTCTACCATTTAAAGTGCTTTCATGCCTTTTGTCACTTGCAAAGTCCAACTAATGTGACACTAGGATGTGAAATGTGGCTAAAACTTTGGCAATTTGGAATTCATAAGTAGATACGAGGTTGAATTTGACACTGGAGGAGAATGGGGCGTATAAAGGGAGAAACTCTGGCCACCAAAATCCCCCTCCAGTTAGCGCATCGTTATAAGTATAGCAAATTTTATTGGAAAATTGTCATGAGAAAATGCAATACGGATCGTGGTCCCGTATGTAAAATGAGTTTCAAGTTGAATGCCCACCACCGACCGACGGACCCACGCCCATTTACTGACTGCAAGTCCGAAAATCGGGCCATACAACAATTTGGCGAACGGCAAGGTGGCAAATTCTCTCGTCAGTCTCGAAATATGCGAAATATGTACATACATAAAGTTACATAACTCACCCATCTTCACCCCTGACTTGGTTCCATGTTGCATTGACATGGCTGTTTTTCTGACAAATTTCTGCTTTTACTTACCACACGAATTGCCAGGTTTGCCAAAAATCTCAAATATTTTTTGCTAACGAAACCTTTGCCAAAAATCCACCGCTGTGTGCAAAGGATCGTCTGCATACGCTTGGCTTGGCCTCCTTCCGGGGAGGGCTAGCTAACTCTACAATTTGGCATGACGGTGGTGCAGCAGCTCAGATACCGGGTAGAGTGGATACATGGAGAGAAGAAATACTGAACTGGCTACCCGGGTGGGTGCGTGGGTTAGGTGAAAACATATCCGAATTCGGGAGTCGAAGCAAGCAGCAGCGGAGATTGGGATTTCTAATTTATGGTCAATTCCGCTCTACGACTTGATCTCCTCAGGTGATTGTGATTGCGATTGTGTTCCTCTCCCGTGGGTTTCCTGCATGGTGGGAACTTGCCAAGCCGACGGACTTGTAGGAGATTAAGTCCAATCAACGTAATGGTCGTATTTTCTTGCCTTGTTCTTCACTTCTTCTCCATTCCACTAAAAACTAGTGTACGGGAACAATCTTTATTCCGTCCACTTGGTTTCCCTCATGTCCAAGGGCACTTATTCGGACTGACCCATACTTCCATTCACCTCTGCCTGGTCTCAAAGGTCTTTCAAGTCAAGTGACTCAATCCACGTAATTGATTGAGCAGTTGACATTTCTTTCACCCCCGCATTCCAAGCGTATCTATAAAGGTGTAAAGTTGCAGGATAATGCAATCCATCCAAGTCACACGGTTGCAATTTGGCCTCCTGGGCTGTGTCGACGTATCACACCGTTTCACACACGTCGTACGTATGAACGAGTCCCATCCGGCGACGACTCCGTATAATAAATCCCAACCTGAATTCGTTCCTCCACAACGAAAAATATATAACAAATGGCATTTTTACCCACTTTTTTGCAAGTGAAAGAGAAATGCATAAAGTGAAACTTATCCAGAAAAACGACAGAATAAAGAACACGACAAGATCTACAGTTTTTCTTCTTCTTCTCCTACTTTCAAACTAAATTATAATCAAAACTTGTAAATTGTGCCATTTCGCCAGTTATTTCTCTAATTCTGAAGATAGAGACATGCTACGCAAGATTATTTCTTGCCTTGCACGCATTTTCCTGCATGGCCATACATTCCAACTAAAAACTAGATATCTCCTACATATCTACTTGTACAGAATGTTAATAAAAGAAGTTTATTTTTTGTTTTATTTTGCCAAATGAATCTCAAAAAGTTTCGTGCCTCGAGCTTCTCCTCTGTTGGTGATGGTTCTTCTCGTAAATGAGAATGCGGGCAAGTTCTGCTTTCACCGAAACTTTCTCCCTTATTAAATACCAACCCGTTTCTTCTTCTTCTTCTCGATGTTCTTAGGTTGTGCATGCAGTAGTAAAAATCTATACAGATTACGACTTGTTATACTAATAATACCACCACTTGCCTGGGTCGTTTCGTCCTCGGACCATGCTGTAAATACAAGCTGTTCATTCATATTTTATGAAGAAAAGGGTATAAACATTTCATAGAAGGAACAACCAGGAGGGCCCATCTGGATATTGTATAATTTATAATTTGCACTACATCCACACAATTCCATCCCACCCGCCATGCACCCTCTACTGCCTTTAATAATAATGTTATGACTGCCGATCAAAATTATTAAAATTCCAGGTATTCCGCTTCTCCAACGACCGGAGATGAAATCCGACTCGAAACTCAATCGCATTTATTATTATATTATTATACATTTTGCACAAAATCCTGTTGTGTATCGTCTCTCGGAAAGTTAATCCGCTTCCGTCGAGAGAGAAAGCAAAAGTTGATCGAGTGTGAGTCTGAGGCAGGCAGACTTTCTCCAACTTTCTCTCTCCTACCTGCATCTTGCTTCATTCTGTGATGAGTTATGTTACATACTTACGTAGCCAGCAGGTTGTAAAGAAAATAAGAAACTTTTCCACAGCAGCAAAAGCAGCCCACCCACTTTCATCTTTCCACTCTCGTTTTCATCATTTATTATAAATAAATAACCATTTGAGGCTTTATTTCATTTTGGAGTTCTGAAAGTAAGTAGCAGGCAAAAACGTTAAAAGTTACGGCTTATGTACATTCCACCCTCCATCCATCCTGAAAATAGGAGATTTTCATTCCAGGATTTTCCCCCCTTGTGAACAATACAATCCTTCCATTACACTAACAGCTAGCCGACCGACGCGCGTGGGAACAACAGAACACACGATCAAATATATTGCTTAGAGAGAGAACTTTGCATTTTACTAATGAAACAGCTCGGAATTTACTCAAAGTTCTTGAAATTTGACTAGCCTACAATGAGAAACAAGAAACAATAAACGTTCCGGGGGAAAACATGTTTAAAAGTAAAAGTTGTGCTTGGAAATAAGTGTTCCATTTCATCTTTTTGGGTAAGTATTTAGTATGTGAGGGAGCCTCTCTTTGTTTTCCCCTTTGTGTTTGTCGCCCAATAATAATATTCCTTATTGTTTATGGACTAAACTACTCGAGAGACTCGGTTTGATGAGACTGTGGGGAAGAGTTTTAGTCAGATAGTTTCGGGTCCTCTTTTCTATTATCTTTTTCCACAAAAGTGGAATTGAAATGAATATGAAGAGGAATTCGAAGTGATGCATATTATTTTTTGGAGGCTTAACTTGAATATTTCTCCTTTTTCCGGAATTACTGAAGCGTGTTGCACGTTGTTGTTGTTATTATTTGCAACTTTCTCTCATGTTTTCTATTCCTCCAAATTATCTATTTACGATGCTGCTGGATTGGATTCCGTGTCTGTGGAGGAGAGGAATTGACGCGTGACAGGGGGATACGCTAACCAGACAGAATTTTGAAGAGCTGGAGAGTTATTTATCAGTATTATTATTATCATCCATCCTTCAGGATGAATTTGATTTGATCCAAGTAAGTAAAATTGTATAGATTGCAGTATTCGCATGCAATGACATGGATGATGTGATGGACGGGTCGTTAAAATTAATGAGGATAAGGCTCTCTTCTTCAAGACTTCTTTTCAAAATTGAATGGAATTTTGAAGAATAACATATGTATAACGTCAAAAAGTTGGAAGTATCTAAAACTTTATGGTTAATTCAGTCACTCATTCCCTGGGTTGAATTGCGGTAAAGGAACGGAATTAATGTTTTTTTCCACAAATCTATACTGCCTTGGGATGTCCTCCTGCTTTTATTGGGCTGCAAGTTCAAAGAAAAAGGGATGTGAATACCAATATCTCACAATCTTTTGTACATATGTTCGTACATACGTACGTATACATTAGTGAGAGCTTATCAAGATTAAGGGAGGCGAATCTCTCTCCTCTTTTCTGAAGAGGAGGAGAGGAAGTTCTAAATTACTTTCAAGTATTTCCTCCTCCTCAGACGAAACCTTGAACCGATTTATAATCTGGTTTGCAATCCTGGCACGGAATTAAAATAAATGAATGGGATAAAGAAGAAGAACTTTGAGTATTCATGTAGTTTAATTAGGAGTGGATTAATTACGGGGAGGTGAAATAACTAAGTCTCCAATAAATTCTGGAGGCAGGCTCGAACTCGGAGAGGAAAGGTCAGGTCAGGTTCAACCAAATTGGAAATTTTTTGACGTCATTGCATCCATGCAATTCAGAGATATACGTTTAAAAGAAGCCTCGTAAGGGACACCGTGTGGGTGACCAGTCTAGTCCACTTACTTTCCCTGGATCTATTACTGACTCGTATGCACGTACGTACATTTAATCACAGTCTACCTTTCTCTTGTCCATTATTCACGATGTCTATCTATCACGTGGAGCTTTCTCTCTAAACTTACGATAACCACACGACGACCACCACCACCGCACCCACCCTACAACAAGTCTCGCTCTCTCACTTTCTCTCTCATGGAGGTGGCAGGTAGTTAATTGGACCATTTATTCATTACAACCATTTCCTTCTGTTCCTCTCCCATGAGGAATCAAGATTGGCTGGTGGCAGCTCTTTACGTTTCGTACGTTCCAGGCTATCCCATGCATGCCACGCACAGCGATTCTTGATCTTGCCTTCGTTCGCACAAACTGCTTCCACTTCTTTGATAACGTATAACACGAGGAGGGAAAGAGAAGGAAGGAGCTTTGAGCTTCCAGTCAGATATTGAGACACGTTTCCTTTTACAGCGGAGACTAGAAAGTAGAAAGAAAAGCCAGAGTTTTTACTGCATAACTTTCCCTTTTGTGCATTTGACTGAAAGAATGGAAACGAGGGAAAGCCAAGCGAGAGGAATTTGCAGCAGGTGAAATGAAATGACAGTTCTTTTGCAGTCTGTTGTATTCGTATCGGTAGCATCATCATTTCAACGTTGGATAAGTGTAATATCCATTCAACGAGAGAGAGGAAAGGTTGTTATTTTCGTTCCATTGAGGGAGAAGGAAGTCGATTGTGTTTATCGACAATGATTCCTGACTGGACTTTCTTCTCGGGAATACATTTTTAGACTGAACATGGTAGAAATGCTGAGAAAGAGGAAAGAAAAGTGATGGACAGATGCAAAGGCAAGTGAGGAAATAGACAGGTACGGTTTTCATAAGAATTTCAATGTCCGTCCGTTTATGCTCAGTTTGCATGCAATATGAAAAGGATCTATGGAAAATTTATAGAAAGTGATAGGATTCTTTGCATCGTTTTAGGAAAGCTCGGTCGAAATAACATTTAATGTCCAGAATATCAACTCATCTCTTTGGTAGGTAAATTGGCTAAAAAAAATTAATCTAAACTTCATTGCGATATTTCCACATGAATGAGTGAATAGCATATTGCATTGAGTATAAGTTTGAATCATGGACAATCTATTGTACCAAAAATAAGTTGCAGATAAAACAAAAAAAACCTATCAGTACAGCTTTGCTTAGCCCGAACCAGGTTTAGTAAACCCATGTTTCTCAGTAGTTTTCTATAAAATTATGTGCTACTATTTTACACTAATTTTTGCATTAACTTGCATCAATCTTTCGTACTACTAGGCTCCAAATTCTAAAAATATTTACTATCCATTGCCCTTGACTACTTCCCAGTGGGGGTCGCCTTTACAGCCCATATGATTAATTCGTGTTCATATTTAGCTTCGTATTATTTCATGAGAAAGCAGTAAGGATCTCTGGTCCAAATTTCAGCTTTCTATGTTAATTTCTAAAAATCGGTATGGGTCAACCCATAGGGTCGCTCTAGATTAAAATTATACCAATTTCATGTCATATTCTTGCATTAGGACCCATAAGCAACCTCTCCACCAAATTTCAGCTTGATATGACGATTTTGAAAAATCAGTATGGGTCACCCCCTAGGGTCCCTCAAGATGAAAATTTTTCCAACTTTAACTCATTTTTATCTATTAGGAGTCATTAGTAACCTCTGCGCCAAATTTCATCTTTCTACGACAATTTTGAAATTTTGGTGCATAATACCCCACCCACTCCGATGACCCCCACCGGTCCAAAACTTTTTTGATCGAACCCATCTTCGAACTCGGTCGTTGCATTGCCCAGATGCATGTCTGTACCAAATTTGGTCCAAATCGGTCAACTCGTTCGAGAGTTATCGAAAGACAGACGGACGGACAGACGGACGGACATGACGATTACATAAGCCCTGGTTCGGGCTAAAAACTAAATTTGAAAAGCAAAGCTTTTATTCAACAGGTTTTCATATTTTATACAGAAATTCTGTAACAAACGTTCATAAAATTCCATAAAATTATTTGTCGCCTTCAAAACTTTTGCATGTTTTTTTAAACCGTCAATTCTTTTGCAGCCAAACGTAATGATCGCCTCGTATTTGCATTCCCTGCGAAAGCATTTCCTCCTGTTTCTACTGGCATTTTTTGTTTCATACGTAAAACTTCATTCCTACGTCGAGTCGCTTTTGGAACTTTCACCGGCGACTTTTTTTCTTTGCGCGGTTTGGGCTTTTTCGCTGCTTTTTTCTTTGGAATCCGAACTTTGGCTTTAGGCCTCCAGTTTTTGGGTTTTGCTGACCTAGCTTTTGCCTGTGCCCTTTTAACAGCTGCGTTGTATTTTGCATTTGCGTTAGCCCTTGCCTCTTCTTCCGACTCTTTTTCTGGATCAAAGCTGAAGGGAAGGTCGTGAAGCCAGATGTAGATGTTTCGAGGGTACCCTTTCCTTGGACCGCGTTTTACGGGATCTCTTCCTTCGTCGACCTCTTTCTTCCTTCCCCAGTAGCTGCCAGCTTTAATGTACTCACTGGCAGGTTTCTTCCGCCCTCGCAAAATTTTCTTCTCCAACCGCTATTTCAATAAAAATAATCCCACACAATCAAACTATATAGTAGATTGTACGAGCATTATATTAGCAACTCACCCTAAGGAAGGTCCGGTATTCGCCCATCATTCGATGATATACAATGTTATCCAACGTAAGCTTGCCAATGGTGAGGATCGGTTGACGAGCCATGACATCCACCGCATCAGCCACCTCCAACATCAAGTTCGCCATGTTTGTGTCGCCAGCCAACATTTCCAAGCAGGTTTTCACCTCGTCCTTGTTGACCTCGGCGTCGTGCTTCGAAGTCTTCGAAGCACGAACTCTTCCTAGACCTAGACCATAAAAATCCAATTTACTCAAGTCTCATTTTTATTAATATTGATTTTGCAGTCATCTCCTTACATGTTGGCTTCGTCGCGCAGTTTAAGCACTGCATGAAACATCTCTGAAGTTCACAATGAGCATCAATGGATGGTGCCATGGTATGCCAGGTCGTACCATATGCCAGTTGATCCTGTACCGTTCGTTCGGTCCTGCTATATTTTACCAGTTGATTGTTTATCATGTTGAGCACGGTTCGGTGGACCAGGTGGATGTCATACTAATTATTAAGAATATAAAAATAGCAAGGTTGTTATAAAAAAATAACATTTATAATAATTGTTGTGTTCTTACCTCAATATCGAAGGCCGATAACAGAAACCCGTCTGTCATCGCCAGCTGGTGAATCATCATCTTAATAGAGAGTCGAGTATCATCGTCTTCAATTAACTCGACCAGTTTAAACCATTCTCGTAAATCATCCATGTCGTCAGATTTCAAAATGATGGGAGTAACCCCCGCGTAAGGTTGTTTGTGCCAGAGCAGGTAAGCCAAATAAAATCCACCCAGACGTCGTCGCAGTTCCAAATTTCCGTCCTTAGCACAAGCAACTGGAGGCAGGGTCCAGAACTGGGTCGCAGCATCAAGCATTATCCTCGAGAAGATGGCGTAATGCTCGTGCCGGTATATCCCTTGACCGACGCATCTTGCAATTAATAGGAAAAGTTTCATTTATTCATCACTTACAATTGCACCATTTCAATTTAATGTAGAAAATAAACTATTAACAACTTACGCATTCATGACCAGCACAATCTTCATTCTTTTCGCCACAGCGCAGAAATCCTGAAATGTAATCCCCGGCTGGCTTAGGAACTGTCCAATGCATCTTTCAAAATCGTCCGTCGCTGCAGCCCACATCCGGTAAATCGTCTTGGCCGTGATAATCATCCTCACAGGGTCACTCCACAAAAAAAGAATAAAATAAAACAAAATATGAAATTATTAATCATACTTAAAAATAGAAAAGTTGCTACAAATTCACGTATTTTCACAACTCACCTTTCGTTCCCACTTGCTTCGACTATCTAACTTCAATTAATTAATTAGCAATAATACATCAATCAATTTTAGTAAAATATACGCAAAAAATAATTTCGGAAATGAGAGTAAAAGAGAACGAGCGAAGTAAACCATGCTGCTGATCTGCATGCCTGATTGCCTGGATGACAGGTGGCGGTTAATCAGGCATTGAGCATGCAGTGTCAAAAGTTTCAACTTGATATTTTGCATTTGCAAAAACGGCATAAATATTTGGCATTTGCAAAAACGACATGAAAAATATGCTTCATTTTGCAACTATATTTATCGCATTTTTCTTTAGTTCAGCCATCCAGTCTAAAGTAAATGGGGTGAGATGAGCGATAAGAGAAGAAAGTGGATGGAACATGAAGGTCTCATTTCTAGTGTTATCATTCGTTTTTTACCATAAAATGAAGAATAAAGTCCTCCTTCACGCTTGGCTGGATGTCAAAGTAAATCGACCTCTCGTATGTATTTTGGGAGATATGTATATGCATAAAGTAACTCATATATGTCATATACGTCACAATTAAAAAGTTTACCCACGTCAAGATGGATTCTCAATTATTAATTGGACAAAAAGAGAGAAAGCTAAGGAGTAGAAGGTCACTACTTGTCGGGCCCCGATTTCGATCTCCTTTGGATATGTTGTAGTACTACATGAGTGTAGAAAAAGTGAAGGAGGGTTAGACTCCACGAGCCCATTTACGCCCGCCACGCCCCCTTAAAGGCGCCCAAACCCCCAGAGTTGGCGCACTAAATTCATCGTCAAAAATCGAGTTTTGGTCAGATTTTCAAGAAATTTACATTTTTGTGATCCCAGATAGTTGCTCTATCATAATCCAATAGCAAACTCAACTTTTTTGAAATTTTCAATATTTTCGAAGATTTTCTGACCAAGGGTATGTATTGAAAAATTTCGAAATTTCAAAAAAGTTGAGTTTGCTATTGGATATGATAGAGCAACTATCTGGGATAACAAAAATGTAAATTTTTTGAAAATCTGACCAAAACTCGATTTTTGGCGATGATTTTAGTGCGGCAACTCTGGGGGTTTAGGCGCCTTCGAGGGGGCGTGGCGGGCGTAAATGGGCTCATGGAGTCTAACCCTCCTTCACTTTTTCTACACTCATGTAGTACTACAACATATCCAAAGGAGATCGAAATCGGGGCCCGACAAGTAGTGACCTTCTACTCCTTAGCTTTCTACTCCTAAGAGTTACGGATGCGAATAATTTTTAGACAAGTTTTCTCTTTCTAACCTTTTGTAAAGTTTGCACAGTTTAAAAAGAACTATTTTTAGTCATGTTTATCATCATCATGCACAATTAATTTTCATCAAAACAACATTCAGCTCAGTGATCAGTACACATACATATTTATCTTTATTTATTATTCATAACATTTACATAATGACATGTTTGTATAGCATACACAGTGTATAAACAGGGTTAAAATTTCATTCAAACTCACTCCATCACTTTTCCATAATCACTTCTTAACTATCCACCACATTTCTGCGATCCTGCTCAATTGCGGATCCTCCCCTACTCGGTCCTGGCGCAATACCGTCGACATCATCGCCATCGTCCCCTTCGCCATCGCCACCCATCATTTCCTCTTCCGCTGCAGCAGCCGCATCAGCCGCCGCGAGGGCAGCCGCTTTCTTCGCCTTCCTCAACTTTCTCGCGAATAAGATAAGAATCGCTGAGTAGATCGCGGATGATAAAATTCCCGTGAAAAGGGCCGCAATTCTTTGCAAGATGGTCCAACTCGTCGTCTGTGCCGGAACTAGGATACGAACGCCAAAGCCGAAGATTTGAGTCAGGATGAACAACCAAGTCACTCCGCGGATGAGCCAGTCAATTTCCTGCAAAAATAGAGAGAAAGTAAGTATGTACATAAATAATTGCATTTACAATTCACATCCTTCCCCATTATGCATAATTGCGTGCAAGCTACGTGTATTTATGTAGACTAGGAAAAAAACCAAGAAAAGAAAAGTTGTTGTTAGCTTTTACCCTAATTTATCTCCACACGAAAGAGAGAACTGTAATTTCATTCTTCTGAACTAGACAAAGTCGTGAATTCAATTTGGAACTGGCGTGTTAATTAGATTCATGAATTGAAATTGCTTTCTTCTCCTTCTCCTCGGCTATGGATCGAAATACAATTTTTGTTCGCATCCAAACCTGAAAAGACCAACTGCTCGGAGAGGACTTTTTACTAGCTCATCCGTCCGAGACGTTCTTCTTCTTTCTCAAACATGATGACATTTAATAAAAAAGATTGCCATGTCAGACAAGCTCGCTCGCTCAAAAGTCAGTATCACCATCCATACTCATTCATGGCGTGGTGTAGGTCGGCTCAAAGAAGAGAAAGTCAAAACTCAAAGAAGACGGAGAAAAGACAGATCTTCGTATTCTCAGACTTTTGGCCGGGTGATGGGTAGTAGACTTTTTTCTCGGTTATACACACGTCAGAGACGTCAATAGAAAACGACAGCTTCAAGTATGAGAAGGAGAAAGAGAGGAATCTCTCTCGACTAAATTTGCATTTTCGTTCTTCTTTTGCGGAGTAAAATTTAATTTCAAATATAATTTTTTTTGAATGACGTAAGAATTTACAAAAAATATTGAAATGACCCTAAACATTTTTTACTTTATTTGTACACTTATTTCCTATCCAGATAAATAATATAACCAGTCCGTTAATTTCTCTACTTGGATAATTTCCCAAGAGATTTGTTAATGTGGGTTCTTATATTCCTCTGAAAAAGTGTGTCTTACACGACAAATTTCTCTCCTCGAATTATGATTATGGGGCAACTTTTTCTTTTTAAGTAGGAAGAAAACTGTCTCCCATCCAACCTTGTCCCTGAAAAATAATGTCACGAAAATAAAGTAGAGTTTACTTTTACTTCGTCATCAGGGAAAAGACGCAAAGTTGGCATTGCTTAAAGAAGATGTGCATAAACACAATTAGGCTCGATTTCATTTCAGTCCACTCTCTTAAGTAAACGTAAAGAGCCCACACCGACAACAAGCAAAGTCAAGGAGAAAGCGGAAGCCTTTCCAAAGTCTCAAGTATTCTAGAAATCGAATTCATTCCGGCATCCTGAACCCACAGGCGAAGGCAGAAAGGATGTCGGGTTGGGTGAGATGACGTAAATTAAAGTAATTAAAAAATGGTTTGGATGACGACGACGGAACCGACTACGACCAGCCAAACCACTTCGTATGCACTGTGACTGTGAGATGGGAGAAAGTCGAGGAGGAAGAAGAATGTGAGATTGAAGCCATGCCACTTGCCAGACAACCGAGATGGAAGAAGAACAACTTCATTAATTTACTTTCCACGAGACCAACACCATTTATTTTCCTCGCAAAAGAAGAAACCATCCTCCTCGCACGCAAATTCGTGTATGATGATGATAAGTTATGGTCGGAGTAGAAAATTTCCCCCACCGATAATCCACACCCATTAACCAACTTTTCCCAAAATTGTGCACCCCTCAATCAAAATTATCATTTGCCACTATGTAATTACACACACATTTATTTATTTACCTTGTAAACAGAGAGTAGAATTATGACCCCGAGGGGGACGAGAAGCCCGATGTAGACGAGGTAGGGAATTTCAAAGTCGCCCAAATCCTGAAATAATTTCATTGCAAGTTATGTATTTGCGGTACATTTATTACTTATCATCAACATGGGAGCTTATGTATGTGGTCGGTCTAGGCGAAAGGAAACTGGTAATTTGTTCACACTACAAATAATAATAATTTTGTGTATGACTCCAAAAACACGGTTTTGCTTCCCTCCTCTGAGAGAGAGAGATGGTTCAAATTTAATTAATTCTTGTAGTGATTTATTAATATGTGAGAAGCCAGCCAGCATCCATATCTCATTTCTCGTGGGTGGTAGAGAGAGCTTTATTCCTCTCCTCCTTCAATTAGTTACAAGTTTCCTTTAGGATGTGGCTTGGCTTCCAGAGTGAAAGTCAGATTACGACAGGAAACACGAGATAGGAAGCAAAGATTACAGATGTGTCTGTTCGAGAGGAGACGTAGTAAATAGTTCTTCAATGGAAGAAAGAGAAAGATACAAAATGAGAGAAAGTCGGAGAGGCGAAGAGATTAAGAAAGTCTTAGTTTGGATTACATACCTCATCAATCACGAAGTACACAATTAGCAGCAGCAACCCCACGCTCTGGACGGGAAAAGAAAGACAAGACGTAAGAAATAATAAACACGTTTCGTTTTATCATGTCAATAATAATATGCCAGTAAAGTTAGAGTTCGATCTTTGCTAAAATTGCCCCCGATCCATCACTCACTTTCACTTTTTACGCTATTAAGCAGTTGGTTTGGTTGGGCCAGATGTACGCACAACCAAACCAACTGCTTAATAACAGTGCTCGTATGCACATGACTAAATGAATTGAAAGGCCTTCAATTTCATTGCTCAATTTGTCAGTCAGCGAATGGAACGCTGAACTACGAAGGTTAATTTCCTCAATTAATATACACATGTGAAAATGTACACGATTTCTCGCTTGATGAAATGAGGGCAATTTTCCCCAAAAACTTTATCCTCCACGAGGAATTGTCATATGATGAAGTGAATTAATGATTGATTGGGTAAAATTAATCCCAAATTTTCTCTACTTACAATGTGTATGGAAGCCCCCCAAGTTCCCGCAACCTTCAACGTCGTACAGCACCGACAGCACATTATTTTCTGCAGTATTATTTCTTAAGTACAATATATACAACGAACAATCTCGACCGTGTCATAAATTTTCGGGTAAATCAGTTCGCCCGACAACTTAATAAGTAAAAGCCTCCATTTCGCCTTGATTGAAAGAGTCAAAATCTGGTTAGAGTGGGGAAAATTTGAGACGATTTCTTGTTGCGGATTTCTCTCTCCTAAGTGAGACGTCTATTCCGGTTAATCAATCCAGACAAGTAGAGATCCCATTACGAGGAGCCATTATTACCTTATCCTCGCTGGGGGAAGTGAGTGGATTGGATAAGAAAGCTAACACGACTTGACACCCACCTACCACCTCTAATCACCCCCACTTTGTCTCTCGTCGTCCCCGTTATTTGCCTCACTTTATTAAATAACTTGTTGCCTGTCAAGATTGTCATTGTTCGGAGAAGTGCTGCATGTGTGTGTGTGCCCCCATATTTCTCAGTCAGTCTCTCTCTTACCCCCCTCCTCCCGACTACCAGCCAGCTTGACACTTTCCGAGACAGAGTTAATAGCCAATTAGAATTTGAATGAGTCCGTAAAAGCAGCAGCAGAAAACCACAAAATTTGAAGAGTTACGTCACCTCTTTTCACCACTCGTCGTGTCGCTCGGTGGTGGTAACTTTTGAGATGGATTTTCTCGTCTCAAATTTGATGTCAAAGTGGGCAGGGTGCTGGGAAGGCTGGCTGATGTTATTATGTAGGTATAGTTCTGGGAGGAAAAGTAATTGCGGTGGCGTGGACACTTTTATTATGCTGCCCGGGGACCCGTAATTCAACGTCGTTGTCGTCGAGGGGCGAGTGTCATAAAGGATTTCGTAATCTTTCTTCCTCAAGTGGGAAAGACGACACTTATCTTAACAACAAAACAGCACTTTGGCCGGCATTAAATTCAATTTTGGTTAGGCGATGATGACCGTTTCGCAGTTTTCTTGTACAGATTTTGCTTGCCAGACGTACACGCTCGCTTGTGATAATTGGCTTGCCTGCCTGCTGATAAATATCGGGAGCACGAACCAGTCTCACTTCCGATGACGGGTGGTAGCAAAAATTCTCTCACTTTTTCCTCGCCCAGGAAAGAAAAAAATACCACCACTTTCACCACCACAACACGTCGTTGTCGTCTCACGCTACCGTGGTTGCTTGGTTGACAGTACTTACTTGTAGATAAGTATATATCTCCGTGTCGATACGGCTTAACCTCACGAGACGACAGGTCTTCCTCCTCTTGTCCTCGAGAACTCGAGAAATGTTCTGATATTTGTCCAAGCTCAACTTCGTGCCAAGAGACAAGAGGACAAGACACAAACAAACTTTCCCCGTATTATTGGACGTGGTCCACTTAGCCAAGCCAAGCAGCAGCTAGGAAAACCACTGTTCTAAAACTCCACTACTCTTGAACGACATGAGACGATATGTCGGTCGGTCGGCCTTCCTACCACGGGATGAGATTCTTCAATACGTTCATTTCCCCCACGACCAGAGCTCGAGCAAAATGGGACAAGTTGAACAAGTCGTAGAGAGAGCTTGGTGATTTCCTCTTTGGGAACTTGGCTGGTGGTGGTTCGAGGGAGACTGGCTTTCTCCAGAGATAAAACCTGCAAGAAGTAGTAGGACGAAAACCAAGGTGGGTAGGCAAAACCCAGCAGACCCAAAACTCACTCCTCTCTCTTCTCCAGAACTCGACCACTTTTATTGAAAAGATGAGCATTTCACTAGTAGAGAAGTTTGCCGAGTGGAAACGACCACTTTCACCATTTTTGGTAGTAGTAGTTGGGCTCCTAGATATTTCGAGATTCAGTCAGTTATAGTGCGAGGCAAGCCATTCACTCCACTGGACCAGACAACATGCCTTCACAACACAATTTCTTCGTTTTTTTGTCTTGTCCTCCTTGACTCTTCTTATTCCGTCTGCGATCAAGTCAACAAGAATTGATTTCGTTATTTATATAAAAATAGGTCATGCTCGATCGCTGTCGCCGGAAAAATGGGTCCTATTACCATCACTATCACCGTGAAGAGGCAATATCCTCCGAAATAGGTGATTTTTCGGGAGAAAGTCACCCTTCAAGGGGAGATATAGACTTAACATAATGTGCAGTCTGCATATATACGAAAGTCTGGCCCGACCGTATTTTTTTGCGCCTTCAGAAAAAAAAATCCCACGTTAAACCAAGATTCAAAACTATGGCATACTTTCCCTTGATGGATAGTATTATGTTCCTTGATGGGGAAAGAATTGACTTTTGGCGTGAAAGGCATATTTCTCTCGTAATAATGATGACGACACTTTGCGAGGTATTCTGGCGTGAGGCAGAGAAAAGGTGGACCGGACTGAAATTTCGAGATAGACAAGTTAACAAGGACAACTCAATGGAGCGTGTGTCCTGCTCTGTCCTCCCGGAAATGAGTGACGTCGTCGTCGGACTGAATTGGTTTGTTGAAGATGATGAAAATAATATGAAAACGGCTGCACAATAGGAACCGTTCTCGTTTATCTATCTCTCACATAAGAAGATTGTATTGTAAATAAATATATTCTTGGCATTGTTCACGGCATAACAATGAATTATTGCTTGAGGAAAATAAACCAAGTTTGGAGAGAGGCCGTCCCTCCGACTTGCCAACACTTCCACTAACTAATCGATAACTAATTGAGTTTCGATCCCCCTCCAATAACAAGGCCGACCTGGTTAGATCTCGAATCTGTCACATGTCTATGAGTCAAAACTTGTTCGAGTCGACATGGAAAACCAACAAGTCAAAAGTACACAGGATATCACTCCACACGGGACAAAGAAATGTTTCCATCCTCAATTCGTACGTTCGTTCGTTCGTCACAAGTCTTGCGGTTTACTGGTCGAGATCCAATCCGGCTCAGATTTAGACCCCGACTTTCACTCACTGCTCAAAATAGCCAAAAAATTTGTGAACCGATCGACGAACGTAACCATCATCAAGTCACGCAGCACTGCAGGTAAAAGTCGTATATATGAAGTTCTATCCAGCCCTGTGGTTATATAAGAGAGAGAAAATTGTATTATTGTACGATTTGATTCGATTGGTTGCGGTTTTTCGTAGGAAGAAAGTTCCACCAAATCACGCACAACAAAATCCAATCCTGACCGAGAAAAGATTTATTGCTGAATGAATAGTTTAGTTTTCAAAATTCTGCGTGTTCTCCACTAACTAAACACGTTGCATAACGAATTTCTTCTCATTTAGTCACCTACCTGGTGTGGAGAAGTCCCAATTAAGGTATTCGTCGCATACATACCGTGAGGATGTTCCTCCTACGAGCGGCCTTGTTCTTGGCAATCGTCATACCATCATTAGAACGGGACAGACAGAAGCAAGCAGAATATCAAATCTAATATTTAAGTAAGCTTCAAGAAATCGATTCATTCATATAAACGTCGTTTCGTGGCATATATTCATTTCATTCGTTTACTTACTTACTTGAATATCAATATCACGTGAAAATATCGAAATGCCAACTTCTCTCTCTCTCGTCTTCTTTTCCCATCACTCATACAATTTCCTTCCACTACCCAACTAAGGAAAATGTATTAACGCTTAATAATAACAAGTAGCAGTAGGGAAATTGGGTTTGTATTGATAAAGTGGTATATGCATATCGTACACTTATTATTACCACCAGACCAGCAAAACCTAGCCACGCACATGTCTCAGCTTTTTTTATTAAGCGAACATGCATCGCATTCACTGATGGAAGTATGAAGCGATATCTTTATCCTGACTTTCTAGGTCGGTCGGCGAGGAACCCACAGCTTTTGATGTGGAAGAAGTCGCGTCGCTTTTGCTGGTTCGTAGTGTGATGTTTGTTTAGCATTCCTCCTTCTCCTTCAGAAATTGAGACGCGATACCATATCTGCTGCCGGATGGAAGGATGAAATGAAGACTTGCTCCGCTCAAAGTCGGCAAATAATGAAGTGCTTTACTTTTTTACGATCAACGAAACCCATAAAAATAAGAATTTGCCAATATTAAACCAAGCATATCGAGTTTTGGGATGGATTACTTTTTGTCAGACTGGTGGTGGTGCGTATGTGCATATAAATCATAGACAGCTAAAAAAGAGAAGAATGCACCCACCAAAAAAATGAGAAAGTGAGCCATCAGCAAATAATTCTCGAGATAAAAAGAAGCCCAAGAAAGAATGCCTAAAAGTTAAACTTTTTCCGTCAGAAGGAGCAGCGCAGCCAAATCACCCACAATTTCATACATTAGACAATTCCTCAATTCAGGTGACAAACGAACGAATAGATGTATGATTGATTCCGCTTTTGCCAGAGTTTTTCTTGATCCACTCACTTTTTAGGATTTTTTTCAGGAATTTTTGATTGAGTGAGTGAAAGCCAAGGTTTTATTACAACTTTCTTCAGAGAGAGATCAGTCCAACTTTCAATTTCACTCTGTCTTTTTTCTCTCCTCCAATTTAGTTTTTTCTTATAAAAAAAATGATCGAATCACTCGAGGAGTGGACTCTGGGCGTCCTTTTTTCCTCCTTGACTCACCTTACCCTTTAGGGAAAGAAGTTTGAAAATTGATTTACTTTATTTTATCAAAAAGTTGAACCAGATCTGTCGAGGTGATCTAGATTTGATGCGTCAATGACATTAGTCCTCGTCCCCCTCAAAGTAAAATATCAACCAAGTGACGGTCGGTCGGTCCATCCAATACCAAACTCAAAGAAAAGTTTACTTTTAAATAAAGAGCGCACAGACAGGCGACCAAAGAGTGGATTAGAGTCAAGAGCTGGAGCAAGGACAGGTAAATCGGTGGTGGTTTAAAAAAGTTAAAACTTTTCAGACTTTCTTCTCTTTTTTTGCAAAAGCAACTGTCTCCTCGAAAACTTGGGTGGCGGAAAAATTTTTAAACTTTGTCTAAAACATGTGGCGATATTGGTGTGGTTGTGGTTGGTTATGTAAATTGTTTTCGTTTTGTACATAAATCTTGAACAATGTTGGATCCAGAGGGGGTTGTTACACGGATGAGAAAGTCTGTGATTTTTTTCCATCCGTCTCATTTTATTGGAGAAAGTGCAGAATGTTGCTGCATACAGATATTATTTTGTGTCGTCTCTTTCACTCGGATACTAGATACATATTGATCCGTCATCCTCCATCTCATCCCATCCAAGTTGGAATGGATCTAGTACATACCTAAGTAAGAAAAAGAGAGATAAGTACCACATAAAGTGAAAGGAAAGTAATCATTAGGAGATGAAAACGATGTTTTGTTGCTTCTGGGCGAGTTGTTACAGACGGGAAATTTCTAAGTCATCTCAGCCAGCAACCAGCCAAAAATAACGGGTTAAATAGAACATAGCGACTGTCAAAGTCACCGAGAAAGTCGAGCCAACATCAACAAGGAGAATATTTTCCAGCCAAAAGTACGTATCAGTTCTGTCTTTCACGATAATATTGTCATTCCTCAGAGAAAGTCGATCATCAACGTTCTCTCCCTTTTAACTTTCAAACTTAAACTGTCAACGGTAGATACATAGATCTCTTATTTATTTATTTATTTACGAGTTTAGAACGAGATGTGTGTGCATCTTTCAATTTGCTTTCCCCTCAGAAAACGAGTCAACCATTTTCTGAACATATTTATTATGACGACATGCTCAAAACCTGTATGTCGAAAGTGCGGCACGTGTAATAAAAGCAAATACAAAGTGGCATCCTCCTCCATGAGGCAAGGTAAATAGCGGAAACAGTATCAAACGAAGAGGCAAGCAGGCTACTTATTTTTCCGACAAGCTGTCAACGGCATGCAAATTTGACAAGGCAAACTGATATAAATCGCCTCCATTCCTAAATAATTGCATATCTCCGCCGAGAGAACAATGCACAACAAGTACGTAGGAATTGTCTCCCAGATTGAAATGCTGTCAACCCGTCGGTTTCGCCATCATCTACCAAACAAAATGTATGCATCATAATCTTCGTAGCAAGAAAGTTGGCTGGCTGGCTGGCTTATTTTATTATTGTTTAACTCTATGTACTTTGCCTTCCGTAAATGTTTATGTAATCAAAAACCGTCTCTCTCGCTCCGACTGAGCAAATAAATGTGTACAAGAGTAGATAGATTTGCACCCAGCCAACCGACTTGTGTAGAGCAAATCTGCCTAATATAGAGAGATCCCTGTTCATGCGGCTAACTTCATACGCATGTAGCTTTTAGTCAGTCACTTTCTCTTCTTACATCTAAATATGAATACGACTACTACTCGGAAATCAGGCAAGGTTTTGTAGTACGAGAGCCCTACCAGGACAGGCGAAGGATGAGTGACGAGGATGGTATGTAGATGTCAAAAAGCTTAATGTAATTATGTCCCAAGGGGTGTTTATTAACGATACAAAAGTTCTGAATTATACATCCACTTTGACTCGAATACAAATATTTACATGCTTTTTCGACTAGGCGGGATGTGTAAATTAGGCGACTGGACTGGCTATACATATATTTGTGTGTATATTATTATACATTTTCTTAACAGTTTGCCTCGTTGTCATCATCGTAGCCCGGCTTGTTCGGCCTCGTCACTTTTTGCACATTTCTCCCCGGATTAGTCTGCACTACGAAGGGATTATTGTCCGGAAAGGCTCCGGCACCACGACTACCGAAGTCATCATCATCGTTCAAGGCGACATTGGTGTAGAAGGAATTCGTATTCTTGGCGTCACCACGCCAATCCATCTCCATCGCGGTGGTCGGAGTCCGCGTGTTCTTCGTTTGACCACTTATCACCGAAATGTTCTCATACCGATCACCGCTTTCACCGCTTTCGCCGCCGTCGTAAGCGTAACCAGAACTGTGATGATTTCCTTTCGAGTTTGAATCGTAGTTGGACAAACTTGCGAGAGGATTGAGAGGCGAAACTTTGCCGGTGGAGGACGAACTTTTAGTCGTTGTGGCGTTGTTGTTTTGGCGAATGTCGATAATTGTTGGTCGATTTGGTTGTGAGGATGAGGGGGACGACGAGGTCGTGGCATTGTTGGCGTAGGCGTTGGTGTTATTGGTGTGTTTTGGAAACATTGTGTTGCTGTTGTGGTTGTTGTTGTTGTTGCCCATTGGTGATGAAATGTTGGAGTTGTTTCCGGGGGCAGGGGTCGAATCAGAGTTTATTGTTCGTGGACTGGAAAAAACAGGAGATTGTCAAGTGTCATATTTCAAAATTTTAAGGATTTACGTGCAGTTTAGTTAGTAAAACTTACTCCTGTCTCCACAAACTGACGATGTATGCAACTCCGGTAAAAAGGACGAATCCTCCACCGAAAAAAGTGTACCTGAACGTATTAGAATAATTGTTGTTAGCATATTATCTACTGGCCTGCATATATTGAGGACAATTCATATACTAATGTCAGATATTTGACATATGCAACTTTACCAAGTCGTACAAAATATCATCCCGGGGAGCGGAATCCTAAAAAAAAAAGATTTATCATGACGATCCTGATTACGAAATAATTTTGCTTTTGATTTATATCCCCACTTACAACATGTAGCACATGGGTTTGACCCAAGGAGGCTGTCGTTCCACCCAACCCGAACATTTTGGATAGCGATTGAGAAATATGCAATGGCAAATTCTCACACTGCCTCCCGCCGCCTCCGTCGTGGCGACGAAGAACCCAAGTATTCTGATGATGTTAAAAAACGTGAATTAAGATTTTCACAATATTATTTATTCCAAACCAAGTATGCAAATCCATAATTCTATAACATACGAATTTAAATTATGCGTTGAACTTACCCTTGAAAAATGCTGAACAAGATGCAGACAAAAGACCAATGAAATATCAGGTTCAAAACACCAAGAACAAGGCATACTGAATTTTTAACACATTTAAAATTGGATTAACAATTAAATTAACATTTAAATACTGCAATGCAATCAGTCTTAATTACATACGTGTCCCTGAAAATACGCCAAGCCCTCGCAGCGAGTATCTAACATAACACGGCCTCGTGTCCAGAACGACGCGTTGTTCGAATTCCGACTCCCGGCTGCGACCTTGGCTCCCGGTTTGATTATCCCCTCCTCCCACCGTCATTCTCACCAAGATTAATCAATACTTGGCGAAATAAAGCACAAGAAAATGATGCGATTCCAAAGAATCCAGAGGGCAATAAAATCCTGCCCGTTCTCTCTCTCTCTAAAAGTAATTTGAACCTCAACCACGTACCACTGGAACCTTTAGGGATCAAAGGAAGTAAGAAAGAGACACGGCTCCTGATAATATAATGGAGAAGGTTAAATGAAAATTAAATCGTGTGGAAAGTCAAGAAGGAACGAATGGTATATACCGTCTGCGCTTATCTTTGGATGGATAGTTTTAGGTACTCGTGCCATACTGCATAATGCTCAACCAGGCCAATATCAAAAAGATAAATGGAAACGCATCATCACAAAACGAACGACAACCGATAACCAGTATCGCAAAAATATTTGCGAGATATGACATGGTCAAAAACATTAAATACATGGTCAGTGGTAAGTACATATCTATGATAACTTCATTTTTTGACAATGTATGGATGGATAAGCGACTCGTGTTCGTGTTCGCTCGCTCCAATGTCGAGAGCTTTTACCAGGTACTTTTACCACTCCTGCTGATAAGAAGATAAATATGGAGGCTTATCGCGTGCGATGTGTATCCGATCAGGGAACTGTTGTTTATCATAGAATTTATTATTGTTATCGATAAATAACAGTGCCGTGGGAGAGGCGGTGATGGCGTGGCCTGCATTGCCGACAGGAAATTGCATATGTATCTTGGGTATATTTCTTCCCCAGTAAATTATTTACTTCATTTCGAATAAAACTTTTTTCTACACGGCGTTTCTGAAAAGAAAGAAATGCAAAATTTCTTCCAAATCCTCCCCGCATTCATCAATCCTGTCCCCGCTGCTTGAGGCAGTCGGCAATGAAGCCAGATTTATAGCCAAATCTACCTCATCCAGATTTATTTTACATTTATCGACTTCAAAGAGAGTCCCCCCACTAATTTACGGCTTGTTTACTTATCATCATTCTCAAAGCTGCGGGATGAAACCAAAAGGGTAAAAGTAATCCCGCAATTAGGAATTCATAAAGATCATAATTATTATAAAAGTTGGGTGCCGGGTCGTTAGTACCGACTCGTTACAGGATTTGGAAGGAGAAAGTAGTCTTGCCTTGAAATGTGTGGTTTGGTTTTACGAGTCCACCACTTTCTCCTCAAGGAGGGACATTCCTCTGCAGACTGAGACTGGTGGTGGTAGTCATAATAATGGCCCAGCGGCGGACGATGGTATACGCCTCACATTACACGACCCACTGAAGCGCAAGTATTGCATGGCTTTCCTTTTGGTTTTCGGTTTGGAATTTCTCCTCCTGCTTTCACTTTAATTTTGACCCACTCTACCAAACCTGCAGTGCTCTATGTTACTTGACTAATGTTTCCACACCACCTCACTCATTTCATCCCACACACACACTTTAGCTCGACATCGTGCTCAATGCGAAACTCAAATATGTACTTAAGGAGAATCCGCACAGGTTGGCGTTTCTTCACTGATTTTGATTCCAGAGCCGAGTGGAGGAACATGATTTCATGTCATCATACATAATTCCCAGGCCATTTGAAAGGTTATGGATTGAAAATAACTTGGGGGACGGGACAGAGGAGTTTGTTGGCTGCATAAATAATTATAATTCTCAAGGGTTTCAAGCATACACGAATTTATTGCGCCATAAAATAAAATAAATTATATAGGATGCCATTGGATTGTGAAATTCTGGTAACTTTTGCAACAACTTGGAGAAATACGGGAGAATGGAACATCTCTAAAACCACGAGGAATCATCCCATTACGATTTTACATGCTAAATACATATTCTTCTTATCCCGTCGGCTAAATAGGAAAACAATCATGCTCTTCTCGAAGGGAATTATTATTCTGTTGGAGAAACGTGATTCTCGTCACAAATAGCACACGTTCAAAGTTCCGGAGTATCCTTTCCTACGTCCGTGCCGTTGCTTGCCTTTTAACAATTTGGGATTTGAGAAGCACTCAGGAAGAAGAAAGCGAGTTAAACCGGGGCTTGTTCTTGGATGAGAGATAGTCAGATCTTCAGCAGTCTTCTCAGAATACAGGTCAGCTTTCACTCCGTTCTTTGTTCTTTCTCAGGGAAGAGTGCAAATAGACGAAATTCCTCAAGTTTAGTAGTTTTGTGGTCCAAATTCCGCATCTGTACATCGATTGTGAGATTTTATTTAGTTTACTTTCTCCTCGTCCTATTTCTTGTTAAATTCTCCTGTTATAATTCCCACGATTCTTTCGCGACCAGGAGGACAGATGAAATCCACGTTTTATTCGAGTCGTAGAAAATCCTAAAATGCTCCTCAGACTGAAGAAGACGACGAAACACGGGACGCTGATTATGCTGCAGCATTATTATTTATTTACGCGACAGAGGTTTGCTCTAAGGAATTTTCTTGAAGGGGGAGAGAAATCTGAATCGAATTTTGCCCAGAGAAAGAGAAGGAGATGACAAGAACGAAGAATTATACATACATTTCGCAATAGGATTTTCATCCCAATTTAGCAAAATCTTAGCAAAATAGATACTTATTCAGGTTTGGTGAAGCCTAAAAATGGTTCGGCAGGATTTTGTAAGTACTTACACAACAAAACATGTACACACATTCGTTAAGCAAGAACCAACTTTTCCTATGAATTGAATGGTTCATGAGGATGAAGTAGATTTGATTTCTTCTTCTGCATCTATATCCCGGCTTGGCGACGGTTTAGTTGGTTGGTTCGTGTCCATTGTGTCTCGTGGAGAAAGGCTCGACTAAATTTTCTCAATTGTGTGTCACACATAAGAAGAGTCCTACGTCTGCTTGCTATGGTTGTGATTGTTGCTTTCTCCAACTCAAGTCAAGTCTAGGTTGCTTTCCCTCGATCCTGGTGGTTTGGTTTGACTGACATCTTTTCTTGATGATTTACATCGACAGACGTCATCGAATATAGAGCACCCTTAACTACTCAAACTAGAGAATCCCATTAACTACACAACTTCGTGACAGAAGAAGAAGACGCTCCTCTCTGAATGTATAAATTCACAATATGAATTCCAGAATAATTTTTTCCACTTGTGACCACGGGAAATCTGCTCATAAATTACATACACGAAATTTCAAATTTTAAAAAATTCATGAAACTTTCTCCAGACCAAGTAGATTTCCTATGTAGAAATGAATATATTTGCAGCAGACTTCTCTTTCTGATCCTGATTTTAGATTCCGGCCTGAATTTTGCCCATATTTATTCTCGAGGGAGTATGTAGACGCTGTAAATAAGTGTATAAACCTATTTGGCAAGATCCATGTATACATCGACATATTTATGATGCAAGGTGAACATGTCCCGAGAGGATTGTCCCGAGAACAGCTTTTCCTCCTCTCCAAGTGTGAAAAGTGTGGATTGACAGAAGGAAAGGGATGTCACATAACATTATGCATTCTCTGATTCCCTGCTCCTCACCCTTGCAAAAAATAGAATACGTTTCGTTATCGGTGGTCTGGTTATAAATATATTTCTTGTTACGCAACAACAACCCAGACATCAATTTTATATAAGGAGGGTAAATAGGGGAAAAATCGATACGAATTTACGAGAAACCTCAACAACATAAGCACAGCAGGGAATTTTAGTGCGACGAGATTGTCTTATTAAGAGTGACATATTTGTATTTGGGGATCATGTCATGTCAAATGTCAAGCTTGGCTCCATTTTCACGAGATAAAAAATTCATATGACAATAAATCTGGAAAAAGGAGAGACAGTCTAATACCTAATTTGGCCACAATAAATAAGCCTGCTCACTTCCCAAGCATGATTCATCTCATGCACAGTTAAGTAAAAAGCACAAATTTAACGTAATTAGCACACGTCAGACCATTATACTTTTTGGGCACAAGAAAACAATGCAAATATTCTTATGAGTCAGCCTGTCCAGTCAACGAAAATAGGTTTGTAGAAAAATTTAGTGTTTACGTATGGGTTTTGGCACAAAAGAAATTATGTATTCTAATTGATGCTAATTAAACAAAATTTGCAAAGTGAGTCACATGAAATTGTTTTGCAAATCTTAAAGTTGCAAAGCTACATACAATACGAATTGATCACCACGCAATGATCATAAAAGTGCACCCATTCTTCAAATGGAGTCTCCATTTTAAACACCATTAAGTATTTTAATGCAGTTATTTATGCACGTTTCTCATACACACAGGATGAAAATGAAAAGTGACGATGACGAAAACGGAATGCCATAAATTACACATTTTAAACCCCACCTTGGACGAATGCGTTTCATTTGCTGACACATAATAGTCGAGGATAAACATTATTCACGGAACGGAAAGAGATGATGGTGATGATGGCGAAATTAATAAGAGACCAAAAATTGGTAGAGGATGCGTGTAATTTCCTTATTACTTATTTTGCATGTATTCAATAATCAAATAGGATGACGAGCCCCTTTAAAGGGAAATGTTATGCAACACACACGGTCGTCACTTTTTGTTGCAATAAGATTTTTAACAAGACAGATATTCTTGTCATCGTCATCTTCACCACTTTTAATTGACCCCCCACCTTCATCTCAATTAACCTATCGTTACGTTTATCTGGATTTGAATGACTCGGCTGATGTGAAGTTCATTTCAGCCAGAAAATTATTTCAGCGCCAAATTAGCCAATTGTAAGTACGTACATGTTAAGAATTCAGAGACCCAAGTTTAGCTCGGTCTAAAATATTTAATAATCCCGAGGAGACCTAACTAAACACACAAGAACTTTGCTTTACGCCAGCTCATTCATCTCATCAAGATTCACACTTGAGCATATTTCACCTTTACATTACTTTTTCGTATATAGCATCGTAATGACTTATGTATAGCGTAAATTACTCATCTTATACGCCATCCTCGTCTCAAAATCTCATCAACATTTAATGTATGTACCTCCTTCCTCCGACTACTTGACTAACTATTCATTCGGTAAACTTGGCTGAGTCAGGTTGAGTCAAACCTTTGTTAAAATTTTTGTCACAATAACACAGTCTCATTTTTGGGTGGTTTGGTTCAGTAGCGAAATTGGTCCAGGACTTGTTCATACTTTTCTTGTCCCAATAATATTTCTGCCTCAATATTTATTTCGTGTTTGCCGATATAATTTGCTAGTTTACGATACAGTTTATTGTACAGTGGCAAAAAGAAAATATCATTAAATAACGGTTAAATTTGAGAAGTTGACATTCAATATTAAGAGTTACACGTATATAGAAAGACGTAAAAAAAGAGTTAACAATCCAAACACAATCATATAAACTATTTCGTTTTATTGTTTTCTCTATATGTTCATATGAAGTGTTTACCATTTGGGAAGGTTGTGAAATCACTTGAAACGAGAAGTGCTAAAATTTCGTAACGTAACGTCACCCTCGACTAAAATCAGTAAAGGATATTTCTTCTACAGAGATCTGTAATATTTATCATATACGCAGCGTTGTTGGGTGAATATTAACTAGAAGTTGGATTGAAGCAAGTAGTGTGGGATTATTATCCAAGTCAGTTTTAGTGTGATTTTTAAGATCTCGTGGCATTGGAAGTGACGTTAATTTTGTTTCGTTTGCAATTAAATTACGACAACAGTAAATAAATTGCAGGTAAGGCGATACAATTATACGCACTTTTTTACACCTAAATAATAACGGGTTCGAATTCTATACCGATTTTAAAAAATATTACAGAAAAATGAGTTCCCACCATCAAAACGGTCATCATGAAAAATCCCCCCGACCAGATTCCGCAGTACAATGGTCAGGCACTAAGAAACAGCACCAGATGCAGATGCAATTTCCACCCCAGGAACACAGAGCCCCTGTCGTGAGGCGTCGCAAGCAAGAACCCGACTGTGTCCCGGTCGTCGCTGGAGTAAAAGTGGTCGCCTTGTTCTCAATCGTAATTAAAATTCAGTAACTAACTTCTTCATAAACTTTTTGCCACAAATTTCAATTACTTCTTGTGACATTGCAGTTACTCGGGATAGGATCGATCGGGGTGTGTGGTTGGGTGCTACACAGATCGATTCAAGATTGGCGAAATCCCACATTGGTCACGGCGAATAATTTGCTGTCACAAGTGAACACCTTTTTCGGAGGGACGACGGGTCTTTACGACCTTGATGTCATCTACAGAATTCTTACGGCTTGCTCTGCCACCGGGTTTATCGGAGGCGTTTGCCAATTCTTCTTATCTTTGTGGCTTCTCCTTGCGACGGAAGGGGTAAGTTGAAACATGTGGGTTTAACTGGTTTCAATCCATAAAACTTGAGACAAAACCTCAAAAACACCTCACAACTCTGTAATGAGTTTTGTTTCCTTCGTTCAAGTGTTGAAAAGTCATTAGTACTTCAACGCTCTCCTCAAATCTCGTAAATTAACTCATTTCCTGCACTAATGATTCTACTTTCTATGATTTTAGGGTGGTCGAACGGTCTCCAGAATTTGGGTTATTGCCCACGTTTTGATTATCTGTGCCATCGGGGGAGCCTTTCTGTGCATCATGACGAACGAGTTGCAAATTTCGACCCCGATTATCGTATTCTTATCGGTGACGGGTACCGATTTCCTTCTCCTCCTCCCCTTCTGCTGGGTCGTCTTTATGTACAGTGCGTGGAAAGATCCAAATACTTATGTCTAAAATTGTGTAACAATTTGTTATCCTCGTGTTCAAAATGTATGTAAAAGTGACGACGAGTACGTCGATGGTGAAGATGCAAAAAGTTGACAACTACATTTTGCTCTACTTCGCAAATTTGACATCATGACGTAAACATTATTATTATTCTTATTGTTATTGATTGCATTTTATTAATAATTAACAATTTTAACAATAAAGTTTTTTAAATAATTTTATACAAAATAAATTTCATGGTGTATTGTTGAAATAATCTATATTGAAAAAACATTTCACTAATTTTACTACTGCCAAAAACAAGTTCATGCAATTTCCCGCTTATCCGGTAACACTGCCGATAAGGTAATGAATAAAGATAACCACTAATTACTACAAGTCTCATTTTTACCCCAATTTTGAGACAGTCTCAACTTCGTCTCAAGTAGTGAAACAAAATTCAGCTCATAGAACGCAGTTCGCCAAGCGGGTCGAGATCTCTCCTTTGCTTTGTATCTCACTAATCTCATTGTGAAACTGAAATCCCTACCAAATCCAGCAGGAAGGAAGGGAGTTTCTTCTTCTCTCGCATAAAAATTATAGCAGCAACTTTATCATAGATAACTACTTATCTGAACACATTTTGTATTTTGTTCCCATGTCGTGATTTTTTTGCTTATCGTCAACTGTTATACGTTTACTTAGTTAGTTTTCTTCCGTGGTGGTGGTACTGGTGCCAAGCAAAGTGAAAAGATAACAATCAAGAAAAGGTGACTACGTGCGAGGGATGGAACAAGATGACGGTCGACTTTAGCGACTATTTTTGGGTAAGTGTATCGTTATCTGGTGGAGATCAAGGGAAGATTTCAAGTCAAGTTATATTTTTTTTAGGGAGAAGGTCAGAAATCGACGGGAATAGAGGTGCTCTTCCAAAATGCCAAATCAGGAGTTGTTAATACAAAAGAGGTTGCAGAGTTTCTCAAGGAGAGGTAATAACTAACCAATAATGATAAGTGTCAGGCGAGGGAAAGTTAACGTTATCAATTTCGGTTTGCAGGTCTTCCCTGGAAGAATCACATTCCAAAGCTCTTGGGAAATTGGCAAAAATCGCGAGCAATGGGACCCCTAACGGCTCCTTCTCTCCTATGTGGCAAGCTCTCAAGAATTTATCAGAAAAACTGTCATCCGCCCACACCCACATGGTGCAAAAGATTGAGGAGGTATTGTTATTAGCAGTTGTTTTTTGCTCAACACAGTATTGACCATTTCTGAATAATTTATTTATTAACAGCTCGTCAAAGAGTTGCTCATTTATGCAGAAGAGCTTCAGAAACAGTACAAATTAGTAAAGGAGAGCGAAAGTGGAACGGTAGAATCGGTCCAAATGTATCAAAATTCCAAAGCGATGGTCTCCAAAACCAAAGCAATTTACATGCAGAGATACTTAGAACTGGAAAAGTGTCAAAAACAGGATAACGTTCCACAGAAGGAGCTAGAAAAGGCTGAAGCAAGGATGAAGAAGGCACATGAAGAGTACAAGGCTTGGGTGGAAAAGTATCAAATTTGCACCGAAGATTACGTTTCGAAAATGACGGAATCCTGCCGAGTGCGCGTGACATAGAGTCTATCTCGACGTGTATAATATTTTAGCGATTTATGTATATTTAATTTGTACATTTATTCTCTAGCGTTTTCAAGACGTTGAAATTTTCTATCTTGAAAAAATGAAAGGGTTTATGGATTCGTATTCTAATGCAATCGACAACAATCACGAATCGATCGGCCAGGTTAGTTGATTATGCATTTAGTTTGAAGTATCAATTGCACCGATAGAAAAAATAATCTACTTGCAGGTTCACTATGAGTTTCGAAATGAGTGTTCCACCCTGACTGTAGAGGAACTTTTGCAGCAGATGGTGCGATTAAAAGCGACAGGAAATTCTAAACCTAGTAATATATATTTACTATCATATTTTCCTCGTGATGGATTAGTTATAGTAGTGCATTACTCTTATTAGTTTACATTCCAGGTGCTAGTGGTGAAATTGATGACACCCTGATTAATTTTGAAATCAGCCACAGCGGTTCTTCCGAGGACAAGTCTTCCCTGGGAGAAACTAAAGAAAAGACAACGTCTGGAACAACAGCACTTCCACCACCTTCAACAATTACAGTTCTTCCTAATAATACTAGTACATCTTCTACTGTGGCAACTAGTGAGAAGATCTTTGAAGGTAACGACATGACTACAGTCTCCACTTCCAGTTCTGTGTCAATGCCAGTAGGAGATCGGTCAAGCAAGGGATCACGCAGAACAACTTCCCTCCTTAACCTTTTCATTCCTCAATCCCAGGGTATGTCCTCCAAGGGCTACGTGCTTCAAAGCAATGTTCTGCCGTACTCGCTACACCATGTTTATGAGTACAATTGCTCTTCTTTGTTTTTGTATGTTGCCTGTTCACACCGTTGTTGTTGGTATTTTGCACACAGGTAGTAAAAGCAGCATACCTACGAAAGGTGTTGATTTAACAAGCACTTCTACCTCTACGGCTACTAAAGTAGAGGTTGGAAATCCCACCACCGGCCAGACAACTCTGTCCAGAACAAGCAACAGGGGATCAAAATGTAATCAATGTTATGTTGTACATCAATTGCTGTTAAACAAACCCTTTAAATATGTTTAGACGAGTAGATATTTTCATTCAGATGAAATAAGCCTGCTTTTTTCTACTTATTTTTCTATCAATTTATTATTTATTCAGCAGCACTGCATTATTGGCTTTTATGGACGGAGCAAATACGCTTTACAGAGGAGGAGGTGGGAGACCAAGATTCGCAAAAAAATACTTCATTTTTGCACTAGAGCATTTTAGATAAAAATCACGTGCTCGCTTCAACGGTTTAAAACGGGTTTTCTGCCTGATACCTTGCTTTAAAAATAAATAGTTAGTTACCGGCAATCCACACCAACCACACACTAGCTTTCTATTACACTATATAGAACTAGTAGGCTGTTGCACGCCTCAATTAGTTCTTGATCTTGTAGTTTTCATTTTATTATATTGGATGATTGATTATGGAAATAATTTGTGATTGCTTCGGTCAAAGTAACATTTTCATGTGATGGTGTCCAGGGTTTTTGAGGAGTAGGAGGGGTAAGAAAAAAGACAAGGGGAAGAAAAAGGACAAGGAAGAGTCGACGAGTCAGGAAGATACGGGAAATGCATCTCAAAATCAGTAAGTAACGATTTTCATACCATCGTTGCAAGCATACTTGCAAATCTGACTCTATTTTTTATACACTAGGAGTGAAACTAGTATCGCCAATTCCTCGGTTGCCGAAGTAAGTACGAATTCGCCAAAGGTTGACGCTGAAGGTTTCACAATTCGACCAAAGGACGTTTGGGAAGAGGATGCTAGCAAATTTTATTCAAGTTCCGACACCGATTCTGGTAGACACAAATAACACTATTAACACAGTATTTTAATTCACAAATCAAACCAATCGATTTAATCTAGATGAAGCGCCTGAAAAACGACTGCATGTGGAAATCAAGCCCCTCACTAACGGGACAGCTCCACTAAGTGCTAGTGTTGACGAACTTCGTACTACAGTGGAAAATTTAACTCTGTCTTCTACAGCACTTCCGGTAACCTAAATAACCTACTTAATAATTATTGTTTACATTCACATGTTTTATTACGCGTGCATTCTTATCCACATTATTATTGTTTACGCAGGGCCGAAAAATAGTCATTGATGCAGACGCCCAGATGAAACGGTCTCATTCGGTATCGCAACAGATTGGGAGTACGTCCCCTCCTCCTCGCTATCCCTACGCTCCCCTCAGTCCCTCATTGCCTGCACACGGTAGTAAAACTAGTCCAAATTGTAACTCTTCCAATGACCCTTCTTCCAACTATGGAGGTTAGTTATTAGTTCTTGCAATTGTTTATTGTTTATAGTTGTTTGTGTATTAAATTGGGTATAAATATTTTTGTTTAATTTCATAGAATTGGGGGATCTATTTGCAGAAATTGGCGAAATGCAGCCATCACTGCCACCAAAGACTTACATATCTAGATCTACTCCTACATCTGGAGGGACCATGTCCATTCCTCGTCCTCCATCTAGACCAAGACCTGAGGTGCGTATTGGTTGGAGTTTCACTAGAACTATATAAAAGTTCAATTCCTTATTGTTTTGTTATGCTATAAAATAATACTAATTATTTTACGTGTTTTAGATACCCTTATTCCCTCAACGCAATACGAGCTCTCCCTCTCCAGTAGTTTCAAGAACTGAAAGTGTTGCAAGTTTGGAAACAAAAAGTATTGGGAGTCACATAAGTGGATCACGAGGGCCGTCCCCATTAACTCTCGGAATGTCAGACACAATACCCATCGCAATTGCATTCCACGAAATTGGTAAGGATTATCATTTTTCAATAATGCCCTTTCTGTATAGATAAATGTTTAGAAGTTAATTTTATTTTGAAATAGTTCACGCTTACTTCAAAGGGAACGATGAAAACCAGTGTAAAGTAAAAATGACTGGGGACATGATGGTCTCTTTCCCTGCCGGAATTATTCAAGTACAAAAATTATTCTCTCAAATTTTCCTAGCATGGGTTCAAAACTAAATGGGGAGAATTTTACACTATCTAACAACCTGAATATTTATTTCAGGTGTTCGCTAACAATCCTTCCCCTTCGCAGCTAAGTTTTCAAGTTTGCAGCAAGCAACGATTGGAAAACTTGATTTCTAACAAAAATCTCGTAAAAGTGTAAGTGTTCTCTATTCGGTATTTTAAATATTATGTTATGTAATAATGATTGATCTGTTACAGTGATTCTGTTGGAGACGTGCTGCATTTCGAATTTGACATGAGTGCCTTAACTATTTTACTGAAGAATCATGCCGAACAAAATCCTAATGCGTCGTATTTTAATGTCGACATACTAAAATATCAGGTACGAATTAACTATATGCATACTTTTAATTAGTGAATTCGTAACTCTTCTTATTTTGAAATTATGCTTTGCAGATTAAGCCAAAGCCAGGAGCAGCATCTTGCCCTCTTCATTTAGTAGCGTTCTGGAAATGCGAAACCCAACAAACTGATCTTCGGATCGATTACAAATACAATGGTCGAGCAATGGAGCCAAGCCAGTCTGAAGTTGTCGCTGCCAAAAATAGCCCTTCAAATTCTCCAAATCAGGCCCCACTTTCGCAAGTTTGCGTTGCAGCACCGGTTGATGGAGGTGTGAAAACTATGCAATCAAAACCTGGTGGCCAGTGGTACGTAGAACAACCCAAAACTTTCTCCCATCATAATGATTCAATATGGTTATCAACTGGTTAAATAGGGTTTCTTCTACGAATCGTGCATATTGGAAGCTCTCCACATTGTCAACTAAATCAGACAACCTCGGGGTCGGATCTCTTCGTGCTCGTTTCGATGTTTCGAATGGACCCAGTTCAAACGTAATGAGTTATGATTTGATTTGAAATTTTATGTGGGTCGATTCATAACGCAACGCCTCCTTGTTCTTGTCGCAGGGGACGATTGCAGCACAATTTAGCTGTGAAAATTCTACCTTGTCCGGTTGCGAGTTTGAATTAACTGGTTCTGGATATCGAGTTTCATTAGTCAAGAAACGATTTGTATCTGGTGAGTACAAATAGACACATAAGTAATTACATATGGTCTAGCTCTTAAACCAACCAATTTCTCTTACATAGGCAAGTATATCTGTGATTCTGAAGAGAATTCCAACCGATACGCTGTTCCACCCGAGTATAGCAAACCCGTTGCAGTTTAGTGCAGTGAAATTGTCGTCCCTTTGTCCCAGTGCCCACTATCTCTAAACCAAAGATCTACCTACACCCGAAACCAATAAATATATACGGGATTATCTAAACTTATCTTCCTCTCCTCAAGAATCAAACACACAACTACCTACAACCACTACTAAAATAAGTGGTAGAATTCCTATCTTATTGTATTACTACCAACTACATAATAATTATTAGTATAGTTGCCACTTAATGGTTTAAATAGCTTCAACATTCTGATCATTTTTATCCAATACTTTTTTCACTTCTTAATTTACACTCCGCCATCCATTCAAAGAAATGTCTAAGACTTATCGATTATTAATTAATTACACTAATTTTCAATCTCATTATTACGAAACCACCTCACGGCTCACTTACTCACTCACCTCGCATTTTCAATCATGAACAAAGTTATTTTAGTTTTACATTTATGATTATTTTGAATTTACATACATTATTTTCAGCTTTGATAGCAATCGATTTAATTAATGAGCTTTACTATTTAGATTTAATTATTTTTGAATGTATGAATTCCACAATTCAAGCAGAAATGCAATCATATTTACCTACAGGAAGAGAATGAAACGAAATAAATGATTAAATTTAATAATATGTAAAATCCGAAAAGTTTGCATTATTTTCATGCAAATTTCGCACTTTGCCCCGCAATGAATGCCCCTTCGCGGCCGTGCTCCCGGTTGCCCAAGCTATTTTTTTACGTCCGAGCAAGTCGAGTGTTGACGGTAAAAGATACAAATGAAATGACAACTTACTTACTGCGAATGCGAGGAAGGAATATTGGATTTTTGGTGAGTAATATAGCAATAACATTATTTATACAGGCCAATTAATCAAAGGTAAACTGGAGCACGTTGTATTTCGCTCTCTAAGTAATACAAGGTCGTTGTATTTAATTAATAATCTGAATTAATCTGCTTATTCTTTAATCCAAGGGTTTGGTCGGCTACAATATATTACTTGGCCGGAACGATCGATGCTATAAGAAGGAAGGATAACAGGAGAGGAGTCCTCAGAACATTACACATTATGAGGATTGCGTAATTTTGGGATGCAAATTTTGATACCAATTTCAATATACAAGATACGAATTAGTATGTAAGGTAAGTGATTAATAAAAAGTTGTTTTGTTAAGAAAAATATATGTATTTTGTTTTAAAATATTTAGGTACTAACAAAAAATGTGAATAATTCATCAGTTTAGCTTGTGACTGAATTTCACGAGAAGGCTCCCGTGCTCAGGAGGTAGGTTCAATTTTTATAATGCAAAATGACTAGTTATATGAAAATTTGTATCTTTCGCTTTAAATTGTCTCGTCAGTCGTCAGCTCCGTTCCTTTATGATCCTACTTTTTTGAAAATATAATAAGTGAAATGATAATGACTTGTTTTAGCGAACTATTTGTTTACAATTTCAGATAAACTTGTAAAATACTGACTGCCACTAAAGTTCTGAAGATACCAGGATGATTGCAAGCGAGAGAAGAATCGTGTCCGAAGGGGAAACTCGCCATTCGCTTACAAAGAAGTTGGCCTTATCTGGCCGGCCGGTCAAAATATATGTCATTGATCCAAAGCAATTTCAAGACCGCTTGCAGAAATATAATGTCGACCCAAACGATGGTGCTACTGAAGATGTCAAGTCAAACAAGTCGGAAGAACAACCCCCACAAACTAAGGGGCAACAAATACAGAAACCCACCATCGAGGCCACAACAACAAACCTTCCTCCTGGTCTTATGATGAAGGTTTCCGTCCCAACTTACGAAAATTATAAAATGAGTCATCATCCCGTTCTTATCGCTCCAAAAGAACAACAAATGACTACTGGAACGACAATAATATTACCTCCGACCGCCACCCTGCTGCCGATACCAATGTCACTCTCTTTGCCCATTATGCATGTCGGAACATCTGCACATCTTGGTGCAACAATGGGAAACGTTATAACTGTGACTACTCCCAATATTTTACCTAATGGCGTGACGACTCATTCCTCAACTGAGGACCCTTCATCAAACACCAGAACACGGAAGAAAAAGGTGGTCAAAAAGAAGAAACCTGTTAAACGAAAGTTAACGGCAGAGCTGTCTAAACGAAATTCCATCTCGGAAGAGAAAGCTGAAGCTGCAGAAATGGCGTTTCTAATGAAGGAGTCTACCACAAGGACGGGGCGAGTTTCAAAGTCCAATACAATGGCTTTAGCTGTGGCGACTGCTGTTTCTAGTACGCTGGGGGCTGTGTCTACCCCACAAGGAATTGTAGGAGGAAGTATGCCTGGGTCTCCGATGAGTGCAAGCGGGGTTACCACGTCTGCCCACACTAGTAGGGGATCAAGTCCAGCCCCGAGCACTAGCACTTCCATTAATACCCAACAAGTTCAACAGCAACCGCAGCCACCAGTCGTAAAAAAACGGAAACCTCCAGAAAAGTTCAAATGTCAAACGTGCCAACGGTTTTATCTGGGAAATGCTAAATTTAATCAACATTTTGACAAGTTTCCAGACCATGTGAAACCAAATCCAAGTGAAGCTACTGGCGGTGGGAGAAAGAAGAAGCCAAAGAAATCCCTCCCAACTTCAACGGAACAACAACCTCTGGACCCGGAAGTCGTTTCAAAAACTGCAACTTTAATAAACGATGAACATCATCATCAGGAACAACAGCCAAGTCCCAAACCCAAATCTGTTCCCTTTACTCCTTCAAATTGTGACGATGACTCGCTGGGAATTGGAGCATTTAGTCCGATTATGAGACGAGGAATTGCATCTGTCCCAAATCCTGACACCTTATCAGACAATTGCACTTCTCCAAAACTCCCTGCATTTTCGATGGAGTCGACAGATTCCTCCTCCCCTGCTTTATTTATCGAGCGCAACATTAGGGATGAACATCACAATAGCATGCAACATTCTAACTCTGCTCGAGAAGATTTACCTTCAGACCCACAACAGCGCGAATATTTCATGGAATTTCAGACTGACTTCAACCACGCTTCCATTTCCATGAATCAAATTCCTAACGAGCTTATCGGAAACGGCTCATGTTCTTCACAGCAATCGTTCAACTCTTTAGAAAATCTTTTAGGAGATAGTAGTACTTCTCATTTGGGGCCCCGTTTTCAATCCCCACCAATCCCCCGACCAACTTCGCGGTGTGACGTGAACGTACAAGTCGCTAATAATTCAACTACAAGGATTTGCAATACTGATGTGTCCACCTTTTTCTCCGCCGCGTCAACTTCACACAGCAGTTCGTCGTCGCATCATCTTCATGATTCCAGTGTCAACGTTAGTTCCTACACAAGTGTTAACAGTTGCAGTATTCCTGTCCCGACGACAACCTCAACTTCTTCGCCGCAACAAAATAATCATCGTCTCAGCGGAAGTAGTGGGGATGAAGAAAGTCGAGACGATACGTGTTTGAGTGGTAATCATCATCATCGAGGAGCAGATGACGGAAAAAATATTACGAATGACAACAACTCAAGTCAGCCCAAAAGACGCAGTATTTGGGAGTTTGTCAAAGAGCAGATACGATTATGTGGTATAAATCAGGTACATTTGAATAAGGTTATTCTTGCAATTGTATTATGGAAATCATTTGTACTAATTATCCATAAACCCTTGTGTTTGCAGACCTGTGGAGAGATATCTGACATGGCTGACAAGTTGTCAAAGATTGCACGGGATAAATTTTACCCGATCCAGGAAGAGGAAGTGGAGCGACTTGGAAATGCATCTCCAGTCATTCAGGTATGCATACTCTCAATTTCGTAATTTTTAATAAAGTTATCAAATGAAATTATTTTAACATCTTTTAACTGTTTGTCATGCAGGTGGACAGCCCATTCATATCGCACCTTCTTGATCTACCCTTTGGCACCTACATTTTTAAGGAAGATGGTGGCATTCGTAAAATAGTTCCTCCGCCCACACCCGTCTCGACCGAATTGTCACTCACGAACGGCGTGGAAGTTGACATGGACAAGTTTTTATCTCCAGACATTGATCTCATATCATTACCTCACTTGACTAATTTGGACTTTAACTCGATTTGTAACTAAACTAACTCATTTTTAAACAATGTTCTTGCGGTATTACTAATAATACTTCGTGTTTGAAATGTATGTACTTAAAAAATACCATTGCACGTTTTATAGAAGTAGATTAGATACGTTTAAACTAAGGAATGTTGTACCTTTTCACTGTATATGTGCATATATCATTGTACTGTACTCGGGTTTTACTATTATACTCACATTAATATTAGCATTTCATAGCTTGGTTGTACTTTGTGTAAAAAAAAATGAGCTCGATGTATTAAAAACCGTTGTAATATATTAAATGTTATTGAACCCTTTTAATGCGAAGTCTACACGAAAGAAAGGGTGAGTGGTGAAGGAAAGACATTTTATCTACATTTTCAAGCAACCCTGTCTCTCTGGCTGGCTGGATTGTTTCCTGGAATTCTAATCTCCATATTTCACAAGACTCGATCTTCGCTATCCGTTCATTTTCCTTTTTAGTGTACTGCAACCATTTTCATATTAAGAATTCCACAAGTATTCCAGTCAGTAGTCGGCATTCGTTGGAACTGTATCTTGACGAAACCTTTTACATTGTTGCCTTTAAAAAATGGGCGTTAGAGTAAAATCTGGTATGAAAAAGGTCGCTTTTTACTTCACCGCCCTCATCGTATTCTACTGGCTGTTCATACGACAGCGGAGAATTACAGAAAAGTATGAAATCGTAATACCGGATGTAGTGCCAAAATCTATCTGGGAATATTGGGCAGATTTCTCAAACTATAAAAGGATAAACCCTACAGTGTAAGTAAGACAAGGACCAACACTTGTTTTTCAGTTGTTAATTATACTAAAGTTTTACTGACTGCTTAAATAGGCTTGATTTTGAAATCGACTATGAACGAGGCACCTACGACAATTGGGAGTACGGCGTAACTTACACGGAACGCTTGACCAAGCTTCCATTCACGGTGACAATTAAGGGAAAATTCATAGTCACTCCAGAGCAAAAACATGGACATTTCGCAGAACCATTTAGAATTATTTCAGAGCACGATTCATGCCTCTGGATATTTTGCTGTAATTGATTCATTATCTGAAACCAATTTTTCATGACGTGAGTAATAAAATTTTCACAATTTTCAGCACACTCCGATGCGGACATGACTTTTGTTGCGACTCATGACGGCAAAAGTACTCGAATAACGGAGACAGTCACGTTCGAAACGCCAGTAATGATGACGTGGTATTACATCAGCGAGTTCAAAATGCAGCGACAATATATTACGGAACAGTTACGGACAATAGATTTCAGCACGGTGTAAAAAAAATCTTAGAAGATTAAGTAATTTTCCAATTTTTAATTTTATTCATGTCTGTAATGAAATATTTGAATAATACAATATCCGAGTTGTTATAATTAAATTTGGACATTATTGTACAGAACAAACTGAAACTACTACTTATAGAAAAGTATTTTTAATTTAAAATAAAATTAGAAACCCTATAATAACGACCCAAAAGATGGCAGGAAATTAATTTTCTTCGCGATCTGCAGGCAAAAAGTATCATGCATTACTTTCAATTAGCCCAAAAAAGTAGAAAGATACGGAACACACAAAAAATAAAGAGTTTAACGTCAAACTCTAACCTCCATCCTCATCGGAGGTATCTTCCTCTTCAGATTCGAACGTATTGTCGGGGATGTCGAAGAGATGGATGAGAGGCTGACACAAAATGTATATTATTCATTTAAAACTTGATATTCTGTCTTTGTAGATGAAATAAGATAGAGATAAGATACCAGACAAGCAAATATATAATACATTACCTTGTTGGGATCACGAAGAATCAAATATTTCCCATCGGGTTGCTTCATGCATAAATCAATTACACAGCGAAGCACACCCCATGCATTATCCATGTTCAAGCTGATTTGAGTTGCAAATTCCGTCGGTTTAAATTGTTGGGTTCCAAGAATTACGTGATTTGAATCGTCCCTGACACTCACGCGAGAAACGTATCTAAAATGTCATGCAATGAATTATTTTTTGATATTCATCTGAAGAAGTGCTTCAATTTAAATTCAGTATTTTAAAATGCTCACCCAAATTTCATCTGATCAGATCCAGCCAAGAGCGATTGCACGGTCCATTTTGCCAACTTGCAAGCATTGTTACGAAGCTCATTGGCTAAGACAGCACCTCGCTGGGAGTCCAATTTTTGACGCCATTCAATTCCACCAGAGAACTATACACAATTGAAATTTATTAATTATTTAATTACCAATGATATACCACATTAAATATGATAGTTAATTGTTTTTTCATACCCGTGGATCCCACTCATTCAAAGCTTTTACATTTATATACTGCATTTCCCCATTTACAGCCTGCATAACAGCGTCATGTTGACACCTCGTGACTAACACGATTCCATTGTCCAAATCCCACTTCCGGTACCGATACCCGACGGAAGCCATCTTTTCTACTTCTTCTTCTCCGATGAACGGATTTGGGTCTTCAAACTTGTATCGATCTTCTCCCGTTTTTAATGCCTGCTGAGAAAAGTTGTTGCAGACAAATGTTGCCTCCAACGCTAGTGTGTTCAGCATTTCGGGATCATCGACTGGAGGCTCGTTTGAGGTTTCATTTACAGTTAGCAAATCTATAATAATTTAATCATTATTTGCATTTCTATCTATATTTTAGACTTTTTATGCGAAATTACATTCCGATAACTAAAATCTTACCAAATGTGTTGTCACGCTTGTCAAAGAATAATTTCTCGCCAATCTTTTGTACAACAATGTCCCACGAGTAGTTCGAACGAGTGGCACACATCAACGTAGCCAAAATAGAGTCCGTTGCATACACGTTCCCGACCGTTTTAGACAACTGAGAAATAAAGTTTTTTTTCAATTTCAATTTAAGTACAACTAAACTGAACAATTCTGATTAGTGTTTGTTTGTTGGCAAAATTACAAGGGGCAATATACGTAATAATGTCCCTAGTTATTTTTACCTAATTTTCTATTGCACAGAGTTTATGTCCAAATAATCAAACTATTAAAGTTATTACTAGATGGATGATCAAGTTCTGTGCTTATTAATAGAAACTAACATCTTTGTATCAATTACCTTCCTAATGATTGGATCATCCGATGTCGTGACGGTATGAAAGATACGATCTACGGGCTGCAAAGGTCTCTCATTCTTCACATTGACTCGATCATACGACTTATCATAGAACTCCATTGACCCGCATTTTACTCTGCAAATGGAAAACACAAACGTTTAACTTTAAACCAATTAGTCACATAATTAATTAATAATAACCATTTTACTCACAAATCTTCCGGCTCTTTAACATTCGGCAGATAAAGTTTACTCAAACGAGGAAAGTCCATCTCCTCCACACTTTTCCAGTCGGCTTTCACGGTAACGGACGCCTCACGATTTTTCATCTGACCCTTATTATCATAACGTCCTCGACCCCTTTGGTTTTGGAAGCGCCGATCCTTCATCTTGTTCGCCTTGAGTTGTTGCATACCTTGCGGTTGCATCCTACTATTTTGATTTCGCATCCTCATATTCCTCTGGTTAGGACGGAATCGGGAACGTTGATACATCGGGCGTTGGAGTTTTGTCGTGTCGACAAGTTGGAAGGAACTTTCGTCCTCATCGTGAAAGTAGGCGAATTGGTTTCCGGCTCCCACACCAAACTGAGATGTGTACTTATCTGAGGAGATTAAAGAGTTTGTTACATTTTATACTTTCACTTTGCCTTCTTAACTGTCTTACTTTGGAATCGTCTATCCGGATACGTCGCACCGGTCCAGTCAGCAATCTGGAAAATATATAAATAATTACTTACTAACGTTCACTATTAATTAAATAAATTATTATTTAAATAAATTAAACTACCCAGACCCACCTTGCCCAGCCGGTCGCTTTTGGCGAAAGGTTGATACGGCATGTTCTGGAATTGTTCCGGTGTCCCGGTGGGTCCCCATCCCGTCTCGTTGTCGTGGATGATGGGTGGAGTAAACTTTGCCAAAGGTTTGGCTGCCATTTCCAAGCTGTTTCGATATTTTCAAAAATCTAAGAAATTTTGACAACCAGGCAGCCACAATAAGAAATTGGAGAGAGTAAAGTCTCGTGTTGAATGTATTTGGTGGCCGGTTTCCTTGATTCGTTGCCCTGAAACGAGAGGGCGAGGCTTTGGTTGTACATAAGATGAGACGTGTCAAGCGTCTTATTTTGCCTCGTCCACATTTTTTGGCTTATGATGAGGCAAAGTAAGAATTCTCAAGTTTTTCTTGATAATGATATGCTGGATAAAAAGTGTGGATACGCAGTAGGGATATTTTGGATGACGGGGTGGTTCGTATTTTTATTACGCATTTTTATAACGCTTCATCAGCTTGATGCAGAGTTACGTGTGATTTGAACGACAGGATTAATCGATGACCTACTTCCATATGAAATGATGTGGTGTGATTTGTTGCTGTTGCGTCACAGCCTTTAAGTAAGTTATCTGTCAATGTTTTACTACCGCACACTGGACATGACATAACTTTAGATCAGCCTTATTTTTATGTCCAGCGTATAATCGTTTTTTACGCATAAAAATTTACCCGACATGAACAACAGATCGCGCTTATCTTAATGATAAAGAATTTTGGTTTACATATACGATCCCGCAGTTCACAGTAGCAATAAAATGTAAACCTTCGTTCTCAGACGTGCATGATTCTCAACACAGTCAACATTGCGGAATTATTGAAGAGCTATTTATTTATTACCTCTCTATTTCTCCCTGAGACTTGGTCATCCTCAATTTAGCAAGTGTTTTTTCTTCGTACGCACATTTTTTGGCATAAGAATGAATCAACAACAACATCTCAGTCTCACCCCCGCTAGTAAACTCCTCTTTTAACGACTCTTAATATTAACTATCATCACGTCTGTACTTTGATTAAGCCATGTTGAACCCTGTACAAAATATGCGATCATGAATGGTAATAAAATTAGCGAAACTACTGGCCGCCCAATAAAGTGTAGCGTGAGAGATTTGTGGCCTCCAGTCTGTGAGGAAATTGACAAGTTGACTCATCCTCAATTGACGAAATACGTTTCAAAATTAACGAGTTTAACCATTCTAACTCCCGAAGAAGGCAGTGTAATTTCGCATTCGAGCGATAAAGCGAAATTTTTCGAATTTATTAATTCCAGGTATCCGAAAACGTACATTTCGTGCATATATAAGTACTAATTGTTTACAATCAAATAATTCACTCATACATATTTTTTTAAGGGGTATTAACCAGGTCATTAAAACTTTAAACATCCTTAAAGACGACCCGGTCAATCAAGGAATCAGAGACAAACTTTACGGTTTAAGTGAGAAACACAACTTACAAGAAGAATTTCCGAACCTTCCTCCTCCAAGAAACTCGAGAATATCCGAAATATCAGTACAAATAGAGGAAGGGCCCCTTCTTCAACAGTCTCAAGAACCAATCCCTGAGCAAACAATCGGTAAGATCCATCCTGATATTTACACATTTTCTAACCATTATTTCACTTTCCTGGAAATTTTGTAGGAGCCAGGACTCTAACCTGCATTAAACAAAAGCGTCTTAAAATGGTCACTGTCGCCTCAAGCGTGGGATTTGTGCTTTTATTGTTCACGCAACTCTACATACCGTCTACCGCAATTGACCGAACTTCTGATCAAAATAATTCCCCACCTAATAACCGTGAAAATGTTGACACATATCCTACTTTGTCTGCCATTTTGCCTTTAGATAATCCAGCACCACTCCCACCAGGGATTGATGAATCTTGGAGAAATGTATCCAACGCTACACGGGACATAGTACCAATGGTCAGAGACGGCCAATTGCATAATCATACAGAGATAATCATTCCCGCATTGGAAAATGGTAGAAATTTCTCGAACGTATCAACTTCATCACAATCATCAACCAGCTTATCAACAAATTCGCTTAAATTACTCGATGTACAATTAACCCGACTGAAAAACGTTTTCAATCTCCCTCGGATGCAAACTCTCGAAATCGATTCCGCCAGCGATATTGACCACATGAAGACATTGATATGCAATAAAACGGTCAAAAAAGCTCTCGAAGTTAAAGTTAGAGGAACATTTGACCTTGCAAAATTTCAAAAAATGCACGACTGTGTCAAAGACATAAACGGATTAATACTCTCTGGAAACGTCACGATTAATGTCTCACACCAAATCCTGCGAGACGCCCCCAACATTGAATTCCTCGTCATTAACGCTCACGATATTTGTAGAACGATCGAAAACGGTGAGGAACTTCTGGACATCGAATCCCTCGAGAAAGTATCTCTCCAAAACTTAAGATATCTCAAAGTAACCAATTTTCTCTCAGATTGCTCAGACCTTGTCCAATTTATGGACGAAGTTTTCATCACTCGAAACGTTGAGACTGTTGTTTACGATAACGTGAATCTGCGTCACGCAGATCACACGCACTGGATAGAAAACTCAATCTCTAAACACGACAAGTTGGAATCGTTCCACTTTTCTGGAAGAATTTGTCCAAATTGTGAATTATTTCAAAAAGTGGTGTTCAACAAATCCTTAAAATCGGTAGGCTTTATGGTAGACAACAATTTGTACAGCAGGGGTCGCTCTTCCGCACTCAAATTAATTATCAATTCCAGAAATACACTCGACTATTTTGAATCCAATGTGGAGTTTCCTCGAACTCATAAGTTTCTCAAGTTGCTTGAAAATGTAAAAGTACTGAACATAACCGTGGCCCTAGGAGAATCAATATTGATGAAAATGAGTACAAAATTATTTTCTCTCCTCCCCCGGCTAATTGAGGCTCATTTGTACTTGCACTTTGACCACAAATCGTTTGCAAATCGTTAAGTGACCAGGTAGCAATCACCAATTTAGCCAAGTATGTGGAACCCTCAAACATTTGGAAGTTGGTGATTAACGCCAGGTGTAAATTGGATGCAGTGAAAGGATGGAATCTGACATGTCGCGATTATTCTTTCGAACGACAGGGTGATACTCGCACCATAATTTTAAGTGGAAGAGACGACACCAAAAAATGTAGAAAATATTGGAACTCTAAAAACTTGACGACTGTGTAGCAATGTTTCCGAGTATGTACAAATATTAAATTAGTTAGAGTTAGTTTCAATCCGTCCATAAATAGAGTTTTTAATACATACATAAGTGAACAAAGCTGTTATCTTAATTTTTGTAAATTTTTGCATATGTTATCGTCAATAATTTGAATTACCTAATTTATGATGAAACACCTACATAAATAATAAACCACATTGTTACCTGTTATTCACTTGATTTGCTCTACATCCGGTCTCAGATAAACTGCTCATTGTCAATTATTTATGTGTTTCCCCAAAATCAGAAATAAATATTTAGATTATGGTCATTGGTCCGTTTTCATTGCAGAGAAATGCAAATAAGCGTCATGTACAGCAAAAAAATGAAGTCTTTATGCATGTATTATCAATATTTACCTATCTACACTGATAAACCGCACTGTTATTATTTTTTTATCTATGTAAATATGTATGCCTTAAAAATCTTCAATAAGTATGTTTTTGGTCCAGAAGTGGGGCAAATTTTATTTATCTATAAACTTCGACTACTTTCACTTCCTTCTATCAATTTTTGTGCATTTGAATGCCCTTCTTTTAATAGAAATATTGCATGAAGTATTGATTTATGATATCAATTTTTAAAAAATATTTAGCACAACCAATTATTTATTTCAACACTTATAACTCTGTTTGGAACAGTTTAAAAATCAGGTACAAATATCACCAAGTAAAAGTGAGGAAGAAAGTAAGTTGTAGATTTGGGTACGTGACATATGTCACTCATCGTCATATTCGTACTCTGCAATTTTTGAGACTTTTTTTAGCACTATGAATTTCAATTGGCCTGGTCAAAGGGAATTAGTGGCTATTCAGTAACACTAATAACTAACTTAACTAGTTCATAGGAGCAACTTTGTTTCGCATTTTTTAAATGGATGTGAAGTAGTACATACATAATGCCTGATTGAAGGGTGTGGATTGCACCTAAAAGTCTAAATTAATTGAGCCATTTGCATTTTTACAGAAAAATATAATTCCGATATTCAGACCCTAAAATAAATTAATCTGTTACCAAAATTTTTTAATCATCATTTAAATATATCTTCTCAAATTTACTTAATTTACCAATTTTTCTAACCATCTGTAAGCAATGGTACGCTAAAAAAATCAGCAATTAAAAAGATGTCCACATTTCTCTAAACTGAGGTACACCACACTCGTAATTTATTCTTCACAGGTTGTTACCCACTTATAAAAATCTAACCTGAAATGGAACCAAGAATGACCACGAAAACAAGTTTAAAAACGACTTCCTATCCTCAGCATAAAAATCAAAGTCAATTAATTCAGACTAAACAGAACTTGTGTAGGTTATCGTGAAGAAATATTTTTTGTCTTTTACAATACAAATGACGATTTCATTTCTGAACGTCGTGATAAAAACTCTGTAGAAAAATTGTCAACAAAAATCCTGAGAGAGAGAGAGAAGAAAATAATATTTTTTCGCATAAATAAAAACCTCTATTTTTTACATGGCCTGTGTCATGTCTGTCGTCTATTATTTGTTAATATGGAATTAATTTTCGAATTCAAAATCAACGCGATAAAGGTAACTTGCATAAACTCTAACTCGTGTAAATCTCGTTTTCTTCCTTCCTTCCAATCAAGCGATTCGAAAAACGCATTTTGTTTGTGGTGTGGTTGACGTCAATTTAGCAAGTGCAAAATATTGAGTAGCCAGATAGCGATGTACTTTGCTAAATAAGTGACCATATAACCCGTCCCCCAGTGATCAGATTCAGAAATACGCGTAAGTATTATTATGTATGCAAGACTTTCCTTATTACCTTACCTTATTTCTGATAGATAACCTCGCTGCTAGTAGTGCAAATTTTACTTTCCTTCATATTCCTTTGCTCGCACATATTTCATCAAGAAAGACAAGACAACCAACCTACCAACAAAAATCAAGAGTGACCAAGCCACCTTCTCGTCCAATGTTTTCAAATAATCGTAAATACATACACATGTTGTGCTTAATGGCAAATTACCAATAGAAATCTTCCGATTGAATTGAATATCTTGGTTTTTCTTATCCCCTGCCTGTTATGAAGATATTTATCGACTTATCGTCCCATTGTTGTATTCACTCACATTGCTGAGTTTTACTATTAGTGGTTAATTCGATGAGTGCATAGCATGCAGAAGATTATTTCTATTCCATAACATAATATTCTTCTCACCATAAACGCTTTGCATTAAATGCAAATCAAATTATATTTTGGTGTATACAAAGTTATGCGTCAAATTGAAATCTTGGTCAGTCGTGTTCTTCAAGTCCAAGGGAAATGAGTGAATGAAAGAGAGAGTTGCGTCAATAAGGGCAAGGTTAGTGTAACCACTAAAGGACAAAGGTGACGCTATTTGTGATAATAATGTGACAAGAAGATTCGCAGATTCGCGGAATTGAAGAATCAGATATTTTACAACAGAAAAGTGTAAAAAACAAGTTATAATCATCATGCTGCAAGTAAATCCTGGAGCAATTCTCCTCATAACTTTACTTCCGGCTAGTATATTTATGACGGTGAATTATATCGGGGATAACAGTGGTTCGCCAAATGTTAAAGTGACCAATGGTGCGAATAATACGATACAAATCGAGCTTGGTGGTAGTGAAAATGGTACCATAAATTTAACAACATTACAACCCGATAGTGCTGCAATTCCAGTAACTTCTACTTCTGATGGTGGGAAAGTAATCCAGATTAACTTCAAAATTGGCCAAGGTTCTTCTCACCTCACGAATCGCACCTTGCGCAAAATAGTGGGAGATGATGATGAAAATGAAATTCGAAATTCTAGCGTGGTTAAGAAATCGGTGAATTTAGACATCCCTGCTTTGCCGACGTGTTGTGATTTGAGAGTCAAGAAAATTGACGGGGAAACCGGAAACCGGCAAATTCTCAGCAATTGTGACACCATCGATGTGTACACGGGAGCCAAAGAGAGTGGCGTTTGGGACGTCCCGTCAAACTTCTTGTTGAGGAAGGAAGGTCCCAAAATATTTCGGTGAGATTATTTTCTAATTATGACTTTTATTTGAAATCTGCATACTTTTACTTTACATTTTTACTCTGTAATGTAATATGTCATTTGCATGTTGGAGTGATGTTACGAATGAGCACGAGAGAATCAGATTTTATCCCATTTTTTCAAAACCGTTGGAAAACATTAATTTCTACGTTTGATACAATCTCAAGATTTTATTTTGTGATAAAGCTGTCACATTTTGTAAAGATCCTCACTTTCATTTAGTGTGTCAGTATTTGGTCAATCTTCAACGGTGATGTGACCTGATGACAAATTGACTATTGATCTGACACGCAATGCATTTTGAAACAATACAGTAACCAAAAGCCGCTGCATGCGGTAAAGTCTTCATCAATCTCTCAATTTCTGACCACGAAATATCCACACTTACAAAAAAAATCCGTCTTTATTATAAACCTTTTGACTCGTGCTTGTCTTGTGTGTGCCGTGATAAAAAAATCTGCAAAAATTTCTGTAAGATTTGCAGACAGCAAAATGTACAACATTTATCAATGTCAATCTCACCGTGGTCTTGGTTTGGTTTGGTGGTGTTTTGACGATGATGATGAGCAAACAGGAATTGGGCGAGAGTGAGTGGTTGGATTACAGATAAGGAAATTTAGGATGTAATTTCATTTCTTTCGTAGCAGCAGCAACGGCGGAAAGTGCGTGTGAAAAGTATAAAAGAATCGAGAATTCGCAATTACATGAAAAATTCAGTGAGAAAATCTTAAGTGACCACCGTCACGATTTCATGCATTTTACATGCAAGCTTACAGCAAAATAGCCAATAAAAATATGAATAAATACTTAAAATATCACTAAACTTGATTTACATGGTCGTCTCGATGAAAATATTAATTCGCCATCAAACATTTTTGACATTGACATCACATGTGATAAAAATAATACAGTTTTCCCCTCTTTTTTAGCAACAATGTCAAAATTATGTATAGTCGTTCTGGGCAGGGCATGTCATGTCCCATTCATACGGCTTAACATAAGACGCTTTAATGACGGCAGTGAGGATTTTACACATTATGCAGCTTTCAATTTGTTGGCCAAGCCCACCCTTTACACAGCGATCATGCTGAATCAGAATTAGTGGGCAGTGTCACTTTTTACTTAGCACTACTTCTTCTTATCTACTAAAAACTAGTGATTTGTGAGTTGATCTCGTTTCAGTAAGAAAAAATGTTGCAGTCCGTCCGACAAGTGAAACTAAAGTGACAAGGATGAACAAGGGATATGTGGTTGCTTGTCAAAATGACACAAGAACAATAGCAATCAGATGACTGATTTACAGATATCAAATTAAAAATTATACTCATTTTTTCCATAAAACTTGTATCGTGGTGAGCATCTATTTTCTTCTTGGGTTAGTGGGATCAGTAGGACTAATGGTCCGTTAATCAAGTCACTTTTATTTCAAAAGTGTACTTGAAACGTGAACTTTGTTAGCAATGAGCTTTTAAAAAATAATGTTAAAAACTAAAAATTGCCCTCGGAGAAAGCATCGATCGAGCCTATACGTTTTATAATTGAGGAGACATAATAACAAATTAAGGGTAAATATGTTGTAAAAAGTGGAAATAAAATGCATGAAATTGCACTTCATTGATGCCTAACAAGTTATGCTAATCATGGGTAAGATTTAGAGATTCTGCTGTGCAATGGTATCCCTTATATGATTTGATTTCGGCCTTTTTGCTCATCTTCGTAGATACATAGTTTCATTGGGTGGTTGGAAAGTTGTAATAATTAATAGGAGGCACTAACACGAGATCAATTTGGTCATGTAAAAACTATAAACGCTATGAAACTAAATAATATACGTGCAATCGCTAGAAAATTGGTAATCAATCGTTACATCGTTTCTAATATTTAAAACGTGACGAATTGCTTCTAACAATTTTTATGACAAATTCTACATGTCGTAAAATCATTCAACTATTTGTAGTCATGATAAGTGCTGTGTCACACGTGGCGACTTATCATTATTTAAATTTTTCTCCTTTAATTTTCTCCAGTCTCGAAAAACGCCGTCCTGTTTGCCAATCCGCGTTGAAAGTCGTGACTTTGGACTACGTGAACAGTGAGGGGGACCATTTCCTGACCAACGGACTTTTAAAATTCAATAACGAGTATTATCGAACAAGTGACTACTGCATTAATGGGTATGATTTCAAAAATCCACTTATTGTTATGCAGCAGATACACAATAATTAAATGAAGCATGATCTCTCGTTTGCTTACTAAATATGATTAAGAATGCGTATATACCTGCTTGGCTTCTAATGAAATTTCTCAAAGGTTGTGTTTCTAATTTACAATAATTATGCGGTACGAACGATCTTCTGTTATGCATGAACAAGTCGTTAACTTGTTATACAGCTTTATTTTTTGCTCGATATCTAACAAAAGACTGAGTTTCGTTTATGTATGCAAAACGCAGATTCAAAGAGAAAGACAAATTAGAAGTAAAAATTTGTCAACCCGATTGCACTGATCCGAGGACGCCGTGTGTACAAAAGTGTTGCGAATATGATGAAGTTTACAGCCTTGGGATGAATGGGAAGCGTGGTGGATGTCTAAAATTGGACCCTCTCCTGAACGAGACATTCTGGTCGCCTGCATTTTACGAAGATTTAAATAAAAGATTAGATTCGGACGGAATGAAGAAATTGCAGCCACATATTATTCACAAAAGCCCGACGAGTTTTAAACCAGAATGCACGAATAAGATGACCACGGTGTATCCGTATGGGCAGAAAATTGTGGATTTTCTAAATAGTGTGTTGAAGAGGTCGTTGGTCAGTTTGCCGTAAGTGTAAAATCGGTTGTACTGTAAACTTAGAGAGGATTTGTCAAAATGTCTCGATTGTTTTAGATTTCAACTGAAAAAAGATGGGTGGCTGATGCACCCAAATTCCACCATGAAGGGGATTGCCATCAAGAAAACGACGAGAACGACAAAGTACTGCATTGACGGGGTACAAAATTACGGAGAAAGTGAGAAATTCAACAACTTGGAGAGACAGACGGTCCTGTTTTTGTGCACAATTCCAGATCAAGGTTAGACTTTGAGGTTTTTTTAAATTCGAATTGGTAACTGATTCTAAAAATGATTCCATTCTATGCAGAACCTGGTGTGGGAGCAAGCCTTTCCAGGCAGACTGAAAATGCAAGTAAAGATTCACCAACCACAAGTACCACAACCACTACGACTACGACCACAACAACGACGACGACAACCACCACTACTCCAAAACCAGTGATACTCCCGATCCTGCCAACTTGCTGCAATTTAAACCCATCTGACAATGACAATAAGGGTGCCAACTACTGCAATGGAGTTTCAAATAATGTAATTCCAGTCGCTGAGTGGAAATCACCTCCCAAATTTATAAATGGCGTCAAACCCCAAAAGTTCAGGTAAACCTGGAATAACATTCATTCCATGATAATTAAGTTACAACAAGTTTTCAACCATAAATTGTCCACAGACTGGAGACCCAGCCTCTCAAATGCAACGACGACTGGTCGAAAGCCTTCATTCTCAATTACGAGAACCTCCCCGGCGGCGGAAGTCCCAGTCTGATGCCGAACGGGATGTTAAAATTCCAAACCGAATTCTTCCAACCTGGAGAATTCTGTGTGAACGGGATATTTCCCAACATCATCGAAGTGCTAATGTGCAAAACTAACTGTTCTTCTCCAGACACACCTTGCGTGAACAAGTGCTGCGGTCCTGATGAAGTGTACAGTTTGGGAGGTCACGGTACGAAGCGGGGTTGCATGGCGTTGTCCAAAGAAAAAGGTGATCTGCCTTGGAATCCTCGCTTTTACTCGGACATGAACACCCCCGTTGAAGACGTCGTAATGCAAACCATGAGACCCCATCTCGTCCAAAAGTTTCCACCAAAGTTTCAATACAGGTGAGAGAATTATACTGCTAATTATGGATGCACGAGTCGATTTGCGCATAATTGGACATCAGAACTAGAGGTGTCCTCTTGAACTGTCAAAAGTAAAAAAAGTTCTCGAATAGAAAATGAAATTCAAACACACATTTACACAGTGTTTAAGGCCGAAAATTCATAAAGTCGTTCTGTTTTTAAGTTTATTTAATTTATTAATTTCATGAATTACAGTTGTTACAAGAATTTGACGCTCGTCTTCCCCTACAAGAAAGAGGCCGTTGCGTTCATGAGCCCTCTGGCAAAGATTAACTTGCAGTAAGCCAATTTAAAGCTACAACATTTTTTAATCTTACCCATAATCATAATAATCTCGACATGTTTTACCTAATTTATGTAGATTCCGCTTGAGGCGAGATGGCAAAGTGATGTATCGTCACCCCGTCATCAGTGACGGGTTAACAGGGAAGTTGATGGAGTCAACTTTTAACAATGTCGAGTATTGTGTCGATGGCGTTAGAAATTTCGGTGAACCCAACGCCACCCCGTACCGGACGAGTGATGATGATGCCGTTTTATTCGTATGTGCGATGAATCCTCCTCCCTGAGATTTTCGTAATCTTTTAATTAGGAGTATGTTCCTACTAGCAGAGTAATTATTAGCCAGTGACGAAATATTTAAAGTTTTCGCATGCATTATATAATTTTAGATGCATTAGATTCCCATATTTTATTGTTTATTAACCTTCAATTACTGTGTTTTTGAAAAATGCTTAAAATTATTTATAAGAACTAGAGACCAAAGTATGTACAGAATAGTATGCGTTGTCGTATTACTGAAACAAGGTGTGAAATGCGTGATTATTATTATTATTTTATATTATAATATTTAGAGAGATAGAAGCACGAAGCATGAAATGCGTAAGTATTTATAAGTTATATTAAGGAAGGGGGGCAGTCAGAATGGAATACGACAAGTATACGGATTGTATGTATTTCAAAACAGCAATAAATAAGAATGAGCTTAAAAAGTCTATGAAATTTTCTTATCATTTCCGGATCGTCGTATTATTGTGACATGTCCTACGCTAAAATATAATGCCGGGTCTAAATTTAGTGCATATTTCAATCACCGACATCACATCAAACAGAGCAGAATATTGTCTTATTAGAGGTTGCAGAAGGTCATCTCAACCGAGTTACATACTTTTATTGTGCTTCTTCAATTCAAAAAACGGGTTTGACTACAGTTTTGCACTTTAAATCGTAACCCCCTGTCTCTTCGTCCCAGTTCTTCATACTTGTTGGACGATGTTGATGTTATTAAGTATAAATTGGATCAAACATTGGTAAATTTTTACTTGAACTCTTTCATTCAAGATTCACCATCTCTTCCTTTACGGGGTTGGTGCAAAGGCTTCTTTTTTATGACATCTGCTGCTCGTCAAGCGATCCATTCATCAATTATATCATGAAATGTATGTGACCACCACAACAACTGCCCCAGAGCGTAGGCGCATAAATCCTGTGTCATTAAGTCACTCACAGTTGGCCGTATTTTTAAAAGAAACTGTTATACACAGTATCAAAGCAGATTTAAGGAATTGTACATTTTTATCATGGTGCGAAAAAATAAAGTGATCTTTGTGTCCAGTGTGGTAATTTTATTATCCGTTTGTCCGGCCGATTCCCAGAGGCTCCGTTACCAGCAGAAAAATGATTTTCGTAGCAATGTCAGACTAGTTCATGGTGGTGGTGATGTCGTGCCGATGACAAGTGACGAAAGTCTGGGGGATAACTCCTTTCCCGTTTTACCCTTGTGCTGCGACATGGTCAAGGATGACGTAGTTTCGTATCAGTGTCAAAATACTTTGGGAAAATCGTCACAGGAAGTTCTCTTCAAACGGAAAACTTGGGTTGCACCAGGTCACCTCGTGTCAAACAAGAAGACGTTGAAGTTCAAGTAAGTATACATAAAATATTTTAGGATTTCCTGTAATTTGTAGTTTTCTCGTTTATCTAATTGTACAGATTTGTGAGCACTTCACTATTCTGCAAAAATGAGATCTTTTCCGCAAATTTGCCCCTTACGAGACCACACATGCCAAAGCAGAGTCGAAGTTCGTACTTTTCACCGGATGGGTATTTCAAACATCAAAACGAGTATTACCGACCGGACGAGTATTGCATTAGTGGGTGAGTAGCAATGTAGCTATTTCTATTCTAAAATGTGTCCTTAATGACCCATTTATAAATTCAGATTGAATGAAAACCGTCTCCAAGTCAAAATTTGCAGAGCCAACTGCTCCAACCCAGCGACTCCTTGTATACAAAAATGTTGTGGGATTCACCAAATTTATAGTTTTGGATATGGCGACAATCCCCGAGGATGTGTGGATGTAGGGTCACACAAGCCCCAATGGTTCCCCACCCTATATCACGATTTGACCACTAAATTGTCCCCCGAAGACCTGTCAGCCTTGAATCCTCACATAATCCACAAGTTCCCAACGACTTTCAAATTCAATTGCAGATTTAATAAGACCACCGTATTTCCACATTCGACAGGAATTTCAGACTTTTTGACCGCACTGACCTCAAAGACTTTTAGGAATCTTGAGTAATTAATTACATGATATATCCTAAAAAAATATAATTAACAGAATGAAATGCTAACTTTTTTGGCTATCTTTCTCCAGGTTCAGATTACGAAAGGACGGCTGGCTCTTATACCCTGGTGACCACCATTCAGGCGTCAGTGCTAAAAGAATCGACAATTATTGCGTCGATGGTGCTCAAGATTATGGAGAATCTTCGGAATTTGGAAATCTTGAGGGCGAAACTGTTTTATTTCTTTGCTCTGGTGGGGTTGATGAAGGTAAAGTGAATAAAAGGGTGGGCGTAGAAGGTGCCACCGTATTACTAGACGACAGTAGTCAAAATTCAATGAACAATGATGCTAGTGAAGCGTTATCTCTTGAGCAAGATGATTTAAAAGTTACGGAAAAACCGCCTGAAGTCACGCAAAATCCAATCATTTCGAATAACAGGGGAGAAATGGAGTACTTTATTCCTCTCTCTAATAAAAAACTTCAGCAGCAAGTTAAAAATCAATACAGATTTCCAGTGTATAGAAAGAAAAATGAGTAGAATAGCTCAATCAAATTCATAACTTAAAATTATATAATCTAAAATCAGAAGTATGCATTAAACACTTGCCTATTTTCATACTAAATGTGCAAAATCCTTATTTATTTCAGCATTCGAAATCCCCATCGTTCATAATCGACATCCACTACAACAAAAACAAAACGGGTCAAAATTGCCTGGCATGTTCAACACTATTTCTCAAAGATATCCATCTCCACCTCCTGCACCACCTACAACCACAAATACTCGCCCTCCTCCTCCTCCTTCCACAACAACAACTCCTCCGTTATCGTCTTCAACACCAACCCAACGTCAACCCAACAAGAAAGTCACCAATTTTAAGGATAGGATCGACCTTGACATGACGGATTCGTCGTCGTCAACATCGCTCGAAATAGAAATTGAGGATGGAGTTCCTCTAAATTCTGTAGAAATCAGAGATGACGACGGTGGCGGACGTAATCCAGAATCTGAAAAATTTATCCCAGCCGTGCTTAAGGTTGCGGTTCCTGTACCTCAAGACAGAGGACAATCACAGTCTAACGGAAAAAATGTCCCCGGTTTGTTGCAAACCACTTTCAATCACAACAACTTTAAAAACGTCGACCATGAGCGTGACACGGGTGGAAGTAGTGGAATTGAATTCAGACGTGGCGAAAATGCCAATAAATCTCCATCCTCTGGTCCATGGACCCTTCCAACTTGCTGCAACTTTGATGCCGGTGTCAACGACGGATTGACGCATCATTGTCGGAATAAGAGGATGACTGACAAGGTTTCGAATGAAAGCCGATCAGCAAATAGTAAAGTGCAACCCTTAATTCAGTGGAATGTTCCCGAATATTTTACGACGAGGGGGAAAAGCGCCCAGTTTTTGTGAGTTGGTAAAGTCTTCTCGGCAAAATTGGTTGCTAAATAATTATTGTTTTTACAGGTTGAGACAAACCCTGTTGAAATGTGGGACTGGAAAATTTCAATTTCAAGGCTTCATGCACAGCTTTGAACAAGTCAAGAGCAAAACCTCTGGTGAAAAGAGGCACGGCATCCTGACCGATGGGTATTTGAAGTATGATAACGAATTCTACAGTCCGGAACAGTATTGTGTCAATGGGTAATTTATGTAGCTAAATAATTTTTGTGGCAATAATTTCATAATATTTTTCAGAGTATTATTTTAAAAATGAATTTCTTTATGTAGTCTCAGCACACGCATTATCGAAGTTCTCATCTGTAAACCAGACTGTTCCATGTGGGAGACGCCCTGCATTAAAAAATGCTGTGGTTTAGACGAAATTTACAATCTTGGTCTAAACTCTGGAAATCGGGGTAAGTGGACAGTGGTTTCAAAATTATGAGATAAATTTTAAGAATTTTCGTACAGGTTGTCAACCCCTCCACCCAAAGGAATCGAAATTCAGCCCAATTCTCTACAGAAGTATGAGCCTTCCCGTCTCTCCGGACGAAATGAGAATGGTGGCTCCACATTTTGTGCAAAAATACCCACCTAACTTTCAGCAAACTTGCTACAATAAGATAACACTGGCATTCCCATACAGTCAAGAAATTGCAGAAAAACTTACCCCCGCCAATTCCGCGGAACGGGGAGGAACATCCTTTAAGCACTTGAAGTAAATAACTAATTAATTTACTATGTGCAAATTGAAATGAAACAACCATATCAAAAATGCTAAATTTTTGCAGATTCCGATTTCGTAAGGATGGAAAACTAATGTACTCATATCCAGATTCTGATGGAACTTCCTTCGATGCAGTTTTCGACCGTGGGGAATTTTGCGTCGATGCCGTTCGTGATTACGGGGAACGCGAACATTTTCGTAATAATGAAAATCAGACCGTTTTATTTATTTGTGCGAGTGAACCGCACCATTCAGCAGAACATGGTAATAAGTAATCGATAACCAGACAAAATGGTACAAATTACTGTACATACAAACAATTTATTTTGTTTTTATTACTTATTTATTTTTTGGTTGAGTTTAATTGGTGAAATTGTAAGCTAGTTACACACCCTTCAGTATTATTATATCAAATATATGTACATGTAAGATTCGCCCCCATTTACACATTTATCGACATTTCAAAGACCCAAACTTTGCACTAAGTTGGCTTAAAACGTTCGGTTTGCAAATAAAAATAACAAAAATTGCAACACCTTGAAACGAGTTGATAATCTCAGTTGGCATAAAAATCCACATGAGCAGTTCTTCACTTCCGGTGAACATCATGCCGGCAGCAAAACTCACAAATTCAAACGTCCACAAAACTCCTGTAAAAAACGTCATTTTTGGTAAAACGTTACCAAAAAATATTCCTAAATATTCCTTAATTTAATTACCCATCACAATAAACAGCTTCGCAATGAGTCGGACCCTGAAAATGGAGCAGAATCAAGAAACATTTCTGTAAAGAAATTTTCAAAAAGTTGTAATTTGTAACCCATTTTTGTCCTCGGACGTGCTGTGGGATTTGGCCAGTTCAGTATCGCTGTGAATCTTTCTCAGTTGGACGACCGTGGATGAAAAGAAGAGCAAATTCATGAAGAGCAAAATCCCAATGGGAAAATACAGGAAGGGAAATGACGACTTTTGGAAAAGTAATTATTAAATTATTATTATAATCATTTTAAAAATCTATGAACATTTACCTTTTGATCGGCAAAGTAACATTTGTGCACACCAAATCGTGGCATCGGTATCAACAATTCGCTATCTGGGACCTCTCTAAAAAATAAATAAGTTATCGACACACTTATCATCATCATGCTTATGTATCCCTTACTCAAACACCCTGTCGACATAGACCGCAACGCCTACATACATACATAAATAACAATATATCAATATTTTATTTGCATTCTATACCATATCCCATTTAATTACGAAAAGTAACTCACACGTAATAACAACAGGTCCCGGGACAGAAAACAGTGCAAATAAGACAAATTTCTTGACATTCTCCCGACACGGTTTCGACCTTATCCTCATCATGAATCTTCGTCCACTTTAATACAAAATATGAACACTGATTCTCTCGTCTCATCAGTAATACAATGAGGCAAGAATTAGGCATTTATTGACTGACAAACTACGAATAATAATTTGTATTATCATCACCTGAATCTCCACCATAAGTCAAAATTCATTGCCGTAAGCCAAAAGAAGCTGCTCAAGATTGAGAAATGTATCAACCAGCCTGAATGCAACTCGGGAAAGTTACAAAAAATATAAGTTCGAGTTATTATACAGAGTTCGATAATATTTTCTGTTACCCAAATTATAACAAAGTCGTGGCCAATGGTCGATAAAGACTTGAGACCAAACCTGAATCTGCATTACGATAAGTCATCGATATTAATTAGAATTTGCCTATTTGCAACTATTTTAAATTGCTGAACTTCAATTTAATAAAACCATAAAACTTACAATGGCTAGAAAGCTGAAGGCGAAAAATAGGGAGACAACGTACGAAAACTGTAGCCAGCCATGAATATTGTGATGTGACCAGAGGAGGATGTACACTACGGCCTTACGTAATCAACCTTAAATTAAACTTTTGAGTATACCCAGATAATAAGAGAGAAGGATAATATATAAACTACGGTCATACGGTCAGGAGGAGGAACAACGCCGCCGTGTGGTTCACCGCAGCATACAAAGGATACAGGAAGGACTATAGTAGTAATAATAGGCTGCGAATTAATTTGTGCAAAAATTTTGCAAAAATTATTATATACCGGAGATTCTGCATGCTTATTCCCGTCCTCCGGCGTGCAAACGATAATTCCTTGATGCCACTCGGACCCAGAATATGTATAAATTTGTTCCTCTTCTTGGTTATCCTTGTCCTTATCTCCTCTTTGCATCATTTCAAGTTCATCCTCGTGGACATCGTTCGGGGACAAGTGTTTTATGTAGATACCATCAATGCAAAACTGTCCGGCAAGAATGGGAGTGTGTTTCTTCTTCGGAGCAACAGCCTTCTCGTCGACCTTTTAAATTCAAGTTTTGAGCATGCATATTTAACTCTATCGTTAATTTATACTTTAAAATTCTTACCAGGATAACGTCCCCATTTTCTTGCAGGTTAGGAAACCTGAATCAAAATATTCATGAATAACTACACACACACACAGTGCGTGTGTGTATTTCATATAAAAAACTACACACACGCACAGAGGGGGATTAGTTATTAACACAAAATAGATCGATTCACTTGTTATCTCTGAAGCTCTCGATGATGTAGGATGAACAGGTTGGGAAGCCTGAAATTAAAGGGTTGAGAAAATACCAACAAAGTCGAAATTAATACTTTCTGAAGAGTTTTACCATAAACGATCGTAGGATTCGGTAATTCATGACTGTGATGAAGTCGAAGCCTATGCCCGTCCCGATAGTAGATTGGATACCACCATTGCGTCTTATTAGTCACAGTTATGCAGTTATTGGGATTGTTACCGTCCATGATTTGGTCAAAATTGCAACACTTCTTGACGTAATTTGAAATATTTGCGATCGGGGAAGATGCCGAGGTGGGTGAGGATGATGACTTCGAACTTGATGGGTCAACTGCTTCGGGTACGTCGTGGGTGCAAATGTTAAAAATGATGGTTCCCTTTCTACAATTATTATTTAAATATTTAAACTTTGCCTCAGTTTAGCATCCCGTTAAATTTCCTTACTTGCGTATAATGCAATAACCCGACTTCTTAATCTTCCTGGGTGGAGAAAGTCCAAAAATATCATCGAAAATTTGCAGAGTTCCATTTTCATCGAGAATTTTAGGAGAATATTGATCATTCGGAGAACCCCCGAGTGAGACAAGAATTGACGTAAAGTTGTCCAGTGGACAAAATGACGTGTTTCCTTCGTGCATTTTTAGACTAGATTTACACGACCCCCCCAAAAAAACATTAATTCAAACATGCAATTTTACCTTAACTAAATATATATATTTTCTTACATAAAGGATTTTAGTCCTCCTGGTTTCTCCGGCATGAGACAATTGGGTGGTTCCCATTCAGAACTCGCTTGCCGAGAACAATCCAAACTTTCTGCATTGGCCGACTTGTTATTTCCAGAGCATTCACAAGCATGAAGATGATATCTCAAATTCTCGTTCTGAAAGTGGTTGAGCATCATTTGAAAGGAATCTGGATCAATTCCATCTTCTCCAGATTTCGAAGATGCTCCTGAAACGACAATTTTCCTCCCATTTACCAAATCAATCCCACAACAGAACAAAGGTAACACGAGAAACCCGATTTTACGAATCATCTTGAATCACTCGAATTATGCATGAATCTCCATTTTAGCAGGAATTACATTTAAAAAGGATTTAATACGTTAAAATTTATTTGTTTATAATTCTTAAAATCTATTTATAATTAATTGTGCAACAAATAATACGAGACAATTTTCCGGCACGTCATCGTCTACCAATCGTGAACAAAATACTGAATGTCATTTGCCCAGATGAGTTTCGAAATTTAGTCCCTTATCACATTTAACATCGGGAAGAAATCGTCCATGAAGTGAAATATTGGATTGGAGTGAATTGATGGGCAGCAAAGAAATAAATACATAAATGCATGTGGTACAAAACTAGATGCAATTAAACACACTGTTTCTCAGCAAAGGAGACAACGGAGCAATTTTGACTCACAAATTTACCAGTAATAAATGCAATGTCGTTTTTGTTTTTCAAATTCTTGGAACATTAATTTCATATTCGTGATCAAAGGGATAATATTCCTTGCTCGTGAGTCAAGGTGTCATTGAATCAATTCAGTATTGCTTCTTTCGACATCGTCAATACCATCGTTTTGACGTGTTTAAAATGCATGTGAGAGATTTATGATGCTTCCTTTTCGTATATTTAGTATGTTCGAGGGTTCAATAATGACGTGACAAAAATATTTTTAACTTATATTATTTACCTTATCGAATGCTGGGACAAAAATAAAATTACTTGGTTGTGCATATGCAAATTAATTCGGAAACATGAAAAAATGTCATCTTTCTATAATTGCAGTTGACACAATGGGAGGGAAATAAGTCATCAAAGTATTATTGTAGGAAAATTGCCCCATAATTGCTAAAAACTTTCCGTGATTGGCGACGATTGACAAGCTGCTGTCAGTTTCTCGGAGTAATTGACACCTGACAAATAATTCTTTAAAGCATGATACATTTGAAAATTACTTATATAAAATTTACGAATAAATTAAACGGGACGATATCCATAAGTTGTCAGATGCTAATTGTGCCGTTTTATTATTTTACAATTCACAGGAATTTTTGAAAATTTAGTACGTCAATAAGGACAATGTTTTAAATACGTCGTCAAAAGAATCCTTCCAAATGTGAGACGTTCTTCCGGTCGGGAAATACTCGTCGTGGGGGCGGAAAGTAGACGGGTCTGCTGCGGTCGATGTAGTTGAACATTGGTTTCGCCCCCTGGCCCGTGCAAAACTTGACTTGATGATCCATTTTGTACCTGAAGTCGGAAAAAAACATGGATAAATTGCATCCTGACGGTGACTTATTGTCAATAATTTTTCACGTTACGGGAAATGTCGACGCTGTTTGTCGGGAATAATTCCAGTCACGGCACACCAAGTTTCGCGTCGCAGCCACTGCGTGTACAACGCTTCGGCGTATTGATAAGTACAGATTGGTGGGTAGGCGCAGGCCATGTTGAAATTTCTCTTGAAAAAAATTCAACGATATTACTATTTACATGCAAATATTTGGATAATTTGCATGCATAAATCTTAATTAGTCATACCAGGTGGGCGAATTATTTTGGGTGTAGCTTCTGTTTGGTGGGGGTGAAATTATGAGATTATTCGCATTTGCAGAGATGATAAGCAAGCTCGATTTGTGATCCACGCAATGATTTTATTACTATAGAAAGCTATGCATATACATTTCACAACAATTTATTTGAATACACCTACTGAACTAACTACTACTAAAAAGTAGTAGGTTGTAAATTAATGAGATTAACATTCCTGCATAATAATATACTTTAGTATTATATAACGGGTTTTGATCCTTCTTATCCAGTCGGACTGGTCGGACTGGTCGGACCACCTGACGCCTTACATGACGAAGATCTCGATTTAGTGCTGGATTTCACACTCGTCGTCTTAACCGTGTTGGGCATAAGTGATGCTTGTGACTCCATTTGCAGTACTTTCCTCCACTTCTTTTTCAGCTGTCGCCAAGTTTGAGGTTTCCAGACAAACTGTGAAACATTTAAAATTTTGAACTTTTGATTAAGCTAATTTGAAAATATTGTAAATATGGCAAACCATGAAAAATATGGCGACACCCTGAAGCGCGTTGAGACAATCCGTTACGACAAACACAGTTAGAAATCGGGCATTTAAATTGAGAAAAGTCGACATCCAAGAAATGAGTTCAAACACCCAGAGAATTCCCATTACGAAAAAAAGTCGTGTAAAGAGTCGAAATCTATTAAGCAAAAATTAAAATCGAGTTTATATTAAGCAGTTGAGTGAGTCGGGTTATCTGGTTGCTTACCTTATCAAGTCTGCCGAATCGGGTGCAGTACATTGACGATGTGCGAATTTCGTCTCTTTTTGCCTCTCCCTTAAACATAACACCGTACAGAAGAAGAACATGACATTAATGACTAGAAGGATGCCCACGACACCGTAAAAGTAGCAGAGATGCACGATTCGATTCTGAATGTTGAGGGCGCATCCGGTTTCACCAATTCCCGTGAATAATTCCACATTTCGACTGGAAGAAAAACAAATTGTATCATAAAAACCTCTAAAAAGTGTATACTCGATTTTTATATGCATACTTTGACCCCATCTTTATCTCAATATCGGTTATAATCGCGGCCACGGTCACACCAATCGGTGTGGAAATACAGATCAGTGCAAACCCAAAATATCTCTTTTTCCCCCTACTTTTTCCAAAGTTGGTTTGAAGTGACGTGTTTCTGCATAAAATTTTATTAAAATTTTAGTCGTACGATAAGACACAGCATGTTGAAACTGTTTATTTTACCGGAAGGAAAGCCATAAATCTATATTCATCGAAGTAAGCCAGAAGAAACACGAGAGAAACGACGCATGCAGAGTGTAACCTAAAATCGCATCACTTTAACATCCACTGGAATGTGCATACTCATAAATTTCCTGTCACCATCTTACCAACCACTTTGCACAAATATTCTGAATAAGATAGAATTTGCTCCGTCCAAATCTGCACCACGGTCAAGAGCGTGAAAGCAACCAGGAGACAGTTTGTGTACGAAAATTGCAGCCATCCCGGTAGATTAAGGTCCTTCCACAACATCGAGTAGATAATTGATGTCAACAAGAGAAACATGGCCGATGTTCCAGTCAGAATTGGGTACAAATGTTGTCGATACTCCTATTTTTCACGATAATTAAACACAACATATATAATTTTGAAATCAAATTTGAAATCCTTACTTGAAGAACATCTACAAAATTTTGACTCTCTTGTTCCCCAACACAAACGAAAACTATTCTATTTTTCAAATAGTTTTCTTCATCCGATCTGTTCGCCATTGTTCCGTCGATGCAGAATTCATCCCATCGATATAACACTTTCTCCCCAGAGTTGAACTGCATTAGCAGACTCGCATTTTCAAGGAGGGATATTCTACAGTGAAATTTAGGTTTACAATCTTTGCGCAATTAAAATTTTACAGTGAGTAATAAACTAAATATTTATGAACCTCTTGTAGATTTCCTTCTCTCCAAACTCGGTATCGAGTAAATTTCCCCCTTTACAGGCTGGTTCGCCAATATGGGTCACACCGAGTTTCTTTACGTGGAGGGGAAAAGGGTAATAAAAAAATTCCGTGGTGGTGGTCGTGGTGCCACCGGTGGCGTCGGTAATAACAACATTATCGACTTCCGGATCTATAAAGGGTTCCCAAATATTACGATTTCCTGGAACAAATTCAGCCCCTCGGATATCGTCACAGGCGAATATGTCCAAATCCACGATTTGGTGAGGGTCGCAGCACTTGCGGACGCAAGGATTTTCTTCGGAACATTTTGGGAGACAAAGTTCTACGAGGTATTCGACAGAGTTGGAGATACTGCGATTATTAAAATTATGGTAACAAATTTTAGTGTTTTTTTTTAATTTCAACTAAAAATTTAATCCTAATATATTTCTCTTACAAACTATCAACGCAGAATTCAGAATTGCCCACAACAACTCTCGAAGCGTTGAAGTGGTCAAATCCAGGGCGCTCCAGGAATGCGACGGATTCCTGAGAAAGAAAGTGAATATCGTCCCTCGACAACTTTCTCTGGACAAGTTTGTGCGTCATATTGTTGCATTTTGGCCGACCAAATCTACATATATATGTATCAATCTCATCAAATTTTCAATTTACAAATTTTCCTTAAAAAAGCCTCCCTTAAAAGATCTAACCGATTAAAAAGCATGGTTAAATTCCTCCTCTTCGAAGAATGAATATAATCTGTCGGAATACTCCACTGATTTCCTGTCGGACCTTTTACACACGAATTATTCCCAATGTCCAATATTTCCTCGAGTTGGCAACATTTCCTAATTTGTGCGTGTCCAAAACAAGACGTTATTAAAATCGTGGTGGTGGTGAAAGTCAAGACTAAACTGGGCCGATTCATGGTAAATATATTTTTAGCCACGCGGAGAAAACCCGTGTACACGCTTCGACGTGAAACCAACAACTGAACAAGTCTTCTTATCGCGTCGTGCTGATATTGTTACACATACTTTTAAAAGTGGTGTTCTTTATGCTAAATCCTTGTGAAAGTGGTGTACAATATTTTTTGCGATATATATGTTTAACCAGAGAAAGTACTGGTCATAATTTGTCCCAACATCTAATCCGTCACTGAATATACGTGACCAATCTCTCTCTCTCCGTGGCTTTCTCTGCTTTTATTATTCCCTGCGTTTTCCCCGTCTGGCCGGAGAGTTGGAGATTAGCACATAAAAATGTCAAGTGAGAACCAGCCAAGTAAAACTGGAAACTTGATCAAATTCATTCCTACACTGATGGAATTTGCGTGTCTGGTCCAACTTCAGCCAACTCACAATGAGTGGGTTGACTGTTTATCCACCGACCGCTGTTTAATTGAGCAATGGACTTTACACCGTAAATGAAATGAAATGAGGTGGCTTGAGTGAAAGCTCAAGAGCACATGCCAGTCGTGCAGTACTTACTTTACTTTCCCCACTGTGCGGTAATAATAGCAGTCCACGAGTTTTTTGTCATGCCATGACATGAACGATATTATTATTATAATAAACTTGACTCTTGTTGCTGTGTCCTCATTCATTCATTCATTCATTTACTGGCTCATTAGTCTCACTTATTTGACTGCGAGACAGCCAAATTGTTTTTACGACTACCAACTGCCAACCAGCAGAACATGCAGCAACATCCGGACACTCAATAAATGGAAGAGAGAGAGAGAGGAGAAAGCATTTAATGAACAGTAAATTTCTGCAGCATATTTAAATGGAATGAATATAAAAGGGTCAAAGAGGATAAAGTGACGTTGGTTAAGTGAGCAACCAATTTATGTCGGAGTATCCGACATAATTCACGAGATCTTTGACGGGTGTAATCAATTAATGTTTGTATGGATTACTCGAATATTTTTGCGAAAAGAATTGTTCCACGGGGTTCTGAATGTGGATTGCCAAAATATTGGCACATTGTCGAAGTATTGTATTGCAATTTCTATATTTTTTTGGAGAAAGCAAAGAATTTCAATAAAAGGAAACGTGTGACGAACAATAGGTTCGAATGTCAATGTCAAATAATACGCGTTCACTCCTACTTTCACTCAAGTCGCAAAGTTATCGGTCCCACTAATTTATGGCTTTTTGTTATGTGAGCAGTGCAGTTGGTGGGCTTGGTGGAAACGGAATGAACTGTGACATTATTCGTATTTTGTATAATCGTCCGACCGTTGTACTTTATGGGGTCGCGTTAATTTTATGTATGGGGAATTCTGTGTGGGTGGTTAAAGAAAAAGAGAACATGATGCCGGTGGTTGGTTGGTATACTAACAATGGAACCTTTTTTCAAGCTACACGAGATAAGCTTAGTGACTTATACTAAAAAATCAAGCTAAAAATTAGTAATGACGTGGTACTTATCTTTCCGTTGAATGGGCACTTGGAGGTCAAATATTTGAGGGCAAAGTTCACAGTAGCGGCCTGTTTTATTCTCAAGCGGGCGAGCGGAGGAGTGAAAATTTTCTCCTTCGAGGTCACTCCGCTGCCTTCACTCTCGCGTTTTCGGGTTTGCAGTAGTTTGCACTTTCATTCAATGCACATTGTTTTTGATAAAATTTCACAATCTCGTAAATTGGTGCATAGATTCATATAATTTTATATTTACTTTTTAAATCGATCCTTAAAAAAGTGACGATGGGTGCAGTAAATTATAAGTGCGTCGCTAAAACATTCACCCAAATAATACAATTTCGAGGATGATGAATCGGACCCAGATGAAGAACATTTCTTAATTGCTGAAGTTTTACTAGTAAAGCTGCACGAGATAACTTACAATTACATACTTATCGAAGAAAATGAAAATCGGTGATAAATGAATAGTTATTAGCACTTATGTTAATTATTACGAATTTAGTCTTATTTTTATTAGGTGGTATAGTGCATGATGTAAATTTTATTGATTGCGAAAGCGGGGAAATAATTGATACTTTTTTATTACCGATCGGTGGATAGTAGGATCGATTTAAAAAGTAAATGTAAAATTATATGAATGTATGCACCAATTTACGAGATTGTGAAATTTTATCAAAAACAATGTGCATTGAATGAAAGTGCAAACTACTGCAAACCCGAAAACGCGAGAGTGAAGGCAGCGGAGTGACCTCGAAGGAGAAAATTTTCACTCCTCCGCTCGCCCGCTTGAGAATAAAACAGGCCGCTACTGTGAACTTTGCCCTCAAATATTTGACCTCCAAGTGCCCATTCAACGGAAAGATAAGTACCACGTCATTACTAATTTTTAGCTTGATTTTTTAGTATAAGTCACTAAGCTTATCTCGTGTAGCTTGAAAAAAGGTTCCATTGTAAGAATGAACTTTGGTTCGTGACATGTTAAGCGACTTGTGTATGGGTAATACCCATTGGGTATGTATTAAGTATTAAATTATTTGCCGAATTGAATTAATGACTGTATTTAAAATCTGGAAATGTAGCAGCAGCTCATAACTTTTAAGATAAGAGGTGACTATTTAGATTAGATAGCCAAATTCAAAACTATGCATAAATTTTAGTTTCTTCAAATGGTTTTGATTTTTTAGGACTGCCTAAAAATATGAGATGAACTTATTTACTTACACATTTATATATTTGCTAATATTTAATTACTGCTCTAGGACAATTATCTATTAGACATTTATATATTTATTTATACATTGAAGAATAATACCGATTGCATGTTTCTACCTAATTAATCACTCATTCCACTACGCAGCATGGTCTCAATAATTCTGGGAAAAGTCCTCAATTAGTCAGTTAGAAAAATTACCGGAATGCATACCGAACCCAGCAATTATTTATTTTGATCATTTACTGTCATTCTTGCCACGCTTGACATTGATCCTGAAAATGGTTCTGCTCGCGTAGGTGGAGATAAATAAATACGAATTTACTGAAGGCAATTGCAATTTTTTGTAGAATATCATGAGAAACTTCTAATTAGGATTTGATGTCTAGTTTATTCTAAATTAGCTGTAAAAATTCATACTAGTAACAATTGTAAATTATAATTTGTAATAAATAAATAGCTCGATAACAAAATTGGCTATAAATTCCACATTTTACGCCTTCCTGAAAATCCATTGTTGATTCTTGGCCAGCGGAGAACATGGGGCTGTCGCTATCACGTCACTTTTTCTGAAATGTCGAAAATTATCGAATCATCGAATTATTTCACTTTCATATCAAATATTTAATGATCATGCACTCTTCTCACCCCGTAATTGTGGTCAGACAGAATTTCGACCTAGAATCTCGAATCACGTATTTCCAGTCATCCACGCTTTCTATGAGAAAAGCTGGGATTTCCGTTTTGTACTGGGGAAGTCGGGGGAGGTCTTTGACGTCATAAACTACAGGTTGTTCAAAGTGTGGCTTCTCTCCGATGGGGTTTAACTCGTACAGAATTGTGGATCCCTAAAATTTGTAGAATGAATTACATTTTTAAATTAAATTAACAAACATGTCACTCAATAAAAGCTATTAATACCGCAACTTGCTGAATTTCCCAATGTTGCACTTTCAAATTTTTCCAATATTTCGATGACACCATGGCATACACGCCGTGTTTGACGAGCGTCATCATCTAAGTAAACCGTTAATGATGTGTTTTATGAACATAAATATTTACCGACAGAGGTTTACCGACCTTGTTATCTCCCAAATTCTGGATGACGTATTGACCAGGCTCAACTGCAAATGTTACATATTTTTAGCACTCATTAGGTCATTACCAACCCATTTTTCTACATACTTTGAAGGGCGCACGGGCTTGCGGAACTGATGACATCGTTAAACCCGAGTTCTCTGAGATTGTCCAAATATTCTGAGTCCGAGTGAAGTGAGGATTTCAACGTGACGTAGCGTCCTTTGCAATCAGAGTGTTCAAAAACTTTGACACAGACGCTTCGATGAATGTCTAGCGAGGAAGTTCTGTCCTGCCATTCCGAGGGAAGGTTGGTACAATTCGAGATCTCTTTGAGTTTCAGAGCTTCCCCTTTGAAAAATTTCAAACCGAATTTAAATCGGTTGCTTCATTAAATTAGTTTGACTAATTAAGTAATTGTAATTACCTTGTTTATTCATATTTTCAAATAAGGTGATTCGGGTGCATTGGGCAAATCCAAAAATCGTCAATACGCACAATAATGCTAGCCCTGATTTTATGAAAAGTTTAATGCACGCCATGACTGACGGAGAAGGGTTTTATGAAACTATGCTTTAAAATAATGCACTTTTCCACAGGTGTAATAATTAAAATCTTGGGACACAGTGGCAGGACTTTTTCCTTTCAAATAATTTTCTAGAAACTTTAAAACACCTGAAATTCTTGGGCTTATTTACGTAGCCTAATTTGAAACGAGAACACGATGACTTGATTCAATTCAGAGAACTTATGTATACGTAAAACTCTCACAACAAGATTCACTTTAAAACTAGTTTTAAAACTTGAGAGGATACACAGACATAACACCTTTCGCCATCAATTGATAGTGAAAACAGGTATTAAACATAATTTAGTGCATTTAAGAGGTACGACATGGCACAATAACTAATAACATGGTTAAATGCATATGCAGATTATTTGATATCCTTGTTATTCTCAGTTTTCTCAACATTCTGGGACATTATTATGATGTCAAAGTTGCACATATAATGACAAAATATAAGTGCAAAATTTTCATTGATTTTGGTTCACACATTTAAAGATTTAATGGACATATAATTATGAAATTTGTTAGTAATTTGTAAATCATAAAATTAAAATAAAGCAAGATTTTTCTTATAAAAATAAATGATACGGAAATGTCGATAAAAGATACGGAAATCTCATCTTGCCTCCCATCTCAAAATTCCAAAACCACAGTAACTGATCAAGGCATCGAGTCGAGAAATATTTTGTGAGGCGAGAAAGCTGAATTACGCAAACAAGGTTTTTGTTTCTCTCCGATCAACCAAACTGTCCAAATTTGACATTAATTAAAATTAGAACTAAATAATTAGTGTGACTAATTATTGTCTTTTTCAATTGTAAATGGCAAACAACGGTGGTGGTGGACAGATGGAAGTAGACGAGGAGGAAACCCAAGGACCCGTGTCGTCATCTTCGTCCAAAGACCGGAAACGATTCGAAGTTAAAAAGGTCAGAAGATCGTTTAATTACATTTAAAATTGAATTATTTCTAGTTGGTATTAAGACAAAATGACTAATTTGTTGTTTTATTGGTCATTTATTAGTGGAGTGCCGTCGCTCTCTGGGCTTGGGATATTGTCGTCGACAACTGCGCCATTTGTCGAAATCACATTATGGACCTATGCATCGAATGTCAGGCTAATCAAGCTTCCGCATCTTCAGAAGAGTGCACAGTTGCTTGGGGTGTTTGTAACGTAAGTTTTTTGATTTGACGGATTTGTGTTTGTGCAATAATTTGGCATCATATTTTAGCATCAATTTAACTTGTTATTCTATTTTCCAGCACGCATTCCACTTCCACTGCATTTCTCGGTGGCTCAAGACTCGGCAAGTTTGTCCCTTGGATAATCGAGAATGGGAATTTCAAAAGTACGGTCATTAAGGAGATGTCATCAAGTTTCAGTTTTGCACACATACAACAACAGACGAGATGCAGATGTGGATAACCAAAATTATTTAAATTTGAAGCAGGGATTGTAGATTTTTTTTGTGTATTTCTAAAAAATTTAACCTAATCTGTAAGCAAAGAAGATTTTTTATGCGACACATATTCTGATCATCATAAATTCTTGTCTGATGCGATTCTTATTCATAAATGAAATAAAATACAGTTTGTTACATACACAATTTTGTTTTGTAATCTTGTATGACTTTTTATTTTTTATCGTTTGCGATTGAATTAAAATTGAACAGGTCATAATAAATCGAATTCACATTATTTATATAGAAGTAAAGCTTCAGTTTTTTGACTCGTTTGGAGTATATAAATTAAAATGCCACATGGTAAGTGAATATAATTCATGATAAAAGTGTATATAATGATTGTCGTAATTACAAAAACAATGGCAGGGTTAATTAATAATTTCATGTCTGTTATCGTCAATAAGGATGATAAAAATTGTTGATGTCCATTATCATATGTCAAGTCAAGTCTTTCCTAGCCCAAAAATCCGACACCCCCGAAATATTTGCGAAGTCTGAATCGCAGTCCTCCATAATAGCCCCCATACCCATACGGGTAACCAAATCTACTCGTGTACGCGTATCCGAGAGGCTGGCCTTGAGGAACGCCGTAGGTTGGGGTGGGAGGAGCGTAGGGCTCTGGTTCCGGTTCTGGTGGAGCGTAAGCTGGTGGTTCAGGCTCCGGTTGAGGGGGAACACAAACGACTGGTGGTTGCGTCGTGGGTTTTGGGGGAACGTAAACGACTGGTGGCTGAGTTGTTGGTTGTGGGGGAACGTAAACGACTGGTGGCTGAGTTGTTGGTCGTGGAGGAATGTAAACGACGGGTGGCTGAGTTGTTGGGGTCTCCGTTGTGGGTGGTGGAGGAGGGGCATAATATTCGTCTGGTGGGGTTGGATTGTCAATTATTGGGATCACGAAATGTGTAGGACTCTGTAAAGGGAAATGAAATAGTGAATAAGTTAAATCACTTAAATTCTTCAGAATATAACTACATAAATAATACATTTAACTAATAAATTACCTCCGGTTGTGGTACTGGTGGACCTTCCAATCCGTCCAAACACCTAACAGCTCCCAATCCAATACAAGGACCAATAGCTCCAAAATCTCGAACATCCGTCGCCACCGTTCCATACGGTCTTTTGCAAATATGGTCAGGAACACATGGAGCCAAATGAGCAAATGCATCCTGCAAAAATATGACAAATGAAATATATTTATAAACGGCAATAGTAATGCTGAATGCAAAGTAACAGCATTTAATCTCCTTACCACGTATCCCGGCCATGGGTCATCTTCATAACAGCAAAGTTCAGCCTTGGAACCGCAAACTACTTCTGACGCCTGTGTTCGAATGACCAGTTCGGTAAAGGTGCGTAACGTTTCTCCACATCGTCCCTTTTCCGTGCATCCACAGAGGGGTGCTACAGTTGGGGGAGGAACCTCTACCGTCGGTGGAACGTACGAGAGGTCTGGTTCCGCATGATGCTTATGATCCAGAGTATATCCGGAACTTTGTCTTATCAGATACACGGCCAACAACGAGAGAATCAAAGCTTGTTTCTTCATCGTTCCAGCGTCAAAAGTGGGACACGCCATAGTCGTGGTCGTCGTAGAGAACAGAGTCTGGTTAAAAGTCGGTCCGTTCCTCAAGGCGACTAAGACAAGACTGACAACTCCGAAGGAAAATCATGGACTTAAAAGTACAAGATAACTAAGTAACTAGCATCTTTGGCATATTTGACTTTGACTAGAATTGCACGAAGAAGAAGAAGAGAACAAGAAATTCTAAGAAATACAAGCACATTTGTTTTGCATATCATTGCAACTAGCATCATTACATAAGGCTCACTGAGATTTCACACGAGTTTGCATATTCACAAGATAATATGCGAATGCAAATATTTTGACAAGTCTGAAAATAAGGAATATGACGAAAATCCTTATGGCACGTTGGTGAAAAAAATCTCATCCTTCCCACCGCACCATTATTACTTGTTCGTCACTTGGAAAAAAAGACAGATTTTGGCAATACATCATAATAATAATGTTTTATGTTTGTGTACATATAATCGCAAAATTGCCTCTGACTGAAGTAGTAAATAAAATGCGTGATGATCCCTACTGCGATAATACAAACTAAGCTATGTTATAGTATGTACGTATGTACATACACATTTTTACGTACGTCCAACTAGTAACTAGTGATGATGATTAGTTTAATCGTGTCGCTGAATTAAAATGTCATCGTCGTTTCAGCTTCCTTGTTAACATTACTTCTATTAAAAGCAGTAATAAATATATGAGCGATTAACAAAAAAATCTGTAATCTGCATTATCACGAATACGAAGGATGATATTCAAATGGTTGGTGCACTTGGTGGTGGTGGTGACCCTGGAGAAGAATCGTCATCTGAGGGTGAATCGGGTACAAGCAAGTAGCGAGGACAATTGAAAAGTTCTTCAGGAATGGAATACACTTTCCTACCAAAATACAAACCAATATAATTAATGTGAGATACGTGATCAGCCAAGCGTTACGGCAGGCAGTTACATGCGCACATATGAATTTATTGTAAATCCAATTAATCAAATCTCTTGGTGGTTGGCAGATATTATTATATAAGTTAAACTTACTTTGGTTTTGACCACATTGTAATGTCATAAACTTCCATTTGCAATTCTGGGCTGAGTTCCTCAAACATTTCTTTTCCCATTATTCCAGGATTGGCAGTGATGTATTCGATTGATGAACTCTGAATTAGAATAAAACCCATCACTTTATTTAAACAAATCTATATCATGTTCATTCGGTTGTTGTAAATTCCTCACCCGGAGAGTTCGAGCATTGTACTGATCGGCCATGCTGAGCAGGAAAATTACAGAAGCCTCATCCAAATGTCGGACGGTCAATTCTTGTTCGCAATATAGCTTCAAAATATCCATCTCATACCTGATGAGCAGGACACGAAGGACATTGACATTATGAATTTTACATTAAACCAGCCTTATTCGTGCAACCAAATTCAATTGAAAACAGTTTGAACTCACCGATCTGCCAATGCAATTAATTCAGATAGAGTTTCTAATGTTACATCTGTCGTCATTTGTCCAGTGTAGATGAAACACAAGAAAAGTTGAAATACAGAAACTGAACAATCGTGGATAATAATTCTCCTGGAATGAGAAAATTAAGAAGAGTATAGTATTATGCAAATAGTTCATTATTAATAGTTGTCATTCCCATTTACATAGATTTACTAATTTATCAGGCTCACTTTTGTATAGACTCTTTCATTCCTGATAATAATGCTCGTCGAATCCAGTCACACCGTGCAGCTACTATTGTCCGATGCGCTGGAATTTCTACTGGCTCACCATCTAATCAGTAAGAAAAATTGTAGTTAGTAACTTCAGCCAGTTGTCATTTATGTCAGAACATCGGATTATCTAACCTTGCACGATTTCAAAAACCATGTCAGAACCAATTTTCGACTCAAACAAAATTTTTGCACTCTTGGCTAGGAAACTGTTTCTTGAAACCTGAGGAGTACACAGGTTTTCAAAGAGGTTTAGCTGCAATAATACGAAACCCAATTAAATTAAAATACTGATTAATTAGACATATTTGCTTATGTAAATATATATACATACATCACGTGTGGGAAATATGGCAGAGAACCCACAGTTTGGTTTACTAGTAAAATCCGCACTTGTAGTTAAAGGCTTCGCTGAAGTGACAGGTTTAGAAATTGCTTCCATTCCAGCGTTCACGTTCTGGCCTGATGCTAGGTTATCACTATTATTAGTCATAGCAGAGGAACAAGATGACGACTCGTCTCCCTGTTGAACTTCTATTAGGCCGAGATTAACCAAACTTTGATGAAATTCATCTCTGTGCACTAGCTCGGACAAGGACATTAGGAATTTCTTTAGTTCATCCTTCTCCTTCCTGAGATGCTGCACAGTTTGACACTGAAGGAAGAACCATTGTATTGCTTATGTACTTATGGATAATTAAAATACTGAAAATCAATTGTGGGTGTCTTACGACTTGAGAAATTGCGAGTTGCAAACAGAATTTGAAATCCTTCCATTGAAATCGATCATCAAACGCCATCATTATTTCTTCCAGACGAAGCAAAAAAACGGGCAGCTCTAAAATTATAAAATTATAAAGTTATAAAATCATAAAAATCTCTATTACTAAAAATTCAAACCTTCAATGAGTTGTTCCAAATTTCTTGAAACACATCGTACTTTCACTTCAGTACTCATTTCTTCAAAGTTTTCCCTACGAAACATGATTTAGTTAGAAATACTATTTTTTAATGTGGTGATAAATTGGAAAAATTAGATAATTTAAATGCTGAACTAACTGCTTCTGGTGAAGATACAGATGCATCGCAGATAATTGTGCCTGCAACTGATGTAGTTTTATGACTTCTCTTTTTCTGAAGATGGCGAATAAAGCTTCCGAAAGACTATCGATTCCTGCTGTGGTACTCGCCGGCGTTTCTGGCGTGGGAGTGGATGTCGTCTTATTACTTCCACTGGTTGACCACTTTGACCAAATATTGGTACACGCCAATCTGCCTTCTTGAAATAAGCTTGAGAGTGCTTCCAACAAAGTTTCAATCTGCGGTGCGACGTGAGCCGCGATATCGTTCCTATCTGCTGTCTTAACCGTTGAGAAATCATTTTTGATATTTCGCAACAGTGCAACAAACTGGTTCAGAAATATGGGTAGTCTCGTTTTGGCATAGCGGAGGATTTCAACGCTTTCATTCCTATCCAGGGATGGTGACTCCTCCCCATAGACGACACACAATTCCACTAATTTCAGAAAGGCTACCCCACCATCACGTAAAGCTTCTTTCGTCACATGACCAAATCTGGTTTTTGAAATCACTGAGTGATCTTGAAAAGCGACTGCCATGGCTTCTGCACGAGCATGGACTTCATTGACCAGTTTCACAATTTCTGAAACAATATTTGATCAGTATAAAAAAAGTAAAATTATTAATTATAATCTAATCAGTGCGTACTATTTTTAATGACGATTCTGCGAATGTAATCTTCACATAATGTAACAAAAGCCGTCATAGTCTTTGGGACTTGATTTATGCACCGACGAGCCAAATCTTCCGAGAGGGATAAAGGCAGACTCTGAGAATAGAGATAGTGCAGAACTACTTCGAGTACATCGGGTGACAACTGAGATATCAGTTTGAGATCACAATCGGTAAACTCCATTATTAACGAATGCACCTTAAACTGTAACAACAAATAAACCTTAGTTCATAAATATTCCCTAAATATTTACTTTTGTTTCTATAAATTCCAACCTCTCTTGCGTATGCAAAGACATCCAGTGATTCTGTTGGTACTGCGTCTTTCGTCGCTGCTTTCACAGTGTCTTCCGACTCAGCCACCTTCTTCAGAGGCAGGATCATATCCGAAAAGTACGAATCCGTCAGCGCTGGCAGTAGTGAGAATGGGAAATCCAAGGGGGGTTTGTTCGTCGGTATTTGATGACATTGGAGCATGCACCACCCCTCAAAGGTCAACAGCATCATATCCCGTGGGACAGGTCTAGGAAGTACAACAGGCCACACATATATAAGTCATTTTGCATAACAATAGTGCTTAATCTTGTCTGATTTAACTGGTAGTACCTGTCTACCCAAAACTCAAACACATGTCCGGACAAAGCGCCCAGTTGAATACACACCCCCACGAAGGTATGAACCACCTCATAGCAGTTGCATTGAAAGAGTGGAAATGCTCTATCGATATCAGGCCCAAGTATCCAATCGATATCCCCATTTTCTTTCAAAACGAATACAGCACTGTCCCGAAAAATCAGGGTACGTTTAAATTAAAAGGCTCTAATAACGAGATTTATTATTATTACCCGTGAGCAGCAGTTGGTACATTATTTCTGAAGTTGGAAATATTGACAATCTCCACAATCTGAAAGAATGAATGATAAGTTTTGTGGCGTTACACGATGAGCATGATAGATAAATGATAACTCGTCCAATAAATAAACTTCACTTACCTGCCACGAACCGTGAAAAACTTCTACGGCCATTTTCGTCTTTAAATGTAGCTTATTATCTTTAATTATCGATTATCTTCACAATCCACCAACAAACCTCGATTGCCCTCTTCCAATTATTGTTTTTAATTACAAGCTCATTCTCCAAACAATAAAATGACTCAATTGTGCGTATTTGGCGTTGCGTACTGAAATATAATAGTGCAATTAATAGCTATTAAAACCCCGAAAATATTATTGACCCAGTTTTTCAGGGAGGTGACCCACTTACATCACCAACTTTATCACTTACGTGTTGCTCGCTGGAGAATTGTCACAACTTCTGACATATCCGAGAATAGTCCGACCCACACACTGCCACGACCGACCGTTCTTCTATATCAACGTTTTCCGTTTTCACCCGACCACCAAGAATTAGGGACAGTGATGCAAAACCCGAAAATCCGAGGGAATTTGCAGTAGCAAAATGTATGTGCAAATAATAATGTTTCTCTCTCCGGTCCAGCTGGGCAAACGTGGAAGAAGCGAAATGAGCAAGTTGCCAAGTTTTGTTTATTATTTAGTCGACACCTCGCAAAACTCGGTATTTACAACTTGTAAATTACAAGTTAATTTAACTGCAATTTCATGAGGATGCATTAAATCTAAACGTGCTCATTAATAACTTAACTGTCATCGCTCTAGTCTTTGTTGTCATTTTGTCTGTCAAATCTTTGAGTAAAGTGGTGAGATTGTGAATCCCAATTCGTGTGACTTTTTCATCCTCACTCAAACTGCTCCAGTCAGTCCAGCTGGAACTGGTGAATTCGTCACCTTTTTCTACCCTTATTCTTCTACTACCCGGGTATATTATTTTACTAGAGTCTTTTCATGAGGTTCCTTTAATCCCAACCCTCTTATTGGGGACATATTCATCATCATCATCGTCATCTGCCTGCCTCCATTGAATCATTCATTCCATATTAATATTCCTCTTCCAGTCGTTTGTTTGTAACTTTTGTGCGAAATTAAGATTCTCACTGTTGTATAATTTTATTACCAGGCACTGACTTTCTTTTGTTGAGGTGTGATCGGCATATATTGATTGAGCAAATTAGATTTTGCTAAACTTGTTGGTTGTTTTTGTTGTTGGTGAGAGGTGAATGAGAGGAGACGCTAGTGCTAAGAATAAAGGTGAGTCATACATATGTCGATCTTGTAGTATTGGTATTGATTGGTCATTTTTTCTTGATTGTATTATTTGTATTTATAGGAATATATATATTTCGTTTGGAAATTGCAACCAAATAAGTATGACAGCTTTTCAACATCAAGCTGGAACAGCGATGGAATGTCTTAGCGTAAGTGTAGAGTTAAGGGGAGCATATTTTTAGCAATTTTGTGAATATGCTGCTGATTGTGATATAATGTTAATTTTGCAGATTCCTATAACACTTCATAAGGAGCCCGGTCTTGACGGTGAGGGTCGCGAAGTTCTCAGATGTGGGTTCAAAATTGGTGGTGGGATAGATCAGGATTTTCGATTGTCGCCTTATGGATACTCGGATAGTGGAGTTTACATCACGGAAGGTACTGTATAACTTGTAATAATTTGCGTAATCTTAAATTATGACAGATTTTATTCTATTAACAGTGGTTCCGAGCTCTCCAGCGGATAAAGCAGGGCTAAGAATGCACGACAAACTTTTACAATGCAACGGATACGATTTTACAATGGTGACGCATAAAAAAGCCGTCGATTATGTCAAAAAACATCCAGTTCTTAACCTTCTTATTGCGAGAAAGGGTGTCACCTCGACATAAATTTTGTTATGTAGTTTTGTGTAGAAGTAGCCGTGTTCATGTAATGTGTAGAGTCAAGCATTTTGATTTTCTTACAATTGACCATATTAATCTTACGCACAATTTTCTTTAATTAAGGACGAATATGATCATGAGCTGCTAATACTTTAATACTTCTTTGTACAAGTTTTGTACCAGTCATTTATCTCAATAATAAGTGCCATGATGATTTATACTGATCATTTACATATGTATATGGAAAGTTGTACGGAAATTATTCATTCGGCAATGATGACGATGGTGATAATGCGTAATGGATACTGTGTAGTATAGTATACCCACATTTAAGATGTCACACAAAATAATTTTCACATTTGAGATAAGCTTTCATATACTCGCATAGATGATTGTTGAGATTGTGCATAGTTGACCTCGACGTCGCTCGACTCATACGATTGCAGTTCTGTGAAATAGCAGTTAGTTATTTACATAGACACTTTCAGTTATTTAATAATTATGGCAGGCAACATGTCCGACGCCACTGTGGACTCTGCCTTGATAGAAAAATGGACTAAAGTGCAAAATGACCTAAGAAGCAATATTATAACAAGTGATTCTGAGGAGTGGCAGAGTGATTTGAAGTATGCATACATTTATTTAGCTGTAGAAAAAAGCCTGACTGATAAATCTTGTATTGACTGACAGCTCCCTCAAATTGGTCGCTGGCCTAGACATTTCATATCCGAAGGATGCACATGATAAAAGTCATTCCGATGCATATGCAGCCCTCGTTATTTGCAAGTTCCCTTCAATGGAAATTGTTCATCAGGATGTCGAATTATGTCAACCTGATGTGCCCTATGTTCCAGGATTTTTAGCATTCCGAGAACTACCTCCCTTACTAAATCTAGTTAACAAATTACTCAAAGAACACCCCGAATTTAAACCTGACGTGATTTTAGTGGATGGAAATGGATTGTTGCATCCCCAAAAATGCGGCGTGGCATGCCATATTGGGTATCACACATCCATTTGCACAATTGGAGTCGCCAAGAACTTATTTGTAATGGAAAATGTAAACTGTACCAAAGCTATGGTTCAAAATATGGGCGGAGCTGGTGACTTCACGCTAATTAAAGACAATGAAAATTGCATATTAGGATTAGTGAGTTCAATTTTATAAACACATTTTATTTCACAACGTTATAACTATAAGTAATTACGGTAAGAATCGTATATGTTTGTAGGCTTTGAAATCGGCAGAAGAGGCAAAAAATCCAATTTATGTTTCAATCGGACATAAAATCTGTTTAGAAAGTTCGAGAAAAACCGTGCTGGCTTGCTGCAAATATCGAGTTCCAGAGCCACTACGATTTGCAGATGGGATATCAAGAGAGTTTGTACGACAGTTGTTGGCAAAAACTGATACATAAAGACAATTATCTACTATCACATTTTATACGTACAATAAATGCCTGTATAATAAATATAAGACTAATATAATCGAAACATTTTATCAAACTAAAAGTCAAACGGAAGTGGGATCTTCTTTTGAGCGGCGAATTTCCTCAGTGCCTCCAATTTGGACTGCAACTCATTGATATCATTTCTAATGGCTTGATTGTCCGATTTGATGGCTTCTATGTCCCCTGACTCGAGATTTTTGTCAGTGTCAAGAACGTCGCGTTGTTCAATTCTTTTGACTCGACAACTGCAAAGTCAACCACAAATTGGTTAATTCATAGTAGCTTAAAAATGTATATAGATCTTTTCCTTCTTATCCACCAACCTTGCAGCATATCCTCGATTTTTCAACGTTCTTCGTCTCTGCTTCATTCTAATGATTTCGTCTCTCGACAATCCCCTCATTTTCAAAGTCCGATTCAGATCTCGTACCGATATACTGACCAGTTCGTCATCGTTCAAGAATTCCATGCCAGGAATCGGGGGCCCAAGGGGGCTAAGCATGCCTTGTTGCATGTTTATACGATCCTGCAAAAGTTAAATAGCTTAATCAGTCACAGAAACTACTATTTCCCAATAAACGAATCGCCCATCGAACGAAATGGATGTATTAACGGACCCTTTGCATTTGTCGTGAATCTCTAACTCTTCCCAATCCTAAGTGGTCACTGTATGACATGAATGTAATTGAAAAATTCCCTTATTTTGAATGGACTCAACCAACACACTCCAACTAATTAAAAAGTGTCCCGTTATCTGATAAATTAACCAATTTTAAAAGAGTCAGCCAGCATTTGGTGACAGGATATGGTTAGGATTTTAGAATGGAATTGTACAACTGTACAAGCCAAAGTTAAAATGGTGGAGTTGTCGAGTCGAGTACTATGGATGGGGAGGCATGAAAGAAAGAAAGGCCTAAAATTTTGCAAGTCATCGCCATTCAAGGTCTGTGGTGAAACTTTTTATGAAAAACTGAACAACATCCCCTAAGGCTACCTACACATCTGCATCGTGATGAAATGAATGTGTTGATGTGAATGTAATGAATAGAATGGAAATAGGCTCACATTCACGATTTCCTACGCGTACATATTAGTGAACTGAGAAGCTAAGCTAGGGACAAAAAGTGACAGATTATTATTAGCTCCCTCACTTCACTAATACGACCTCGCATGCGTTTTTACTAAAACTACGAAAGATGCCTAATTTTTTCACCGGCAAAGTATTTTAATTGATCTAAAATCTTAAAAATTAATGCTCTCGTATTTATATGTACAAAATTATGAATGACTTACATCACTGTCGTACCCACTTTCACTCATGGTTTCCTCCTTGATATCAGTGACTTCCAACAGGTCATCTAGATTAATTGTTAAAGGTATTTCTGGTCCGCTTTCAGCGGCGTCGTCGTAGTCCGCCTTTGGAATAATTTTCTGCTTCATTTTCGATTTTTGTTGCATAAAAATTACGTCCGGATTAACTATCCTCTATCCCCAAGCGTAGGTCGTGCTATAATGGAACACAATTTTCCCGTCGGCACCAAAACACTCGTAAAGTTCTCTCAGAGGTTGATCCGGAGAGGGGGCAAAGGCTTGGTTAACGAATAGGAACTAGAATTTGAGAAAATTTACACGTTTTAGTTATAATTCCTCATTTGTATTAGCCCAAAACAACAATAATTCCTGAATTTAGAATTTCAACATTTTCAACACTTACCAAACTCTGATGTTTTTCAAGTTTCAAATATTTCTTGACAAATTCGACAATCTGACCAACTTCACGGTCTGCTGGGACGGCCCACAGCTTTTGTCTGAGAATCGGAGCGTTTCCAACAGCGTTTAGTCGTATGTTTACTATAAAATTACAAAACATTAAAAAAACGAAAACCACTATCGACTTAAAAACACAACATTTCACCAAAACTTCCTTACTTTTATCTTTATCCCTTTCTTTGCCTTCTTCCGATTTCTTCTTAACTCCTTCAGCTTCCTCGTCTTGCTTATCTTCGTGTTCCACTACGATTTTACTTTCACCTTCCAATTCTGTTTCACCTGTTCCGTCGTCCGTCGTCTTCACAGTGTCATCATTTTCCATCGTCCAACTAGTAAGTAACACTTCCTTCACTGTTGCGATTCTGCTGACTCATGACGCAACAAAATGTTCACGAATGTGCGAGATTTCCCAAAATCAGCTTCAAAACTTGATTCGCAAATAAACCCATATGATCCTAACATTACATTTACAAGAGCTGGGTGCTGCTGCTGAGGAAAAGTGAGACTAGTTTTTTGTCAATACATATCTCATCCCTTTTAACCGTACTGAAAATTGTGAGACTTTGACGGCTAATGAGGAAATGCAAGATATCGTATAATTTTTATACATTTATAGATTAAGTAATTAAAGTTAAATAAATTAAATAGTTTCAATTAACGACTCTATTATGACGACAAAATGTTTGCAATGGTCCACCCGTTTAACGTTACCCCAGCGTCAAAAAAATCACTGTCTTTATACCAATTTGTGTAGCTCATTAAAATTACAGACTTTTGTAGACGTTATCATGTAACTAATTGTACGCTTTCTTCTTACCAACATAATACAGATACGCCAATCGCCACCATTTCGCTGGACAATAATATACATTTTCATTATTTTCTTTAATATCCGCCCATCCGAATCCTGTAATAGTACACAAACGTGATCCTTTACTAACTAGTCTTTTCACACCATCGTTCATGTTTAAAAACTGTATGTATAACATGATGTTTGGCATCCCTCTGGACATGACATGGATGAGTATATAGTTTTTTCCTCGTGTAAAAAATGGTCCCAATATTGGTTCCATTCCACTAATAATATGGATTGGATTACAGAGATATACGCAGTCTTTTTACCACCACTCGCTGGATTTTTGTTGGCTTAAATAAAAAAGTCAAGCCTAAATATCTTTGTTTAATGTCTAAATAAAAAGAGTGAGTCAGGATTTTTCAGTCAGAGAGACTCGTTCTTTTCGTTAGTTCTTTATTCTTTTTCCATTTGACATATTATTTCGTTGGTGCATTTCTTATATGGATAAGAATTGAATACTACACGACAGGTTTGTATATTATCTTGGTTTTTGCGGTTGGTTACTTATGTTATGTTAGCTGTTAGGACAGTATTTCTTATCCAATAATACTTTTTTTCGTGGTTGGTTGGTGATTCAACTTGCTTTATTGTAGTTACTCACGCCATTTGTGTTTTTCATTCCTCATCAGTCAAACATTATTACTAAATACAACACTGCTCCATCCTTCCTTCTCTGCCCGACCATTAATTTGATCAGCATTTATTTTCCGACTCCTAACTACTTATCATTAATAGATTGGCTAAAGGGTTTTACGAGGTGGGTAGTTTGCTAATGTGTCCAGGACTGTCCACGCCTCAATAAGTTATTAGCTTTTTGCAAAGGATTCGCTATCTGGTTAGTAGTAGAACCGGCATCCGGTTTTTTTTAGTTTCTCTGCATTTGCACGCCGATTTGAGATTTATTTTACAAAAGGTTTGTGTAATATGAGTTAAAGATTGTATCTTGCTTCCTTTTGTTAGGTCAGGTTGTCCCGATTTTTTACAATTGACGTCAAAATGTCACAAGAAATCCCTCCATCCACTGAAATTGATGATGTTGACGACCCAAACTATAAACCACCCCCGCAAAAGACGATCGAAGAAATTTTAGCGGCTGACCAAGAAGACGAGTCGCTTCGCCGTTATAAAGAACAACTTCTCGGTGGGACTTTTATTTAATTAATGAGAAATAATTTATTGGAGCGATTATATTTATGAAAAATATACAAAATGAACAGGTGGGGCGGCTGCTGGGACGGAAATTATCGTTGGTAAGAATTATTACTTTATTTTATTTTGTTGATACAGATTTTTAATTTGAATGGGCGTGGTTTTTCCAGAACCGAATGATCCTCGACGAGTGATCGTGAAAAAGTTGGCTCTCGTCGTGGATGGAATGCCGGACAAGGAGTTGGATCTCACTGGCGACTTGTCGAAGTTGAAAGAGCACAAATTTCGCATCAAGGAAGGCATTCCATACAAAATTCGGATTGATTTCATCGTCCAGAGAGAAATTGTTCATGGGTTGAAGTACATTCAGAAAACGTATCGGAAAGGAATCCCAGGTACATATTTGAGAGAATTAATTTGTGTACATACTTTTTTATTTTATGAGTGAAAATAAAAACTTTCTTTTAAAATTTCCAGTGGACACTATGACCCACATGGTTGGTAAGTGCAAAACTTTTACACATTTTAAACTATTGTATTCTTGGCGTGGATTTGCTTATTGTCATTAATCTTTGACTTGCTTTTCGTACTACAGGAAGTTATGCACCCAAGGATGAAATTCAAAGTTACACGACGCCTCAGGTAAAAAATGCATATTTGTTTAATGTTTCTTATAGAAGCTGATTCGAATTATGTAATTTTATAGGAGGAAGCCCCCAGTGGTATGTTGTATCGTGGAAACTACTCGGTCAATTCTCACTTTACGGATGACGACAAATGGTTAGTTCGATCATCAATATTGGTCATTTACTTGTGCATGCAAACAAATGTGCAAACTAATGAAAATTGTAAAACTATGTATGATGATTTGCAGCACCCACCTCAAATGGGATTGGAAATTTGAAATTGATAAAGACTGGTGATAAATACGTCAATAATTTCTTGCAACATTAAACAACCTTTACATATCTTAATTACAATTATTTATGATGAACATTGACCAAATTGATGGATTAATTAGGTAGAAGTAGTGGTTTATTATTTCATCAGTGTCTTCAGTTTCTTATTACAAACTTGTTTCGTTGTATTTTCATTTTTGTAATTTATTACATCTTTTTTCAGTATTTAATTAACTACAAAACCGATTGTCATAAATCAAGGCTCAATCTTTGAGATACATACATTTATTATTTATTATATGGTCAATGTTCTAGTCAGCCCTACAACTACAAGATCCTTTAACTGAATACAATTAAATCTTTGAAATCATAGGGCTGTTTAAATTATTACAATTATTTAGCCTTTTTGTCCTTGATTTAATCCATTGTTGCGTTTCGTGTGCCTTTATCAATACAGACAATAATTTTACTCGTGAGTGCCTCATTATTCATAAGAAAAAAAGACGGAAACAATATTACACATATCTGAAAAAATCTGTGAATCTAATAATTGCAATCAACAATATATATATAATTATACTTGTTACTTATAATCCTACATACTCGTGTGTGAAATTAACTCATAAATGTGTACTGCATAGAAATTATGTCAATGTCAAATTGTATTTCCAAAATTACGATGAGAATGTGAACCTTTTCTCAATTTACCGAGTTTTAGTTACAACAAATTAGTTTTTCTTTACAAAAAGCGCAAAATTGCAATCAATCTCGAATTTTTGAGGTGTCAAATAATCCTTTGTTTCTAAATATTGTCTTATTTCGTTATACATATGAAAGTACATAAGTGAATGCAAACTGAGCTTTGTGTGATTTACGATTTATGAAATAAAACAGAAAATTTATGTCATATGTCAAACCTTCCACATAATTATTAAGCATTTTCCATCAATACACTTATTAACCAATGTTCCCGATTTTATCTCAATCTGGGTAATCTCTCAAATCGGGAAGCCAGGTAACCAAGGAAGACTTTCTGCACAACAAAAGCCAAAACTTTCTCACGTGAAGCGAGTAAAACTCCCCCGTCAGATAGATGCACGCTAAAATACTCTGAAAATGCTGATCGCTTATTATTATTAGAAAGTGCGTATAATAAACTCAGTTCTACATTTCTTCCTGATAATAAATCGAGATTAATTTAGTCCTCCCATTAACATTAACTCTGAGCAGTACAACGTAATGAAATTTCATCCCCAATGACGATTTCTTCCAACTCAAGTACACGTGTTATCACATTTTTGTAGAAATGAAGGGCGATCGGAAATCTGTCCAATTAATTAATCATAGCCATGATCCACATCCAATTCTTCCCTTCTACTTCCAGAGGAGGAGTGAACGTCTCGATTGGAGAAAGATAGGTAAGATCTTATACATTCTGTGCAATCTTGTCGAAAAGTAGAGAAGCAGTCAAGTTATTAGATATCAAATAAGATGATGAACTTGTCCCAGAATAATGTCGTTACTTATCTATATTACTCAGAGACGTGAATCGAATCGGAAAAAATTACAAGATGTATTACTTCTTTTTGACTTAATAATAGCCAATCGAATTTCATTTCTTCTCATCTCATCTTCTTTAAGAAAGAGCAATATCAGTATTTTGGTGGAAATTGTAAGAAAGATGCATTATGGCACGTTATCCTTTAAAATTCATAAAAGGAAAAAGGGATGAAGAAGCCTTATAAATTTTGTAACGAGATTTTCCTTTCGAGACTTTCTTCATCTGTACTCTAAACGCGTTCTTCTTCTCCCTTTGAAAAAGTTTTATTTATTATTGCATTTCATAAAATAAATTGGATTTCATACGACTTCTTGTCTGTCATGTGAATGGGTTGGGTGGGCCCTTTCTCGTTCGATATAAATAAAATAATATAATCCGGTTGACTTGACATGTTTCCTTTGCCCAGTCATTCGGGTCAATATGTTGGAAAACTATGTATGTAAGTAAAGAACCAATTTTGTCTCATCAAGAAAATGACATGTTGGACTGGTTCACTGGACAAGTTAAGTCATGTAAATAACGACCAATAAGAATGCCCAGTCACCAGTTTGCAACTGGAGAAAGGAGAAATAGGAACCTTATTATGAAGCCAATTACTTATCAGATTTTTTTTACTGTTTTTTTTGCATCCAGTCGTACAGAAGGTAGGAAGAATAGGTCACGAACTAAATGCAATACAATAAAATAATTTAATAAGCCAATCATTATTGATTATCGAATAAACTGGTAGCATGTTATGGACAATCTAATTAGACGAATGTCATGCGAATAAGTATGTATTATCTGTCCGATTTTTCTGATTGCATGTTTCCCCCAAATCTTATAGCATCCCTAGACCTGGAAAAAGTCATTCAAAACGTGGATACCGAAGAATTGGACGAATTCGTGACGCCCATCCTCTTCTGCAGGGCTGACTCGGAATTCGACGAGAATAAAATTGACCCCGGTTTCATCAAAGTGTTCAAACTTTGTCAACTAATTGGAGAATATTTATCCTTCTCGAGGGACAAGGGGGTCGAGAAAGTAATCACTCTTGAGGCTAGATGCAGCCTCTTGGAAGAACAAAAAGTCAAGGGGGACGAGGAGGCCGGTCAGCTGAGAGAAAATCTCACCCTGGCCAAGAAGGAATTGAAGAAGACCAAGGAAATGCTAGCCTCGACACAGACGCAATTATTGGGCAGTGACAATTTGGACGAGGTTGACCAGGTGAGGACTTTGATTAGTGTTTGTCTATGCAAATCGAGTCGGCGGTGGAGATATAAATAATTATGAGATTTGTCTCATTCGCATCAATCTCGTATTCTCTCTCATCACAGCTTGTTGAATAAGTAATGAAATTCTTTGTTTGTTTGTTTTTCCTCTAAAGTGTCCCTATTGTAGCAAAACCTTCCTGGCCCCCTCCCTCTTGTTGGCTCACCTTCAGCGACGCCATCAAGGGCTCCCAATTCCTGGAAACCTTCAGCAAAATTCGACTGGTGCCACGGCCAACGTTATGTTTCCTGTGCAACTTCAAGGCTCATCCTCGACCGCTTTTTCCCCAATGAAGTTCAGCTCTGGTGGAAGTGTCGGCCTTGGTGGGACCCCGACTGTTTACGCATTCACCCTGAGTCCTGATGGAACTGTCACCAGAAATCAGAATCAACTAGCTACAGCTACAAATCACAATCTTAGCAACATTTCGCCCCCTTTTTTAGAGAATAATAATAATTTCGAGAAGCGGAGAAACTCTGCGACTCAAACTCAAACTCAGCCTTCTTCCGAGGAAACTGTCAACACCATGAAAAAGAAAGATTCAGAGTGTACTGGAGGAAATGATCAAAATGGAAATGAATGTTCTCCCCCTCATTCCAAATTTTTGTCAAAGACAACGAAAAGTAATTCGGATTCGGATCCTCTTCTCTTAAAAGTTATAAAGTATCCGTCTCCTGCTGGTGGAAATGGGAATGATGATTCCGATTCAGAAAAAGAAGCACCTCTTCCTTCTTCACAAGCCAAACATCAAAGACAAAGAATGCAAGAGGAGCATCATGAAGCAGATGAAACCACCAGCAGCCCATCTTTGATTCCTTCTGGTCTTGATTTAAACACGATTTGTGATCTCGTCGAGAAATATCTGGAGCAAAAAAGTGTGGCGAGTCAGAACCAGCATTATGATAAAATATTGAAATCCATTTACAACAATATGGATCAGTTCCATGAATTTGCACAAAATCGACCCTCCTCCACCACCACCACCACTCAGAATCCTCAAGTGGCTTTCACCACCAAGGAAAATTACTTGCCAACTTTCGCAGTTTCCAGAGGAGAAGGAGTTGCAGCGTCAAGTAGTAGTAGTCGTGGTCCGAGTCCATCAGGACCTAATGCCAGACCACTAACCAGAAGTGACACTAATGTTCCTACTGCTGGTGGTAACTTTGATGATAAGGGTGGAAGCAGTAGTTCTCCAGACTTGGAGAGGATAGAGGGGAACGTGCTGAGGATGAAAGATGAGTTTGAGACGCAGTGGACACATTTGTCGGAGAAAATTCGTGATTCTGGGATTGAAGGGGAGGTAAGACTTTAAATTTCACATCTCAGAAAAAGAATGAGGTATTTTATTCGCAACAATTACAAAGATAATCAAAAACAATTTTTGTTTACTACATATCAAATTTCGAAAAAATTTTCAAGTCAACAATTAATATAATTAAAAAATGAAATGAACTAAGGTTCATACTTCAGTCTCAACTTCTTGATAATCTTTCTCTTTTCGTCGTTTTTCTCACGCAATTCTTCCACTTTCTTGTCCAGCTTTCGATTCTTCTTCTCCAGTTCAGCATTTCGTGCATTGGCTTCATCGAGTAAGGCCTGCAAATTAGGTTTGGCCTGCATAAAGGGAGAAAGAAGAAAATGAAATATTATTTGCATTTATTATTATTATTGGGGTAAATAAATATACCTTCTTTGCTTTTGGTCCTTTTTCCTTTGTGACTCCTTGTCGTGTGAGTGGAATGGCCATCACTTGTTCGGAACATCCTTCTCGATTGGCCATTGGGCTCCGTTTAGCCACGAACAAACATATTTCTTCCAACGTTGTGGGAACCGGACTTTCTTTTTCCATGTCGGAAATATTGCGTTGTAGAGATGAATGGCTCACGTCAAATTTTTTTGCTGCGCTTCCCTTCGTCGCATTCGGGTTCGCGAATTCCATTATGGCGTTGGCCATGTCGACGACCTTGTACGTTGGGAGAGTTTGGTTTTCTCTTCCACAAGAGTCTCTATGCAATCCATAATCTGGGTGTTCTTTAGGCAAATCGCTCTCTAAAATTTAACAATTTCAATGCGAAATTAAAATATGCATTATAATAATTTAATTTAATTTAACGACATACTCGGCATTATTTCCTGATTGATTGGAGTCCCGTTCCAGTAGATATTTGTTGGGAGAGGAGAAAGTACAGGGACTTGCTCCAAGTTTGCCACAATCACAGCTTTCTCTCCCGAATCTAAGTTCGCCATAGATTGGAAACTGGCATGATGCCCAGTGGTAGCTGGAAATAATTATGTAGTGCAACATATATATTTATTACTCATTATAAATTAATTACATATTTTTGTTACCTCTTTGAGTCCTAACTATTGCTCTCTTCGCATGAGCGTCCTTCGAATTCACTCCTCCCGTCCCTTTGTATCTAACAGCCCCATTTGGGTGGAATTTCTTCCCTAATTCGAGATATGCCCTAAATAGAAACATTAAATTAATTGCATAATTTTACATTTATAATACCTAGATTATTATAATATAAATAAATCTTACCCATCAGTGCAGACCCCTTTATCTGAGGCACTTCTGATGAAGTAAAAGTGATGCCAGGCCGCATCTACAGGGTTCTTGTTGCTTGTACCCACAAAACGGGAAAAAATAGTGACCATATCAGGCTCATACCATTCTGCTGACCACGAGTATTGTTTTTGTGACATTTTAATTTTTCGAATATGATAAGCGTTTGAATAACAAAAAAAACTAAAGTTAGTCTCACTGTCAAAAACAATTCCCAACTCGATTGCTTGTTTATTGCAAAACTGGGTTGTCTCATTCTGCCCCACCCGCTGAGATTAACATGAGCGAGTGAGTGGGAGAAGGCCATATTCTACCAAAGAGAAGAGATAGGACTGAGATAGGAGTGCAACACGGGAGAACTCCCAAATATTTTGCAAGTAATAAATAATGATATCGTATTTTTTTATTTTCCAGTCTCAACTCTCCAGCCATGTCCAACCCAGGATTGAAGAGTTGAGACATGCTTTTTTGACGGAAATTAAAGTATGTTTTTTCTCATCTCTCCTCTTTCTTTTTAGCTTTTTAGTTAGTTTATCCCAGCCTGATTTGAAACAGTGATGCCGATCATATTACATAATAGGATAGAAAAGGTGCAGTCATCACTCAATATTTGGTTCAATGTTACGAAACCAGTCAAAATACCTGACTCGACTCTTTTCTCGCTCGTGCTAGCCCAAATATTTTGATTCATTTTTTCTCCCTTCGTCATCACCAGTGTGTCACTTTCACTCCAATAATACATCAAACAATAAATCGTAGAGTACAACAACTTTCTCCACTCACTCACCCATCCATTTCCAGCTCTGCTCCTCGTGATGGATGAAATTGGAGAAAGTTGTTGGGCGATTTATGGTCACACTGTCTCAACTGTCTTGTAGGATGTGTCGATCTATTAGAACACGGCTCGTATTTGTTGTGTCGCATCCGAGAAAAAGAAAGTTGATACACTACAAGGAATAGGCGTCTCTGGGATAAAATAATAATAATAATATGTACATATACCGAGAAAAAACTGACTGTGAGCCGTGCTGAGGTTTGACTTTTAGCCCTTCACTCGAGCCTTCTCCTGTGAGAATTCATTAGTGCTTGGAGCGAAATTGGTCTAGTTTTTTTCCCTCCTCGATATCCTCAATCCATCCAAATTGCGGCATTCGTAATAATGTAATGCACCAATTGCAGAAAGTTCAAGAGATGATCCTCAACACGCCTCATCGTGGAGTGGCTTCCTCCAGGGACGACGATGACGGAGTTGGCACCACCACCGCTACCGCCACGAACACTCAAGTTGTGGCTGATCTCGGGGTTAAAGTTCATGACAATAATAAATCAATGGGCCAAAATGCTACCAGCGTGGATGGAGACAAAGAACTAAAACTTGATCGTGGTATGGATGCACACTTTCAAAAACTTTCAGACAACCTCGAGTCCAAGGTGAATATCTGGGGCAGAATTTTGTGGTCTACATAAGCATCAAACAAAGATTAATACATAATAATCCTTGTTCTTCTTCTTTATGTTAATTATTTATAGATGACCCTCGAATTGCAAGAGATGAAGAGAAAGTTGGAATCTCAAGATGAATTTTGGCGTACCCAACTCCACACGATTGAACAACAGCATCAACTGCAGATTGAAAAGTTGCACAAGGATTTTGAACAGAGATCGTCCTCGCTATCAAATCATGTAGCCAGTTTAACCTCCAAACTCCCAGTCTCATCCTTGGATCAACAAGGCGAGAATTATTACGTGGAGGAATTTGATTCACCCCAAAAGAATGCGGGTAAATAAAGCGTCAGCGTTTCAGACCACATTTATTTAACGGCTTTCCTTTGTTATGTATTCTCTCAATGTCAAAGTCAATCACGCAGAAATGCTAATGCAATAAATTATCGTTATAATACACAAATCCCTACAAACTACAGGTCCTATTGCTAAGCCGAGGAGAAGAACAGCATGTAAAGAACAACAAGAACAACAAGGGGACATACAAGCCAAAAGTCAAACAAGGGGCAATTCTACCATGAAAGGGCAAAATAACAGTAGTTGTGGCGAGGACGACGATGACGACGTTGGCGGTCGTGGAGAAAGTATTTCAATTACTCGCCGAGACAACGTAGGAATAAATCAGCAGCCATCGTCGTCCTCCTTCCGACAAATGTATCCAGTCGGCGACTCAGAAGAGGAAGAGGATGACGATGACTACCAGAGCGAGGAAGGAGATCAAGGCATAATCTCCAGCGAGGATCCTGATGCAGAGGGAGACTATTTGACAATAATTCATGCGGAAGGCGACGTTCCTGAATATTTGCATCATCAGTCTGGACCTGTAGTACAACGCGTGACCACGAAAACCACCACTTTAGATTTGCCATCACCACCACGGCAGACACGTTCCTCTCCCAGAAATCCTAAACCGGCAAGACGGACAAGAAGAAAATCTGCAATGATGGCAAGAAAACCGCAGATTCGAGAGGAACGGCAACTACTTGATGATCAAGTGTCAAACTATACGCTCTCCACGTCGGCGGAAAATCATCGAAGGGATGCTCAGAGCAGTGACGATGACGGAGAAAGTCTGTCAGACGAAGGTGTTGACGCAGGTAATGGGGGTCAAAGGTTGGGCAAGAAATATAGCTCCCGAAATAAACTGGCGATGATGGAAAAGTCGTCGTCTCCCAAGAAAAAGTACGTGTTCGACTCTGTCCAAGGAAAACTTATCGATGCAAGTGAAACCAAAAGCCAAATGGATTTAGTCCGGGATCGCATCGTGCTAAACGAGTTGGATACGCAGATCGCAAACTTGGGCATAGATCCCACCGCGACTTCAATCGGTCTCGAGGAAATGAAGAGAGCTTTGAAACACGTCAAGGATGAAAAACACTTCATGGCCGAGGTACCAAAAAATAGAGATAAATACATAAAAAATAAACAACCCATAGCAAAAATAAGTACCACTCGATCCAACCCACGATTTATTTATGTCTCTGTTTTTCTCCTCGTATAGGATGAAGGAGAACAGTTTCAATCGGAACTCAACACTTTACGGAAAGATGTTAAACATGAAGTTGCTCGACGATCTATACAACAAAAGTTGGAAAAATATGGAACACCAAAACGGAAACCAGAGTTGAATCGGCTCTCAAATATTTTCAACAAAGTAAAAAAGTCAGGGTCATCATGGAGGCAGAAGGTACATTTACTACGCCATCTCCTAAAATAAATGAGTAGTGAATCTTAATGCATTTCATTCCCCAATGTAGTAATCATTCAAAGTCACTCAACCGTCATTCCGTTGGGATTTCATGTTTTTCCTTTAGAATTCCGCATCCATTTCATTCACTAACCAATTCCAATAATGCCGACCAATACGAGCAAAAATATACATATTATTCTCCTTATGTATATACTTTTAGGTCGCATCTGCCATGAAGCGAAAGCGAGATACTCCCACGAAAAAGAAGAATAAACCTGCCGATGACGATATCAAAACAACATTCTTTTCCAAATGGGGCCGAAAAAAGAAAGCAAACAAAGATGCCAAAGAAAACAAGTCTGATATGGTTGACGATAATAATGAGGGAAATCGAGACGACAACACGGGCTCATCCGAGGATGAAGAAGAGTCAAGTAGTAGCGACGTGGAAATGCCTCCCTACATGACTCGCTCACAACCTATATTGCTCGACAGACGTAGCAATAATTCTAGACGAGGAGGAGGAGAAAGTCGGAGAAAATCCAGCAGTGGCAACAGGAAACCAAACCGTGATTCTGACTCTGCTTCAGAGAGCGAGGAGATTGGACAACCTCCAAAATCTCCACATTCTCATCATCATCTGTCACAGAATCTTAAGCCAAAACTAAAACCACGACGTGTCAACAATCCTCCCGCCCCACTTCCGGCTTCTTCTCCTAAATCTCCACCTAATCGGAATGCTGCCCTGCATGGCCAGTTGGTTTCGGAATTACAGGCAAAATTCAACAAAAATAAATCGCCAGCGGTCAAACATAATGAGTCTCGGACCTCACCACCACCCACGAAATTTAAAGTTCCCAACTTTTTCGTGACCGGTCCCCCCATCGCGACCACCACTTCACCTCACCGCACTGCGGTAACGAGCAATGGTTGGAGTGAGGAAACCCTGCAGGAATTTGGAAAAAATGCAAAACTCATGGGAAATGGTTCACCACTAGTTTCCGGACAAGAACAAAGACGTGGGAACGGCAGAACGGGGAGTAAACGTTCACCAGAAGAGGAAAAAAATCCCAGTCGCCGTCATACTAAAGGTTCAACTTTGGCCACCACCACTTCCGTGCTGGACCTGGTTTCACCAGAGAAGAGAAAGCAGCAGATGAGCTTTGCAAGATCGGATGACAGGAGGAAAGGTTTCCGCAGGAAGAGCAGCAGCCTTTCATTGTCCGACGAGGGTGATGGACATCGCGATGAAATTCATAGAAATGCGTCAGTCTTTTTTATTTCACATTCTTCTCCTTCTCCTTCTCGACGACTAACTGCTTCTTGATGATGATGATGATGATGGTGATTTGTAGATTTGGTGATGCCTGTAGCAGTAGATTTACTTTGTGTTATCACATTTCACTTCCTAATAACTGATGAACTGACTTTAGGTTGATTTACGTTTTGACAGTGACCTGATCCTATTGCATTGGCGAAAAATATTTCATTTTTAGTTTATTTTATTCGTACAAGTGGTACTCAGGTGGTGCTCGCACGAAGTGGAAAATTGCACCACAGGTCAAAAACTTATAGGTACATAAAATTCGTCCCTTCTAATCGATTTTTTCGACATTTCGCTGATGAATTGAAAAGAATTCTACTTTCACTGACCTTGTCGCACTAGCGACAAAAACGGATATGCCATTTTTACACCAGCTCTGCTAGCTGGATAAGTAATAGTGGGTTGTTAAAGTCCATTCGTCATTTATTTTAGACAAAACAGCGACACACAGGGTTTGTTGTTGGTTGTTTGGTCGGAATTTTATGGGTATTATTGCTGAATCTTTTATTGGATGGAATTGTACCGGAATTGATGTCTCTAGATCATCATCATTGCATTTTGTGCAGGACTGTTTTTATCCGCTATTTCTTATTATGACCTGTTTTTTCCCATTTTACTGTACAATATCCTCTGCGTCGTATTCTTTTTTTTATCAATACGGTTCTCAGCATGTTGTCAGACGTCAGATTACGTAGTGCTCACAATTTTTGTGGTCGACATGATTTTATCCAGTCAGTTATTCGGTTTTTTGGGACTATTTACTTCATGGATGCAGCCGGCTCTCATTCAAACATTTTGTTATTGCTTATCCCCTTTTTCGTGGCGATATGTGATGACTTTTTCATTTATTGCTTGATATATTTACCAACTTACTGACTTTTACTGAATTCATGTCCCAGCGTGTAGTTTACTTTCTCATTTCATCTATTTTTTATAACTTTTACCCTGTCTCTCTTTTCCATTCATCATCCTTTCACCTACAATTTTGAAGATGACAACGTAACACAACAGCTCATTTTACACAAAAAATACATCCAATGTAGTCCAATTTGCACCGTTTCGTCTCACTTTTCTCCTCCTCTACAATTTGTCTTTGTGTCTAAAATTAGGAATTCATTATGTCGAACAATGCTGCGTGTGGTGCTTTCTAATTTCAATTCAATTACTTGCCACACCATCGCGACCACCACCACCAGAGTGCCGCATAAATAAATTATTTTATATATTTGGATACAAATTTAACAATGAATTTGGTTTGGAAATACGAATACCGCAACCACAAAACTATGTATACAACACTGAATTGTATATCCTCTTATCCAACTCGAATTACAAATTGCACCCAGAACTGATTTGATTTCAAACCTCGGGAGAGAAAACTCTTTTGTGCAGCATTCACTATTCACGACCGAATGTAGTCCGTTCATACAACAGCAGGTTGTGTCCTCCTCCCAGCTAATGGAAGATTAATGACTTCATTACAACTTTGGGAAGAAAGGGCTGCTTAAATTTGTATAGTATTTCAAAGAACAGAGTGAGAGAAAGCGAATCCGTGACTTTCTCCCCAGTCTCACGTTTCCCTCCAATCCTGCTTTCTCCTCCTCCTCCTTTCTTATTAGTAGTCATTAATGCTTCTCCTCCTTTTCCTCCCTAATGTAAAACGTGTCTCTTATTTCAACGACGAAATGACCCAGTGGACATTGCACACACGAGATTAATCAGTTGTAAATACATAAATAATTCACTGCATGATTTATATTCCTAGATCAAACCAGCACCTTTCTCCCAGGGATGGAAGATACGTAGTCTCGCAACATTCTTCGTCTCCCCATCATCGCCCCAAATTCCATTCCCCGCACGATACCATCACCAGAATTAGCAGTGGCCCACTTCCGGTTGGAAGGAATCATAATAATCTCGAGTTTCAAAGAAGTAGAGCAACAAGATCTTCACCACCCGAGGCGGACAGCAGCGATACGAGCGCCTGGGATACGGAAGAGGAAGAAGAAATACATGCCTTTGAAGGAGATGATTATCCTGCTCACCCGCATGCTGATGGACAAAGCCAAGGTCAATCCACATCCACAATGGCAGTAGTGGATTATAATTATCGTTCTTCATCATCCGATTCCAATTACGACTCACATCCAGGTCCGTCTTCTTCTAGGAGGAGAAGAACAAACCAGCCGAGCAGTAGCAACACAAATAGAAACATGAGCACAAAAGAAGACCAAAAGTCTAATAATGGCGAAACTAATGAGAATCTCAAGATCATGAAGAGCAGCATTTTATCAGTGGATTTTACCAGTGATGAAGAAACTTCAAGATCTCAGTTTCCCACCACCACAGCGACAACCAATTACGACGCTTTTCAGAAAAAGTACCAGCAACAGGATGAACATCAGAAAAGTAAGGGTTTCAATTATTCCGCGACTTCCATGAGTCAAAGTCAACAACATCAACAGCAACGGAGTAGTGTTTCAAACTTTGGCGTGTCTTCCACTTCAAGGAACAACTTGGCTGCTGGTGCTGGTGGAAAGTTTGGGACTGCCGAAGTCACTCTTGAGCGCCCTTCCACTGCTGGAAGGAGGAGTAACTTTACACGGGAACTGAAAAGCCCAGATAATTCCTGGGATTCAGATTAATTAATTGATTACTGTATGTAAATGATATACTTATGTATACACGTGTCGTGTCTATTATTAGTTCTTTAAGTGACTTTGAAAATGGATACGTAAAAGTTATGTATATAAATGTGAATGTGTTTATAACAGAATAAATTGCATTTACCTTTTAACTTGTGTTATATTAAATACGTGCATGTTTTTAAGTAATTTTGATGAAGCACTTTAATCGCAAATTGGTGCATTATTCCGTCGTTGAAATCAATCCGGCATAAAATATCTGCCCAGCGGACAACTTTTTCGGTGATTCAAACCCGCCCTACTTTTACTGATTGAAAAATAATGATTCACGTCTGTATTTTCAGCCTAAAAAGCACATTTGTCAGAGGCAGATGATGATGATCGTTCAATCAATGGAATGTTTTGTATTGTGCTCCACACAAAATTCTACCATTTTCTTGTATGAAATCCTTGCTCTTGCTCCTTCTTCCTTTCTTCACTCGAATGGAAGCGTCAGATAAAAATGAAAAATGATTGTGGTGCCTTACAAACAAGAAAGTAACTCTCCTGAGCAAAGTCTTACGAGTTCCCTGCAAAAACTTGACGAGTAAACAATGAGTTTTGAGAAAATGGAAATAAATGTAGGCATTTAAGTTATTTACAACGAGTACAAACGTTTATATATTTTCGGTAAAGCTTTATGAAGAAATATAAATTTTAAATTATGTTAATAATTTACTTGTCCTCCTTTGAAGGGCAGGTCTTCAAGTGAGCCGGCATCTCCCTGCCGGACAGCTTCACGCCACATTCCAAGGGGCAGAAAAACTTGGCGTTTGCAATGATCTGCTCCTGGACCACGTTCCTAGACAAAAATTTGCTTATTAATATATGTAAATGCAACTTTTACACATTTTTTGACAAATATCAAGCAAATGACTTACCGAGCCACACCCCCAAACCAGCAGCGACACATGGGACACTTCTTGTTGATTTGAGACGTACACTCCTATTATGAGTAATTATTATTAATAAATTATCTCAATTATAACTAATTATGATTGATAATTAAATAAATTATAATCATACCTCACACAATCCGTGGCCATTCTGACTGTAATAAAACAGTAAAGTTACCCAATTAATTAATTAATTAATTATTCAATAATACTACTACTCATAATGGCATCATTAAATTTGCTAAATAAAACACATACCAAGTCCTTATCGGGCCGAAGGGGACGACCAAACAGACCGGACACCGCACAATGCAGTACAGCTGTTCAGCCGAAATGTCCACTACTTGGTCCGTCATTTCTAAATACGAAATAAACTACACAAAAAATATATAATTATTTTCACTTATTTATTTTCATAAACTGTATTTATTTATTTTTAATAATTAATTATACCTTTCACGAGCGAGAAAAATATTGACAACTTTAATCAAAATGACAACAACCCAAATCAGCCAATTAATTGGTGAGAGTGAGCGAGCGAGCGAGTGAGTTGGATGATACCGATAAATGAGCAAGCAGACATGGGGGCTCGCGTTCACGTTCGAAGGTGCAACGTCAAGACAGGAATGAACACGTGCATTTTGTGACGTCATTCGAGTTTTAAGTACCCACCGTTGAATTGGGCAGTATTATTATGCAAATTCAGTCTCATTCATTTCTGGAGAAGAATGTAAAATTAAAATCCTCCCGTGTCCCATTTTTTATGACAGATTACAACCTAATTTTAGGGCTCCTGCTGGTTCTACAATGTGGAACTGGTGGTTATTCTTGTGAATAGCAATTGAAATTAATTTCCCCAGAGACAGCTATGCACATGATGACGATGATATGTTATGTTTTCCCAGCTCCTCGGTCTCGTCAATACGTACGCTTTCTTTCCAAGCCTCAAGAGACCCTTAATCTTTCGGCGAAGGGGAGAAATTAATGAAATTGGGTAAATGCCGGCATCTTTATTCTCCAAAAAAGCAGGTATCATTGAATTTAATTATTCAAGAGTGAGGACATTTCACATTCTTAGAATTTAACAGGATAAAATGTACTTCATTAAGTATGTAGATATGAATTTCTAAGAGGGGACGACTTTTATTTGGCATGCATATTAAATTTAAATGGATGGAGGTCTTCGTCTCAGATCTTTTGGATAAATATTTCCAGGAAAAACACAGTTTGTTATTGAATTTGCAACCCCAAGAGTAAATATTTAGTGACAACGACATGAATATAGTAAGGAGTTTGTATTAGAGAAAAGTGGGCAAAAATGAAGAGGATTCTGAGAATGATGGGTAGGAATTAAGACGAGCTTATCTACTTTACTCGGGTTATATAGTCAAGTTATTACCTTTTCATTTCATGCGCCAAGTGGGCTTAATTTTAGAAGTGGTGACAATTTTACATAATATAAATAATTTACAGAAAGTACAGATGCAATTGCAATTAATCTTACACAAGACCTAGATTAAAAATTTGGGAAAGTACGACTAAATAAGTGCTTAACTTTGATTAATTTGTTCAAAATTATTTCATCCTCATAAATAGAACAAGATAACATCTTATCGACTTGTATAATTAAAACGTTTCCTACTTAAGGAAACTTTTCATTATGATAAACAAACTTTGCTAAAGTTCATTACCGAATTTAGGCATATATTTTGTCCTCGATATTATAAACAAGGTGAAAAGACCTCAAAAGATCTATTATACCTCTCTTTGATCTATTATTCCTTCATTTCTTCTGCACTACTTTTCAATCAAAACTGTTGCATGGGACGTTTAATTACTTATGTATTATCAAACCCTATCTGCCCCAAAATTCGGTAACATGCTCAATTCATTATAACACACTTGAACGTGTAACACCCTCCCGTAACCTTTAAAACAATTAATTACAAGTTTAAACCAACGAAATTAAATCAGACGACAACCCACAAACCTTAATTTCGCATAAATAAATGTTTCAATTCTTTTGATACCCTCCATTCTAATCTGCCCAACAATAAGCCACCCTTTGCTTGCGTGCATCACTATTTGATTCAGTAAATTCAATTCCTGACTTTTCTGCAATACAGCGTTTTTCTCGCTTGAAAACACTTATTCAACTTTTTCCTCTTATTCCACAAGTCAAAGTCAATTCACCAAGAAGTAAGAATTGTTGTTATGTACCACTTCAACCCACCTTTTCCTACCCCGATTGTATGTAAGTAAAGATGTGTAATGAATAACCAACAAATAATTAGTTATAATGGGTTCATGACAATGGAAATGCACGTACGTAAGGTGTACAATTTGACATTTGGCTGTTGCACATGACATCTTCGCTTTTAATTGGAACAGCAGCAGTTAGTCGAACTTATAATGCAAGTAGTTAGTTTCATGAATATGCACATTTTCTTAAGACTTTGGCCGGTCGGTTCGATGACCAGCCGTGCAAAACCGTGGTGCACATCTTTTCTGGCGCAGTGCAGAGATGATGAGTTTGAAATTGAAATGGTGTTGATGACTTGATGATAAATCACTGTTTACCAATTCTCACGAATTTACCACATGAACATACTTGCGTCTTTTTTTAGGTTTTCTTAAACTGCGGAGAGTCAGTAAGGGGTCGGTCTCGGTATTCTCTAACTAACCAGCGACGTACGTACGCCGTGGGCAAAGTCGGCCAGACCAGAAGCGTTGCAGCATGTTTTCAATTAAAAGGGGATCGTCGGATGATGAGACGAGACCTACTTCAATCTTCAATTAGTTGAATTGATGACTAATCCCACATTCGAAATTAGATTGAAGGAGACGCATGAGGTGAATCAAATAGAACGGATAAAGTCCATCCCAAAGTTTATAAATGGTCGTGATCACCAATTGTCTCATTTAGTTGGGTTTATTTACGTCGTCTGTAAAGTCGTGGGGTTAATTTGTAATTGTATTATATACTAAAGTTTGTTACAGAAAGTTTCCAATTTCAGAGTTTTTGGGGGTGTTAATTTAGCGAAAAATAATTACGTCCGATAATTCAATGTAAAATAAAACCGTCTTAAAGTTTTGAATTCAGTCCGAAATGAGACTGAAACGGATCTCTGGATGCTCAATAAGAAGAGTCGTCTCGATAAGTATAAGTTTATCCCTATTTCTAATAATTTTCTGTGAACGTGGAGATGCACAAAGGAGGCAAAATCCTGACCAATTTTTGCAATATCAATACCTTTACCAACCCCCGGATGACACGAGGCTAATCTCACAACGTAAGAAGCGAGCAGCAAAAATTAATTAACTCCTTTAAATTTCTATCCAATTAATTTTGCCCGTTACTAATCTCTCATCACCCAAAACATCCTTTTAGCCACCCCTGCCGACGATAGAACCATAATTTCTGACCTTATCGGCTTTTCCGCGTTCAAATTGATGTTCCTCCTCTCCGTGCCGATGATCTTTTCTATCTTTTTGGGAGCCATGTTAGTCCTTCTTTTTCCATTCCCTCTCATCACGTCAACTTCCGGTCTCGCCGGTGCGGCTGCAGTTGGACGGCGACAAGGCCGCCTCACCGAACCACCCCTGGTGGACGAGACGTTCGAACTTCTGCAATTATTGGGCTTACAAGATCACACCCCAGTTTCGAGAACGATACCAAGTGGGGCGCAATATTTCCCTAATTCTGACGCTCTCCTGGAGCCTCGAGTGGATGAAAGTGACAAGGTTTACCCCAGAGTGAAAAAACAGTTCAAGACGTTGCCAAAGTTGAAGAAATTGAAGATTTTGTCATCCTCTCCTAGTTCCGGTGGGTCTCCTCCCAAGGGGATGAGCAACATGATGAATAAAGATGACGAAAGCTGCTTGAAACGGATAGCTTGTGAAATCGGGAGAGAAAATAAAGACAAACATTCGAAAGAGTTGGTTAGCAAGTGAGTCGAATTGTATGTATACAGAGGTCCTTTAATTATGCATAAATTATCCCTTAAATCTTGAATGATCTCATTTCAGACTGATTAATAACATGTCGCAGAAAAACCAGCTAAAATACGCCAGCACGATTAGCGCGTACATGGATGGAGTTCAGTCTCAGGGGGTGGTTCTCATTTCGGAAAGCCCGAATCCACCACCCCCTCCGCAAGGGCCGGTATATCGGCACAATTTCTGTCCGAGGTACAAATGTACAATGTAAATAGTACAATAAACACACTTATAGGATGGGGTTATCATATATTTAATCGTATCAGTATTATGGTGTAAATGTATTTATATATTTTTTATTGCTAATGTTTACCTTTAGGATGAATTAAAAATACAGTGATTTTAGTAAATGTGTACATATTTACATCGCGCATGCAATACTTATCACTAGTTACATATGTAAATGAAGGGTGGCTAACCTAATAAAAAATTCCATTATTTATTTATGTCTCACATAAAAATTCATAACATTTTGAAAATGGAAGCTGAATCGTTGCTTGTGATGTAAAATAAACAACAAATGCTTCTATCATGAGACAAAAAGAGACTGGAATGGATAACCTGATATTTTATTCTTGCAACGATTCTGTAGAATATCATATTTCCGAGGAAAACGCAATTTTTATTTTTCTTGTGACTGGAACATGGGGCCCATTACGAATGGGCAGTAGCCTGTTGCTATTAGATCATTCCATTCTTAGTCATGCAAATCAATCAGTAAGTACTTATCAGAACACATCATGTCATGACAGCCCCGGAAACATGATAAGCTCTTTAACTACGCATCGGGTTTGCTAAAACATTCTGATAGCAAATTTCCACTACAAATATAATGCCACGCTGTTCCAACTATGCATGCTGCTGGATATGATTCCATCCTGATCGCATGATCATCACCCAAATTATGAAAAGCGTTCTTTATTAAATGAACGTTTAGACTCTGAAATCATTTGTGGCGAATAACGTACAAGTAAAAATCCTACTTGTTCAACATGCATAAGTATCCGATTTTTATGTTCTCATTGCCAATTTCATTTGGCGATTGTCCATGTAAATGAATACTTTCCATATCGACCTAACCATATATATCCTACCGTACGTACGCTGCGAAATTGTAAATAAACCGGTTACGAATGAGAATATTTAGCAATATAAAATATAATTTCAACTTGAAACGTTCCTACTTCCAAAATATTTCTATTAGACACATATTTTTCTCACGGACAATTCGGGTATTTAATGAAGTTGACAATGTGGAACATTTCATTCTCAAATACTCCTCCACCCGAACCAGTCATTTTGACACGATAAAAATCATCTCTCTCATCTCAATCTGTCCCCCGAGTACAATTTAAGATTTTCTAAAATGATCGAATATTGGTGGCACATTGCCCTACTTGCCATTGTTTTTTGGGCAGCAAAAGTTTGCATTTATCGCACCCAAACAAAACTTCTTGTCGTAAATGGCGCAAATCAAGACGAAGAAGACGCCAACAAGGTGATCATCCCATCCACTAATGTATCTACTGAGGAAACGGTATTCGATCTCAAAAAACCCGATAAGCGAATCCCCGTCTCCGTCAACTTCCATTTCACACGAAAGTGCAACTATGAGTGCGGGTTCTGTTTTCATACGGCAAAAACTTCACACATAACTCCACTCGAGGATGCAAAGAGAGGTAGGTCGGGTCGCCTGTCATCATACAGGATAAGCACCACTTATCATCGTACCTCACTTATCAATTTATTTATGTATGTCTCTCTTCAGGTCTGAAAAAGATGGCAGATCTCGGCATGAAAAAACTCAATTTGTCTGGAGGAGAACCCTTCCTCTATTGGAAATATGTCGGAGAAATCTGTAAATATTGCAAAGACGTCTTAAAACTGGAATCCGTCTCCATCGTCTCGAACGGGAGTTTAATCAAGGAACGATTCTTCAAACTGTACGGCCAGTACTTGGACATTCTCGCCATTTCCGTCGACTCTTTCGACGAGGAAACCAACATCAAGATCGGTCGGGGTAAGTTGAGTCTCAAGATCATAAATCATCCCACATGCTACTCTAATTTTGACACTTTGTTATATTTTACTCATGAATTATATGTAGGAACTGGTCAACACACTGCCAAACTGCTCACAATCTCAGATTGGTGCTCCTCCCACAATGTAAAGTTCAAGCTTAACACGGTCGTAAACCGGTACAATCATGCCGAAGATTTCGGACAAATAATCTCATCTCTCAACCCAACTCGATGGAAATGCTTTCAAGTTTTATCCGTTGATACGGAAAACACGGGACATAATTCACTCCGAAATTGCGCAGAGTTTCTAATCTCGGATGAAGAATTTGAAAATTTCTGCACCCGACACGCCCACCTGTCCTGTTTCGTTCCAGAGTCAAACTTTATGATGAAATCGTCCTATATAATTCTCGACGAGAAAATGCGCTTTCTTAACAAGGGGGACGTTTACAAGGAGTCTGAATCAATTTTGGATGTTGATGTGGAACAAGCGCTAATTGAGACGGATTGGGAGCCGGACGTCTTCGTCAAACGGGGAGGTGTTTATGATTGGACGGTGGATAAGCCTGCTTGTGGGGATGATCCTGCTCTTCAGTGGTGACTGATTTTGTGGCACTTTAAATTGTATGATTACTATTAACATTATACGCTTATGTTGAAATCTTAAGTAGAATATGCAATATTTTAGAATATTTTCAATATAGAATATTTTCATTACATATTTAACCTTGAGATTTGCATATCGAGTCAACTATTTATTAAAAAAACAGAGCTTATCAATTATAACTTTTCGCTTATCCCAAGGTTAAATTGTACTATTTCTTGTCACAATGTAATTGAGTTCCTAGCATTTCATGGATAAGTTAATTGTGGAGGGCAAGAATATTTAGTTGCATAGTGCGGATCCCTAAATTGTGCAAACATATTTTCCATTCATATTTTGTTCTTAATTTTTTGCAAGCATTATTATTAGCTTTATTACAACTTTTTTTCCATATTCTTCCGTTCATATGTACTTACCAAGTTACCACCACCTTACACATGTTCAAACAAAAACATGTATCGTGAAAGAGTTGCCTAAATAAATAAAGAAAACTTATGCAAACTTCCGACTTTCGTTACATAAATTCTATCCACGCATATTAAAAATAATAGAGGAAATGAGAACAAAATTGATGACATTAATTGCTCACTGATCGATGCTCCCTGATATGAACTCAAATCGTTCTTATCAACAATGCTTATATAATCATATCATAATTTACTTCAAAAAGACAACTCAATAAAAAACAATCACGATTTATTAACATAAACTTCAAAAATGTATTAAAGGTCAACACAAACGCAAGAACTTCTAAAAAAATTGAGACGCGTCCAGACTGAACGAAAATCGTCGCTGGAGAAAATTTGAATTGTGCCATACGAAAAAAATCCGATAACCTCACGATAACCTTTATTATACAACTTTCATCATTCTCTCATTAAATATGCGGCGTTGCCTATGACAACCAAAATGTCAATTATATTGGAGCACCTGATCAATGGAAAATAACGTGACTTGAATCCTCATTTTTGTGGCCACATTTATTATTCCATTCCACAAATGTATCAACCTCCTCCTCAGTTGATTGCAAAAATGAAGCTGCCATTGTCTCGAGTCTTTCGTATTGCATTTATAATATTCGCAGGAATATTACTTTTATTTGCCAATCTGAATTATAATCGGATCATCAAAATCACCTTTGCAGCAAGTGGAAAGAAAGTTATAAATATTTCATCCAGAAATTTTTCCAGTCTGGATTTTGCAGGTATATTTATTTGTATTTACATTATTTTTTGCATTGTCATTGTCACAAGATTTTAAAACTAACTTATCATCCTCAACTTTTTAAAAGGAGACGAACTCGACCTGGAATTCGTCATTTATGGGAACGAGCTTTCCACAAAGAGTAAAAGCAATACAAGAAGAAAGGAAGAAATGGTGACAACCTTGCTGCAAAATGATTCCAGGATTTTGAACTATATTCGAAAAAATCACTTATTCCCTCCGTCCACGAAAGAGTACAACTTAAGAAAGCCTGGCGTCGGTGAGACCGATTTGGACACCGGGCTAACTACCGTTATTAAGGAGCTACTGGGAGATAAGGTCAGGCTTTTAAACAAGGACTTCGTTCCACAGTTCAAATAATTTAGATACATAATTCCAGAAAAACGGATTTTTCATCGAAGCCGGGAGCAACGATGGTGAGCATATCTCGAGCACCCTCGGCTTTGAAAAATTCCGTTCCTGGAGGGGACTCTGTGTTGAGGCCTCCCCCGCACTGCAGAGCAGGTGGAGATCTAAAAACAGGAAAGCTTGGCTGGCAAACGTTTGTCTCTCGCCAAAATCGTGGCCAGTCTGGACCAATTTTCTTCATCGGGACGATTACTCGGTCGGCAGCAAGTTGGGGGATCCGGAAGATATTGTGGACGAAGTTGGAAATTGGACTCATTACAATGTTCCCTGCTTTCCGATATTTTCCATCCTGAGTGCCCTCAATGTGAAGGAGGTGGACTATTTCAATCTGGACGTGGAAGGCGTGGAGGAAGAAGTACTGAGGACGATTCCCTTCAACGAGATATTGATACGGGTACACAAGTACATTAATCAATGATGAATTATCTAAGAAAATTAAGATTTATCTAATTCTTTCCCTTTATTTAGACAATTTCGGTAGAGTTTCACAGAAATGCAGACGATTCGGCAAGGAAAACTGTGCAGGATTTTATGACTGGGAAAGGATACCAAACAGTGTATATTAAAAATGCCGATTATATATTTGCACATAACTCGATTGCGCCACAAAAATGATATCTGTAAAATTATAATGGAAGAATTAATGATATTAATTAATTGTAACATGTAAGGTAAGCCAATATTTGAGATATAAAATTTTGTTACTTTTTTTAAACCTTCGTCTTCCAATCCTTCTATTGAAACTAGAACAAATTTAGTCATTCGCATCAAAAAGTTATTTTATGAGCATGACGTGATGGGCAGTCAATGTCATCATAAAGCATTGTTTTGACTTCTAGGAGTGCGTATATCTCGGCAATCTAATATGAAAAAGCTTATCTTCATGGTAAATAAAACGGAGATTCGATTAAGCATCTTTCCACACACACCAATGATAAGGACGTCGTAAGGGGAAAAAACTTAAGCGTTATGATAATGCGAATTGCCCTCCAATAAATGGACCATTGTCAGTCTAGTCCTCAAATAACTTCATTATTCCTGCCTGCATTCTCTCATTCAGATAATGACACTACACCACCACCACCACATCAGAATCTTATAATATTCGCATTGCTGCATACATTCATCGCGATTTGAGGCGTAGACAGCCGTTGACGACGACTTCCTTCCGGTTTCCTCGAGGGTTTGTTTGTCTCACTGCTAGCAGCAGCAGATGTCGAGAACTGACATAACACAACCCTTTTCATGTTGTGTTGTATCTCTGCAATTCTGCATAACAAATATTTGTATGTTGATGTTTTCCTCGTATAAAAAACTCCTGGCAATTAAATCCCATGATGCTTTTTCGCGATTCTTCGTATCTAAATATCTGTAACATTTACGTGACGAGGGAGACGTCTGTGAAACGGTTCATGGTGGGAGAACTGTTGCAAAAACGAGCCCCAAGGCAAGTCCATCGCCCCGTTTTACAGCAATTCTTCTACTCACGTTACGTGCTGCTGGTGGGACAGTTGTTGGCCGTTTTGGTTGGTTTGCCGTTTGCTAGAGGAAGGAAGGAGCAGATGCGGAATATGGGTTTGCAAAAACAAAATTGTAGGCGAAAGAGAGTGAGGATGAGAAGATGAGAATTTGTGTGTGTGCGGATAGAGATCCGATCCTCCGAAGTTGTTCCAAGTAAAGTAGAACGAAAGGGAGAAACTCACCCGGATTTTGGCCAGTTGCTTGGAAAGCTTTCTCCGTACCACTCATTGAACTATTTACTTACTCAAGTGACTACCCAACCACCATCGCTTGACGCTCGGTGCCACTATAATCACGGTACATTAGTTACACACACATTTTGAAAATAAAGTGGGCTCTTAAAAAATACGTCATGGAAAAAATCTATCTATAGTACCTGCCATTTTTCTGGAAATAGCTTAAAAACTGGTTAATTACTCAGTTAAATTACTCGTGATTAAAGGACATTAAGAAGAAGTTCCCTATTCGCTATATACTTAAGAAGATTTTTCTGGAGAAGCTTGTCTATCCGGAAATGCAACGTAAGTTCTCATTTCAACATCAACTTTTTCATCTCTCTTTTCCTTCCCCCTCCATCACACTCATTTTAGAATTTAATCCCTTGAAATAACTTTATAATCCTATTACGATCCGATCATACGCCAGTCATCTTACTAAATACATATTCGGAGCGTAAGATACATACACCCGCTCTGCTCTGCTTTGCCGATATGAAAAATAGTATTAAAAGTAGAAGTAATAAATGAATCAAAGTTAAAAGCTTCTTCTTCTTGGCAGAAGAATCTCTCGGCTGCGTCTTCGTAGAACCCTCAGTTTTTCTCTCCTACGTACGTCGTCGTTCACATAATAGCCATTGTTCCTCCATCAGAGTTTGTTATACTGTTATCTTGCACGATTTCCAATTTTCTGATAAGTTCCAATCCATCTCAAGGTTGACTTGGCCTTTGACTTGGCCATCCACGTCCACGAGGAGGAGGAGGAAAAAGTTGTATGGATGACGTTGCCTGTCCTACTCATTTCATGAGTCTCGAGATCTTTAGAAATTTCCCAGAACAGTTTCAATCCTTAATTCCAGGTCTTGTGTGTCATATCAAATCGCGATTTGGGATAGAATTAGATTGAAATTTTGGACGGAAGAAAGGAAAATTCTCAAAGGTTAGGCTTTTAAGATTGCTGTAAAAGAATCAATTCTTCCCAAAAGTCTTAGTTTCCTAAAAATAATATGATTTCGTATAGTCGTTCTCGTTTTTTGATTGACAATTGGCATAGCAGTTTCATTATCGGACGTTTGTTGAGAGCGACGAATGGGATTTTTTATATGACAGATTTGATTAGAGAGAAACTTTTTTGTCAGGAAAAGTTGTCAGTTTCGTCGTGTTTGGAGAGATAACGGGTCCAAATTAATTTGTTTTGCTCGCTACAAAAGTTTTTTTTGTAAAAGCCGTCCCATTTTTATACAGTGTTACACAGAAAATGCGTGATTTAAAGTTGAGACTGGTCACGTAGTGTTCGTCCTCCATTGTGCATTTTAGTCTCAAATTGTACCAAATATCTGTAGATCATCTCATCAGTTCGCAATATTTTCACACAAATTTGGCAATTTGTTAATGTGTCCACTATTCCAGATAGTTTTGTTTACATAATTTAAGTTAGTAAAATAAAAGCTTTCCCGGAATTGAAAGTAGATCCGTATTGTTCTGGTAATCCATTTGTTGCGTTTATTTTTTACATCGTGGTATACACACATACAGCGAAATAGCAGTGTCACGTTTACCGTTATTTGTTGAAGTTGTCTGTTGTCCCGCAGTAAATAAAATTAACTGGACGCACAGGGTCCAGTATATTTTTGGTCAACTACACACGTCCAGAAACCCGCAGCAGAACGACAAACCAAATTAAAGTTTGTTTTTGTAGTGCTTTTGTTTGTAAAAAATAAAAGTAAACATGACCCACGTTTGATTCAGTTGAGATTTGTTCTTTTAAATTCGTTGCGTTTACTTTTTCCTGGTGAATTCAAAATTTGTCGTTGAGTTGTAGCTACATATTACATAAAATGTCCGCAGGTGGTAAATTCTAAAGTGCAAATAATAAAACACATATTACGTACATATTTGCTCATTCTTTGACTTGAATAATTTAAATATGGCCGAGAACCACCCACTTGCAAAATTAAACCACATCAAAGTCATTCAAGGCAGAGTCTTGGTTTGGAATAAATTGTCACTGTTTTATTGGCGGAATGAACAACGACGTAGAACACATGTGGTCGACTTCCGATTATTTATTACTCTACACAATCTTATTAGAAGTAGAATTAAATCGTCAACTTGGTTCATTTGGTTTTACAGCTTAAATGGTATTTGTTTCGTCCCTGGGCATATTTTACGACTTTGCCGTCGTTCTTCCTGGGGGATATGGAACAGTTTGGGTGACTTGACTACATACCTCAAAGGACGTGAGGAGATGACGAAATCAGACGAATCCTCTCTGTATACTTGCATAAGACATGTCTGTCTGAATTCTGTCCTTGCGGGTGTTTGGCTTGATTTTGATTACCTCATAAAGAGCTCCTCTTATCCAGTCCACACTAAATTAGTCGACATGACGGCACACAGAACAATCGGTTGGTTGACAATACCTCACAATTTCCTAATCAACAATTATGCATAACTTTACCGTACCACCCCTCCCACCACAATTCAATCAGGATTTGAATACATATAATAGATGAATAGCACACTTGTTGGGATGCATCTCCACGTCAGAAATTTCTCATCGCTATTCATACCACGGTTCTAATTTCAATCAATTCAACTCATGCCCAACCCACCCAAACTTAATACTGGATGGAACTATATAACTAATTAATTAATTAGGACAGGAGGCAGGCAAGACGTGCTGCTTTTTGAGTGGGGTGGGGTTTTCGGGTGGGTGGGCGAGTGAGTACACAATCAGAATGATAATTGGAAATTCTCTTAAAAGCTTGTATGTATACTTTGTTAGTTCACGACAGTCATACAAATTTCATACAAAATCCGTATCTTTCCGCCTAGAGGAAAACATCTCTAACTTTCACTTCAAAATGTGTGCCAACTACACACATACGTACGAACCTGCTTTGCATTAGCTAATAATCCAGGAACTCATCCATGTCGAAATTGTGCTTCTTCTTCGTCCTACTGCCTACCCAATTATATTATGCATTTCGTTACGGAATACGGAAATACATTATATTATTATGCTCAAGAAGACATAAGGACAAACTTTTGATGCATGTAAATACGTAGGTAGGTTCCTCGTTATATTATTAAAATAAATGAGCACTATCTAAATATCGTACCCCAAAACTATTTAATCTATGTACATACATCCCTCGCCTCAAGTAAAGTAACAAAGTATCCGGTTTTATTTCTGATCCGATGTGACACTAATTCCATTGTGTTGGAGGAGACGCATTGTTGTCGAGTCTCTCTTTGTTACAAGTTTCTGTACACGGACGGACGGACGGAATTTCTCCAGGAAATATAATAAGGGACGTGAGACGGACCCGAGATAATTATTCCGAACCAGTGGAACGCATGAAAAGTAATGCGATGACAATGAACATTCATTCATTGCGACATATGCGCTGTGGTGGTCGCCTCGTGTCGCATTGTTACCTCGCTGCTTTACTAATTACATCGTTTCTCACCATGTCCGTGAAAGTGGGAAACTTTCACAGGCCATAAGTCCAGAGAAAAATGGGAATGTGTCGGTTGGTGGAGAGGGGATAATGTTTATTTTAGGCTTGGGATAATACGTGATGATGATCATATGAAAGGGAAAGCAGATGCGGAATATTGGAAAAACAGGATTATTATATTATCCAAACTTTAGAGAAATAATAATGAACAAAGCTCAAGCTCCGTGGAAAATATAATATCCGAAATGAAATTGATATTTGTCTTTCATATCGTTGTGATTAATTTGAAATTTTACACACATCATTTCCCACACTGAGATGATACTCATCAGTACAATTTACCAGGCTACTGTTATTCTTACATTTGTAACTAAATATTCCAGGTACTGGAAGAGCAGCAGCAGGAAAAACGGTCGTCATCATCACCACCACCACCCCCGAATTTTCTCCGTGTGCGGTTTTCCTCTGAATAAATATCGTTTCCCACCCATCATGGAAATGCAATTGTGTGATGCTGCATACTAACGAGAATGGTAAATATTAGCAAAGCCAGCTGAAAAAAAAACTTGGAAAACCTCTTCACCAAAGTTAACTTATCTTCAAACGAGAACAATTTCCACCAGATGAAAATAATCCTTTTGCCTGACTTTCTCCATGCAAAGGACTCTCCATCTTTCTCTCTTGGTGAAATAACAAGATAAATATTTGACAAGAGGCGAGGAATATGTACATGTAGTGGAGAAGCATACACCTTTGCCAGCAAAACAGGGGGCATCAAACAACCGTCTCCCATAAACTTGAAAGAGCGACTCGAAGAAAAGTGGTTCTCTCATCAGAACTCAGGAGTTGAAAGTGAAAACAAGGAGTGGAAACTACTCCGAGCTGATGGGTTACGTCCAGAATAAATTTAAAGGATAAATAACATTCCATACATGTATGCAAGCGTTAAGGTGAACTTCTTTAGACACAAAGGGCCCAACGTCCGTATGTATTTTGAGTGAAGTCTTAATAACCAAAAGACACCAGGGCTACCCACACAGAGAGCGAAAGAGAAAGCGAAGTCGTCCTTCTAAGAGAGAACCAGAAGATAAAAGAAATCCGGATCCCATTAAAAATCAGGAAAGGAATAATTTACACAAACCGCAAACCTCTCCCCATTCATTCACCACCCGAAACATCACAATAATTTAATTCAGTTCACGACACGTACACAACTTTTGTGGGGAGGATATCCATTTGTCACCCACAAGAAGAAGAAAGCAGCATCTCAAAGAAAGCATGGGGAACAGACCGGATTGTGCGTACTTTCTCCTCTTGGGGCTATGTGGAGCAGCCTTCTTGTTGACGATTGGAGGTTTGTATATGCCGTCTCATTTTTGTAACTAATTAAATATGTCAGACTTTTGTTTTGTCAGAAAAAGTTGGGTTTTACTGAATACTTTTTTCCCATTAGGAATACTCACCTACGTCGCATTTAATCCTGGTTCAATCGACGGACACCCACATTCCGCGTTGTCTCATATTCCCCACTTTCACCACCACTCCCACCATCCAAACCCACACCACCCGAGTTATCACCATCCCGAAGTTCATCATCCCAACCAACACCACGTTGATAACCATACCCACTCAGTTCATTCCAATTCCACGACCAATAACGCAACCACCACCAACACTGCGACTTCCGGCTCGTCAGCAACGAATTCATCTTTAACATCAACTCCAAAATCTCCGGTCGAAAATTCCCCAGATCCTCCCACCACCATCCACCACGATCATGACCACGACCACACCCCAACTTACCCCATCCCCATCCCCCCATACCATCAAGGAGGTCATCACGACCCCATCCACCACAATCCCAACTCATCCGCCGTCATGCAGTCGGCCTATGAAGCCAAAGCCAAGCAGAGTTTAATTCTCGCCATCATCGGTCCCCTCTGCATCTTGTTGGGCGTCGTGCTCACCCTCTTCGTGGGCGTGTTGGCGTTGAAATACGACTGTGACAAAGAACCAGAGCCGAACATCTCTTTTCTCCGACTCAGGTCGGAAATGTCGCTGAATTTCGACCCTGACAAGAACAATTATGAATTGTTGCGACCATCATCCAGCATTGGAGAGGCGGGTGGTTTCTTCAGCATAAATCCGACCGGATTGCCGGTAGAGTCATCATAGAAATTTGCATAATTTGGATAACACACATACTCACCAACTTTTACTTATCGAGATTACTTTATAAATACAAATGTTAACCAAGGATTTTAATTATTTTACGTTATTTATTCTAGTTGAAACTGAGATAGATAAGTATTGACCACAGTTTCTTATTATGTGTGTACATATATTTTTATGGTGACATGTATAAGGCCCTAATTTACAACGTACTAAAAAAATCACGACAGTTTTACGTCTTCATATAATTCATTATAATTCCTTATTGAATAGAAATCTTACTTTGTAACGTGTACATAATTACTAAAATCATGATGATGACAGACCTAATTTTATACGAGGCAAGCTCTCTCCAACCAAACCATAATAATAGAAATGTTGGCATGCTTGCGTGAGAAATTTGAGATTTTTGGTGCTATTCTAGTGAATGAATTGGATATGGCTGTGATAGTTGTTGATGGAAAATTGACTACATTTTAAAACCACGACTTTTACGAGTGAACAATATACATTACATAAATAAATGGATTATCTATATAGCACTAACAATTATATTTTATGTCATTCCTGGGCGTGACAGAGTAAAATACTAAGAATACTTTTACGACATAATTATTAACTCTAGGATAAATATTATGACATGTAATTCCGAATTTTAGACTTCAATAAAGTTTACCGTGTCGAGTTACTCGGTGTTGTTGTTGACTATCCAAAATTTTATTACACTCTGCGGACTGCGTAAAGTGTTTACTAATTAAACGCCTACTTTTAACGGGCTGATTTAATTATTAAAGTGCTTTACTTAACCCGACCCCATTATTCAGTCTCAGGCCACAAAATCCATTATGAACGACACGGAAAACAAATTAAATTAAAAACCTGGAAAAAGTATATCGTATACAAGCTTTGACATCGTCGTCGCCGTCGTTTTGAATGAATGTCGCTATTTCGCAGCATCACTGATGTGTTGATGTAATTTCAATTTCTTAATTAGCTTTTTCCATTGGCAAAGCATTTTGGAATTTGGCTGGAAAAACAGTCCTGAACTTTTTTTTTAGACAAGGAAGAAAACTCTGGTCTGATTTGATTACGAGATCAGCAGGGAAATAACTTTGGTGCTTCAACAGTTTCAAAGGAGAAACTTTACATTCATGCAGATAAGTAAGTGGGCGATTTAGGGTTTAAAACTTTAGAAGAATAACGGTCTCGTATGGACTCAAAGTGATCATCGTTGAGGATGAGGATACCTTAATTGAGTACGAATAAACCTTAACGGATTCGACATTGATGATGATGAGGCAGCCAAAGTTTCAACGTGGTCGTAATAAAATCTGAAAGTTTGGATGGTCTAACCGCAGAATAAGTATCTGCAGTTGAGTTGTTCAAGTACGTCTTAAGTACTCCCCTGAATGAAGTACGTAGCTTTGGTGGGTGATTGTCATGTCATATCTTACTCTACATATATTTTTAGGTTAAACAAGATCTAATTTTGCATGAAAATGTGAGACAACGTCAGGTCTGTAAATAAGTGATGATTTTTTTTGCGAAGGACGAAACAATTGTTTGTTCAATTGGTAAAAAAAACAAGATTTTTCATGCTGGATACATATACGCAGAATTGGGGCAACAACAACGACCCCACTTTTATCGTAAAATACTTATTCGTTAGCAGATACATAGATAATCAATAATTTTTTAGAAATTAGAAAACTCAAAAAACAGAAACAACCGTGTACAGTAGGTTTGTTAAAACGCTCTCTGAGACAAAATTGACGGTTGAATAAAGGTTTACATAATTCATAAAAACATGGTTTTTAGTCGAAAATTTAGTAAAAAATTTAGTAAAAAATCGAAAGAAAATGTGTTTCAAGATTAATTAAGATATATACATAAGAACCTCTCCGTATAAGCATTTAGGATTAGTCGAATTACACAACAATTTTACTAAAAAACATGCCTCTTATGTAAGAAATCCTGGAATTTTAAGCTCGACATATTTTTCTCCATAATTCCGCCACGGGACTTATTTTCGGCTTAATTTCCGGAGTAAATTGATTGCCCTAAAAAACTTAGGATAAATTACTTAAGCCATGGAAGGATTAAACAAAAAATCTCTGTTTTACATTCATTCTGCATGGGAAAAGTTATCCCCCTGTTGTATAAACTTTTACTTGGTCGTAAACCTCCCCGCACTTTACAAGGACACATTTCCCTCCATCTAAAAGCGCTATTATTTTGTCACCACCTCATGAAATCCATCTCACCGAAACTTGAGCCAATTATTCCTCGATCACGCAGCAACAAAAAAGTTCGTATCCTTTACATCACCATTAAACATAACTTGAGACTTAATGCACCATACATAATGTACAAAACCCGTATAAACATACAAATACAGGCACAAATCCACAATTCCCTGTCGCAATATCTAATTCCTATCTATCTCATGACAAGAATTAGATAATCTCCCTCCTAGGAAGATTAAAGCTAGGTAAGCATATTGCATAACAGCATTGATACGATTCTTCCACCATGAGACGCTTATCCAACTCTTTAAGAAGAGCGGATATGTAGGATTTGTCCCGTCTTTTTTCTCTCCCACCAACAAACCAGGCAAAACTACTTCCACTCCTTAAGCCTGAAAAAGTACTCTTATTTTTGTGTAGTTGCACCAAAATCGTTACAACTTTTACCATTGACACGTCATCTTCGTCATGTCATCTTCTTGAGAGTCTTGAATTGACATTCACTCCGACCGACCGAGGAAAGATGTGTGCCAGCAATTCTGCACGGTTCTATGCTTCATATATCGTTCCTTTCTCACTAAAATGTCCTATTCTCTCAATCGTTACGTTACGTATTATTACGTGGACTGGATGGTTTGCTTGGTCGGTTGGTTGAGCCGGCATTGTGTTACTTGACTCATCTCTCAAAGGGTGGGTAAAAGTGCACTTAATTTTATTATATACCAATTTTATGGCTGTCTTCTACCAACGAAACGATACCTCTTACAAAAGGTGGGCAAAGTGACTGACTCGAGTCACTCACTCTCTTCGAAATTGTATAATAAAGGTAAACTTTTATGATTCGGGTGGAATGGTTGATGGTGTCTTTTATTTATTTTATGCCCCCAGCGCACTATTGCTAAGAGAATTACGGACATTCCTGTCTCTCTCACTTCACTAAATTGCCAAAAGTATAAGAAGAAGTGTCCAAGTATACATTGGTTTTGGGGTGGATTAGCCTTACAGGCTTACTTATTGGCTGGGAGCTGTAGCAGAAGAATACGAGGAAGTTTGGTTTAAAGTCTTCTCAGGCATAATGCGATTTGTCACACCTTATCTTTTCACCCTGCCTGAGAGATGCACTCTCTCACCCTTAAAATGCTCGGCTTTCGTGGTTTTGGAGTTGGCCAACAACCTTGAATCTTTCCGGTGGGTCGTCTTACTCACGTGGATGTACCTCCTCTCAAAAGAGCAGATTGCACACCAGTAGAGCCAGCAGAGATCTTGAAATCCGAACGAAATCCAGTCTCTCGAAATAAATCCAAGTGTGCGACACCAAGCCAGTAAATGGGCCCGCATTAACATTTCCACTTACATTTGCCACAAAAGTATGTACATTCTGTAGTGACTTTGCCATTTAAGTCGGCACTCGTACTACCACCATCTTTTAAATCTGGGCACATTATCTTATCACTGCTCGCATTAAATTATGCCAAATTGAGTAGAAAGAGCTATAAACCAGGGGAAGCAAAAGTTGGCAGAGAAAGTTTAGCTTCGTAGTAGGTGGTCCGGGAGGAATTGGGGAAGGCTGCTTTTTCACAGCCATGCTGCATGCAAAAAGCAGTATTGAACTGTTCCATTATCCTCGACGCTCCTGTCTGAATAATATCTCTGCGAAGTACAATAGGATCAAAGCAACTCGACCAAGTTAAAATTAATGTGTGTCCAGATTTTTCGCTATAAAATGGTCGTAGTAATTCTACCAAGTAATGCATACGTACATACCTCAATCGTGCATGTCGTGGGACAGACTCTGCTCCCCTCAGACACGACCAAATCCTGAAATTCACGTAGTAATAAAGTGTATGTACATGCCTACCAACTAAATTGATGGGATATAGCGCAGTATTCCTAGTACGCCGCAGACTTTGAAGTTCTCATCTCTTGGATTGGATTGGGATTCTTGACAAAATTCGCTCCTCTGAAAGAATGACACTGCTCACCAACCTCTGCCAGTTTCCGTTCTTGAGGATGATCGCATTCCCATCTAGCCCAGCAGACAAAGGAAAAGGATGGTGAAAGAAAAGCTCACTATTTTATCACGTCGAGTAGGAGAAAGTTGTCGTTTTTGGGAGAATCTGTGTGCAGGAGAGAGCGACGAACGGGACGACTTTTCAGATGTGCTGTAACTTGGACTTTTTTGGAACAGAGAAATGTACACGAGTCGCATTTGGCTAAATGCTTTTATCTTTAACCTTCATCTAAAACATGACTTTTCTTTCTTTTCTTCTTCTGCTGGTCGGGTGCCAGGCAGACTTTTGTTCTATACAGATTCGGATGCAAAAAGTTTGGATAGTATGGCAATGGCACACGCATGATGAATCATCAGCAGAAGCATGGGATATTATACCCGCATTTTATTTCATGGGGAAAACTTTACCCGTGCATTTCGTGATGTCCTTGTTAATTTCATGCCCTTTTTGCTATTATGCAGTATTTTTATATGCTTGCATAATACGAAAAGTCTATGAAAATTCTCAGTCTGGAAAAATGTGACGCGAGACACATCATTATCGTCGACGGAAAACTTTCTCTGCTACTAAAACTCAAAATTATTACGGTGTAACAAGTGGTGAAGTCGAGTGTACTAAAATACATTTCACGATAGACTAACCACTATAATGGGTAAATTTATGTAGTAATTAATCCAAAATGTCAATGAATACGAATTCCTTTTAATACACATAAAATCACAAAACTTTGCTGAGATAAACTTTTTTGTGCAAAAAAACCTAATTACTTAGTTTTCCAATCTAGTTAATGAGCTTAGAAAAAAAGATCAAATTTCACAAATTTTACTTTCACCTGGAAATCAACTGGGAAATCAAATTCTGAAATCGGGGGAATTCGACACACATTTATTACTTCTAGAGGATATATAAATATGTAAATATGTGGGTGTGGGGCACATACTCTCCTGGGCGCTATGAATTGAAGGTCAACATGCCCACGGCATAAAATTCTGTATTATGCCCAATAAGATGATCATACGCCTAGTTAAATTCAATTTTATTAAAGTGGTAAATATTTGCGGATCCATATTGCGAATATTTATTTGCATCAGGCAGACGTTTTACGGGTGGGAAGTGAAAGTGATGAAATGGAAAGTACCCTCTTTTCCTACGGTGGACTAGTCAACTACTACTTTGCTCATCCGCCACTTCTCTCACCACACCACGGTGAAGATCAGTTTTCCATTATATTATGTAAATATATTGAAATGTGAGTGCAAAATTCAATGCAACAAATCTTATCCGACATAATCCAAACAAAACAAAATACTTGGGAATTTTCGAGTGGAATGAACACCAACGCGGCTGAATATTTAAAGACTTTATCATATTTTCTGCATTTATGCCATATTTTCGCTCGGAAATGGAGAGTTAGATCAATACGTATTTAACACATGAAAGAATGATGACGGGGCCTCGCTTTCTGAGGATGAGTGCAAATATCTGCATTCCTTTTGTATTTTACTTAAGCCCAATAAAGTGCAGGGTGAATAATCTGCAGAAATCGGTTCCTCGAGCAATTCGTAGAAATTGTCAAATGTCAGAATATTTAAGATACGTAAAGATGAAAAGTGATGTATTCAGGCCAACGGCGTGGGTGAGAATGTAGGTATGTAAATACATATTTGACATAATTTAATTGTTGAGTGATTTATTTCTTAGATCTTTTTTTAAATATTTGCAAGACAAGGTATTATAGGAATTTGTAACTATTTAATAAGTCTGTATTTGCACAGATTTTTTATTTGCATTTGATGAAATGAAATGTTGAAATATTGAATTATTTGGATGCCAATTTTGCAAAAAAATGAGATATCGCAATGAGAATTGGGACAGTTTTGCAATTTTTCGAACATGAACAAATGAGACATTTACCTACGTTTTTTGATCACAGCAAATTTATTAGTCGATACAGATCAATCTTTTGATCTGTATCTGTCGTTAAATTCTTTAAACTCTTTAACGATAACGACGACGTGGGGTCCACACAAACCGAAATATCTCCACTCTTCTGGACATTCTTCTGGCTCCATTCTGAGAAAATTAAGCACAACTTCATAAGAATTTAATAAGAATTAAAGTCGTTGAGAGTCTCAACTTGAGACTAAATATATATGAAACTTACTTACTGAAAGTTTAAATGTCCCAACAAATGGTAAAAATTTCGCTCCGTGCAAAACACTTACTGCTTCTAACTTTCCGAGAGAACCATCCTTTTATAAATTTGAACCAGTAATCTAACCAGAACGAGCGGAATTTTACAAGTCCAACCTTAAACCATGCAGATTATAGGAGAGATCATCACCATTAAATTAGATGCTCTTTTAGAACATTTTAGAACATTGCCGTAATCCTGTCCAAGGAACTGCATGCATCATTTATGCACACGTCAACTTTGTAATGGACGCTTGTTTCCATTCCAGTTTTCGTTAGTCTGGAAATACCACCACCAACCAATTCATCGCTAATTCATTGCCCATTATGCAACACATGTAGGAACACGCATTCATCTTTTAGTAGGTTTCTTTTACCGAGACACAAACTCCTTTTCTCTGTTTGAGCCTTCAGTTCAGCAAGGAATTGTTTTTGTTTAATGTTTGAACAAACTAGTTACTAAAATTGCGTCGAGTGTGTTACTTACAAGCTATAATTATTAGCGTGTCTAAATTTAGCTCTCCTGCAAAGATTTATGTGCACACTTGCATAATTTGTTACTGCTCGAATAAGCATACATACATAATAAATCTCTACGTAATCACTTACTAATTTACCTTATCTACCGGAACATAGAACTATTCGTCAACCAACCTTATCCTCCTTGATAGGTTTAAAAGAGACTTTTAGAAAATTCTATATGTAAAAGAAGTCTTACATAAATAGTAAATTTTCTATTCCACTTGAGAATGAGAAGCAATCTACTCCAGTGAAACGTGATTGATCGACATTTGGGTTTATTCTTCGCCGGAATCCGGACAAGTTTTTCGTTTTAATTGAAAAACTATTTTCGACGGTAGATTATTATGTATGTCAGTCAGATATTTAAGGTGTATAGGACTTATGTGTACCAAATCCTTGATTTCAACTTAATTGCGCAGCTCCTATAGGATTTGTGTAAATGAGACCAGAAAACTTTCTAATTCGCGTATCAAGAAATTCGCACGTACTCATTTTTTACAAGTTACTCAATTTGAATACGAATGAAATCTACGGTGACAGTTCCTGAGCGTAGGATGATGATTTACTAGTTTTAAGCAGCTACATCCACACTCCATGATTTCAGGGTAAAATCTAGTTTTTATAGGGAGAACCATTCTCGGCCAGTTTGGCTATTATATTGCCACACAATGACAGATTTATTCTTAAACCGAGAATGAAAAGCTGGATTGTTTCGCCAACCGCAATGTGACCTCTTTGAGGTCGTGGTGACACCATACGCACGCATCGTGATCAGGTCCTACTCAATGTTGGATGAGTATAAAAAACAACAAATAACACACTGACCGCAAACCTGATGTGGACTCTTGTTTTGAAAAACCGTGCTAAATCCCGGGGTGGGTATTACAAACGTAACGGACGTAATACCCACGTGTTTACCAGAGATCGATGCCTACCAATTTACGGCGGCGCTAATTTTGGCGGGTTTTCCGCAGCGCGACAGCCCAATGTTGAAGGAATAGGAAATCAGATATATCGGCGGCGGCATAAAATCCGCGGCGTCGACCTCTGGTGTGCACCTCCTTCCTCCTTTTCGGGATTAACCAGCCTTGACATCACCATTCCATTTCCATCCCGATCCAATCCAAAAGAGAGTAATAAAATCAATCCAAGCTCCACGAACTGCGAATTATATGCATTTTAATCAAATATTCCCGGAACCAACAATGCGCACAAAACTGCGGAATACTACGATTCAGGATTTTTTTGACCAGGTAAAGAATTTCCTAAGGTTGCTCGTGGCATGGATATGAATTTAAATGCATTCAATCAATCATGTATATAACTTCCCCTCCTCAAGCAACCATGCATGCACTTTTACGGCTGCTAAAGCCTTTCCCAAATACCCATGAAAACCATTCAAGTGATGAACGCATGTCGGCGCCGGGATGGAAATACTTATAGAGAGATGATAAAAAATGGCAGACGGGTTAAGACCTTGCGAATTTATTAGCAAGAATACTAAAAAGTTGAAAAGCCTCATGAATAGATTGCTAAAATACGCCAAGGTTGCGGTTACATATGGAACCTGTTTTTGAACCCAAATTTCCAGGTCCTTCTTTTACCTGAATCAAATTTGGGAAAAAAATCCTGATTGAAATATATCCCCATGTCCCTATCCCCTCCCTCATCTCAGTTATGACTCCCACTACTCAATGTACATCCCACATGTCCACTTTATGCCTCCATTTAATCTAAAATCGCAGAAAATCTTGCCCATTCCATGGTCACGGGGTAAATACTTCTACGTAGCAGAGAATCGAACATGGAATCTGCCGGACTTTTGGCAGGATATTGAAAGGGGGAGGGTTCCTTCTTTTTCTGTGCTTTCTCTCTTTATGGTCCTCTCTTTTACTTACTCTATAAGAAGAATGCAGTCATGTTATTACGAAATTTAGGGCTCTCTATAGATAGATAAATTCGCCACGTCACAGATCGCAAATAAATTGCAAATCTGGTACAATGATGTGCGGGAGTATTTTTCTTCGTCGTCTGTCCTCCTTAATATATTTGTTCGCATTTTGCTACATACTTACTTACGTAACAAGAAGTAGGAGGAGGACAATTTCTCGTTTTTTTTTGTGTGCCACACTCCACTGTCATGTTCAACTTGGATGGGGAACATCTTGTGCTCCAGATTGGACATCCGATCCAGATCCAGAAAGACTGTCTTTGTTGCCTGGTCCGATTTGGTCGACTGGATAGATAACGACTTGTTTCTCTCGATCTCTTTCGCATTTGCATCCCCACTTCTCTTGATAGGCTGATTTTTTTTTTCTGTACGAATTTAAGTACATTTACCAGCATCCCAAAATCTGTGTCGCACGTTCGTTAAACCGTACAAATTCTCAAGTTGCATGCAAACTCGATCTGATTCAAGTCATGGTTTAAAAGGGTTTTTCTGTATCAGTGCCATTCTCCCGTCAGTCACATCATTAGTGCAGAGAGTTCATTTGCATGTGTTGTCTATCCAAGATAATAGCACAACAGAAGGAAAACTTGATGTGCGAATCTTATGAAAAATGCATGGCGACTCGAATTGCAACATTTCGATTCCATTTGAGCCGACAACTAAATACTTCTTCTGCCTGCATGCAGTACTCTTCTAACTCTTTTAATAATACATCTTCACAACATCTCAACTGCAGAAAACAACGATTGGTTTTGCCATTCACTTTTATGTCACTGCACACAAAATAATAATGTAACGTAGAGCGCGGATAGAAGAAAAACAGCAGGGGAGTTGTTTAACAAATCTCCCAAGTTTAATAATAAGACTCAATTCTGCAGAGAATAATATTGCCCCCTCGTGTCATTCCAGCCCCAATATTTATCGGGATATCGACCCCATCAAATAATAAAAGTTATGCAATACGGCATTCTTTTCCCATCGTCTCGTATATAAAACTCATTAACCTCGACGGGCCCAAAGTACGTCTCAAGTCTCAACAATAATCCATTTCATCTCATCTCATCCAAGCTCTTCTAATAACTTATTGCCTACCGAACTACTTATTATACTCGACTACAAAACCTGTCTACACCGCACAATGCCAACGTCCACAGGCTCCTTCGTGCAATAAATGAAGAGATACACATAAATAATAAGTAGGCACCAGATAAAAACCAAGCAATAAATATCATGTCATTCTTCTTCTTCTTTTCGCGACCGTTGAAGCAGACGAAGAACAGTTTACTTTACAGATTGGCCCATTTGGCTTGATATTCCGCGGAAATATATACATCCAACTTGTATGTATGACTGCTTCTTCAAAATACAGTAAGAGACATACAATTCGCTGTACGGTTTCTTTACATAGCACAAACACAATTACTTTATATGCCACGTAACTTTTAGACTTGTTAAGACAGGTGTGCATTGGATGTATAAATGTGCATGTACATATAATAAAAGAAGGACTTTTAACTCCCTCCCCAGCATAAAATCGCACCTTTAAAAAACGAATGCACATTCACTTATTCAGTCGGTATTTGCAAGGGTAGGAGCCAAGATCGTGTATTCAGTTCTGCATGTACGTAAAAGTAAACATATTTAGAATGCAAAACCCTTCCAAGAAAAAGAAGTCTGCACAGTGACTCATTTCATCATTTCACATTGCAAATATTGCGGATGACAGATTATTAAAGTTTTTCCCGACAGCCAACACCACACTTTAACCAATATCATCAAAAGTCTCGCTCACTCGCTACCTAAAGCAGTGTCGATTTATCAGAATAAAGTAGTTGGTTGGTGACTGTGTGCATATGCACGTACATACGCAAGTCGTCCCCTGTTGTGGTGACAAGTTTCTGACAACGCCATCAAAACTTGAACATATTTTAGAAACTTGGAGTACAAGAAGTTACATGCATCCGTCCGGCAGAGTGGGAAAGTCTGATAGCACATCTTTTGTCAGCCTTCTTGTTTCAAAAGTTTCTTGAAAAGTTTAAAGTCGTCATCGTCCCCCGGAATTTTAGGTAATTTTCATTTTCATCTCATATTTTACTCATATAAGTATTTTCTGCACCACCTCAATCTTTACATGAAATGACGATATGTATTCATAAAATTTAACAATGAAAAACGCCACGTGTCAGGAGCAGTGGTCCAAAGTGAAAAATATTTCCAAACAATTACATCCTTTTTCCAAAAGAAATAGGATTATGGAAAGAAAAAAAAGTTTAAAAAGTCACCGAATAAAGAAACGCGCAGTAAGTTTTCTCCAAACCAAACCAGGAAAGTAATTCCTAAGCCTGACTGAAAGCAGGATTTGCAACAAAGCGAACATTATTATTAGTATTTTTTCATAAAAAGCAAACTTTCCACACATCATCACATATCCTACAAAATGGAACTTGACATGTCAGATTTGCCTGACGAGTCTCCCTCCGTACATAAAAGGTTTAACAATAAAGAACCAAATCTCTATGTGGTGAAAAATGTGTCGAAAGATTTCTGCACCCGGAGGAGGAACTGTTTCCATCCATTTTCGATTCCTTTATGTAGGTCGAAGGTACGAATAGGAGCTACTGAAGCAAACTCGACACAAAATGACTCACAAAACCAATAACTGCTTTCACTTGGCTGTACTTACTTACACAGCGAAACTCCAGCATAACAGACAGTTCATGTGTTATGTTGTGAATACAAATCTTGAGTAGTCTTTTAAACCGAGTTGGTTCCTTGGTCCGTCAGCTTTTACAAATCGGAGGAGTAACCCAAGCGAAAGAAATCTTTCCGTGGTTTGGTTGCTGCTGCTTCTTCAACTTCATTTATCAGTTCTCTGTCCAAACTTATCGGGATGAGAGAAGTAGGACATAAATACATGAGAAGTAAAAGTATGTATGTAGGGTCAGCCATGCGATTCCTGATTTTAGAGAAATTTCCACTCCTTTCCCTTTCGAAAAATGTGAGGCTACTTTACTTCCACTTCGCGTGACAAGCTTGCACAAAAACAACGGTTAAATCTCAAACCTGTTGTAAAACTTGGGTGTATGTAGCACATTCTTTTCTTGAGAGAAAGTAAAGTAAAACAAGTTAAAAGTAAATGGATTGAAATGCTAGCAGCTCGTGATCTAAATGGGTTACCACATTAAGACAAAGCGCCTACTTCCTGAAATTTAGAAAAAAAACTGTGGCGAAACAATCGCAGAGAAAGGATTTTTCTTAAGAGATTTCACTCCTTTTCTGATTGATCGTAAGACGGACTTAGGAGGGGAGCTTGCGAGGTTGATAATAACAGATCTTGATGCCCTTTGGATATGTGGTAGGGTCCCATGAGTGTACTAAAACCCTGAATTGGTTTGACTCCATGGCCACATTTACGCCCGCCACACCCACTCAAAAATGCCCAAAAAACGCTTTCACTCCAGTTTTCACTCACTCAAATCCACGCCAAAAATCCAATTTTACTCGGATTTTGAAATTTCTTTCACCAATATACTCCCAGATAGTTTCTTTCTTCAATCCAATATCAAACTCAATTTTTTCGAAATTTTTAGTATTTTTAAAATTTAAATTTCTGAATGAGCATTGTTGTAGCAATCAACAAGGCAAATTATGCCTGCGAAATAATAATCAGCAAAATTGAGTTTGATATTGGATTGAAGAAAGCAACTATCGGGGAGTATATTGGTGAAAGAAATTTCAAAATCCGAGTAAAATTGGATTTTTGGCGTGGATTTGAGTGAGTGAAAACTGGAGTGAAAGCGTTTTTTGGGCATTTTTGAGTGGGTGTGGCGGGCGCAAATGTGGCCATGGAGTCAAACTACTTCAGGGTTTTAGTACACTCATGGGTCCCTACCACATATCCAAAGGGCACCAATATCTGTTATTATCAACCTCGCAAGCTCCCCTCCTTAGTCTAACAAACTGTGAACATGGCACTTAGACAGGAGGGGTCAGGTTTACTTGTGCTCGTATTTCTGCACGCTGTACATACAAACCTGCTCGCTCGGATTTGCTTAGGCACATAAAATCCTTAGGTATGCTCGGATGGTAAATAAATAGATACAAAAAACCCAGTATTGGAAAGACGAGGCAAATCCGTACATTCTGCGAAGAATGCTGAAGGATCTCAGGAATAAAATTACTCTGGCAGCTCCAGCTTCTCTCCAGATTGTTGCTTAGTTTGCTCCCTCTCTCAAGTGGATTGGATTACTTGTCTGAGCTGTTAAAGAGTTAGTTGCACTGCCTGCAAAAATCTGTATGGTCCGATGAACTACATTGTGTGTATGTCTACATTAAGCGCTCAACATTTGTGTCGAGCGAGGGAAGGGAAAGTAAGTGAATTGCTTCTGCGAGTTAATAAAATCAGGACAATGTAACGTAATGTAATCACCGGAGAGAGAAGGAAAGAAATGGCTGAGATCAGATAATTTTTGCAACAGGGTATGATTTCTCACGGATTTTTGTTCCACTCAATATCGACTTGTAATCTAATAGAAGGGTTCTTGAGAGAACAGAAGGACAATTACGAGAGAGATATTTAGTAATGCGATTGCATAATAAGACATCTTCACTGAAAGAAAGTGTTACGTCGTGCCATGTAAATTTTGCCCCATTTTGGCGCCACCATGGCAAAAAATATGGCTAAAATATCTCTACAGCCGCCCAGTAAGTGCGTACTTTCACCGTGATGAATTATAAAGTGAGTGACATGTGAACATCTCATCTTCTCCGGTTTTCAGTTTGGTTTGGTGATTTGATTTTGATTTTCAACCTACTTACATAAAACCACAAATCAATTGTATACCGACCGGTATTAATTTCAGACCAGAGCCCGAGCAAATCATGACAAGTCAAAGGTTCCGTGTTTACATAGACTTTCGGATGAAGGGTTTCCCCGTATAGAATTTATCTCATTAAATAATATAATGTTTATTTTTGTCTGGCCGTCTCTCTCTAGAAGAGAAAGCCAGTCATATTATCTACGAGATTGAGAGCTGACTGACTGACTGACTGAGCACCATTGAGATCCGCATGACCAAAAGTACAATAGGCTGAGCTATATCGTGTCCTAAGTAGAATAACGATCGGGTTGATCACGATACGGAAATGGGATCTCTATCACTCTCCCTGAAAACGGAAATACCACGTGATGCGGCCATTTCAACTGTCCTCTCACACTTCATTACCTTTCCACCCGGCAACACAAATGGGGGACGCTTTTATCGAACCGTTTTATTTATTTGGACGGATATTAACACAACATTTATAAAATATTGGGGGAAATTGTGCTTCTCGTGATATTTTTCCACCCAAGATACAAAATTCTACCCAGCCTATCCTCAAAAAAAGCCGAATACTACATAACACCCAGACAATCTGTTTCGAAAAACACACAATTTCCATTATTCCCAATATTCCCTCGATAAATAATCCGAATCCAATACTGACAGGGATAGTCAGTCAGTCATATTTCTCACGCACGTACATATGTACAAACTACGTAACACTGAAACTTTCACCAGACTTCAAAGTTGCATTCAAATCCTTCTTTTTATCCTTTTTAAGGTGACCTTAAATTTTGAAAGGAATATTTGTTGCATGAAATGGAATTGTAATGCCCTAAAGAATTGGACAACAAAATTTGTCGGTAAAAGTTGTGTCACTCCATGAGAAGAACGAGAATTGGAAAGATGACAAATTTCTCTAGAGAAGAAGAAGAAGAAAGCACTTTCCGTCTACTGTACAGCACTGCTTATAATACGTCGAATGTAGCATTATTTACGTATTACGCTGTCAAGTGACGCGAAAGGATGCTTGGTTCCCAGCAGCCAAGGAAGCTTTTCGTCTCTCTCTCTCGGGATTGCGGCTCAATACTTAGTTTTTTTCCCATTGTCGACCTATACATAAGTCAGAAATGGGAAAAATAACGGTGTGTTTTTTTTTCTTTTCTGGAATGAATAAGAAAATATTTATTCGAAAGAATCGATCCTCCGTCGTCATTACCGGAAACAGGAAGTTGGGTCGTCGGATGGTCATATATTTCATAATTTCAGTTGAAATAAGTACTTTTCTCGTTTTATTTGCTTAACAAGTGCGTAGATTTGAGCTTCATAACTAAGGAAAAAACACGGACGGACGGATAACTTTCTCTCCAAAAGTGTAACACTTTCTCCACTTGAGTGATGAGGGTGGTGTCGCTTGGAGCAAAAAATGACAAGAAATGACATTACTCCTTCCCTCAACTGGGTCTCGCTAACAGTGACCTGCAGCATTTTCATACTCTTTTTTTCTTTCCTTTGATAAAGTGGCACGTCTCGTTCTAATAATAAGGGAATAGTTCGGTCTACTTAACTCGGTTTTTTTGGGAGGACCATTTCGACTAGAATTTGACTTCTGAGGTTAAGAAATCCGTGATTCAGCTTTTCAAAAAATGAAGGCGTAGATACTTAATTAGAGAAGCATCACACGGTTCCGTTGACAGAATGAATTTCCTGCCTGGCTGCTCCTTTCCCCGTGGTTTGGTTGCATCGAGGTGAAAGTTCGTCGAGGTGGGAGGGAACCACCTTCTCGGAAAAGTTGATAATACATACGTCACAGTCAGGCTTAAAAATTGGTATTATTATAAAATAATATATTTCCAGACGTGGTTCTTCTACCACCGAAATTGTATGGCTTGTTCTCATTCCGGTGAAAAGATTTCATTCATTTTACCGTATTCATTCAAATCAGGGAATTGTGTGCACTTTTCTTTCTCATAACTCAACTTTTTGACACAATTAAAAAGTCGTGCCTCCACGGGTGACAACTTTTAGGCGATCCGCTTAAAAAACATTTTTGCATGTATCACCTTATTTCCTTGTTTCGACCGACTTTTCATTTTAGACAAAAACTAGGCCTCCAAAAGTCCAGATGGTTAGTTACATACGTCTTTTACACATGTAACTTGCAGTACAATTTATGCTGCAAATATTGGCCAGACTTTTTCCATCTCGTCCAATATCGCACCCTGTTACATAGCTCGATGATG